TAATTATTCGGATTTTTTAGATTGAGAGTTTATACGCCTGTTTTTTGCCTTATGTACAAATATATTATGGAACAATATATTTCTTGTTTTAACTAACAGGTGGAAATGTTTGACACTGGTCCATTATGTAATATTCGATGTTAAATCCTTTTTGTCGAATATGTTGACTGGTCGACTGTCGACAATATTGACAAGTTGATCAAATATTTGTTATATGTCTAATTACTTATTTGTAGGAAACTTCATCATGTATTTAAAGACCTTTAAGTGATGGCAATTCTCAGTTTATCTTGGAATTCTATTGGTCAACTTATCAACTTAGTTTATAATTTACTTGAATAGTATTTAGTCTTATAGTTAATTACTGTGTTACACTTTCTATTCATACAACTTTATATCTTCACCCCGAATACTATATTACCCTCTGAGAGATTTGAACATATAGAGTTGAGAAACATAGCAGAGTGCTAAGCTGTTTTAGGAAACCTTGCCAAGGAATCCTGGGACAGGTGTAACATATTCATAATAATATTTATTTAATGATGAGGGGATAGGATGGGGATTATTATATAATAACTACCTACATGCATGTAGTTGTAGTGTGTGCCAACCTCTGCGGCTCTGCTCTGCTCGGGATGTCCACATTCAAATATCTGACCGATATACATTCACATCGATCAAACCCGAAACCCCTCAGATGAAAGCTACAAAAGGAAGAAAAGGACATTGATAAACTAATCGAAAATCATTCCCTAAACCCTTTAAATAAGTGTGTATCCATATGAACATGATATTCCATAAACTTGCATGCCAAAATCCATAAACAACGTTACCATCTAATAACCCCCAGAAAAAGTCTCCAAAAACGCCCTCGTATCCAATCTAACACGACTATCTTGATCCGACCGTTTGATATTAACCTTAATATTCATCTCCCTACTACTACCGCCAGTAGTAGTAGTCGTACTCCGTCTGCTCATAGACCCTTGTTGTACTCCTCCCGCATTGGGGGTGTTACTAATACCGTCGCTGGTAGTACTGATAGGTATTGGTATTGCGACGACGAGGGTGGCGAGTGAGGTGACTATGAGGGTTGCGGTTGAGAGGATATGCATATTTGCTTCCTTCTTTTCTTTCCTTCCTTTGATTTCGTTTTTTTATTTTATTTCCTGGTGGATTTTGGGGTAAGGTAGATGGACTTGATATAAATTGAATATGGAATGTGAGGATTAAAGTCGTCCCCTCAATCAGAGTTCGAATAGGAATCGGTAGATATAAAGTTTCGAATTAATGGAATACACCGAAATTGATCTATCGCGAGAGAAAGCGATATGGTACGAATACTGTGAGTAACTACCCATAAACTTCTTCTCAAAGCATTAGCATGTTGCTCGTGGCAGCCATGGCCTCGAGAGGAAGGGCATAAAAAGGCAAGAAATGTGTTGATCGGTGATTGGATATTGGCGATGATGCGCCAGTTGCATGGCAAAGAGTAGGTACTTAGTTATAATGGCGAATTCAATATACATAAACCAGAACGTTAGGAATCAATACCGGTTCCGCGATGCGCGGTGTAGCATGCATGTGCCGCCTGTCAGAACGTTAGACGCCACACTTGTAATATCAATACTCCATGCATTTTCAACTCTATAGCCTCGAAGTCACTGCATATATGCGGAAATACGAACGTATGAATGCATTACCCACCAACATGGCGGTATCAAATCGAAGGGTCAATCAGAAGTCTATTCCAAACATACATCCTCCATAAAAAGAATACTGTGTACAGGGAAATACATAGATATACCATGACACTTGTATCAAAATGTCTATGATCAACATTTCAACCACCTCAAAGAAGGGGACATTATGTTACCATCAAATGAATCTAATCTACTGATCTAGTTCAGCCTTCTTCTGATCAAACAGCTTCTTAGCATCAGCCCAGACTCTAGAAGTCTCTCTATCCTTCAACTGCAACAAACTCGGCAACAACTGCGCCGAGAATGATTCCGAGGATTCTCTGGGTAGTAAAGTTGGCAAATGATCGATCGAGATGACGGAGACTGGTGGACCAGATCTAAGTGACAACAAAATTGTAATTAGTATTTGAATACCTTTTTTTCTTCTAAATAAATGTAACTTAAAAGGTGAAAATGACTTACTCAATGCCAGTAACGTTGACAGTTGGCGCATCAAATGTCGTCCAAATTTCGTAAACGGGAACCGGGTTGAACGGACTATTTGGATCGCAGGCAACATCGCAGATGAGTCTCAACTTGCGGTTCTCATCTGTATTGATCGCTTCCTTGGTCACAAACGGTGGGATCTTGCCCATAAGGTAGATGCAGTTGATGAAAATATCAGCTAAACACGCCGCACACATTCAAGTTAGCAACCATATCCATATCCCAACCCTCCATCGCCATTAGACGAAGAGACAAAGGGCAATAGAAACAAAGAGAGAGAGGAGAAGTTACTCACACTGTGTAATCTCCTTGAACGGTCCACCAGGCTTAGTCTCCGCCATATCCCACTTCAAAATACTCTCTTCTCCCAACCCAACCTTAGTACACAAATCCACACTACCGCTTCCACATCTTCCCAAAGCCCCGATGACAATAACCCTCGGCTCAGCACCCCCATTAACCGCCTTCGCCTTCTCAATACTCTCCTTAACATGACTGATCAAAGCAGCCTCATTAGGATACGGCTTAACAGGTGGATACCCAGGACCATCAGGATGTGTAACATTCCAAGCCCAGATCTCGAGTGCCAAAGCTGCACCGGCGAAGCCAGCGTAGTATCCAAAGGCGGCGACACGACGGCCGTTATCGTCGTTAAGGAATTCGAGATCGTAAAGACAGTTTTGGTAGCGACCTAGGGTCTCACGGTACCCTGTTTGTTGCTTGAAGACGTGTGCGAATTGGATGTGTTCGTGGATCAAGGGGAAATTTTCTTCGGGAAGTTCTTTGAGACCGACGATTAGATGGTCCTTGGGGGCGTTGACCCATGAACCGGTCTCGACGAGAGGGATGCCAGCACTAAATATTTCAATTGATGTCTAGTTAGCTCTCTTTGTCTCGTTTCTTTTATTTCCGGGGGACAATCGGCGAATATTGAATCGAAAGGGATAGCGGGGTAGGTTTACTCCTCAAATTCCTTGTCGTCAAAGATACTCTGTGGCGAACGCTCGACTCTGACATCGTATCCGGCGTCAACGAGAGCTTTAGCAGTAGTTGGAGTCACTAAAATCCAAGAATTTCCATGAGTTTTTTCTAGTTCTAATATAATATCCAATTGGCGGTATCGATCGGGTAGTGGGGGCAATTAAATTGTAGGAAAGCTCATCGCGGGGTGCATACAGCATGACCTGTGCTCCAATGGCTTGGCTATACGATTCCAAAAAGTTCAACAGTCAGTCAATCAAACTCCAATTTCAAACCGGACTTCAAATATTAATCGAAGGAATACTCACTCTCAGCACGGAGATGAAGAACAGTTGCCATTTTTTCTAGATGATATTAAAACCGGCGGAGTAGCGATAGTTGGAAAAAAAAACTCTTAATAGTGTTGGGAGATGCTACTAATGTTGTGGAAGAGGAGAGTCGTCAATCGCAAATTTATAACCGACGCAACTTAGAGTCATACTGTACAACCATTACAATCTCAATAGAATCGAACCCCGATCGTTCCAACCGCACCCTTCAAATTGTAATATCAGAAAACGTGAGGAATAGGCTAAGACCACTGCTAACCGGTTATGACCCTGTCCTTTCGGCCCGCTCAGGAATTCAGGAATGCGGTGCTTTCCTGGCCGTTCTCTTTATCGATTGGCAAAAATAGCAGGTCCGCAATCGGCGGATTGCCCGATCAGGTTAAATCGAGTCGACGAACTCGAATCGTTTCAATGTTAACCCCACGGCGACAGTTTAGTCGATGAGATGACATGAGATGACATCTCCAACTTCCCGATTGAAACCAATTGAAACCAATTGAAATGTGAATGGTATTTTTTTCTCCCTCTATATCTCTATCCCCCCAAATATCTCGGCGTGATCAGTCGCCAAAAAATCTATTATACAGTCTGTCTTATGCGGAAGCTGGCTCTTAGCCCTCCACATGCCCCCACGATTCTGCATTCCGAGTGCATCAACGAAAAGCAGGGTAAAAAAAAAACTGATCGAGTAAGGAGCAAGCGGCATTTTGTGAGTACCAGTTGCAAACAAACAGGTAGAAAACAAGTAAAAAATAAAACGAATACGAAAAGTAATTAAAACAAATAACGAAGCGCTGTGAGAACGTGAAACGTGAATGGACGTGGATTTTTTATAATGTTTTTTCCCCTTCCTTGGCTCTAGTAAAATCTTTAGTTTCCTCTCCAAACGGGATAGTCCCGTTGTCGAGGAGAGAAGAAGAAACACTGAGAGCCGTATATATGCATGTAGAAAAAATCGTTAGAAGAAGGAATTACGGCAACACCGGTGGTTGTCGTTTCGCCGGAGGAGAAAGGAGAGAAAAGGAGAAAAAATTACGGCAAGCGACGAAAGAGTCAAAAAAGCTGTACCCATCACTCCACTTTCTTGTATTCCAGAACTATCACACTTAGCCACTTCGCGCCGGTGGGTCTCTTGGGGAACTGTTGCCTGGTTTAGTATCGGGAATATCCGAAGCGAGGAGGTGTTAAACTTACTTTGGAGAGAACCTTGGGCTGGAAGGACTCCAGATTGGCGAAGAGATGCTGTACGGCGCGGCACCACCTGGAGATCCAGGAGTAGCGAACTGAGGTGAGGTTGGTGAGTAAGCATTCGGACTGGTAGGCGAGTACTGAGGAGATCTGTTTGAACACTTGGGTTAGCGTTGATCGCGGCAACAATATTGGCACTATGCAAAACATACGTTGGGCTGTAGCTGGGACTCGTAGGAGAGGTAGGACTAAAGTTCGTGGTTCCACCACCACCGTTGAACTGTGGGCTCGTCGGACTATACTGCGGCGACGTAGGGCTATACGCCGGCGACGTAGGACTGTAGGACGGGCTAGTTGGAGAGAACGATGGTGAAGTGGGCGAGTAACTTGGAGAGGTAGGTGAGTAGCTAGGAGATGTGGGAGATGTTCCGTATGCACCACCAGCCATAGAGGGAGATGTGGGAGAGTAAGCAGGGGATGTTGGCGAATATGCTGGACTGGCTGGAGAGAATCCAAGGCCACCTGAGAACCCCGGGCTGGTAGCCATGCGCGGGGAAGTTGGTGAGTAGTTTGGCGAAGCCGGGGAATATCCGGGAGAGGCCATCCCAAAAGGACTTCTTGGAGTGGTTCCACCGAATGGTTCCGGCATGGGGTAGCTAGGTGGCTCATAGTCGCTTCCCGATTGGACCATAGGAGAGAATGAAACGTTAAAGCCAGGAGAGGCCGCACCGAGGTACATTGGATCTGGAGAACCAGAGCCAAGATCGTATGGTGTCATTTGGCCTGAATCGAAACCGTTGTCTGCTTTGTTGGCGAATGGCGCTCCAGTTCGGGTATTGTCTGTGATGAGTTGGCTGAGCATACCCTCATCGAGATAGACATCGAATTCACCAGTACCCATTGGCGCAAGCTGACCCAACATAACGTTCTCAGAGATACCGCGGCAATCATCAAGTTCGCCGGCAGCGGCAGCCTCGAGAAGAATTTCCACAGTTTCTTCGAAAGAACAACGCATGAGAGCACCGGTGTCTGCTCTGTTGATGCCGTGCCGGGTAATAGCCATCAAATGACCACGGGAGGTCATTACATCGCAAAGCAAGGTCAAGTGACGCTGGTTGACGTAAGAACCGTCGAAAGCCAACACTTGTGTCAATTCCTTGAGTAGCGCGCCTCTGGTGGCCTCGATACCAAACACCTCCAGGACTTCGACGAAGTTGTTTGAGTAGGCACGAGTAGGGTCAACTCCGTCGATAGTGAGTACTGCAGCTAGGTTTGTTCCGCTGGTGTCAAGAACATACTCAATGCAGCCTGGTTCGCTTCTATTCATGACAAGCCCGCCGTTGTTATCGACCTTGACTCGGGTCTTTTCGTTGATGAAGGCCCTAGAGATACCCTGGACACCTCTCAAAGTTAAGGCGTCTAGAACGTGTGCCTCAAACCGCTTAAGCATGAGGTCTTCTTCTAGCCCTTCCTTATCTTCTCGGTCAATTAGAAGCCTGCAACGAATAACCAACTCGTCTGCATTGTTGTCACTGAATATGACGAAAAGATCGCGGTCGTATGTTTCCATAATCTTACCCGCGATATCCTCGATACGCAGGCCCTTGTCAATCATCTTCCTACGGTCGATGATGATACGCAAAACCCACGGCGAATGTCTGGAAATATGCTGTTCGACAGCTGCGTCAGGCATGAAGAAGAAAGCTTCTACAATATCCTTATCTGCTTCGATAACAGTATCCTTTGGCTCTGGGTCGAAATAAATTTCTGTTGCCTCGCAGACGGACCGTAGAGTGGTGTGTTCGACGGCGCTTCGTAGCAACTTGGCCTTCTCACGGTTATACATGTGCTCTGGCTCCTGATAAACCGTAAGAGAAGGAGTCTTGATATTCTTGGCAACATTCAAAATTTCTTTCAAACGCGGCACACCGAGGGTAACGTTCTTGGACGACACACCGGCGAAATGGAAGGTGTTTAGCGTCATCTGTGTAGCTGGTTCACCGATAGACTGTGCGGCCAAGACACCAACCATTTCACCAGGGTTTGCAGCGGCTTTTGCGAAACGGGCCTTGATTTCTCCGATGACCCAATCCAAAGCGACCTTTGTGAGACGGTATTCCAAAACAAGGCGCTTGAATGCAAGTCTGCCTTGTAGATGGGAGCGGAAAAGGAGGGTAGCATTGTATTGAGCTTCAATAGAAATCGGGTCACTTCCACGGATGACAACGAGCTCATCAAGCAATTGTTTGATTTTGTGGACAGTTTCGACTGGTTCAAGGTCACTGCGACCATTCTTCTTGATACGGAAAATTGATTTGGCGTTTTCAAGGATACGAAGAACGTTGATGGGTAGATGCATCGAGTCATCGGCATCCTTTGCGACTTCCCGGATAGTTTCGCGGGCGTGGAGAACCCTTTCCCATTCCTCGTCAAGGACCGCCTGGATTTCAGCGTCGCCTTGAATCTCGGAAGCAACCTCTAGATGTTCCGGAGAAAGGGACAAAGAAGGATCCATAAGATCGACACGGAATTTCTTTTCGAGGTCTTTGTTGGAGCAGGTAATGATATCGACCTTTTGGAGCTCCATATGTTGTCCGTCAAGGCCGTCCTCACCGTAGCAAAACTGGATGATATCACCGAGAGAGTTTCTGACAGTTCCATCATATTTACACATGACGTCTTCTAGGGCTTTGACCAATCTTCGCTGGATGTATCCGGTTTCCGCAGTCTTGACAGCGGTATCGATCAAACCTTCACGACCAGCCATGGCGTGGAAAAAGAATTCTTGTGGTGTGAGACCTCGAAGGTAAGAATTTTCGACGAAACCACGGGACTCCGGACTGTAGTCGTCCTTGGTGAAATGTGGCAGCGTTCGATATTTGAAACCGAACGGGATACGTTTTCCCTCAACTGACTGCTGGCCGACGACAGCAGACATCTGAGAGATATTGATGTTCGAACCCTTGGAACCGGAACGAGCCATCTGAATGGCGTTGTTCAGATCCTTCAAAGACTTTTCGGTCGCAGAACCGGCGTCATCACGAGCCAAGTTCAAAGATCGAGATACCTTGTTTTCGAATGTCTCTCTGATGTTCATACCGGGTAATGCTTCAAGCACGTTGTCCTGGGCTTGTTTGGTAACCTCGTCGACCTCAGCCTTCCTCTGTGTAACGATATCCTGAATCTTCTGAATGGTAGCCGCATCAGGAATGGTGTCACCAATACCAATACTGAATCCGTTATGGAGCAGCCAGTAATTAACCACACGCTGCGTTCCGTTGAAGAATCCCATACAGGTTTGCCATCCTTTTTCGTTGTAGATAGTATGGATCATACCACCCTGAGAGGCACCAACAGACTTCTTGCTGAACAAACCGAACATCAACTCACCATCGGTAACACAGAGACCGGTATCGGCGAGGGGGCTCATGCCTTCCTTATCAGGCTTCACAAGGTTAATTCCCTTCGGAATAACCATGCTGATGAGCTGCTTACCGGTCCATCTCGGAGAAGGTTTGACAATGGCGGGTGGGGGAAATGTACCGTCCCATTCGGGGACCCACAATAGAACGTTCATAAGTTGGTCCCTGTCCAAGAAAACATCTCGACGACAAAGCTTGTAAACACCACAAAGAGTGTCCTGCACGATACCCATCAACGGACCGTTCCTTTGTGGGGACACGATCTGCAGTGGGACCATGCAAAGCTGACTGACTTCAGCTCTTGTTTCCTCGGACTGAGGAACGTGCATGTTCATTTCATCACCGTCGAAATCGGCGTTGTAGGGAGACGTGACAGACAAGTTTAGACGGAAAGTTGAGTATGGAAGCACTCTCACGCGATGACCTGTATGGTATTAGCTTGATGTTTCCGATTTTTTTTTTGCCAAATTTGAAACTCACCCATCATAGATTCTTTGTGGAGGGATGGCTGACGATTGAAGATGACGAAATCACCATCAACGATGTGTCTCTCGACCTTCCAACCGTATTGTAAGGCGATTTCACCAGCGCGCTTATGATGTCTCAAATCAATACGTTCACCAGTATCTCGGATCACGTATTTAGCACCAGGGTGCTCGTTAGGTCCATTCTTGACTAAGGCAGACAATTTTTTGATGTTGTACGGAGTGACTGTCTCCGGGTAAGTGAGGATCCTCGCGGTACTTCGTGGGACACCAACTTCATCGAGAGACAAGTTTGGATCTCCAGTAATGACGGTACGGGCTGAAAAGTCGACACGCTTTCCCATAAGATTGCCACGCAATCTTCCTTCCTTTCCCTTTAATCTGGCTCTGATCGACTTGATGGGACGGCCCGATTTTTGAACAGCCTGTGGCTGACCAGCAATATCGTTGTCCATGAATGTAGCAACATGGAATTGCAGTAGGGACTCAAACTCATTGACAACGTGTGCGGGGGAGCCCTCCTGCTCGCATCTTTGAAGATTGTTGTTGGCCTTGATGATATCTCCCAATTTGAATGTCAAATCATCCTCCCCACGCATTCCACCACCTCCCATGCCGTCAACAGAAATACTGGGTCGGACAGGTGGTGGTGGAACTGCAAGGACGGTAATGACCATCCATTCGGGTCTTGCGTAATCTTTGTTCAAACCCATTTTCGTGATTTCATCGTCTGTAATGTGTTTGAAGATATTAAGAACCATCTGCGGTGTCAGATTCCGCTTGGTCGGCTGCGGGTTTTCTTCATCCTCATCTTTGCTGGGCTTCCAAGTTCCAATAAGTTTGAGACCATCCTTTCGGATAGTGGGCTGGGCGTTACCACAGCCGCCATGCTTATGTTTTCGGGCCTTCTCCTCGCCAGGTAAAGCATCATTCGGCCCTTCCTCCTCACCTTCGTTGGCGTCGCTTTCGCAAACATTTTTAGCCCGGCAGATACGCCAGACCGCGTTGAAACGAGCTTTCGGATCTCGTATACGCATTGCATCGACGAATTGAGGGTTACTCTTTGAGATCACGCATCGCAAGATGCAGATGTTAGCCAAAGTGTTCTTTGAAACAATCAATACTTCGCGTTCCCTTTCGGGCCGCAAAGCTAGAGCCCACCCCAGCCTCAAGGTAGACTCACTTCATCAAGCAGGATCTTGCCACAGTTGAAGCAAACTGTTTCCAAGACCTTTTTGATTTTTGTAATAAAACCTAGTAGATATTGTGTTAGTCATCGTGTTCTCCAGGTTGAATCAAAGTTTAGAAACATACCAATGTGGAAAACTGGTTTGGCCAGTTCGATATGTCCGAAATGGCCTGGACATTCTGACATATTTTCGTCGCACTGACGAGAATAATTAGCACAGAAGTTAAGATCACGATATGAGCATTCAATCAACATACAGTAGCGCATTTGAAGGATCTATCGATCGAACCCATGTGGGGATCATTAAGACCGCGTTCTCGCGGTCGTAGCTTGGACTCGTCCTGTACACACGAGGCAGTTAGTATACTATACGCACTGGCGGGCTGCAAGAGATTAATTAAGCCATACCATAGTCTCCGGGAATTCAATGTGGCACACACTCATCCCCTTGATCTCCTCTGGCGACAACAAACCAAACTGGACCTCCTGGATTGTGCGCAAAGGCGCCGAGGAGTGTGGGAAAGTATGTGAGAGCGACATATTGGCGGGTTATCGACGAAAAACAGGGGGGGAAGATCGGATTTATATCTATTTGGTGGCTCAGGCGCTGTGTTTTTGGAGATTTTTATTGCCTTTCCACCACTCTCCCGAACCGCTTCCAGACCACCTGCCTCACGCGCAAGGCTTTTCAAAAGAACGTAAGAATCGATGTAAAAGTAAATAAACAGACGGATGTCGAAAGGACGGTAAGAATCGCGATAATCGTGGAGGTGTATCGAAGGGTGGCGATGGTTTTCTCGTTAGATCCTGCCTCCGTTTGAACACCTTGACAGCTACCTGCTACCTCTAGTCGTGACCGCGTTCAAGCTGATTTCACGGGCAGAATCAGTTCAAATAGCCGTAAGAATCGTGCTAGACCCTTCCGGAACCAATGGGGGATGTCGGGGCCGGAGGATCGTGAAGGTTTTGTCGGAGTGAAGATGATGTTTGGTGATGGTGATGAGCGAGAAAGTGATGATTGCCAGTGTGGGCAAAAGCAGGCGAAACAGAGTCGAGTTGCTAAAAAAAAGCAAACAACACGCCAATCCTCTGGATCCTGACGAACACCAACCAACTTCCCTGTCTGCTGTTTGCAAGCTTCAACCGTATCTTCATCCTTCGTGCCATTTTTGTCTTCATCACGAATTTCGACGTCGAGAACCTGCAACATCCACCAGCTCCGCTTAATATAGCAGCAGGCACCCAATCGATGAGTCGGTAGCAATCTAGTCTATGGCCTAAACGGGAACTGGTCTTCCTTTGCGAGCCAAACAAAAGAGCGCTTTTCGCAGTAACATCAGTCTCGCCCACCCTCGTCGATATCGCGCGACACCATGAATTTGTCGCTGGCAGACCCGTTCTCACTGTCGCAAGAGTATGTGCACGATATTCTAAGTCGCCTGGCAGCATAATAGACCTGAGTGCACGTTCTAATCTTTAATTGTCGTTTCTACCTTCAGCTACCCAGAAGTCTTCTCACACAGCCTTCGTAAGTCCTAACCCATCGAAACCCACAAATCCTTTACTAGCGTGATTATAGCTCTATTTTTCAAATTGCGACTAACCATGGGAATCAATTGTAGACTACGGGCATTCATCATGTGTCATCTTTAACCGTCGAGGTGATCTACTGGCCTCTGGCAGGGTAGCTACTCCAGACTCTATACCCGATTGGATACGATTCTTACACTTTGCCTCTCTAGCATGACGGAACTGTAGTCCTCTTCGATGTCGAAACCGGTGGACTTGCACGTATAATGCGTGGCCATACACGTTCAGTCCAATCTATTAGTTGGTCTCACGATGGACGCTACCTTTTATCATCTTCGCTTGATTGCAAGTGCATTCTCTGGGACCTCGAAGATGGCAGTCGAAAGCGAATCATCCGCTTCGAAGCAGCAGTATACTATGCCGAATTACACCCATTCAATCATAATCTCTTCGCTGCCGCAATTCACGAAGACCACCCATGGCTTGTCGACATATCAACACCCAAGACAAACCGTATCAAACTCTCCACACTACCCCGAAAATCCACCACAACATCAGAAGACGAAGCTGCACCGCCTTCTAAATCTGCTGCATCAGATGCTAAAGCTCTAACACTTATTACTCTCTTCGATTCAATGGGTCAATATATCATTACCGCCACAACAAGAGGCTGGGTGAACATCATCCATACAGCCACACAAACCACCATTTTCTCCTCCCGCGTTACCAAATCTGCCATAGTCACAGCCCGTCTCTCCATGTCTGGCCGCTCGCTAATATTCAACAGTCGCGACCGTATCCTCCGTACCGTTCACATGCCTGCCCTAACAGATGAAGATATTGAAGATCCTTCTGGCATACTATTTGAAGTCGAACATACCTATCAAGACCTAGTCAATCGGCTCTACTGGAACCATTGTGATATTTCGCCTACAGGGGAATACATATGTGCGAGCACATATATGAATCATGATGTCTATATTTGGGAAACAAACAAAGGATCTCTAGTGAAAATTCTCGAAGGTCCTAAAGAAGAATTAGGTTTTGTGGATTGGCACCCCACGCGACCGATGATCGTCGCATCAGGGCTGGAAACCGGTAGAATATACATCTGGGCTACTAACAACCCGCAGCGGTGGTCGGCATTGGCACCTGACTTCCAGGAAGTAGAAGAGAACGTGGAATATATTGAGAAAGAAGACGAGTTCGATTACAAAGATCGGGCGGAAATGACTAAAGCCAGACTAGACCGGGAGGATGAAGAAGTAGATCTGATTGGAATGGATGATGCGCCAGGGAACTTCAGAGAGGAAGAGAAGAGTTGGACGATGCCAGTCTTGTTGGATATTGAAGAAAGTAGTGAAGATGATGATGTGAAGATTGTAGGCCCAACTGCCGCCACAAGCCAGAAGAAGAAGAAAGCAGGAGCTGCAGCCGCTGAAAAGAAGGGTAAGAAAAGAAAGGCCAGGGATTGATATCATCTGCTATCTTGCTTGCCCGCCTAAATTGTACCAATATATAGTATCATGATGTATGCACAGCCACGGAGTTTACGGTTCTTAATATAGACGGTATTGATTGTCATGCTAAATTCTTTGAATCAATAATTCTCACTATGCCTTTCATTGAACGCCAATATGCCATTAACCAGCTAAAAGACACCAGCGAAAAGAAACATCCATCCACCACTTATCCAGCGACTAACCATCCGCTCATATCCGCATGTGATGTTTACCAATACTTGGATCTAGGAGAAGTTTAAGAAATCATCATAACAGCGTTGGACGCAGACATGCATACAACACCATCGTAAAAATGAACATTAGCAAAAATGATCTCGTCCAGAAGATCCCCGCGCCCTCTATTCCCCAGATAAAAACTAACCTGAAAGAAAAAAGCAAACAGGGATCCAATAGAAAACCAAAAGAACTGCGCTATCACCTCTTTCTGCTAAACATTCTGTTACCGCCCTTCCTGGTCTTCCTTGCTCCGCCTTGGTCATCGAATGGTCCGTCATCGAGATCCATCTCATCTTCCCCCGGTCCCAATCCTAAACCATCGTGGTCAATAACTCTTTTCCCTTTACTTCCATCCTTTTCTGCTGTTTTCCGTTTATCATCTACTGCTTTTTCATAAGCAAGCTGTTCCTTGCGCTGTGTGACCGCCGAAGCTTGAATACTGGCGATTTGTGCTTCGATTTCCGTAAGAACCGACGAGCAGCTAGATGACCATGATTCTAGTGCCGCAATCATGTTTGTAATATCACCAGGAGCAACATCACGACCAGCGGTAGACGAAACTTCGACGCGCTGATTTGCAGTGTCAAGTTTGGCATCTAAGAGCGAGGCATAGATTGCAGAGATGATAAGGTCTTCAAGAAGACGGGTGTTTGGGATATCGAGGAGGGATTGTAGGGAAGGATAGGTAAGCTTGTGGGGTTCCGTCGAGGCGATAGTGATCAAGGAGAGTTGTTTGAGTTTCGTAAGCTGAGGCGGGGAGAGGTCTGGCAGCGAGTTTGGTGATGTTGTCTGTTGGTCTACATGGAGGAGTGGTTAAGCAGGATCCAAAGATGGATATGAGAGCAGGCAACAGGCTCTTACGCTTGTAGTCCATATAACTGCCATATGCAAATAGTTTCAAAGCTTCAAGCCATTTTGCATGATCTGGGTCGTTTTGAAGAGCTCGTACGTTCGGCAGCTCTAACAATTCTGCAAAGACGAAGCAGTTCGGCGACGATATACACTTCTGTATGTTCGCGACAGCAGCAGCACCTGGAGCTGACTTTCCTAGAACGATAAACTCTTCTAGGGCTTGCAGGTATTTGGTAGAGTCCGTCATCGTGGCTTATAAAGGTGATTAGAACTACTGTCGGTGATAATGTTGAAGATTGGAGGATGGACTAGGAAGGATGAGGTGAAGTTGAGGACGTGACCGATAACTGACTCCGTCCTCACATGGTAGAGCTTCAAGCTCCAAAAGGGCAATTGCGTTGCCCCGCGTTGGCTGCACTAGCCACTGGCGCCACTGGACATCTTTCCTCACCGCCACATTTGCATAATATCACACTTCAACACAAACCGCTTTCAAAATATTCGTTAGCTCCCTGAGCTAGTCTATTTCATAAGATTGCGATTCTAAGTTTTAATTTACAAATATTCAAGTAAGGGGGTACCATCTGAAGGGTAATTCAGATTTTATCGTTATAGTTTCCATGGTTGCTTGAATTTCCCTCTTATCCCTAAATATTCGCCGTCCGAGCGAGATATATTTCGGTTCCGGCATAGAGCCCTATACCATGCATCCATACAGACATACTTGCTCACCGGTACACACGCCGTATACCCCACGTTCACATTTGATATTCACACTCATTTGATGCATTTTATTAAATAAGGGACCCTTCAATCCACGTTGTAATTGATGTGAACATCGAGGCATCGTTGTTATTAAACACCACGCCCACCATGTGCGCCATGCTACCGAATCTCGCAAGAATCGGACTCCTTTCCATATCTTCTCTCCTCCTCTATGGAAGCATTTTCAACAACCATGCCACGGCATTCAAAATCAGTGTAGATGGTAGAGAGGTTGAAGGTGGTGGATACTTGAACAATTTAATGTGTAAGATCTAATTGGTTTTCTTTCATTCCGCTCTACTTTCTAAGGCCGATTCCATTTTAACTAAATGAGGACTTCATAAGAAAAAATATTAATGAATACAAACAGCTAACTTTATATAGTATGCAGCGAAATTAAACCATTGTCACCTTTGTTCCCCTCTACCATTTTTGCCGTTCCGGCGCCTGCTGTAAAATGCGAGCAACGAGAAGCGCAAGGCGACTGGGTACTTGAAGAATTACCGGCCTATACCAGTGCCCATAGCTATTTTGCCCTACGTGCGTATAATGGAGATTATATTGTACACGCAGCTTTAAGTCCCGAATCAGATCCCAGTGACCTCCATTTTGAAATGATGGCTGGGACTCCTGGAATGGGGAAACTTCGCGTCAATTACGTTAAGTCAGAGTAGGTGCCAAAGACTTGATGTCCTCCTAAGTGAAGTTTAGCAAGGACATTATGAGCTAACATATATATCTTCAAGATTTTGGCTGCTGCGAGACGGGAAGTTGCAACTTATTAGTGAACAGAATCCTGTTCGGGATGGTGATATAATAGTGCTCGCAGGACCAGGACCCGAAGAAGCGAACACAAATTTCCATTGTAAGCCCCAAGCACTGGCCGGGAAGAGAGGAAAATAAAAAAACCATAGAGATTTACTACTAACGACAAAAACTTACAAATACTTCTAGTGATGCGGTCTCCACATTCTAGAGATCTTCCACCCAATGATTACAAGTATCAGCTTTACTCTCTTTTTCCGGATGATCACATTACTGTTCCTCCCCTCGCGGACATCATCGTCCGTGCAATGCGTATCAGGTTAACAGGAGAGTTTGGAGAGATAGTTGTAGGTACCCTACCGGCAGAGCTAATGCAACAAGTTTCGCAACAGTCCAAGCAATCAGTTGAAGATAAATTGCGGGCACGGCTAAAACAGGTCGAGAGCGATATCCTCTCTAACCCCCAAGGAAGCTATCTAGGTCCAAGTTTTGGCAATGATGATACTGGAGGCTTGTTCTACAGCGAGAAACTAGAGGATTTAGTCTCGACCCCTGATATGCTTGACGATCCGGTCCCAGCCCCACTGGGACTGGAGAGGCTTAGGGTCCAGCGAGCACCAGGCATGCGGGCACTGGGGAGGGGAGCACGGCCTGGGCAAGATGATGCACTGGCTGAGGAGACGGCAAGGCTATTAGGCCTCCCCGTTTCCAGATCTGGCTCTAATAAAACCCCAGCCCCCTTGACTTCCGAGGGGTCCGAAGAGCAATTTATGGGAGAGATTAGCCCAAACCCTGCTCCCCTGGAATCAATCCCCCGGCTTCCTGGGAGAATAGAACCTCCAGGTTCTGGTATAGGAGCGTTCAATGAATTGAACTTATACGGTATTGGTAATAGACGGTTTTATCATAGAGAACCAGAGATAGGCCTAAGTGGGAGACCGGAGGGTTTCTCCGAGATTTCCATTCGTGATATTCCCACGCACTGGGGACTGATAGAGCCAGATGCATATGCTCCTGAAGAACGACTCTTTTTACCAGAAGAGGATGATTTCGAGGACCTCGGGCCTTATCCAGGTGATCTAGGTTACGATGGCAACAGAGTCCCTGGAATAGTCAACTACGAAGAGGAACCACTCTCAATCGAAGAAGAAGGTGATATCTATAAGGGTGGACAATCTCTACCCCTCTCCGCAGCTGAAATAGAAGGAGAAGAACAACAACATATCAATCCCGCCGGTAGTGATGGGTATCAGTATTACCTTCCCGAGGTTTACATATATGAATCCGAAGGGGAAGTAACGCCTGAGTTTTATAATTCTGAAGAGGGTAATGTTGATGATTTCCGTGGTCCGGCGGCACTAGACATCTCTGGAAGCCTTGGTGGTATACCAACATCACTATTTGGAAAATCGAGTAACTCACAAGGGAGAAATTCGCCCTACCCGTTTGGAACTAACCAGTCACCTCCTAATGGAAACGGCGATCTGGGCCAACAATCTGTTCTAGATGCACAGCTATCGCCAATCGCAGGTCAGTGGGATACGCCGGAGCTAGATCTCCAGGGCGTAACTCCAGACGAAATCATACCTAGTCGAATGTATAATAATTACAACGGTATGCCCCTTGAAAAAATCGAAGAAGAGGGTTCTGGCGAGAGTTCGGCTAGGGTTGATGACCAAAGGTCATCACGACTGGGGATGCAATACGAGGAAGGAGAAAGCAATTGGCCCTCCGCGTATTCCCCGGACCTATCATGGGAGGAGCGATTTGAAAAGGTAGAGAATCGGATTAGCCCCGGGCGAGATGATTTCGATGAAGAAGCGCTTGATGGCCCAGATGCAGTTGAGCAAGAGAATTCTGGCTCTTTACAGAAGAGAATGGAATCAGAAGATAATTCCAGTGATTCTCCTTCTTTTCAAGATATTGGATTAGGGGAACAGCCGCAGTATGGGAATGCTATTCCTGAAAATGATTCCAGATTCATTCGAATTCCAGGTGAGGTTGATGGAAACGAGTACGACGACCAAGAAGAACTGCAAGCCGTGCCATACGATGAAATTTGGCGTTTAAGGGATGAGCTGTCATATGATTCACTCTTGGATGACTGGGATAAAAAAGATGATTTTGATGCGGTATCCTCGTCAGTTGTGGGAGACGTTGTAGAATTGGAGAATTTCTCATTGGCTCCTGCGTTTAATGTTGGTTTACCCCAGGATGGTGTCAAGCAACTTCCATGGTGGAAAAAGGCTGCAAAAAAGGTGGCAGATACTCTGAAGCCGAAGAAAAAGACTATAAGGATTAAGGAGCCCACAGGGTTCGAGTAGTCAATATATGTCCCCGGTGCATGCGCACCCACTCATAGATATCTAGATCTCTCGAATGTATATGCCAAACTTGTCTCGTACCCGTATCCAGACCCAGGAAGGGTTTGATCAATTGAATATGTATTTTGGAATTCGAAATGACGTCAGTGAATCGACTGAGTTTATTTTAGAACTTACAATTCATTAAGATACTAGTTAGCATCCGGTTAAAGTATTTGACGAGGCTTCGCATCTACAGACGTAGCCTCGAATCCAGACGCTGGAGGCGGAGATGAAACAGTACAGTACTATATACGCATATTTTCCTAAGCCAAACAATGTACTAGTACAACTGGTTCTATCAGTATATGTTGCGAGTGCTGCACATCTAGTTCAACTATCTAGGTATCTTCAAATCCAACATGATTTAACTTGACCCACGCAAAATTCGTCTGATAAACAGGTATCTATGAGCTCTGGCCTCGAGATTAGTATCTATGTATAGACCGTATGTGCGTGTTTACCTGTTGCGAGTCGATGTTGTAACTAAGTGCAGCGCCCACCTTGTCTAGACTATCCCCGTCGTCCGGGTCCCAGGAAGACTAATTTGCACCAATAAGCGTCAATTCGAGATTTCGCAAGCAATATCAACCATATATTCACATATTCTAAACGTAAACCCGCGTAAAAATGCTCAACCACGCTCGTTCCACGTACATACCATACAGCCATAGCGCCATGTTCATGCAGTTTTTATCAGAGTTTGATATTGCACCTAGGCTAGATACCAATCCTTTCGATCGAAGCTCTAGTCCGCAAGTTTCGCAAGAACAGATTCTGAAGTAACGCTGTTTAATGGTGCATGTGGATGGGATTAGAAATATATATATCGACTTTGATATAGTCGGCCGGGATCTATCATATCAACGTTTATAATTTACCAACGCCCTAACAGTACGGCAATATAGTAGAGCTATCAAGAAGCCAACCACAGTATGACATTCCTAGTACTTCTAACCGCCCTAGGCGTCTTGACGACAAGTGCGTCAGGACTTATCATCGATCTCATCCAATCAGTTCCAGGAAAAGATCTTCCAACTTTACGACGTAAGTAACATAAAATTACCTACTAACTAATAAATATAGTCGAATGAATTCATGAATGTACAAAGCAACAGAAATCGAAGAAAAAATTTATGTCCAGACTAAGATACTAACAGCCCTCTATAGTCTGCCGCCCCCCCATCGAAGGGTTAGTTAACTCCCCACCGGCCATTAACCCTCTGAAAACTTCTTGTCCGGTGGGTAGTTCCGTATTCTGGCTATGGAACTACAATTCCCAACCCAGCGACAATATGCAAACCCTAATAAATCTCCTCGGCGTAACTCAAAATTCTCGAGAAACCCCCTATATGCTAAGTGAAGTGGCTTATGACACTCCTTTCTCATATGGATTTACCAACCCGGGGTTAAGATATCAACCTAGTGTGTAAGTATATATCGATATCGATATATCATGATATCTTCAGAGACACAAATCTATATAGGTGTTGCTTGGAGTATATACATATATGATAGACTAGGTTATCTAATACGAGGATTTAACTACCGGATATATAGGTTTAAGGTAAAGAGGGGAGGAGAATATCAGGCTATTGATAGTAACAATCCCTTTCAAGAAGGTGATGAACTGGAGTACTTCAGTCCAACAATCAATAATGATGACGACAAAAATCTTCGCAGTACGCTAGTATAATCTTATCAATCTATTAACCCCTTCAAGTATAATATTCTAACCCCAAAACCGATTGACAGTCCGCAGCGAAAACAGGAAACCTCCAGTCCTAACCCGCCAACTTACCGACTCCAGCGGCGCAGCCCTCGAGTCTACAAAACTCTACCCAACCGTCACTCTCAAAATCAATTCCCTCGGAAACACCGAACTCGTTCTTCCAAAAGGGAACTGGCTACAACAAGGAGCACAAGGTCTAACCAACGTCGCCAACACTCTAAAATCAGGATTGAACACGTTCGTAGCCCAACCTCTTACAAACGCCGCAACATATATTTCAAAGAACACGCCGCAATGGCAGGAAAATGCAAAAGCATGGATCGGCAAGACCGGTAACAATCTTTATAATACAGCTGGCGCCGTTCTGAATAACGGGGTAAATTACATTGCTCAGCCGCTTGCTAATGCCGGTGGGTGGGTTGATACGAAGGTTACAAATGGGATTAACAGAGCTGGGAATGCACTTAATGGCGCTGTGAATTATGTGGCTGCTCCTTTCATCGCAGGCGGCGAGTGGGTTGACGCGCAGGTTGACAATGGGATCAATAGAGTTCAAAATGCAGTTAACAATGCTGTAGATTATGCTGCCGCTCCCTTTGTCGCAGGCGGTAAATGGGTTGAAAACACAGGTACCAACTACATCACCCAGCCTATCGCCCGGGCCGGGCAGTGGATCGGAAACACCGCTACAAATGCATACAACACTGCAATTCAAGATCTGAACGGCGTCGGGGGAGCCCTAGGCCAAGGATGGCAAGCAGCGAAGGACGTGACAAACCTGGGGCTTGCTAATGCTGGGAATTGGGCAAGGGGACAGATAAATAATGGCCTGCAGACGGTGGGTCAATGGGTCAATGGCTATCCGGTTCTTCAATCTGGAGGCATGACTGGACAAGTGGTTCAACCTATGCCGTCGTATATACCAACTGCGGCTTTCCCAGTGCAGAGCGGATCACCGGCTGCTAATCAGGCTGATAGTAATGCATTACCGATTGTGGCACTTCAGGAGCAGAACTTGGGGGGTAGTGCTACTGGTGCTACATTGAGGACTGGTGGTGAATATGAGACTGCGGATGAGTATCCATGGGATATGAGTGCTAGTCAATTTTTTGTGCCGGGGAAAGTGAAAGTTTAATTATATATAAATATTAGCTCAAAATTTATCATTTTATTGAGAGTCTGACATATATTAGTTACTTAAGTACCTACTGTGTATGCCGAAATATTTAAATTAAAGTGGATATAGATTCTAAAACCCAAAAACAAAGGTGCAGTTGTTGGTTTTTCGTCGTCAATTAATTAAACCGAATAAATCTAAACCACGGTGTCGATCCTGGCTGAGGAAAAGTTCATGACTAGATCTAGATTAAGTGAGGACAAGATCTTGAGGCTAGATCTAGACCGTTAGTAGAACCCCAGCGGCTGGTCAACTTTAGGTTTTACGGAATTTAAACGAAGGGTATTAATAATGCGCGTTGATCAGACCGTTGACCCGTTTCATCTGATTGTCCGAGAACGACGCCATAGCTGCAGATATTGTGTACGATAAGAGTTCTAAAAGTAGAAGGTATGAGATTGCCGATTCTACGACGTTTTCTCGGCATTATTCGTTTGATACGGGCCGCAAGACCTGAAATGTGTCTGTGTACGAAACTACCTTCTATCAGCTGCCCCCATGATGGATCTCAATATTGTGTTGCCTAAACGTTCTACAACAGGACCATCCAAAAGCGGCTAGTCGCACAAGGAAGAGCGCCGACAGGGGTCTGGGCTTCTCGGGATTCAGGAAGGAAGAATCGAACCATCAATTTTGCGTGACTAAGTTATTAGTGAACGCCGCAAAAAAAAACTATCACGGCTTCACCTGGCAGTACAAAGTCCTTACGCTAATACACTGTCATACAGTCAAATACAAAAAATATTTTGAGAACATGAGCACTTTGGAGTGCATATTACTTAGAATAGATCTGAATAACCTACAATGATATTAAAAAACTCTGGCCTCAACGTCATGGATCTAAGATTGGCTGGAAGACTGACAGATGCGAGGCAATGCAGTTTGAGGCGAGGTTCAAGACGTTTCTACACCAAACGGGGGTTGTTTCGGGATTGAAACCACCAGGAAGGGGGTTAAAAAGGCGCTTCGGTTGGCAAGCTTCGCAGCCCCTGTCCGCTAAATCATTAGCTAGCCCTTCGAAAACCAAAAAAAAATAAAAATGTTGACAAGTTCGACCGGCGCCACGGACTTGCGCGGTTTAAGTTAATAAAAAGCCATATTGTAGAAATTTTTCATTAGTTTATGGGTCTCGTGGGTAAGGTATTACATAGGTATTTGGTGATGGATTTGATAATGTGGATGGTATTGTGGATGGTTTGGGGAATATGAGATTTCGGCACCGTCGTCCCGCTTCTTCCGCCTGCAGTTTATGTATGCCCTTGTCTATGATAAGTATACGGACTATACGATCTTGTCGCTGTTTCCGCAGGGGCCACTGCACCCGATAGATGGAGAAGAACAAGAACACCTTTGCCTTGCTCGGGAAGTTGGGAGGTTCAAGGCAGGCCTTTCCATGGGGTCCTCATGACCCTAAAAAGTCAAGTCATTAAAGGCTCCCCACTCCTCGTTCCACGTGTGGGATGGACAGAAGTATCCTTGCTTTGGTGGAGAGATAGGGACCAAGCTTAGATGGCCAATGCTGGTCCGATAACTTTGTTCTGGTGTGATTCAGTGGTAGTGGAAGCGTCGGAAGCTTAGCTGACCCAACTAATATTCTTATTAGTATTATTATTAAGAAGGGAATGGGAAATAAGAAAAGAAAAGAAAGTGGTTTCTGTTCCTTGAACTTGTTAAATAACGCTTGTTTCCTCACGATATTTTAATTCCTTCCTCCTTTTTTGTGTAGTTAGGCTTCATCGTGGTACTTACATACCTGTACCGCTCACTGTTGGACTTGCATCGGACTAGACTGGACTGGATTGGATTGGACCTGGTAGTTCTTCTCCCTATACTCCTCCGCATATCTTACTTCATAGGCGCTGTTGGATCTGGTTTCTCCACGCACCTTGACTTTCTCTCTCTGCATCATCATTTAAATTACGTTGACGACCCCCAAACATCAAAAATCCAAAAAGACAAAAAGACAAAAAGTCGAAATTCGACATTTGAAATTCGAAAATCAAAACCTGATCGGACCTTGCATATGCACAGTTGCTCCATCTTGATCCCTTTGCTTTCCAAAGTAAAGTTTTAGGCCGACAATATCACAACTTCCCTCTCCGATTTCACCATCTCCAACCAACCACAGTCCAGCTTTTCAGATCTAGCATCTCCAAAATCCAAAAAATTAGAAAACTTTCCCGCGCGATCTTCATACGACAATATAGACTAGACTAGAATTAACTTACATAGAAGAAAGAGAAAAAAACAGGCCTGGCTGCCTTCGAACGAACGAACGCACAGACGAACGAAAGTTGTAACTGGTACTGGTGGTACCAAATCAGTTGGGGTTTTGTTCTGGGTTTTGTGTTGGACCGATCTGCTGCGACACCTTCCCATCCGATCTGACCTCAGCGAGTGGCGAGCACTCCCACATTCCCTCTCCAGCCGGCTCCGATCCCGCCTTTTATAGCGCTCCCACGCCCGCATTCCTTTCCCACCTCGCTTTCTCTCCCAGAACCATCTACATCTATCGCCAATCCTAACTGATCTCCTACCGATCGCTGGGGCGGGAATACCACCCTATACCACGCCGACATCATGGCGGACTTCCAACTAAGGACCATGGCGCCCCAGTCGTCTTCGTCTGGTAGCGCCAATACTTCCCATTATGCTACTACCACTGTCGCAGTTGAGGGTATGACATGTGGCGCTTGCTCGGCATCTATCGAATCCGGCTTCAAGGGCATGGACGGAGTGAAGTCATGCTCGGTATCTTTAATTCTCAATAGAGCCGTTGTAATCCACGACCCCAAACTTGTCACCGCCGACAAAATCTTAGAAACAATAGAGGATAAAGGGTTCGATGCGACATTGGTATCTTCTGTTGAACCGAAGAAAGAGAAGAAAAATGAACCGGGAGCGGATACGAGGGTTTTGACCACAACGACGGTCTCAGTTCACGGAATGACTTGCGGAGCTTGTTCGTCGGCTGTTAATAAGGGGTTCGCGGGTATGGACGGAATCGTATCCGTGGATGTGTCGCTCTTGACCAACCGTGCTGTGGTTGTTCATGAGAGCGTAAAAGTATCAGCAGAGAAAATAGTGGATACGTAGGTACTCTCTCAATACTGGGGTTTACGGGCTGTGCTAACGAAGGTATGGGAATAGTATTGAAGACAGGGGATTCGATGCAGCATTGATATCCTCAGTCCAATCGAGACAAAATGCACCAACGGCTGCTCAATTTGCTACTTCTACTATCGGGATCGAGGGGATGACTTGTGGTGCTTGCACATCTGCAGTTGAAGGTGGATTGAAGGATGTCGCAGGTATTGATTCGGTATCGGTATCGCTGGTAATGAATCGCGCCGTCATACAGCATGATCCAGAGATCATCTCGGCGGAACAAATCGCAGAAATCATCGAGGATAGGGGTTTCGACGCTCGCGTTATTTCCTGCGATCTCCCTTCCGCGGCTGCCCAGAGAGACACCCGGAGCCAGATTCTCAATATCAAAGTCTATGGTATGCAGGACGAGGTGTCGGTCACTACGGTTGAGCGTATCCTTCTCAAACTCGATGGAATCGAATCCGCTGTTGTCACATTCCGAACCATGCGAGCTGAGGTCGAATACTATCCATCTGTTCTCGGCGTTCGCACCATCTTTGAAGCCATTGAAGCTGCTGGATTCAATGCCCTTATGGCCGACAACGAGGAGTCTAATGCTCAACTCGAATCTCTTGCCAAAACTAAGGAGATCCAGGAATGGAAAACCGCCTTCCTGTTCAGCGTGTCATTTGCTGTCCCGGTCTTCCTCATCAGTATGATCATCCCGATGTACCTGAAGCCTCTAAACTTTGGTAATGTCAAGGTCTTGATTCCTGGCCTTTTCCTCGGCGATATTGTTTGCTTGGCCCTCACCCTCCCCGTCCAATTCGGTATCGGAAAACGCTTCTATAGATCTGCTTGGAAATCAATCAAGCACAAGTCTGCTACTATGGACGTCCTCGTTATTCTTGGTACTAGCTCTGCATTTGTCTTCTCCTGCGTTTCGATGCTCATTTCTATCATGTGCCCTCCCCATACTCGCCCAGCCACTGTTTTTGACACCTGCACCATGTTGATCACCTTCATCACTCTTGGGCGTTGGCTCGAAAATAGGGCCAAGGGTGCTACTTCTTCCGCCCTTTCCAAGCTCATGTCCCTTGCTCCACCAATGGCTACCATCTATGTTAACCCCAACGCAACTCAGTCCCAAAACTTGCTCGACGAATCCAAAACCGAGCAGTTCGACGTCGAAGCCGTCGAGGAACGCAAAGTACCAACTGAGCTCCTCCAAGTTGGCGATATTGTCATTTTGCGACCGGGCGACAAGATTCCTGCTGATGGTGTGGTAACATATGGCGAATCGTTTGTTGATGAGAGCATGGTCACCGGAGAAGCCATGCCAATTCAAAAATCCCCTGGCTCTCACCTCGTCGGTGGTACCGTCAACGGTACCGGCCGTCTGGACTTCAAGGTTACCCGTGCTGGCCGTGATACCCAACTCTCCCAGATCGTAAAACTTGTTCAAGAGGCACAAACATCACGAGCACCCATTCAAATGATGGCTGATGTTGTGGCCGGCTACTTCATCCCCGGTGTCGTTTCACTTGGTCTCATTACCTTCGTTGTCTGGATGATTCTTTCGCACGTCCTTACCAACCCACCAGCGATCTTTATGAGCGCTAAGAGCGGGGGTTCGTTTATGGTCTGTCTCAAGCTTTGTATCTCTGTCATCGTCTTTGCTTGCCCCTGTGCCCTCGGTCTAGCTACTCCAACGGCTGTTATGGTCGGCACTGGTGTTGGTGCACGGAACGGTATTTTGGTCAAGGGTGGAGAAGCCCTCGAGACCGCTACAAAGGTCACCAAGGTTGTCTTCGACAAGACAGGTACTCTCACAGTCGGAAAGATGACGGTCGCGCGGTTCTACCAAAGCTCCGTCTGGAACTCTAGCGATTGGCGAGTTACGCGCTGGTGGTCTTTGGTGGGACTTGCCGAGGCCGGAAGTGAGCATCCTATTGGTCGTGCTATTGCGAACTACGCAAAAGCGCAGTTGGGAATGAACTCCGAATCCACGATTGAAGGGAGCATCAGCGACTTCAGCGCCGTTGTTGGACGAGGTATTACTGCCGGTATTGTTCCTGCTAAGGATAGCAAGAAACATACTGTTCACATCGGAAATGCTGCCTTCTTGAGGGAAAACGATATTGCATTGGCACAACACGAGGAGACTGAAGCTATGGGCGAGGCTGGCCGACCAGATTCTTCGAAGGGCAAATCCGAAAAGTCTCCTGGCGCTGGGCAGACCGTAGTCTTTGTTGCTATCGATGGCAACTATGCTGGATATCTATGCCTTAGCGACGAAATCAAGGCTGACGCCAAGTACGCCATCATGGCCCTCCGACGCATGGGTATCAAAGTCGCTATGGTCACCGGAGATCAACGCCCCACCGCTCTTGCCGTCGCTGACGCCGTTGGAATTGACAAAAGCCAAGTTTGGGCTGGTGTTTCCCCCGATGAAAAACAGGACCTCGTTACGATTATGAAGGAGGAAGGTGATGTCGTCGCCATGGTTGGTGATGGTATCAACGATTCTCCAGCTCTTGCAACTGCTAATGTTGGTATCGCCATGGCATCTGGTACGGACGTTGCTATGGAAGCCGCCGATATTGTCCTGATGAGGAGTGGAGAGTTGTTGGATATCCCTGCTAGTTTACACCTCGCGAAGACTATCTTTAGGAGAATCCGATTGAACCTTCTTTGGGCCTGTGGGTATAATCTCGTTGGTATGCCATTTGCTATGGGAGTTTTCCTACCTTTTGGGCTGCATCTACACCCTATGGCTGCCGGTGCCGCTATGGCCGCGAGCAGTGTTAGTGTTGTTTGTAGTAGTTTGTTGTTGAATTATTGGAAACGTCCTTCTTGGACCACTGTTCAGGGTATTGAAGAAGAAATTGGACAGATCCATGAAGGCAAGTGGTGGCAGGTTTGGAAGAGATTTGGAAGGAAGGGTAGAGATGCGGTGGCATACCAGAGAGTTGAGACTACTGAAGTGTAAAGGGGTGTCATTCCTTTTCCTTTGTTTTTTTGTATATGAAAAATTCGAAGCGGAGTTTTTGGGGAACTTGTTATTTTTATTCATGACTTTCATTTGTTATTTTTACCTTTTGTTTCTTTCTTCTTTAGTTCTTAAGCACGATACCATTTTTTCTTTCGTTTCTCTTTTAAGTCCCGTTTTTTTAGATGGCGGTTTTTCTTTTCTTGTGGATCCTCGAGTAGTTGGTGAGCGGAAGCGGGATTGGGGGCTTCGAATTTTCAAAAGCAAAGTATTATATTTTGCGAAAGTATATAGCGATAGGAGATCTTTATAATGATATTATGAGAGTTATTTTTTCAATCTTTTGATAAACGTCTTCCGAGCTCATGCATAAGTTAAATTTATAAGTTTCGGGATTGTTATACCCACTTAACATATATGTCAATTCTCGGTTCAAGCCGAATAGTACCACTCCTATAGGTCCGAAGTACAAAAATATTATAGTAAGTATGAAGTGGAAGCATTTGCTTTTTTGTTTTATATGAAGTTCCTTTTGAAAAAAGAGACCCCCTTTGACAAAATAACACATTTTGAGATAACATTTGGCCCTGCGGGAATAGTATGACGATGACGATGACGTGGGAACTAGCTAATTATGGAAATTCAATTATAGGAGTCAATTAGATTGCACGGAGATAGTTTGCAAAACGGATCGATGGTATATATCATAGTGTGTAAGTCCATTTTCCTTTGCGGTCAAATTAATATTAGCGGGATCGATCAACTAAGTTAATGGTGCTATACTGAAACTATTCGGCGTAGTAGTACTGGGTTCTCCTGTCTGGCATGAGCGAGCTAGGCCATGATACGAGACTAGTTATAGTATAAAGCTATGTATAAGGGACGTAGAACTGTTTTGCATAGGAATTATGACAGGTATTAAATCGAGCCAGTGATATTCATAGTTAGTACTATATGTACTATCCAAATACGCAGTTTTGTAATATTATCAAGAAAATAACAAAAAAATTCTTAAGCTTCAAGAGGCCCCTAAGGAATCGATCTAAATTCAATTGATCAAAGGCCTCCAAAACCATGCAAATACTCACTTGGCAGAGAGGTAAGACTGCACAGTAAAGACGCTGGTCTAAGCTAAATTCAATTGACAAGATATGCCTACGCTGATATATATTTGTACCACAAGAGAAATAAATTATCAAGCACTGTAGGAGATTTGTAGGCTTAGATCTAGATCTCTAGATCTCTAGCTATAGAGTGATTCCCATTATATATAACTATAGCTTTGAACTGGTCCACATGCTAAAACAAGAAGGTCTACCAAGACTATGTATCTATCTAGGCCTCGAGACTAGTATCTATATAAGATTAGTTGCAAATTTGCAGACTTTTGACCCGACTTATATTTTTCGTTTCCATCCTAACGGCAAGAATGAAGAAAAGAACTTCAAGTTCTAAATGTGAAAAATGAAACACCACCGGAATAGTGACCTAAAACAATCGTGCTACCATGTACCGCTGAACACTGGGATCTGTAATCATGTGGAAGCCATATAAGCTTTTCTCCATTTCGGGCCAGCCATTCACCATGAGGAGTTACTGGCCCAGCAGGCTGAAACTCAGGATTATTAGGATTTTCAACACCTCCTAAAGAGAAAACTGTTCGGTATAAAGATTTGATATCGGTATCGATGTATCGATCGCCTTGGCGGTTGGGCGAGAAAGCCAAATCATGGACCCAATCTTTACTTGTTCCTATACCTAGCGTTTGCAATAACACTCCTGTAGCTGTGTTCCATAGCTGGACTGTCGCGCGCGCCCCACCTCCCAATCTTGAAGCGATTACTTTGCTATCGGGCGAAAATTCAATCCCTCTAAATATTAGATCATTACTTCCGGGTACATGGATTGTCCGGAGGACTTGTCCTGTACTCGTATCCCAGAGACCAATCGTTTCATCATCTGCTGCGGACGCGAGTATTTTGCCATCGGGTGAGAACGTGTAATCTCTAATCCAGGTTTCATGTATGTTCGAGGTCCATAAAAATTTTGCAGTAGCGCTAGTGTCCCATAATTTGATCAGGAATTGATAGCACGTTATGGACGCGAGTTTTTGGCCGTCGGGCGAGAATTTGATAGCCGTAACCCAATCATTTTCAGTCAGTGTCTGTAGTAGTATTCCTGTAGTATCCCAAAATTTGATCGTATTATCTCTTGATGCGGACGCAAAAATCCTTCCGTCGGGTGAGAATTCGACAATTGTAACAGAGTCTTCATGCTCCTTTAGTGTCTGTAATAGTACACCTGTAGCACTCCATAGTTTGATTGTCCCATCGCTCGATGCCGACACGAGTACCTTGCCGTCGGGCGAGAATGCGACACTGTTAACACCGAGGCCATGTTTTTCTGGTGTCTGCAGTAGTAATTCCGCAACTTTGTTCTCACAGTCCGCAACGTCCCATAGTTTGACGCTGTAATCACTTGATGCCGACGCCAGTAACTTATTGTCGGGCGAAAAGCTGATGCTATTGACGCTAGTTGTATGCCCTTTCAACGTCTGTAATGGTGTTTCCGTGATGATATCCCATAACTTGATTGTCCCATTTATTGATCCACACGCGATTATCCTGGCATTGGACGAGAGTGTGACACAAGTGTCGTTATATTCACATCCTTTCAACGTCCGTGATAGTGTTCCCGTATTTATATCCCAGAATTTGATTGTCCTCTCGCGCGATGCAGACGCGAGTACCTCGCCGTTGTCTGATGAGAGTGTGAGACTATGGACGGGATATTCATGTCCTTTGAACGTTTGCAACGGTGCTCCTGTGATAGTATTCCACAATTTGATCTCCCCATCGTATGATGCAGATGCAAGTATCTCGCCATTATTTGGTGAGAATTCGACACGTTGGATGGAGGCTGGTTTACGCCATTCTAAAATCTGTAGTACGGTTCCTGTAGTAGTGTTCCACAACCTAATTGTCTCATCATTTGATGTAGATGCGAGTATCTCGCCATTACTTGGTGAGAATGCAACATCAATGACCCTACCTCCATGTCCTAACTTCTGTAATTGTGCTCCCGTACTAATGTCCCACAATTTGCTCGTCATATCATCAGATGCAGACGCGAGTATTTTGCTGTTAGGTGAGAACGCGACACTATTGACCCTACCTTTATGCCCATGTAACGTCTGTAATAATCCTCCCGTAATATCCCATAAATTGAGGAGGTTGTCATATGATCCAGACGCGAGTAACTTGCCGTTGGGCGAGAATGCGACACATTTGACGAGAGATTTATGTCCTTCCAATGTTTGCAGTAGTGCACTCCATTTATCTCGGACGCGAGGCAGCTGGGTCACACAGTGGACTGTGGTTTTTGGATCAAAAATCTTCCTGATTATGCTTGTTGTAGGCGCAAAGATAAGAGCTGAAGTATATATTTGTAGAGGTGCTTTGTGGATGATGTCTTGGTTTTTAAGCAGGAATCTTTTCATATCATTGACTAGTGCATATATCTCCGCGCCGTTTGTTATCTATAATTACCGTAAGCTTTTTATATATTGTTTGATGATGGTTCTGATCAACTCACATCTATGATCGACTTCAGGTCATCTACAGCCTTGGATACTTCGAATTTTATATCCAGAAGACTCATGGCTTCGAGCCAGTGTAGTAGATGTTTCGTAAGAAATTTGTGGGCTTGGTCGTTATCAATCAGGCGACGGCCGCTCCTTACCAGGTGGCTTACCCAGTAGCGGCAAGCATATCGAAGTTCCGGTGGCATATACTTTTCTATCACGTCCCCCCTGATATCCGCCCTAAGGCTTCCAGGGGAGGGTAGGTTGCAAATATTCCTTCTTAGCCCAGGTCCAGTGGAACTTGACATCAAGTTGATGCATCCAATAGCGATTAATCTATGCGATTCGCTTTCGTCTACCCAGAATGGGTTCTTTTCCTGGAGGGATCGATCAAGAAGGAAATCGCGAAAAGATAAATGAAATGTTCTTATCGGATTATCGGGGTTGTTAGGTATGTCGAGAACGGATTGTAACGGCCTTAACCTGCAATTCACGACTCTTTCTGGGAGAGACAACAAGCGTGCTAGAGATGAAGCGGACATCGGGCTAGCAAGATTAACAATTGTGCCTACTATTTGTCGAAATTCATCGACTAATTTTTTCTTTTGAGTAGGGTTTTGCCCGACGACCAGCTGGTTCAGGACAGGAAGATAGGTCATTTGTAGCTGTGAAGTCTCCCAATTAGTCTGATAGTTGAGAACTTGTTCAATCTGCTCGTCAGGATCCCATAATTCGTCTCCAATAAACCTACATAATGTGGCAGCGTAGATGAATAGTGGCATGGCTCTTTTAACAAGCTTCTCAAGGTTCTCCTCACCTGGCCATTCTTCTGGAAGGCACAGTTCATCCCGCTCTTGTATCTCGCAAAGTTTGTGTCGTAGGAAGAGTGAAATATCGTGCTCAATCTTTGGCACCTCATGCAACGATACATCTTCATATGTATCATCTGATAACTTTTTGAATGTAGAGAGGATAGGCAAGTCGGGCCTGCTGGTTAAAAACACTCGTACATCTATGGTGTTTATGTCTTTTAGCTGTGAAAGTAGGTAGATAATGACTCTGATATTTTCCTTCTCCTCACACTCGTCGAGTGCATCAATTACCAGAACTAACTTTGCCCTATGGGCCGCGAGCCTAGTTCCCGAAAGGGGTTGTAGAACTAATTTGTCGAACTGTTCGTTTAACGCTTTTGTGGAAATATCGGGATTAAGTTGAATTGCTCTTTGAATTCTCGACCCTAGGGAGGAATAATGATTTGCTAATTGAGCAGCAATCGTGGTAAAGAAACGGGTACCAGTTCGGCGGTCTCCTTCTTCTCGGTTGAAGAAAAAGCTGGCTGCAAGTCGGTTGCTTGTGTGCAAGTTATGGGCCACTGTTCTAGAAATCGTGGACTTCCCTGTCCCTGCTTTGCCAACTAGCCAAAATATACTCTTTCCTTGTGAATGCGGATCTTCTATCCAGTTTGAAATGGTCTCGAGGAGATCTATTCGAGTTCCAGCCAAACACTCTGGCTTATGTTGATCCACATAGCTCCCATATGCTGCCCCTTCGGCGATAGGCAAGTTGAGAACAATTCTTTCCGGTTGGCTCATCCCGCTAACTATCGCTCACATTGAAACCATCAGCAAATATTCATCAACCTTTTTCAAGGCCATATCAATGAACGGCGGGGTTTAAACTCATTGTTTATGCAGGCTTCGTACTAACCTCTGGAAGGAAGCTGGAGCAAGAGCTCTTTCGCGAAAGCAGCAGCAGATAAAGCAGCATAAGGTTGCCAGACTTTGTTCTTGTGACTGTCGGAGTAATCACAGATGCCTCGAATGACTAACGAGGGTAACTCGTCCATTATTCCGGCAGCCTCCATTTCAAAGCACAATACGTTTTTCTCCCGAGCCAAACGGTCTCTGCTGATGCCATGCTTCATAACCTGGTTACCAGATGCGATTAAGCCGTAGTGAATACATGGTTGGTCATGTGGGCGAGACTCCCTACCAACAATCATGCTAGGATTGCATTCATCACAAGATGAGTTCATAGACGGGTGTTCGTAACTTGCTTGGAAGAGCCTGTCGCTATCATTCGCAGTGTTAGGTGGGCGAGAAAAGGTCTGAGGGACAGTTCCATTCTTTAGGGCATTCGCTATGATTTCGCTGACGTTGTTATTTTGAGAATTTCCTCCGGATAGTCCAGACTGATTACTATGCAGCAGATAATCTGACTTCAGTTTAGCTATCGCCGTGAGGAACATTTTGGGAGGTTTATTAAGGACTCCGGTCTGCACGAATCGGCCCTCTTTCTCTGTTTTCCCAAAATCGTACTGTAAGACCCCCCCGAACCCCGCGGTCGGTTCACTCACTACCACATCGCCTAACCTTATATCACATCGTGGTGGGTCAGGTGCTCCTCCAGCGATTCCAACCATCAAAGCAGCTTCTAGATCCGGGAAGCTTCGATGCATCTGAGTAGCGACGTTACCCGCAGACGTTACACCATAAACGCCGGACGGGAGACAGGCAACAATGATATTGTAAGAGCCTATCCGCCCAAACTTGTATGCATTGTCATCTAGTTTATCTTGCGGTAGCGGTAGATGTTGTTCATCTAGCATGGCAATAGCCGCTGCGAACTCTAAGGGCAAGGCGCATATCCAACCTATGGTGTAATTTTTGCGGTCGAGTTGGTGATCCATCTTTACTGCTACGATAACGGGCCGCTAGAGCGCGCTATCTAGGTCATGAGCTCGAAGAGTAGGAGATTGCAACGTGGGACTGAGCGGACGGATGATATATATATATTTTATGAAGTTTTAGAAGCTAGAAAATGTTCTAGCTAAACATGATAGTTTATAGTTATAGGCCCCCCCGCGCAATAGCTATCGCGTCGATAGCTATCATGTGTCGCCTTGTGCGGGGCATAAATTTTATGTAGCGGTACCGAAATAGTATGGTCATGCATGAGCTACCTAGTTACCCTGGCGCATACGTTAAAAACCACGATAATCGATACGACCTAGCAACTAGCTTGCGTTTACCAATCTCTTATAATTACAACACCAGAAAATAGGTCTGTGGGCATAGGTTCTAACGTTTATCGATCATCGGGCTTTGAGAAATCCAGAACTGCTAGCCCTGCATGCCGATTCACATCATAACCCCGTTTTGCGATCGATTGTTTTGCCCTGATTCTTAGGATGGCATCTACTTACCAGGGACGTCCTCGTATAGCTAGAACCTCTCAAGGTACTTGTCATATTGCAACTCACACAGGCACAGGCCTAGAGACTCATTGGGAATGTTTGTCTATCCTAGGGCCTGAGTGAACCAATGAAATCCCGGGAATGGGAACAGCCGATGGAAACTCTCAAATAAATCGAATACGTTAATTTCTCCGAAGTTTCCATTCCTCGTTTGAGCGAAGATGGTCTAATCCCAGTCTTCAAGCCGCATCGGTCAACTCGACAGGTACAGGTTTATCAAGGTACGTATGGGCTTGCGCTTGCCATAAATGCATTTCGGTCGAAATATTAGTATACTAATACATATTTGTAATAGATTATTAATTTTTCAAATTCAAAAAAGGAAGCGGCTACATCTAGTAGCAGACTGCACACTGCGTATACGAGACAAGGCCTCCATGACCGGTCATGACCTCGAATCCGGTGCCGTGAATGTTTCGGCGCTATGATGCGGTGCGTGCGCGCGTGTGGTACGCCAGCCAGTACTCTTTCGGTTAGCAAGCACCAAAACCACTCTGTCTTGGTCAAGACCTTTGCGGCTGGCTACCACATGCACTGCCAATTTCTTGTGTCACATTAGGACGAGGAATGAAGTCTAAGCCAAGACTGTGTTTTCGAGTATTTCTGGTACCGATTTCATAGTCCCAGCTAGCAGTTTTTAATTAATATTAATACTCATCCTATCCCCATACCGTCTTCGGACTTTCTCTGCACCTTTTCCTCGATCATGAAACCTACGACGAAACAATTTAAGGATTGCCTTACTCAATTACGACGAATTTTCAAAGAAGATCTTGGAGACGAAATTTATACAAATCTCTGAGCTGATGGGGGTTGTATCCCGACTTGACCTTAAATTTACGCATTTCTAAAGGGGGGGAAGGGGATGCCTTCAGAAGCAAATCAGTTTATGAGCAGCAATACATCGGCATGGCGGAATCTGCAGCGATAAATGGGTCAAATCTCGGGGTACTAACGGTAACGACAGCCGTCGTGTCGATGATATTGTGTACGACAGGCGTGGTTGCTCGACTACTTACACGACTAAAAGATGCAAATCAACGCCTATATCTTGAAGACTGGATCTTGGTTGGACCGGCATATGTATGTGGATATTTTGAAATTCTAACACCGAATATCAACTTATGGGTTTCATTTAGATATGCACCATGGGAGTTGCGTGTACTATGATTGCTGCGACAACCTACAAATTAGGAGCACACGTTGATTTGGTGGTTGATATTGATAATATAGTGAAATTAATGAAGGTATATCAAGCCTCATTTATCATCCCTCTATACCACTGGCATTTTGCTGATTTATATATACAATCAAAAACAGACATTATGTAAGCGGTGCAATTGGACTTGCAAAGTCTCATGATTAACATTGGCTTCAAAAGATTAACATTTCCAAACCTTAGACGCCCTTCAGATAGCACTATTGATTGCTCTAGGCGCAATCCGTGCCTCTCTCCTCCTCTTCATTAGACGCCTTTCGAAAACCTCTTCTAAACCTATTTACATGATTACAACCATTCTCGTTCATATTAGCACAGCCCATATAACCGTCTCTATCTTCTCATCAATCTTTCGATGCAATCCTATTAGCACCATCTGGACTCCCGGTGCTGTAAAATACACCTGCACGAACATCGTGGCTGTCTACGTGCTTGTTTCTGTCGGGCTAGCGATCGATGCTCTTATGTTCCTATTACCAGCAATATTGGTCATCGAGTTACATATTACCAAAAAGAAGAAAATTCAGAGCCTCGTTATGTTTGCATTGGGCGGAGGGTATGAGCTACCTTTTCTTCTTTCACAACTGTACGATGGAGAATGATTAATAATTATGCTATTATCTAGTGGCTGTATTATTGAAGCCCTGCGGTTTGGCCAACTACAAGAAACAAAGACCAGCCCCGATCCCATCTGTAAGTGCAGCCTCTTATCTTTATCCTATAGTTGATATGGTTCTAACGGATTTAAACTTATAGATAGCGCTGGGAAGGTAGTAATCTTCCTTTTTATTCAAGTTGTTCTTGGAATGCTCTGTTGCTGTGCGCCGTCCATAAAAGCTTTTGGAACCAGAGTCCTCAACTCGAAGTTCAAACACCAAAGCTTCGAGTCATATTCCGATAACATAGGTGCGAATATCGCCCGTGAAATTGGTAATACGACACATCCCCAAGACAATATAGAAATTGGAGACAATTCAAGATTTGGAGAAAATTCTGCACAATCCTTTGAGGGGCATATAGAAATGGATACACAGCAAAACGGCAAAGACGGAGCAGCAGTTGGGGGCCGAATCATGGACCTAAAGGAAGTTTTGAAACTCTATAGTGAGGAGACAAACTCGTTGTCTGCCATCCAGAGCAACAAGGCCTCTCAAAATTCGAGGACTAATAGTAGTCTGTATGAAGAATTTAATGCTAGGCCTATGGAATGGGGGAGGCAGCTATGAACATGATTGGTAGGGTAACCGGTTATGAGTTACGACTTTTAGTGTGTCTATCGGATCCGGTGGCCCGAATTTACGAGATCTTTCCTTGGAAGCACTAGCGCAATACCCGGAAGTTTCCAGCTTTTTTTTTTTGGTTCTTATTTTTAATAGTTAAGCCAAGTTAAGCGGGCGCACTAGTTTTTTTTAGATATTTCTGGAAGCTATACTAGTTTGTATGGTATTCCGGTCACTCAATCATTTCTTCCACCAGTTTTTTGATTTTCACATGATGGACCTAACATATGATCAAAACCCGTGAATTCGAACAATTATTACGTTACTTAGTGAATAGCTACCGTGAAGATATCTTGGCGCTGCGAAAGGAATCACCGATTTTAGGTAAGCTAAAACTAATAGAATCCGGGACTGGCGGCTAACCAGAGACGGTAAAATCCGTCTCTTTCAGATCTCGCCTCGTTCCATGGATCCACCACCCCCACCGACGCTCAGGGCGCCTTCGCTTGCTTAGGAATTTCTTGGCTCACCCCGGATTTGGGCCCAAACATCAGGGTCGGCTGGTCTTGCTGCGACCCACCCTATATTTTAGAATGATCCACCAACGAGAAGGCATAGATGAATACGATAGCGACGGCAGCTATCTGCATTATCCCATGAATCTGCACGGGTGATCAGCGGCATCGATTTTGTTGCCGAACGGGCGGGTACGATTGTTGAAAATGCTCACAATTAACCCGAGTGTGCCGCTCTCATATAGTGGCCTAGAGGACAAAGCTGCGTGCATCTGTTCTCTCTGAAAGCCAGCGCACATATACAAGGGCACGGGAGTTGAATGATTTCTCATGCTCTACTGTCTTTAGTGTTTGATGGGATATACCGTTAGTAAGTTCAGTCATCTGAACTAATCGTAACGAAAGTTTAACAGAGAATTCTAGAACAATTTTAGCTTGCTTGAGGGTACATTGTGTGCAGACAAAACAACTGTATGGGAAGGGTTTTAATGTATATAGTCTGGCTTTGGTACTTATTTTTGAGTTTGAATTAGTTCCTCGGCCTAGTTTCCGTCAGGTTTTATCTATTTTAGTTACTAGTATACTTCGTCTCTGCCTATTTTACTCAGCCACAGGAATTCGCTGTTTATTCGGAAACCGAGTAACAATTTAGATTGAGTTAGTCGTATAAACTCTAGTCGGTACCTCACCCGGAGAAAAGTTCCACTTGGTAATATTGCTGTGTCATAAACCACAAGGCATCTTCAGTACTCAAATACTTCTAACAGGTTTATAGAGGGAAAGTTATCTTGTAAGCTAGAATTAATGCTACTGCTTCGCAGGAGCGGGAAGGGCCTCTGATAAACCTGAAATGAAAGGAAATAACAAATCCACGGAAGGTTTTGAATAACGAAGCACTCTTTATCTCAAAATCTCTCGTTGGCCAGTACTCTGCGTACTAAACTTAAGGGTTGCTCGCTCCGACCATTCTCATAACCACTGTGGCTTGCCTAACCAATCTAATAACACCAATCTCAACATCTTCTTTTTCGTTCTCCAACTCCAGGAGCCGTTTGAAAGCATCCTCCCAAACAGTCCATCTCTCCAAACTAAATCCCTTCCACCCTTTCTCACTAAAACCTTCCCCCCCTCTTGCTAGGTTCCCCTCGTACTCCTTCCCTTCTTTACATAATTTATAAATCTCAGTTTTCGCGGTAACGATCCATACAGCAGCTGTCTGAATATCTGCCGGATCAAGAGTATGAAGTGTTTCTGGTGAAACTTCGAGACAGCGGAGAGACCAGATTGCATAGAGGGAGTAATCTGTTGGAGATTTTGGAATTTCTGCGGATAATGAAGTTCTGGTGAGGGTTGCGAGGAAAGCGTTTAAGTTTATCCATTCGTCTTTAGAGAAGACGAGGCCGGGTAGTGGTGTCGATGATTGAGAAAATGGAGGTGAGAAGTTATACCAGTCTCTTATATAAATGTTCAGATCTGGAAGTTGGGACCAGGTGAACTCTGTGTCGTTATATTTGGGAAGCGGGGTGTTATCATTTTGTTCATCGAAAGGAGAAGGTGGGGGAGGCTGGTTTTGTAGGCGTTGGACGAAAATCGCGAGTTTTGTATGAGTTAAAGAAGACCATTCTGTTTGGCAAACGAGGAGAAGAAAGGAGTTCCAGAGAGTTTCGAGGTAGGTTGATATTGTAGTCGATGGGGTGGTGGGGGTTATTGAAGATGTTAAAGACGACAACGCTGTGAGTTCGGTGGATTGAAAATTGGTAAAGGAGGTGAGAGTGAGGTATTGAGGAGAGGACTCAATGGTTTGTTTTGCGGTTGGCATTTTTTTCGTAGTAAAAGTATCCTGAGATATCTTTAGATCGTGGAGTTTATGGTGATAATGCTACTGTTACGCAATCCACGTACATGCAATGCAATATTACATTAAGGTTGATCTCGATATTTTCCTATGGATTTTGTCTGATGGATATGAGGGCTATATCAATCTCGTGAGTCCGGGGCGGCTTTATATCACCACTTTCTAAATTTGGCCGCGGAAGTTTGACGTCACGAAAGTCGAGGCCGCGTGGTGGTGGTGGGAGGATCGAGGAGGGGTATTCGAGGCTAGTGCTAACCTGGAGGAGGTTACCTTCGAACTTCCCGATGCAGAAATGCAACATTATATGTGTTGTCTTGCAGTGCTTTGGTATAGATTCGAGGCTATCCTTGTCTACGGCTTAGCTTGAGGGAAACCAGGGGAACATATTAAAATCCCCCCTTTTTTAGATTGATAGTGCTGGTGGATAGCCGCGAGGTTAGTTTTGTGTATAATCGAGATATAAAACACCAAACTCAATTTAGGGGCCAGTAGTATCCATATGTGAATATGGAAATATCAGTCCTTATTTGTCAGAAACCTTTTTTGACTCTAGTATTGCGGGTTCTTGATGCTGAGTCATCGGTGTACAAGGGTCTACAGGGTTACAAGGGATTGTATACTAAAGTACGTTTCAAAAGATCTTCAAGGGCAGTTAATTCCCAGCCTTTTTCTAGGCTCAATTATAAGTTTAGTCGAGTATTTTGAAACTGATATGCGGTTCGAACTAGCGTGGCAGGGACGCAAAAAGAGTATAGGCATAATTGCATCCGAAGCGCGCTCCATTCTGTTAGCTACTAAAATCCTCGGTCCTAATTTTCAAAATTGCGAAAATGAAATCCAGTACATTCTTTTGATCACTAGCAGATAGCAACGGTCAGAGATTATTTGATTTTAGGTAGGGCGGTGCGTGATCCGTAAAGTTTGTAGAAGGCAAGTATACAAATGTACAGACCACAAAGAACCAAATAATTTACCCTAATGGAACGAATTCAATCAATTTATTCTGTGTGATGCTCTTGTGTGAATATAAAATAGTTGATGGCATCGAATCCTACATTTGCAAGAGAATAATTTCAAAGACTCTAAAGTATAGCAACATATACAGAGTAGATTAGTATTGGAAAACGACCTGTTTTGATTGAAAAATTATATGTGATAAAAAGTAGAGGCACGGTTGTAACTCTACAATTAGCCTTAACCAATCGAAAAATTCGGGTAATAATTGATCAATGGATAGGTAGGATTTGGGGAATTATAGATGTATTGGAAGCAGTCTCATTCCCGCTCCATCTCCAACCTTCGAAATAGAAAAAACTTGCCAACTACGTCACAAAATCCAACTTTTTACTTACCCTTAGAAAACTGTGTTGCCGGCTGCCGGTAATTATGTAATGTTTGTAAGGGTGGCTCTGATATGACGGTTTACGAGACCAGATATGACCCCTCTTCATATATCCACCTGCGGAATCTGATATCATTCATAAACAAAAGGCATCATATCGTCTTCCGTATGTCACTAATACGGCAATGGATCTGACGACGGACCCCGCGAATTTAGCACCTCTGGAAACCCTTCCGCAAGAACTCCTCTCCAACATAATCGACCACCTAGAACTAAATAACAGAGCTTCGTTCCTTCGTGCTTCAAAGCGTCTATATCACGCAACGTACCCCCATCTTTGGCATACCCTAAAATCCAATGACAGCCCACGAAAACGACATGCAGCTTCTAGGTACTCACGTGGACTATATAAAATAGCAAAGATCGCGGAGAAAGTTGGGGTCGAGAATATGGGGTTTGTTCATGTGAAGAAAGTGGTGTTTAAAGAAGGGGATTTAACGCCTGAGAAGGGTTTCGCTGGGACGGATCCTGGGTTGCATAAGTTTACGAATATTTTGGAGGAGCGGTTGACGGCGGGGGTGATTAAGATACAACAAGTGGAATTGTGTTGGGAGGACCTTGGTATGTTTTTTTTCATCATGTTTTAGGATTGATCATGATATCAGCTTCGAGTTATTCTGAGCTTTGATATATTTGTCGGCTCTGTGTCAAACTACGCTCACTGGAGATATGAACCGAATTAATATAAATACGCTAACTTTAATTTAATGTTTTAGCAAGGGCATCTAACGGAGCAACCAACCTACTGGAGACACTGAAAGGGTACCAAAAACTAACCCTCCCTCAAAAGCCATCTATCATTGCAAAGAAAATGAAAGATTCGGGAGATCCTAGAAGGCCCATTGTCTTTCCAATCAGGGTGTTCGCACTAGAATGTATCACAAATCTGGAACTTGCATTTGGCGGAGAACAGCAGGAATTTGGTGTATTACTGGAAGAAACGGTCGATGATATCGAATTATTTACGAATACGCTAAAGGGGACGACTTCTCTTCAATATCTTTCTTTGGAATGGAGGGAGAATATACGCGATACACCGTCTTTGGTTATCGAATTACCTCAATTGAAAGAACTTCAGTCTGCAATTACTGATTTGAAACAATTACGGGGTTTAGGTCTTACGGGTTATCTATTCCACCCATCGTTCTTGGTTATCCCGCCGGAGAACACCAAAAAGTTAACAATCAAACAAGAAGTTTCAATTGCCTGGTGGCGTAAATTCGCAAAACATGCTTTTACCGGCCTCGAAGATTTGACTATGGATACCCGTCATGCTGGCACCGAGCTCATTTCGGACTGGTTGTCTGGTGATGAAGAGGAAGTTAGGTTTTTTGAAACCGCGCAAGAATTTACGTTTTTGTTAGGGGAGCTGGCGATTACGGGATTGAAGAGGTTAAGCACTTATACTGAATATTATTATTGCCCTGATGATTTTTTGACTTTGTTACGCCAGAACAACCCGGGACTTCAAGAGTTTACAAGGTATGATGATTTAAATATATAAGTTACCGTGGTGATCTTGTTGACGAACTGGACTTGGAATTCAAATTTCGGTCGATATCGGTAGTTAAGAAAACAACATATACGACGGATTAGTCTAGTCGTATAAAGGGCATGTTGTTACTCATTTTGAATTTAATTCCTGTATGGGTTTTTGAAAGTTAGGGTCCTATGTATATTGCATTTTAGTTAGGGTTCTCTAGTGTGTAAAAATATTAAATATATGACTATATATCGGTAATTATTGATAGGATATCCCTATATACGTATAGATACTTGAGATACTAGTGATTTTGAGAGTTTCGAAAGCTTTAATGAAGCAGTGTCGTTGATTTAAATACCACGGTGTAGTTAGGACTAACAGCGTTTTACACTCGCACATGGTTCCCAGAACAGATTCTCAACGGACGTTTGTTGTATTTAGAACGACAATGCGTTGTGTTGAGTCACACAAACCTCAACTTTTCTTGGCATATAAAATTCCCAATTCTTCTTCGCTTCTCTCTCTTCCTCTTCCCTTTCCTTCCTTCAACAGTCCACCCCACCAACGCCACGTTTCCTTGCAACCCACAGATTTCAATCCCCAGCTTCCATCTCGGAATCCAAGGATCAAGAATCACCTACAGAATGCGAGTGAGAAATTCGGAGTAATCTTCACCTTATTCTTTCCCAAAGCTTCGGCTGCGAGAAATGAAACCGCCCCTAAGGGCCCGACGTGATTCTTCACGTCCGCACGTTTGGCATCAGAAATCACGGGGGGAGGGAGGAAAGGAGGAAGAAAGAAATTCCTTTTTTCTTTTCTCTTTTCCCCCCATGGGAGTCCAGTGCGAAGATGGTTATTCCTCTTTATACTTGATCGTTTTCACTTCTTGCTCTTTCTTTCTTTTCTCTGCTTCGGTGGGGAGGGAAGGGGGACGGGAGGTGGTTATGTGAGAGGGGAGGTTTACTTTAGTGCGATACGTGGCGTATCTGACGTTTCTTTTCACCTTCGGGTGGGAAGAACGGAGGGTATGATTCGATTCCGATTACTCTGGTGGGGAGGACTGTTCACCCTCTTTTTTCTTCGGTGAGTAATACCCTGATTTCTTTGGAGATACCAGATTAGATTAGGTACTGCGCTAACAGTGGTGTGGGAGGGGTGGAGATGAAGGTTGGTCGCGTCGGTGGAGGATATGACGACACGTTTAGAGGTCTATATTTCTTGAGCAATGTATTTTAGCACTACTTTCAATATATAGCCCTGGTTATTTCAAGTCTCGAGGCTAAGCTACCTCTCAGTTGAAGCTTAAAATATATATCCTTCTGAAATTACAATATCAAATTGCTGGTAATTATCAAAAGCGTGTATTAAAACCCTTCAGTACTGTCCATATACAAGAAAAGGCCCTCTCCTAATAACCCATTCAATCCAATCCAATCCAAACTTTTAATTTCCCGTCTATGCCCTCCAGAACCTCTTGATACCCTCTGTAAGTCCAACATCGTTCGTCTGGATTGAAAAGAGTCCTACGGCAGCAGTGATAGTAGATGCCCTTAGCAACCAGATCATGAATGTTCTTGTCCTAGGATATTGTCGCCTATCCGAAATCTGTTAGTATATCTGAAGTATATATGATTGAATCAAATTATAGATCTTTGAAAAAAAAATCCGTACTTTGGGAAGTAATCTGTCACACAAGCGTCGAAACCGATGTGGGAGTGTAGAACCAATGCAGTACCGAGAGCAGCGTCGAGAGCAGGGTTTGCACTGCCGGCAGCAAATGGAGCAACAGTAAGCGGAATCATGCCGAGGGCGATAATTCTTTCGAAAGCCCAGTGGTAGGATCCATGACTGGCAATTGCATATATATTAGAATTTTATTTGTCCCGTAGTCGATTGTTTATCTAAATAGAACATACGTAGCATTTGCTATTGGAACTGGAACTGGATCATTGACGGTGCCGTGGACGACCTCTATTGTAGCCGAGAAAGAAGAGAGATATAAGGTCAGCAAAATACCCTCATTTTGATCTCTTTCCACCCAATTGAAATTTAAGATTTCGACAGAAATAGTTTCCTAGATGGGAATATTGGCACGTACGAGGTCCGGGAGGCAGAATTTGGTGCTTTTGTGAAGCGTGGAAAGCAGCGACTCGGGTTTGCGGTAGGAGCCGTATTGCCGAGGTGGGCTTTGTAGCGGCGAGGATTCGTCGGGCAGCTGATGAGCGAAGAGTCGACGCCATTGTTGAAAACAACCACCGGAATGTAATAGAAAGACTGATTCTGTCTACGGAACTATCTGTATATCGACCTGGACTTGGAGATAGTTATGTCGGTGGTTGTTTTTGTGCTTGTTTGGAGGGAGAAGAGGTGAAGAAAGGAAAGGAAGGTCGTGCGAGTGGCGGCCAGTTCGAAGTTGTGAATTTCTCGTCGGCCAAAAACCGTGGAAGGACAAACCAGCCAATGACAGGCAAGCCAATTCCATTGCGATGATATCATGTGAAAGAGCCGTCCACGGATGGCTCACGTTTGGGGCTCTAAATCCACGCGCAGACACCGGATAGACATCCGAGCAAGATAGGAAGATAGCTCTCCCTTCAATCCTCAATCTGGCTCGGTTTTAGAAATTTTCAGGAAGAATAGGAGTCGTGAGAACATCCGAAAGATGCTGACTTGGGCCTGAGGGGTTGGAATACTCGCCTGATGTTGCCCTGCTCTGCGTTGCGCTGTCGTGTAAAAGTGCCCCAGCCAAATTTTCGTCGTTCTGTCTGAGACCTCGAGACTAAGACGACTCGACTATTGACATTCCATACCTTCCTGACTTCCGACCACCACCAATCCACCCCCCCAAAGCACTATCTCCATCCTCCCCGACTACCTCCGCGTCTTCTTCTCCATTCTTCGTCCGCGATGGCTGCTACCCGTCAGGCCCTATCGCGACTGGCTCTTCCAAGAGCCGGTCTCACAAAGTCCATTCTCAAGCCTTCCCGGGCCGCCAGGGCATTTGCGTCCCCCGCCACCACTGCCCCCGCCACATGGACCCCAAATAAGACCGAGACCACCACCTTGAGCAATGGCTTCACGGTACGATTATATATCATATTCATTGTGTTATTGATATGCAATGGCTGACGGATGAGATAGATAGCCACAGAATCGAATCCCGGTCAACAGACCGCTACCGTTGGTATGCATTCGTCCGATATACGAGCCGGGTACTCTACCCAGGAGAGGGAACACAAAGCTGATGGACTATAGGTGTTTGGATCGATGCCGGAAGCAGAGCGGAGACCGATGCCAACAATGGAACTGCTCATTTCCTCGAGCATCTTGCCTTCAAGGTAAATATTTGCGTCCATAGATATATCGCTCGATATTTTGTTTGAGAAGACACCGGGTGCTAAGCCATTTATCATTTAGGGAACAAAAAGCAGGACACAAAATCAACTTGAGCTTGAGATTGAGAACATGGGTGGTCATTTGAACGCATACACATCGGTATGTATCTATTCCGAACTGTACTTTCTTCAGCAATATCTAATGCGGCATCAAATTTCTACAGCGGGAAAACACTGTTTACTACGCCAAAGCCTTCAAGAACGACGTAGCCAAGAGCGTCGAGATCCTCTCCGATATCCTCCAGAACTCTCGTCTTGACGAATCTGCCATCGAAAGAGAACGTGAGGTTATCCTTCGCGAACAGGAGGAAGTTGACAAGCAGCTCGAGGAAGTTGTTTTCGACCATCTCCACGCCACCGCTTTCCAGGGTCAGCCTCTCGGCCGAACCATCCTCGGACCTAAGGAGAACATCCTCGCCATCCAGCGTCAAGATCTCGTCGACTACATCAAGAAGAACTACACTGCTGACAGGATGGTTCTTGTCGGAGCTGGTGGTGTCGACCACGGTGAACTCGTCAAGCTCGCCGAGAAGCACTTCGGAAACCTTCAGTCCTCGCCCGTACCAACTGTCTTTGGATCTGCCCGAACTGAGGTCCCAGACTTCGTCGGTTCTGAAGTCAGAATCAGAGATGATGCTTACCCAACCGCCCACATTGCCATTGCCGTTGAGGGTGTCAGCTGGAAGGATGACAACTACTTCACTGCCTTGGTTGCCCAGGCCATCATCGGAAACTGGGACAGGGCTATGGGTAATGCTCCTTTCTTGGGAAGCAAGTTGGCCAGCTTTGTGCACAAGCACCACCTTGCCAACAGCTTCATGAGCTTCAGCACCAGCTACAGCGATACCGGGTATGTATACCAAATAAATTCTTAAAATATGTCAGCACATACTAATTCGAAATAGTCTCTGGGGTATCTACCTCGTCACCGACCATTTGGCTGAAATCGATGATCTTGTTCACTTCGCTTTGAGAGTATGTACCATTGTTTACTTCAACAAAAAAAAAAAAACCATCATTTTCTAATCAACCTATAGGAATGGACCCGTCTCGCCACCTCAGTTGACGAATCCGAAGTTGAGCGTGCAAAGGCCCAGCTCAAGGCCTCCCTCCTCCTCTCCCTCGATGGTACTACTGCCATCGCCGAGGATATTGGCCGACAGCTAGTTACCACTGGTCGCCGTATGACACCCGGTGAAGTTGAGAGAGTCGTTGGAGCTATTACCCCCAAGGACGTCATGAAGTTCGCCGAGAAGCACATTTGGGACCAGGACATTGCCATCAGCGCGTTCGGCAGTGTTGAGGGTTTGTTCGATTACCAGAGGATCAGAAACGAGTATGTCACCCCCCTTACACATCTACCATGATTATCTACAAAGATACATATGACTAACGATTATCATAGCATGACCCGTATGTTCTCGTAAACGGTTCTGTCGATCTTACCGACCTACCCCTTGGATTGTGATAGTTTTGGCGACAATATATCAAAGTCTAGCAATCAAAAAACCAGAAAACTTCCTTGTAAAGAAAGCAAAAAAAGAGACGACCCTTTTCTCCAAAAAGTGGTTTTCTCATGCTAGAATCTCGGTTTAGACCCTTGTTCATTTTTGCGAGATTCTAGTTCTTGTATACATATCCCTTTTTTTATATCCTTTTATCGTCGCCGTTGAGCTATATACAGTTTTTCTCTTTTCCCACTTTAATAAATACTAGAAATCGTAGATGCCGGGTTAAAATAATGCGTAGATATGCTATCATGGTGTCTATTAAACAAGGTACTTTTATGGGTATCATCTATCATGCAACGTGAAAACATCAAATACTGGATACATCTAACGAATATGTACCATCACTGCTCTGTCCCGGCATATTCGTTCTGCCGTCCTAAGGTCCAATGCAATATCCACGGACGCTTCTCCCAAAACGTATCTTTGATGATATCGACGTGTTCGATTACTACCTCGGCCTTGGCAAGTTTCTTCGCTTCTCGCTTCTGCTGCGATCTCGATTTACCCTTTTGTGCTTCTACCGGTGATACTGCAGATGACACTGCCGGTTTCGGCTCAACCACGGTTTCTTTTGGTTCCGAGTCTGCCTCCTTCTCATCGGGCTTATCGTCTGCTGAAGATTCCGGCACAGCGCCATACTGCTCTATATTAGCATCACCCAATTGCATGATATAACTAATATATAGGAACAGAAAACTCACATTCCTATAAACCACGCTCCCCTTCTTAAACATCTCCTGCTCATTATTATAATTAACCCCAAACCTACTCCACAAAATCTCATTTTTATCCTTCGCCAGCGTCCCCATCAACTCCTTCTCCGCCTCCTGAGGCGTCATCCCCCCCTTCAATATCAACGTCCAAAAAGTCGTATTATAAAGATTATTAATATGACAATCCGCCTGTCTCCAACTCAAATAATCCCTTACATTCACAATAGTAGGATAACACACTGCTCTCCCATCAAAAGTCGGTAACGGTCTTTTTAAAGGCTCCGAGGGGAAATATGTAGACCATAGGGAAATATAGTATGCTGTGAAGATAGAGACTATGGTGGAGACTAATTTTGCTTCTCGACGTTCGAAGAGGTTACATTCTTTTCGTAAGACGAAAGAGAATTCGTCGGAGACGCCGTAGGCGATGGAGATTACTTCGCCGCCTAGGTCGTGGAATACGGCGACTGCGGCGGCGTTCATGAGGGATAGAGCGCGGGAGTCATTGGGTTTTGTGAAGGAGTGGAGGGTGGTGAAGCGGTGGAAGGAACGGCCGTCAATGCGGATTATTATGTAGGTGTTTGGGAGGAGGTAGGTGTTGTTTGAGAGTTCGAAGTGGCGGACGTATTCGAATCTAGAGGGTATGTATGGTTAGTGGGGGTGGGCCTTGGTGGGGGAGGGGTGTGGAGGGGTGTGGAGGCGGTGTTTACTTTGAGTTGGCCATTGTTGCGGATTAGTAGATAATTGAGATTTAAAAATCGAGGATTTAATATCTCCTTGCTTGGAGAGGTAGTCACGGAAGATAATCAGGAATTTGCATGGTTTAAAGGACAGAAAGGCGAACGTGGGTTTGGAGGGAAAGTATGAGTCGACGTCGAAAATTTCCTTTTCAGGTTGACTTCGGATTTGGGAACTACCACACACACAACACGCAGGCCGACCTTGTTATAGTTTATGATATCGTGGGCTTCAACTTGACAGCACCGTATCACGATTACGAAAAGGAAACTACGTTCTAGATTGACTGTCATAAAAAAAAATTGCTGCCACTGGGCAGCTGCATTCTCTCTCGGGGGTTAAAACCCCCACGGGAGGCAAAGTCTAAACACTACCTAGGGGTGGGGAACCCCAACAGACGTCTTCCTCCCCCACTTCCTCCCCGGATAAACCTTCATCCGGGGATTCGGTCCCCCCATCACCTCCGACATCTTTTGGAGCTTGTCTCCAAGCTCCTCCAGACGTTGCTCGACCCCCTGGAGCCGAGTCCTCCAAAAACTCGGCCCCCCCTCCTCACACAACTCCTCCTCGTAGAGTTCCAAAAAATGCTCGACTTGGCCGAGCACAAGTCGAGTCTCCTCGCTCAACTTCCTCATTGCCCGGCTCCCCAGGCTGCGTTCCGGCTGGAGATACTCCGGCGTTGTCTCCCGATTAAGGAGGACCATCCCCCTTTTGGGAGGAAGACCTCCTTTATCGGAGAGACTTCGCCGGCGTTTTCCAGCCGTGGCTCCGCCGGGCGTCGCCTCCTCATCTTCATCCTCGTCCTCGTCCTCCCTTTCTTCTTGCCATCCATAATGGAAGGACATTCGCGTGTCCTCATCGATGGCCCATTTAAAATCCACGTCCTCCATCGTCCCCACCTGGTTCTTCCACTCCTTCTCCCACTCCTCCTCGAACTCATTGCCAAGTTCTTCCTCGAAGAACTTTTTGATCCCGAGTTTAAACCTCGAGATCCTCCCCTTACCGTCGAACCCTGGCAGGTCCGACATCTTCGTGATGCCGCGACCCCGTAGTTCGGCCAACCAATCCGGGTTAGCGAATTTTCGGTGGACCGTCTGGGTCCACACATGTTCGATGAGTGTATCCCCGATACACTCATCGTCATCTTCTGGCTTCTTTCTAAGCCTGATTGTCCTCGGAGGCAGTGCCGCGGATGGGATTTCCGCGGCCACAGTCTCCGGGGACTCTGGCTCGTTCGGTGGGGCGGCTTGTGGCAGCGACGCTTCTGGGCTGGTGGTCCTGGCCTTTTTCGGAGCTCGCTCTCCTGAGGAAGGCTCCTTATGAGCCTTGGCCTGTTGGTGCAAAGCTTCCGTGTTTACAACCGGTGTTTCTAGAAGGGGGTCTGTGAAACGACGCTTCCTGGAGTTTTTTGAATTGGCTTTCTGGGCCACAGGCTCTGACTTTGCTGCTGGGATTTTTTGGACAGTGTGGTGCTGTGTTGGGGGCAGCTCCTCGGGAGACTGCAATACCTTCAAGCTAGCTTGCGAAGGTGACGCACCTGAAAGTCTGGCTGACCTCCTCAGAACAGTAGGTTCAATGGAATTAGACTTCTTGGAGGACTGTGATTTGTTTGTTTTGTTTTGTGCTTGAGAAGCAGACTTCTTGGAAGACTGCGATTTGTTTGTTTTGCTTCCTGCTTGAGAAGCAGCATTCAAAAGCTGGTGTGAAGCTTCAGCGTTGGCCGAGCTACGCTGCTGACCACGAGTTGGAGAGAGCTTGCATCAAATCTCCGTGACTGGCTTATTAGAGCCGCGAGAACTGCTTCTGGTGCTGACCATTTTGAATATTGGTAGCTTGTGGATTTCGAAAGGTGAGAAATGAAGTTAAGACGAGAGAAAGAGTTAAGCAAGAAGCTTTTCCAAGTAAACGCGAGAAGAAATCGCGAAAGGTGATTTTTAAGCGTGAGGTGAGATTTGTTGACGATTAAGGGTCGTAAGTGATGCTGGCTCTTGAATATCTGAATTCAAGACGCGAGGTTAAGATCAGAGCTATGGCAACGAGCCGATATGCTGGGAACCGATGAGTTGAGTTTGTGAAAATAGCTGACGGAAGTCTGGTTACGAGCTGTCACGGTTATAACTAGCACTGATGAGAATCAGAGTTATAACGAGCACTGGCGATGGACAAAGTTATAACTAGCGCTGATGATAATCAGAGTTATAACGAGAAGAGCTGATAGAGAGAATCGATGGAGAGAATTGACGGAGAAAGACGTCAGAGATAGGTGATAGAGAGAGGTGATGGATGGAATTCAAAATGGAATGAGAATTCAAGGTGAAAACGCGAAGCAGTGAGCAGCAACGTGATTTCGAAGAACGACGAGCAGAAGCAAGCTTGAGAGCTGACGATAGAATCAAAAACCGACGATGAGAATCGACGATGAGAGCAGATAGCAAAATTTGATACGAACTGATCGTGAGAATTGATCGTGAGAGCTGTTGGCGAGAGCTTGAAGCTGGACGCGACGTGGTGATGAGAAGGTGAGGTGAAGCTGGAGGTTGTTGAGAAGAGAGAAAGAAATTTATAATGAAGAGAGTTGTGTCTAATTTATACCGGTGATGTCGTGACGGAAGCCTTCCACTCTGCAACGACAACGCCACCCTCAGCTAGCTAGGCTCGAGACTACTCGTGGACCAATTGCTACCACCTGCTTCTAACCTAGCTATGAAGTTCAGTACTGGAAAACTATACGAGTCTAGACGTTACAAATACGACTGGTATATAGCCTGGATGCCTGTATACATGAAAAACCAGGGATCAAGAACTTCCTCTCCGCAGCTTTGTCCCTAGAGAGCACTGCTATAAGTTATATATCAATACTAGTTGTATAAAGTGCTACTCCAGATATTTGAATTTGCCCAGGCTCTCATATGTGCATATTGCGTGGCTTGTCGACTATCCCAAGCTTCTGTGGCCAGTAGCTAATCGAAATCACTTAAATCTCCCCTGCTTTTCGGACCTTTTGTTTGCAAGACTGCGGCCCCGATACCTTAATAATAAACTAGTTAATTAAATATAGGCTAGTAAATGGTAATGCTGTACTCATAGTAGCAGATCCTCTATTATATTAATAGCGGAGTGGGCTTTGAAAAAGGTCGTAAGAAGGGTTCGAAATCTCGATACTGTGATATAGTCCCGGAGATCTCGAGATGTATGTTCGGGAGGCATTACTAGTCTTGATTAATTGACCCCAGCCACTATCTATAAGAATTTAACAATCACTCCGAAGTCGAATTCGAACCTAAGAGTAATATACTCAATGCGCTCCTGAACCTAGACCAAATTTACCCATCGACATCATACACAAAATATTAACTCGGGAATTAGGTTAAAAATGCAACAGATCAGATTCGTGTTATTTGAATAGTCATTCAAGGGTAGCATATATAGTACGGCTTGCTACCACGCCTGCGATACGAGACTGGGCTTCCTATGTAGAACTCTAGATCTACGGATATATAATTTTCAAGTATAGATATACATACTTCGATATGGACATATATATATTACCATTCAAAATCTTTGGGACTACATGCAATGAATCTTGTGCCAATTTCAAAGTTTCTTCCTTCAAACGTCCTGACCTTTACAAAAAGCGAGTAACTTTCTCATAGTACCATTGATTTCTTTCAATATATCTTTAACCTCGTCCATTTCTCGCGTCAACTTCTCGATCCTCTCGTCGTAAGCATCTAGCTTTTTATCCAACGAAGCCCTTTTTTGTCCGCTGTTTTGGGAAGCAGCTAAATGGCTATTTGCCAAATTTCTTAAAGCTTTCGATTCGTTGAGGATCTCCCTTGATTCAACCGAGGGTGTTCCTTGGATAGGTTGATTGCGTGGTAAGGAAGATGCTACACTCCCTCTCGAAGTATTTGTAGAGCTAGCTACCTCCCGGGCAGCCGAAGATTTCCTTAAGGTCATTTCCCCCGTATTTGGATCGTCGGTGGTATTTTTTTTTTGGGAACCGTTGATTTCAGCCGCATCTTGGTTTTCGTGCGGTGTTCCCGTCGCCTGAGTATTGACACCAGTTCTCGCCCTCTTTAACTGTCGGGGTTTCGTCGGTGCACGCCGCTTGTTTGATGGCAAAGGGTCCTCATCATCCGTGAATGAATCAAAACTACGACCCAAGGACCCAATGCTTATCGTATCTCTGTCTATATTTCTGGGGTCGTCAACGTCGCTGGAGCGTGAAAGCTCAATTTCTGGCGATGCTCGGTACCGGGCAGCCACCTTTCGTCTCGGTTTGTCGCTGTGTCGTGTTCCCCGGTCCATTAATTCGGATTCTTCACTGCTTTCTAATCCTTCTAGAAGCCGGCCTAATGCCTCGCTAGGTGCGGAGGTAGGCTTTTGGCTACCGCAGTTCGTAGTTGCGATTTCTGATGTTCTTGGCCGACCCCGATCGACTTTCCTTTGGGTACTCGGTCCCTTTGCCCCATTTACTGTTTTGGTAGCACCGGCACCGTTTCTCGAGCTAGAAGCCGGTGTGCTGGAACAACCACGGATTTCCTTCACTCCTCTCTGATAACTCATGATCGCAACCTCCACATCTTTCCCTTGAATACCAAATACATCATTCCGAACACCTGGTATCCTGTTAAGATATTTCGGTTCGCCCCTTAGTTGTTCCAACATCTCTTCATGAAGAACATCAATCGAATTGTCCATTCCGACGGTCAACAAGCTTCCAACACTCCCTCGACCAATATCCTCGAGGTGACTAACCCATACCCTATTCGTAGCTGTTTTTGCCAAGACTTTCTTTCTATCCGCGGTTAATTCCCAAAGGGATCGTATGCTGATGTTTTGTAGTAGATTGAGGATTTCTTGGTTTATTTTTTTGTCGGTGTGAGGTACTAATGGGATGTCTTTTGTTTTCTGGGTCGGAAGGGTCTGCATGACTGACTTTCGGCCCAGAACAATCGTGCCTGTGGCTGCCATGGATGGGTTTTTATAACTGCCTGCGATCAATTGGTTACTCGAGAGGATCTTTGAAGTAAGGATGTTTGGTGTGTGTGTACTGCTGTCAACATCGATTTTGGACACCTGCAGTTCGAAAAAATGGCTCAAGATGGGTTTGATCCAATTGGAACCCTATCGTTGAAAGATTAGACTGCGGCTGGCCGTCTTTATGTATACCTGCAGGCCTGTGGGAGCTCTGAAGATTAGGTCACACAAGACTAGAACTAATTGGTCCAGTGAGGCTGCACCACGACAATCTTTTTCTTCAATGAAAACGGAAAAACAAACAAACAAAAACAGACTTACCTAGATTATTCATCCTACTGGGGAGGCTCTCTTGTCAATGTGAGCTGAAGATGGCGAATTCAGTGCAGTTGGGTGGATGAAAACTTGGCAGAATATGCCCGATTCATAGATATCAGATCGAAAATTAATCCGCTTAGGTGTGTGTATTACCCAAAACGTCTTCCTCCAGAAGATACTTACATTGCGAACCCCAGGAAGCGACCCCCAGACTATACTTACATATACGCGTGATACATACTAGTACCTACTATGCATCACGTATTCGAACCAACCCAATATATCCGGATTCAGCAGTTGCTCTCACAACACGGAAGACGTGCATATCTGTTGCCTGTTCTCGTACCATATGATGCCCGAATAAATAACACGAATAACAAGGCCTGCAAGGTTGGAGTTACTAGCACAGCCTAATGTTGTATTTCTGTTATGAAGAAAGCTAGGCTAGGATTAGAATGTATATTCCTTTTGATCTGCAGTGTTGTATTTAGTTTATTTCACATTTTCATTTCTATAGCTTGGTTGAAGGCGGAGAAACCAATCTAGGTTGTTGAAATTATTGAACATGATACTGAATTTAACGTTCATTTACTGCGTGCATCGAGAACCAACTTCATTCGTCTCAGGGCATATCCGGATCCGTGCTCTCGCAATAGTCATGATTGTTGCATGCCTACAGGTTGGTTTGGGGGTCGCTGTGCATCATTTGATGTAATTGTTTGTTGGGTATACTAACACCCACACATCCAAAAAACGGTCCCGCGTCATAAGGATCCCCAGGGCGTGGATCTCGTTGGTGCGATTTTGCGAAGAATCACTGTATTGGTCGTTTAGAATTTGGGTTACGAAAGTGGTCTCGATCAAGTAGGCTTTGTCTCGCTTGTTATAAGAGTTTATATATGTCGGGTTAAAAGCTTAAAGCCCGCGGGAACTAATATTAATAGATTTTATTTATTAGCATTAGAGGGAGGTGTGAAAAGAAAATATCCAAGGCTGGAACCCGCGTATGGATTGCACAGAAGATCTTTGCTTTCCGAGTCTATCGGTTTCTTCTTCCTAGACTAGGGAACCTGTAGTTAGGTTTGAGCTCTTCTATATCAACGGCTTGAGATTTGATACATATCTCAGAGAATTACTACCACTAAAAGGCCACATAAACAACACTCCTTCGCGGCCAGCTATCGTATCTTGTATATACAACTTCCTGATCTCGAAAGGCGCTTGTTTGTGATGGTTGAACAGCTAGGAGCCATGGCAGACGCAAAAGAAGACCCTCTTATTCCCATAGAATATCTTCAAAAAGTACAATAGCATTACACTATCGCAGCTTATAACTCCTGGCCTTTGCAAAAAGCAACGAGCATCTTGACAACCGTCGTAAATTCTTTGACTGATTCTCTGATCTCACCAACCTCCTGGATCAACTTATCTAGTTTTTGATCCTTTGCATGTTGATCTTCGACTAGCTTTGCGACCTTCTCTTCTACACCTTTGTAGTGATCGTAGTTGTGTTTTGTTAGGTTTCGTAGCGCCTTGAATTCGGCGAGGATTTCTTGGGATTTGAATCCATGCGAGAAGTAGACCATATCTTGATCTGTAAGAATGGGTGACTTGTTTGTTTTGGTGGAATCCTGCTGATCAGTAGGGCTCTCGGGTTTGGTAGCGTCGTTGCGTTGAAAAGGTTGCTTTGCAAGACCGGCCGTTGAGGTCCCACTGTTTGTATCGCTAGTACATTTAGCTCCCTTCGTACTTCGGGGCTCTTGAGTTGGATCTAGGGCTTGGGAGATTGAAGCAATAGGTGCATTTTTTTCGTTGGATTTCGGCTCGCTCTTATTTTTCCTTCTTCTCTTCTTCGGTCGTTCCGGTATTTCTCCCCTCCTAGTAGTAGCAGCGTCTCTACCTGTTCCTTTGATCCTTTTTATTCCGACCTTCTCAGGACCTTCGTTCATCATCTTTACAGCAGCATTGAGACGCTGACGAAACTCCTGGATATAGGAAATCTCAAGCTTCCTTCGAGTACTTATATTTTTAGGCCGGGGCGGGGATTGGTCTTCATCCCCTTGCTCATCAATGTTGATATCACCACTGACCTCGCTGATACTTCCATCCCCGTCATCACTTGGATCGCTCTCAGTCTCTCGGTACTCCTCCGTACTGCTATTTCCATCATTTTCCTCGTCTGGACTTTCTTCAGATTCATCATCACATTTGGAAGAGACTCGGTCGTCATCGTCTTCATCGGACTCTGTTGGTGAATCTAAATCGGCCGAATAATTCATCTTTCTGACAAGTCCCTTGCGGAGTTTAGACCGTTGGCTATCTGGAGGGCCGACAAGCGGACTTGATTCTTCGACTTCTGGCATGTTAAGCCAGGTATCGCCGGGAGCTAGAGGGGTGTTGGGGTCCCTGAACTTTCTCTTTTCCGATTTCGAAGATTGATCTGGTGTCTTTGGCGCAATTGGCTCAGATGGCGAAGGACTGGCCGGGGTTTTCATGAGCACTTCATCATCCGGCTCGGCCCCATCTTTGACTATAGGTTGAAATGAGAAAGCATGAGGCCCTATTTCTGCTTTATCTACCATTGACAAGATGTGTTTAAGAGATTTCTCAACATCTTCCCATTCGATGCTTTGAATATCACCTTTAGTCGTAGGTGAGAGGTCGAAGTACTTTGGTGGCATTTTCAATGCTGTCCAGATGGTGCTTCTAAGGTGTTTGGTCGATTTAATCGTCCCAATCCGAAACAAATCACCGCCGGATTTGTAGCCTTTGCATTCAAGATGTAAGATCCATCCTGGAGGTCGTTCGATAACGGAGCTAATGCTGCTCGAAGGCTCCCGCCTGGCTTTGGATTCAGCCCAGATATGGCGTATCAGCAGTTGGTTAAGAATCTCTGTCATCCTTTCCTCGCTTACGTGCAATTCGTCACCGATGGTGGTGGGTTCGGGTGGATGGAGGAGAGGGGTGGGGGTAGTAGCCACATGATCTGATGCCATTTTGGTGTTTAGATGACTAGAGGTTGGAGATGTATTGAAGTTGCTTAGAGCAGACTTTGTGAGCTTGAGCTTGACAATCCTTTGTTGTTTGCGACGTACTAGTTGTTGGCTTTCATGAAGTCGTGGCAGGACACCACAGCACAGTTTGGCTACGAAATTGGCGACATTAGCCGGCACCATTTCTCTGGAACAAAATTCTGATTTAATTGTCCTCTCGATCTCAGTTGGGTCTATACTACAGCCAATCAACCTTTTGAAGAAATTTTGCTCGAAGTCTAGTTCGACTGGGTTAAAAGAATGTGATCTAAAACAATCACGGTGACGAGATAAAGAAAAAGAGAGATCTAGACGGCAGGGGCTCGTGACAATGAACAAAGATAACAATGGTTCAGGAAGTTTTAAAGAAGGGAGATGATGAGATGAGGGAAGTTTGAGCTCAGGCAACTTGAAATATACCTCCTACTAGGAGGCAAGAGTACTTTTCTAGCTCCCGTGCAACTTTACAGTATACGTGCATAGAGTGTGTACATTGGTATCAGTAGCTGGACTCACAACACAGGCCAAACCAAACCTCTAGACTAGAACTGTATCTAGCCGGCGTACCTCCTTCAATACCACCTAGAACTCCAAAATAGTGCCTGGATTGATAAGGTCGGCGGCACGGATACCAGTGTTGGAAGTTCTTTGTCGGAATGTTGTGTCTTTGTTCGCAATATGTTAGCTCCCTTGCCCGCATGTTGCATATGTGACTGGCTGGGCGCCTCATCCGCTCTCAGGTTGTTACCCGACATATACACAGGCTAGTGAATGTACATATTTTAGACACCTACTTAAGTACGTATATATCGACAGTAAGGATAATATCCTTCTTATAAAAGCATACTACAGCTGCAGAAAGCTGGCATAGGTCTGTATTCCTTCGCGCCTTTTTTTTCTCGCGTAAAAATAAGGGAGAACTACCTAGGTAATCGGTAATTCCATGCATGCGCATGCCTTGAAATTTAAAATCCGCCCCTTCTTTCATTTATTCGATACCATAGGTTTCCGTAACCCCAATGGCCTCCCGTATTAGTTTTTTCTGAATATTCTCCAAAACGTAGTCAACATACGAAAGGAACCTCGGTTTCTAAAATCGATGGCCTGTATTAGTAAATCCTCAGGTTGTGTCAGGATCCTAGGATTGGTGGTATGAATTTACAAACCTCGTCAACATCCCCCACCCTCTCATAAGTCTCCAAATACCTATTCCTCACCTCCTCTTCTGTATCCCCTTCCCCAACTGATAGCCCTGCACGGAAAAGTGGGGGCGTCAAAACCGGAAAACTATATCCCCACTCCTTAAGCCTCCAATCGTCCCACAGAATAACAGATTTATCAACAATCTGATCATTCCTCTCCGCAACATTCCACCAGTCGAAATCTTCTTCTGCTAGATTATATCCACCTTTACAAATCCTTAATATCGGACAATACGTCCTAACAGAATCATCCTCCAGGTATTTTCCAAAATACGTCCAAAGTGGTTTGTATCCTGTCCGAGGGAGCGCTTCAAGTACAAGAAGAGTTACTACTTGTTCATTATATGTACTTTCGAATAGGAATTTCCAGAAGCCCTGCGGGCCGAGTCCACATATTAGCGACCACATCGACGTTTCGTCATCTTCTGGCGTAACTAAGCATATAAAACCCACAGGTTAGCAAAAAATAATAATCGCAGTTAACAATAACCGGGGGGCGGGGGTTAACTAAATGACCAAATAAATTCAGGAGCAGTAACTCACAGGGCGGTGCACTATGCTCAACTTCATCTGCTAGATCAAGCTCGATTTTCCTTATAATCAGCTTCGAACAATCCCGAAGCCAACCAATCAATGTATTCCGAATGAAAACAAAATCCCTAAACCACATAACTTGGAGAATACATGGCGCAAGTACCGTCGTCGCCTCCGCACCGTCCCATAAGCCTAAAACATTACCCTCATGATTCCTAACGCAGTCTCTCAACCCTACAACCGGTGAGCTGTACAAGATGCAATATATCCAAAATTGATAAAATGCGGCACAAATTCTCGTTAACTCAGTCCGACTGGGTGGTGGGTTTGTGTTTACCTCCTTTTTCGTAAAAGGGTTATATTTCAGCCTATCCTTACAGAGCTTCTCGCACCAGGAGAAGATGTATTTATGGGTTTCTGCCATGTCTTTTCCGGATGGACTCGGGATCGCTGTTATTCGTTCCCACTCAGATGACGCGGGGAATACGTCTTGAATAAAATTGGCGGAACCTTGAGGTGGATTCGACCAATTCATATATGCCACCCAAAAGGTATACATATCCTCTCCCTGTATATTTTCCCTCGAAACCTTCAAAGGTAGAAAATTAACGACGGCATGTGTGAGAAATTTACAGTAGACTTCGCAGTCTGCATCGGTGTTTCTCCAAAAGGCGTGGTTGACTGATTCCCTGCGTTCTCGATAAGCGGTATGGAGAAGAGGGCAGCTGATAACGGCCGATTCTAGTGATTTTTTGTCGTCGATTTGGGAAAGGACTTCACCAAGGATTTCAACGGGAAGAGAAGAGAGCGGCATTTCCCCGAGATTCTGTGCCGTCTGTGTAGCTAGCACATATGGGTTTCAATGCAATGCAGTTGTGAAATTAATTGAGGGTGTATTGTTGGAATAGTGGAGAACCAACACGGTAGCAGTTGTTGTAATTTAAATACGAAACTAAGAGAGGAAAATGATCGGACTTAGTCTCGTTCGTCAGTCTCGACACGGCAGATGTTAGATATAAAGTACTGAATGATATGATATTACGTACTAGACTAGCCGGATAACTGATGTCGATGTGCCGGCCAGGATTCCAAAAACATATTGAGTCATGCGCTATGGGCCCATGGCCGTGGGAGCGACCTTGAGCCGAATTGGATGCATGAAATTTCCCACCTTGGCCTTGCTTACCATATTTCCGAGCTACATGTATAACGCAACGCAAAACTCCTTTGGTGCAAGCACACCGTCTAGATCTAGATATGAGACTAATGTATAGCCATGCCAAAAGCCTACCACATGTACCTGCAGTCAAGCTCGAATATTGCCGCTGGGCACACTATTTCAGGATTCGACGCTGGACGGCTTAGCTAGCTTGGCTGAGACTGACACCACCTGCGGGAGACTGCTTAACGTTGGATTTTACAACACTTTAACAATCCAGCCCTATATTACGGGCTTAATAGCTTCGAGTCCGGTAAACATTATAGGCTTAATCTTAGTACAGGAACTCTTTCAAGCAGCTTCACTAGGCAGCATCCACCAATCAGAGTGACTCTATTTTTTCCTTAGGCGACTTGAAATTATAATTTCCAAGTATTTTAAAAGGTATTTTAATCTTTCGACAATTTTGAGGTTTGTATCGATTAATCTACAGCTTTTAGTATTTTAAAATCAAAGTTCGATTGAGTACCTATATACTTTTAACTGCTAGCGACTCGGCTAACATCCCTCGATCCAGATTCGCCAGAATATCGTAGATAAAGTATGTACAGAAAAATCGATATTCATATACCATAGCAACGTAAAAGAAAGCAAACGGGGTATCCGGGTATCTAATGCATCAAATTCGTAACGATGCTCGTAAATAAGGGAATCGAAAAAAAGGAAACCAAAGTAGAGGAAACCAATATCCCGGCCGACCAGAACGAATCAGTTGTATACTAATGATCTCAGCCTTGACAAAGGGGTACTCTGGTTCCACCTCACCGGAGTATAAGCGGCTCCGTAATATGAAATCATATCGCCGAGCTGAAATATCGCATAACTCAATATCATCCAACCATTTCAATAGAATGGCTGAATTAATGCATCGAGGTGCGAGTGACAGTTCTGTTTGTGGAACCATGTTGAAGACGGTATTGATCCCACATTTGATATAGTCTGACCCTCTGTCCATCTGTAAACTCATTCATGCACGCGCTATTAAGATGAAAATATTTGAATTAGCTCTCTCCACTCCATTTCAAATATAGGAATGGATATAACATACTCGTAAGAATAATCCATATAGTTATGGATAGGATCCAATCCAGGATACAGATCTCCCTTACATGTATCCTTTCCGATAGGACATCCATTAGTCGGTGACCCTTCTGCTGGTGTGTCATCGACTAGATCTCCACCACTGCATCCACCTTGGAAGGTATGGAAAAGCCCAAACCAATGGCCGACCTCGTGGGTTGCTGTTTTGCCTTCATCGTAGTAAGTTGTAGAGCCGCCGGGGACTGATGAGAAGAGGACGTCGCAGCCGTCGAGGAAGAATTTATCGGAGCCCTTGACGATATCTTCGGGGAACGTGCAGTAGCCTAGTTGTTTTATTATTAGCTATCTAGGTTTGGGGATCGTAATTGTATTATACTAGAAGCAACATACCCAAAAGTCCGCTCCTCAATGGGCGAATATAAATATTCAAGTCGGCATACCCTCCTTTTCTCAAGGTCTTCTTCATGTTTATTTCAGCGGTCGAGCCTCTACTAGCCATTGCCCATGCTCTATCTTCGGTATGGGTCACAGTCTTAAGATCGAATGAAACACCAGTAGATAGGAAGTTATCATTCAAAACTTTGAACTAAATCCATATAATAGTTCAATTAGTCATTACTCTCACTGATAGTTTAACATTGACGACAAATGTATAACAAGTTGTTTAATATATACCTGGTTTTGAACATCTTCATGGGTGATGTATCCCTGATCCCTAGTCGCATTTATGAAAACGTTATGAATGTGCAACGGAACCACTTGTTTTCTTGGAACTGGATCTTCTTCGACTGGTTTGGAGTTTGGGCCGGGCTTGAATTTGCTCATTGCTCTGAAAAGAATAGCCTTTTCAATGAGCTCGGTGGGTGGATGATTGCTGCCGCATGTTCTGATGGATAGACCTTCGGTGGCCAGAAGGAGCGTGGTGGCGAGAGACAAATGAAACTTCATTCTGAAGATATACGAATTGTATACTATTGCAATTGAACCAGATAATTGTCTAGTCGGATATCTTATTGATAACGGCAGAGTATACTATATCTCGAGACTTTGAGCTCTAAAGCTTCACAGAAGAGGGGAAAATCTCCTCTTTTATGTCCATAACCCCACATTCAATACTAGGATGCCCCACTCGACTCCATATGCATAAGCCTATCAATGGATTCCCAATCAATACATTAGTTATGCTGCAAGCTTCACAATTCCCGCCAGCCATCCGTCTATAAACCCGGTCCGAACACGCGAGACGGTTCAGCATGTGCCATGTGCCTACCATCTATGCGTCTGCCTAAAAAGATAGCAAACGGCAAAACCACCATCGATATCGCCATCCCGCTTTTTTCTCTTGGTGTTTTCACTAGTACCGTTCTGTAAATGTGGTTGCCGAGTACGAGATAGACTGATTGTAACCCTATGGCTGTAGATTCTTGTTCAAAAACTCCTAGGCCTGCGAAGTATGTATGCGAATACGACTTAGCTATCTCCTCATTGCCCACGGACAAGTTTCATATATTCATAAACAACCTCCCCAAATCGAGATATCAATTGTGATTGCGTGACCGTTTCGAACAGGGAATATCCCTAAGCGCCACGAGAAAAGACTTGCGAAAGCTAGATAATCGAAGTGAAAGATCCCGAAAGTTCGGTCTTGGCTATTGAGCAATATAATAATCTCTTACTCCATATCTACAGCCACTTAATACCAACAAGGAAAACGAAATCATAAACTCCCTAGGTACTTAATATTCCCGAACATCGGATTGAATAGATCTGGACGATTTTCAATCTAAGAGATAGTGGTAATACCACGCTCTAGGCGACAATGCACCCATTCCCTGATCCACAGGGATCCCATGGAAGACCGTTTATAGCTTAAGTAGTCCCCTACATATGTACCCAATCGCATGGGTATATTCATTACTATCGAAAGAATCGCGTAGATATAAAGCTCCTCCCCTGTCGGCCAAGTTGGCGCCAAACTCGGCAAGATCGCGTTCGGGAAGGAGAGGCGTAGAACCACCATCTAGTCCCGTGGCCGACATTTTTAACCAGCTACTTTATCGAGAAGCTACCAAACGGAAAAAAAATGGATCAATTGATATTTTGAGTACTTCTTCTAACCTTCTTAATATACTTGTCTAGACCCTGTAGATCCTTTTACCGCTAGTAGGATACGAAAGGGTTGGACGAACCATATCATAGTAATTCCTAATCACAGGAAGAGATTGCATCGATTGCTCAATTGATCTAGGCATTGTATACAACGGTAGCAACGGAAAAGCGAGGCAACATAACCTCGCAGCCGCAAATCGTGGATTAATCATGGCTGTGAATGATCCGCTGACCTAGCTAGCGAGCGCACTATCTTGATAGGTTACAGATTAGCTTTGAATACGAATTGCCACGCTGTTGGTGGTGCAGTTTATCCTTGATGGGTTGGTCGTAGTTGGAAACTAGAGGTGTTGGTGTGGGCGTGGTCCTATACTAGTGGTGAAGACGGTATGCTGCGACATCGGTGGGGCATATGAAATCAGATGTCAAAGATAACGTGCTAAGGAGATTATGGACATGCCCTAACGTTAGTACATTGAAGCCCCGGGTGTTTTACGGCCCAAGTGATGATTGGACGAATATTATGCGTATTGAGGCTGGAGTTCATGGGATGTATTGTTGATTCTCGCTAAATCCAATTATCTTCAAATGTAACGCTATGGTTATATAAGATCACTTTCGCATGACGGGTATCATCTATGCTGTTTCAAAGGTAATAATATACAGATGTGTCTAATGCGCCTACGGCGGGAGACGAAAATTAGTCTCAAGTTGAGCTAACCCTCTTTTTCTTCTTCGAGCCGTCCTTGGCTTTCCTATCCGATTTCTTTTCTTTTTTCTTTGCATCGACTCCCGTCTCTTTAAGGGCCTTTGTGGCTTTCTTTTTATCTTTCTGTTTCCCTTTCTCTTCTATTACAACTTCCTCCTCAACGGAGGCCTCGTCTTGCGACATATCAACCCCGGAGTCTGACTGTACGTGTTTCTCCTCCTCCTCCTCCTCCTCCTCTTCTTCTCCCTCTTCGTCATCTGAAGAGGCAGAGGATGATTTTGCCTTCTTAGCCTCCTTCTTAGCCTCCGAGTTGGCCCTCTTTTCGGCCTTTAGCTTTCGTTTCTCCTCTTTTGCAGCTCTCCTCTCAGTTCTTAACCTTCGTCGCTCGGTCTTTGCAGCTCGGCGCTCTGCCCGTAGTTGTTTCCTCTCTGATTTCAATGCCTTTCGCTCGGACTTTGAGAGTGACGATGTATCTTTATTGGTATCATTATCGCTGTCCCGCTTCCTCTTCTTATTTGATCTGGAGCCCTCTGGGGTCGTAGTCTCGGTCTGGACAACTGTTATTGTTGTAGTAGTCGTAGTCGTAGAAATCGATGTCATTGTACCCTCCAGTCCTTCTCCACGTACGAAATACCGATATAAAGGTACCTTGCTATGCTCCACCTTCTTTCCTCCTCCCTTCTTTGCCCCTTCGCCCAGAGCTGTTCCACCAAATCCTCGTCCACCACCCAATTCCGAGAAAAGGTTCATGTTATCGACGACATCCTTCTTTTCCTGTGGTATGGCACTAGTATCCTTGTTCACATCGAGTTTTTTCAAACTGATGTCAAACGCCTTTTCCCACCAGAGGTCGGCATGGTTGAGGTTCGATTGCTTCCGACCGACACCGAGGGTATTATTCTTGGTAGAGATGAGGATACGTTTTGTGAGACGTTGCGAAGAAGGGCAGGTGCTCGTGGAGGGGGCGTGGGAGAGAGGGTTGCCGAGGGAAGTGCCGGGGGTCCAGCCGAAGGACTGAAGGTAAGATTGGGCGTTCATTCCGAATATATGAGGGATAAGAGAATTAGACGGTCGGAAGGGTCAAATTTTTATATCATGGTCGAGACTGGTCCGAGGAAGCGACCGTGACAAAGCGATTGGGGTGCTCGTGAAGAGAAAGTCGAAGAAGAGAAAAAGTGTGTCTGAAGTTGATTGCTTGTGCGACACTAAAAATTGACTAATGTCGAGTTCCCTTTCAGCTTTTTTTTTTTTTTTTTTTTTTTCCCTCCGTTTCCTATTTGGGACAGATCGACTTCGTTGCTTTTTTGAGAGACAACACGCGCCAGCACACTCGGAACTAAGAAAGCTGGAACGGGAAAAGTCACGCCTTTGGTCAGGGGCTCTTACATACTTAGACTTAGATACGGGTAGATACCTCATTTCATGTTTTGAAATCCCACAGATGCATTAACGGTCTTCGTAATATGATGTGATATATAATTAATAATTATATTATCTCTTTTCCTGTGGGGGATATTGGATTCGAGATGGAAAAAAACGGTCGGGCTGAGACCCCCCCAAAAGTTGGAAGTATGGACAGGCCTGTAGATAGTTTGGTGTGTACATACATATTTAAGTAAGTACTTACCTACAAGTGTGCATATGCATACATACGACACATACATAACAAGCATACCATCTATACATTTGCATTCTATGGCGGCGCCAAGTCATTTATGCCGCTGGCCGGGTACATTACTTCAGAGGATCCCAGGACCACAGGTGCGTCTGTGGCCTGTTTAAACTCTCGTTAGCCCTTGCTTCTTTCCGCAAATGCAAATGCGGTACGAAAAGAACATCAGTCGACTAATTAATTACCTAGCTGACCTGACACGGGCCTCAAATGAAGAGAGAAATTTTACTCGATCGATCGTTGCGCTGCTGTACCGTCGTATTGCAATCGTAAAGTAGTATTTATTTAGCGGTGGGATGCCCCTTCCCTTGTTTAAAACCTAAATCCCTTCCTTCCGATCCGTTCTCTGCTTTTTTAATTTTATTCCAACATGCCTACTTCGGTATTTAAAATCCTATATGTACTCGACCCGATTCGACTGGACGCCGACGATTAATACTATATTATACATAGTATACTACTGACTTTGCTGACCTACACACACTCTCTCTTATATTATCGTATAGACTGGCTTACTGACCCGCACGGTAATGAGCCACAGGCTAGGTAAGTAAGTACATCTGACCGTCTTCCATGCATTAATATTGCATAAACCGGTCTTTGCGCTTGCTCGCTTGAAGCATCCCAACACAGGAAACCCAGTCAGCCCAGAACAATTAGAAACTCTCGAAAAGTCCGACGCTAAACTCAGGTTGAGAAGTGAACGAACTCGAGGGACTCTATTACGACACCACCACTTAAGCTTAGCTGCTTAATCAACTTACTTACTTATCTAACTGTGTCCTGTCCTGTCCTGTCCCTCTCTAGCTAATATTAATACTGTACTAACCCTGAAACACCGCTAACCTTTTCCCTCTTCCCTTTTTCCGTTCTTTTTCTTCTTTTTTCCAACTTCTCTTTTTGCCTTCTTCTTCTTCCCACCCTTTCGATCTTTCCCCTCTAGTTACTACCTATCCTCTAGTCATCCCTCTCCGTTAACGTTCTTTCTCTCCCTTCCCTGTCCAGCCGTCTAACCTGTTTACCCGCCTTGCACGGAGTATTCTCGTACTGTGTTGGTTGGCATTTCCCCCCCAAAGAGAAAAAAAAAAAAAACTTAAAACTTGTTCTGCCCGCTATTCTGCTTTACTTACCTAAGTACGGAGTATACCTGCTTACTTACATACCTACTTTTTATTTACCCAACTTTAGTCGCTTTTGTTAGCTTTTGCTTTTACTTTTACTTTTACTTTTATCCTGTGCTACTAATTTTACTTATTTACTTTTATCTCGCCCGCCTTGCATTTTAATCTTGCCCTCTTTTCCTCCTCCTCTTTTTCATACCTATTTACTTTCCCTCTGGCTGGATCGAATGCTTGTCTTTTTTAAATTTTTTATTTCTCTTCCAGCAGAACCGACGGACATGCTTAACTAAGTAAAATTGCCTTTGCCACGTTTTTCTCATCTTGTATACCCACGTCCTTCCTGCTTGTAGCCCGATTTTCTATACCTATTTACCCTTTTCCTGACCCGTGATCCCCACATGACCATGCCCACGCCCTCGGAAGCCCGAGTCTTTCTCGGCCCCGGCGGGCGCGATAGCCAACCCCACGACCAAACAGATACCATATCTTTCTATTTCCCATTCGCAGTATCTGATGCGATATCTATTTTTACCAATATTGTTGTTCCGGGCCCAGATCCCTTTTCCGTGAGCGAAGAGAGCCGGCGGGAAGTCTTCTGGCCACTTATCAAGAGAATTACGAATTATCCCAAAGCGGTAGAACCGGTTTTGGCTAATGGGAGTATGGAAATTGGAGATCAGGTGGAGGCTTTGATGGAAAGTCTTGACAATGCTGTAAGTTCATCTTTTTCATATCTATATTGTCATTCTTAGTTATCTTCATATCATATCATGATCTTATCTCTCCTTTCCTTGCATCTGCAAATGAACCTTATCTTCCATGCATAAGCCAACTTTATGCAATTGCAGTTGCATTCGCATCCATTTCAAACCCATCTTTTTGTGCAAAATAACAAGAAAAGAAAAGAAGGAAAGGAAGAAGTAAATTCCAACAATTGTCCATTCCACGTGATCATACCTTTTTTAATATTGTATTGCATCCAATTCCAAGCCTATTAATCGGCCCTTGCATGCATCGGATACTTCCTTAATTAATACTGTCATGATACTGATACTTTGTAATCCTTCCGCCGATAACTACAGTTTAACAGCGGTGTGAAAAACGTCTACATCAACTGCGCTGGCACTCTCGTCGGTGTCTCCCCCAGTCTTATGCATCAATTTCTGGAACTTTCAGAGAAAGTGTTCCATTTGTGGAAGAACCGAAACGACGCCGCACGACCTGACGAACCCAGTGGCCAAGGGGACATAAATATGCCCCCTGCCCCCTCCTTAGCAACAGCAGCTCATACTCGGCCTGAAAAAGCTTCTTCCTCCACTCCTGCTCCTTTGCTCTCTCATCTACCCCCCAGGGCCCGTTCATCACTTTTAGAACAAAAGCCTCACTTCCATTCATCGTCAACCGCGGAGCTAGACAGCCGCCCCATTCATTCAGCTGCTGCTCCTTTAGGTATGGCTTCTTCTTCTAACAATCCCAATGGGGGTCAGGAGACTCATGAGTTCATCTCTCCATTCGTTGGAGCTGGAGCTGGAACTGGAGCTGGAGGGGATCCGGAGACACCAGCTGCCCGTCAAGCTCGTATCGACGAGCATACACTTCAGCAACAGTTATTAGCGTCTCACGCTCAGACACTTGCTGCACAGTCCCAGCAATCTCAGCAACAGCTCGGACAGGCTGATCCTGCATACCAGTCAGCTACCTCTCAATGGCTTTCTAGTGGTGCCGGGAAGGTCCCTATTTCTGAAATCTGGCGAGCGACCATTTACAGGTTGTACAACGAGCAGAATGAATCACTGACCAAGTATCGACGTCCGAACTGGTTGTTTCATCTCGAGTCCCACCAGGTTCGAACCATCGAGGACCTTGGTGGCTGGCGAGAAGACGACGAGTCTACTCGCCAATTAGCGAACAACCTCATCACAAAGCTTCAGGAGACTGGCTACGGTACCAAGGGCCTCCAGAGTCGATTGAAGGCCATCACTACTGCTGATGTCAGAGATGCCATTCTCAATGTCGAAAGAGGCGGGCTTGAAAAGTACAAGCCCGGCCCTACCCTTGGCAAGAGAGTCACTCCCATCAAGTGGTCGCATGTCAATCCGTCTGACATCCCAGGCCAGAATATTATAATGATGGAAACCGATTCCCCGACGAACACCCCTGGCCCCCAGCAGCCAGTTGGGAATACCCCAGAACTCTCTGGCACAACTAACGAAACTGAAAACACCCTGAAGCGCAGTACAGACAGCTCTGCCCATCCAATTCGCATCAAGAGAAAGCGTACCTCTTCACCCAATCGTGAGAGCCTCACACTCGTCATGCCACCTGATATCGCAGATGAGAAGGAAGGAAACCAAAGTGCTCGCAAGGGAGCACCCACTGCACCTACTCCTGCTCCAGTCGCTCCCATGATGAGACCTGATGCTACGCCACAGACCGGATTTACACCGATTAATATCAATAGATCTATTGTTCCGGCGGTCAGCTCGGTTTCGACTCCAGCACCTATTGCACCGGCTCCAATAGCCCCTGCTCCACTCGCTCCGGTGACTGCAGTTATGGCGACGCCAACTCCAGTTCCAGTTCATCATCACATGAACACTACCGCCACTCCACCTAACCTCGCTACCCCTTCTTCAGCGACCAGGATGATGGACATCAGGGCATTTGCTGAGACCCCTCAAAGGCCCGCAACACCCTCCTCGACGATTGACTTGGAATCCGAGCAGGATGATGATGACTATGACGCTAGTATGATGGATGAACTTGTCTATAAACGTTTGCAGTACCTCAAGAGCGGCTTGGAATCACTTCGACAAGAATTCGCTGAATCCAAGCAGTCCCAAGCCGACAACGCTTCGATCATTGAGAAGGCTGCTAAGGAAGTCTTCGATGGTTTTACAAGAGACTTTCATGAGGACTACCGCAGGGTTAGGAACTTGTCTAAAGAAAACAAGGAGCGTTTCGACAAGTTCGAGGCTAAATTAGGGTCCATTGGAAATGTCGGTAACACCAAGGAAGACTGGGGAAAACTTGAGGCAAAACTTACCGAAGATGTCAAAAACTTGGTGGTCAACAAAATAACAGAACACGATAACCAGCTGGGTAAGCGCATTGATGCCCAACGACTCGAATTTATCAGTGAGCAAGAAAAGCGTTCCAATGAAGAAGCCGAGTTTGAACAACGCTTCGCTAAGTTGGAAGATAAGCTCTCCACGCTCGACAGCGACGTGAATACTCGTTTTCAAATGCTTGAGAACCCGGTTCCCGCTCCAGTCATCACCTCATCTACCCGTCGTGCAACTCGTAACTCCGTTTCAGCGCCCGCACCGCCTGTTGCTGCTCTCACGACAGAGACCAGGCTTCGCCTCGATAAGATCGAAGCGCGCCTTGAGAAGCTAGAAACACAACAACGCAAGGCCAGCAACAACAATGCTGCCAGCAACCCTGCTGACTTGGAAAGAATAGCAGCTCTTGAAGACAAGCACAAGGCTCTGGAAGGTAATCTAAACCAGGTCATGGAGGCTGTGAGCGGCTTACTCATCCAGGTCATGAAGGAGAAGCGTGGCAGTGTTAGCGTCTTTGATGACAAAAAAAACTGAAAACCCATATAGGTATATTATATATTCCATTCTCCCATATATCGTGCCAAGGAGGGAGCACGGAAATCATCATCACAGAACCCGCAAACCCAAACTTATCAGACGGAAATATGGAGGCCTCCCTTTATCTTCTCTATTATCGTTTGTAAATCCTATTGTTTCGCAACCGTTTTCATTTCTTTCGGTGGAATTTTAATTCTGGAGTTTCTGGTGTTTTATCTTCGGACCTTCGAACTTTGCTCTCTTTGTTTCTGACTACAACATGCAACATACATGTATTGCTTTCCCTTTAGCCTGCCTGTTCGTATTTAAAATTGTTTTATTCTTCTTTCCTTTTGCTTTCCTTGGTCTATTTTGACAAAGGATCTCTTTCCTTCTACCGTAAACCTTTTATTTGTCCTCGCCCTTCAAAACATCGCAGTTCTCTTCCGCTCCTGTCCATCCTTCTTCGTCCTCTAAAACTCATTTTCGTTCTCCTGTGTTGTGCGAGAAGGACTGTTAATATATATATATTAGGACTTCTTAATCAACTTCTCTTTCCTTTTCAAATGTTTATCATGCTTGTAATTCGAACAAGGAGACATGAGCGAATAGTATTAAAGCTAGTTTCCCCCCTTTTTTTTTTCCATTCACCTTCATCTAACTCTTTTTTTTGTTCCTCTTTTTTCCATTTTTTAATACAGAATTATTATATCAGCCAAGTCACCCCCCGTAATTAAGAAAAGTCAGATCGAGCTAGGTAGAAACTCCGTCAAGAACCGGGTCGAGGTGGTTTCCACCCCCCCTGTTGGACTTTTGGTCTACATCATCCCGCAACGATGTAAATACGATGTGGGGTACATGCAATATGGATATTAAGTTTTTTTTCCCCATATATATAGCTAGCTGATACCATTGTCGATACGGGTAAGGCTAGCCGGAGTTATATAAGTATCTATACTTTTAGACTAGCTATAAGCTAAGGAAGTACATTTCATCGTAAGTACCTACCTACGCTAAGCCTTATAAGCTAGGTTACGCTATGGGTGGGTGGGTGGGTGGGTGTATAAACCCCACTATAGTATACTGTACGTCAGAGGTCTGGATCGGAACTGACTAATTTGTGAGAAATGTACTTATGTAGCGATAGGATTTTGAGATTACGATGTATAAGTTACTAGTTTGTATATTACTTAGCTATAGCTAGCTAGCGTAAGGATCATTTCGTAAGAACCGGGTATTTTCCCCCACCACATGCACACCTTGAACTTTTTTTGGTGATCCGATCCGATGGGTATCCTAAAAAGGCGGTGTATTGTATCGTGACTTTGGAGTATTTGTAGAACTAGCTAAGGTTAATTGTATTATTCAGAGACATGATGGAACAATCGAAACAGCCTTTATTTGCGGGTTGATACATATATTACTATTGAATTTCTCGGTGCATGTCCATTTCTATAAAATAAGCCCGTAACCCATAGTACTAATTTATTCTATGCTCTCCCGGGAGATATTAAGGCTCACTAATTAATAAAAGCGGTAGCCTGAGAATTGCAAGCTCTTAAGTGAAAACGTAGTGCTAACCGCTCTATTCACCAAATTAATTGTCGACTTACCGCCAACTATAACTTGTTTAGGCATATGTCCCTATATTATCTATCACCCGCTTTATCTACCTAAATAAATTAATTATATACTTAACCCGGCCTAGTAATATCAGCAACTACAAAGAACACCCCAGGCCGCTTTCCATCAGATTCTAAATATACCCTCTTTTCCCTTTTTATACTTTTTTTTTTTTGCCCATGATCTCACGAAATCCGTAGCCTAGCTAGATAACACCCCAACTTAACCTACTGCCTATTCCAATGTACAAATGCCTTACAACAGATACTTCAGATACAGTCGTACAACCCCCTCCCGTCCCGACTAGTCCCCTAGCTAGCTACCTAGTACTAGACGCCCCATGCCCGTGCCATATATATATGTGTATTCTCCAAGGCAGAGGGTGAGCGTCCCCCAGACTAGATATGTATTAATATTCTATTCTATTCTAGTACATTTCGGCCCAGGTTATAAGTTACACAAATACACACTACAAAGGCATAGTACTGATGCGAACCAATTAAAATTAATTTACCGTTACTCCCAAATCACTCAGCTAGGTACATACCTCCTACTAGGTCAGTACTTAAGTTACTAGGTGTACGTATATACCGGCTTGCTATGTTCCCCCCGACTAGTTGATAGTTGACTAATAAACCTCACTACTACCTAGGCATATGCATATATAACAACGTTCAACAAAATTAATCTAACTAGTTCTATCGTACACAGTTTAAACCCCCCTTTCATCACGATCCATATCCTTTTTTTGATAATAATATATTTCTAACTACCTATAGCTAAGGGCCAAGTAAATTGCAGTGTATACGCATGCCTACGTACGCACCTGGTATATCATATCATATGAATTGATGTTAATTAACACTCTCCTCGCTAACACAAGCCGGAGTATAAAGTATTACAGGAGCTGAATCGAAAGTAACCACCCCTGCAGAACGGGGGGAAGAAAAAGTTTATTTGTGATACATAAAATCTTTATCTCATTCCCAAACCCTGTGAGGGAGAGAGAGGGGGTACATTCTGCAACTGCATATTGCCATGATAATATATCAATACCACCCTCGAATCGATCAACCCAATCGATCATGATCAACCACAATTAAATCGAGTAAACATAAGCATATATACCTAACTCCACAACCAGTATCTAGTACCTGTATACCAGTGAATACCATATACCCACCGCCTTCACATACCTTCACATACACACATACAAACCCTCACATCACCTCACGATCCAAATATTAGTACCACCCCTGGCCTACCATCCTAACTTAAAAAACCAAACTACCAGAGTATATTATTAAACCTTTTTTTTTTTTTTTCGAATTGCATTTTATGCTTATTGCATATAATCCACAGCATATATTATTACGCCATGAGAGAACGAACGAAGTATTTAAATTACATTTTTTTTCTTTTATTAAAAAAAAAAAGGAGAGAAAACGAAATAAAAAAGAATAGATGAGGATGATGGAGGAGGGAGAAGGGAGGAGGGGAGGAACTTTAAGCTTAAGGATCATACACACCGATAACGCCGTTTCCTGGTCGTCGCCGATAGTTAATTGTAAAAAAAAAAGACGAAGCATAAAACCTTAGAATGAAGCTAGGCAAAAAGCGAATGATAAAAACAACTAATAATAATAAAAAAAAGGAAAAAAAGTGATAATGAGCAGGAGTGAGGAAGGAGCGCCATGAATTAAACTGGAGTATATGAATACATCGTTTAATCCGGTATGCAGTTATAAGAAGAGAAAAGGGGAGAAGGGGGAATAAAAAAAAACTATAGAATAAATGCAGGGGAAGAAAAATGATCAACGCGGTCGCCGTGTAGAAAAGACACCTCTTTTCAGTATCAGATCTAACTGACCGGGGAGTCCAAGTTCATCCTCATCGCTTTCACTTCCATATCCGTTTAAAAAATTCGGATCAGGAATGGTAGCATCCGAATCAAAATCCGAATCAAAATGTATCTCCTCAATCGTCTCATCCGGATCGACTACGGCTCCAGAGTCGCTAGCCGCATCATCAAGATGATCCATCCGTTCGCGTCTTTTCGTAAACCAGTTATCGACCCAACCTGCCATTTCAAATTCTACCTTGATTCGATGAGATTCCGACAGCTAGTCGTCTTCCATGCTCTCACCGGTAGCTTCCTTCGCCTCCAGTCCTCTCATGATATCCTCGTCGAATATCGTTTTGTCGGGAATCCGGGTTACATCTTTATCAAATACGGGTCCAACGGTATCCTTCCACTTCCTTCGTCTTTCCATCAATGTCTTCGCCATATCTCCGATGCCAGGACGTGCCGTTTGTGCCGCGTTGGCGTTATGATGCGCAAACGGCTTCTTCTTTTTAGCCTTCATCCCTCGAGTTCGTTTCAAATACGCCTGATCAACTTGCTTATCCAGGTCATCGAGGATAGTCGCGTATTCCTGATAAGCAAGTTGCTCCCCAAGTAGCTCAGCAAGTCGCGTTTTACGAGCTCCGTTTCGAATCGAAACAGTTCGCAACTCAGTTTGTAGCTCTCGAAGACGTGCTGAAACTTCATCGTCCTGTTTATCAGCAAAATGAAAGGTATCAGACGGGCCAACCATTCCCATATAAATCATCTCTTGCCTGATACGTTCTTCTAGAGATGAGAATTCGGGTCTGTTGACGGATATCTTCCAGTCTTTGGATGAGACAATACCCTCAGGAAGATTGAGCGACGTAGCGGCGACAGGGCGTAGAGTTGCACCTCTAGGCTCATCTCCACCAGCGCCATTCGTCATACCGTTTATTCCTGAAGTAGACTCCGCGTTCTCCATGATCACATCTAGCCCACCGGCAGCTCCGTTGGTGAGGCCTACGCCGCTTGCTACCGTAGGCTCGTCAATATCCTCTACAACAAGACCTGACATAACTCGAGAAAGCAACGGGCCGAGAGAAATAGTATTCTTTGCTAGAATTTCATCTCGAAGATCATCGGGCTTGCCGAGAGCGACGTGTTCTTGACCTGTCGAGGTAGGTTCGTATGGTGACCCGTCTTCCTCGGACCACACATCCTTATATGGTCGTCCGAGGGCCGGAATAAGATACGGTCCGATTCTATCACCCTAAAATCCACGTCAGCAATGCATCATAGGAGTTTGGCAGTCAACCAGGAACGTACTCTCTCCCTCAGAAATGCCAAATCCTCCTCCGTATAGAGCCTAAAATAAGGCTCAATATACGAAGAAAATGTATTCATAGCAATTTGTGAATTCGGCTTGGCTCTACTAAAGTCTTCATCCGGAGGGTCTCCGGGTATCAAGTCCGAAATATCTATCATAGGATACTGGGCGACGGAGAATATCTTTCGTTTTTCGTCAACAGTCGTGTCCGGGTAAACGGTTCCAATTTCGTAGTCAGCGGGGTCGTTGGATAGTTCCTCTGCAATTAGAAGGGTGGCCATAGGAGGAGGTTGCTCATCGTCTTCGGATCCTGGTTGATCATCCTCAGCAGCTTCCCTCTTAGGTGATTTTGCTGGTTGTTCATCCATTTCGTCGACTTCAAGCGAGGCGGATGCTTTCCGTTTCTTAGTGTTCGTAGCCCGGCCTTCGTCTGCTTCTTCTGTTGATGGATTCGATTTAGTAATTGGGTTCTTTTTTTGAAGGTGAGGTTGTTGTGGGAGGGACACAAACCCTTAATATGTGCAGTAGAAGGGTTCTGCGACGTTGTACTATGAGCGCCCAATGCATGAGGACGGTGATTGTTACCTTCCGAGCTCATAGCTCTATCCTTCTTCTTCTTTTTATCTTCCTTCTCAGACTTAATGCCCTCATTCTTCTAACAAGCAACCAGCCATCAGCACATCACCCTTTCACGGACGCACACACACACGCGCGCGCGCATAAATGATAATATTCCCATACCTTCTCCTCTTCTTCCTTTGTAATTTTCTCCAACTTCAACTCTATCTTAACAATCTTCCTATCCACAGTCGATTTCCTTTTATCCGCCTGCTCTCTCAAATCCGTCAAATCCTTCAGGAGCTGGTCCAAAGATGATATCGCCGGTACGAACTGCGACGGTTGCGCACTACTCGTATACGAATCCGCAGAGACTAAGAACTGCTGGAAGACATTCGCATAGGTCGCCGGTTCGGCATCCTCTCGTCTATCGGCGGCGAGCTGTTGCTCGGACACGGAGGAACTGTGGTCGTTCATGGAGGCTGGAGTCGTGTTACGGCTGCGGCTACGACCGCGATTAGAGGTACTTGAGCTGCCGCCGCCTCGGGATTTGCCTTTGCCCTTGCCGGCCTGGGGTGGCATGGCAGGCCACTTCTTGAGCGCGTGCTCGTGCCCGAGGTATAAGAATACGGGATAAGGGGAAAGGAAGGGCCAAGGGCCAAAGACAAGGAATGCGGCAGTTTTTTTTTTTGTTTCCTTTGGGTCGAACGGGAAGTTATTACCGGCGCGACTGGGTAAAGCGCGACGACGGCGGGATGTTGGATCTTGCCAGGAAGGTATAGTTGCCGAGAGCAGGCCCTCTATTGGAATGGGGCAGTCTGCAGGAGAGAGAGAGAGAGCTATGTCGCCGTACAAACCGGGTCAAAAGAAGGCGCTACTGCGGCCAAAACGGGTATATACAGCTTGTATAAGCTCAGCCGACGTTGAAGCTTGGTGATTCCGGTGGTTTCGGTGCAGTTCTCGGCGATGATGGTGTCGGCGGATGGTGTTATTTGGTGTTTTGCGGAGGAGCAACGACATCAACACGCTGAGCGGCTGGCCTGGGTCGCGGATACGTCAGGCCTGGCAACACATCAACACATCAAACTCGCATCATCTGGCTTACATAAGCTTCAATCTGGTATAACTGTCTTAGTTTAAGTAGTACATACATACTATGTAGTACTCATGCATAAAGACTGGGATAAGAATGAGAATAAGAACAAGAAGAACAAGCAAGTAAGCTTAAGAGGCATTTTATATCTCATAACTAGCCATCTAATAAAAGTACATCTGTGTTCTAGTTTTCGAAAGAAAAAAAGGTATATTTCTTATCTAAAACTTATAAACCTGCTCGGGGGTGTATCCCAACTCCTTCAGAATACCAACCAGCTCTCCCTGATCCTTAGGACTCTTCTTATTACCACTGATAACATTCATCAAGCCGGGAGGTCCGCAAACGAAGACCTTGATGTTATCCTCTTTAGGTTCTGGAAGAACCTGCTTGAGCAGTTCCTTAGTGATGAATCCCTTATTTCCAACGAATTCCCTAAAACATTAATTAGTCTCCACTCGCGTTTCTTCCAATTAAAAAAAATACTACGTAAAAAATAAAACTTACTTCGGTGGCTTATCCAGCGTATAAAACGCCCTAAACCTCTGCGGATACTCATTCTCCAACTTCGCCAACTCCTGCCTCAACAAAATATCCTCCTCGGCAATATTTCCAAACACCAATGTGATCTTGGTCTTATCCTCCTTATTCTTGAAGATGGCACGGATAAGCTGCCACATGGGGGTGATACCGGTACCACCGGCGATCAAAGCGATGTGGTTGTGCTTGTTGGCTTCCCATGGATACTTTGGAATAGGTCCCTTGAACAACAGACGTTGTTCGGGAGCCATCTCGTGCAGGTGGGTGGACATGGGACCCTTCTCGTACTGTTTGACGAGGAGGGTCATGTAGCCTCTAGCATCATCGTCGGAGATGGGGGTGTAGGGACGGATGACTGGTTTTCCGCCCTCAGGAGTGAATTTTGTCAAGATGGCAGCTATGCAGTAAACGGTTAGCATAGCCCGATAATTTGTTAGAATGGGGTGCGAAGGCGTACAGGCAGTCTTGAGACCGCTGGTATGGTCTTCCGATGGCAGTTCGAAGATGAACTTCTTAGTCTATTTTACTCAATCAGCATTGATCCATCAATATGCATAAAAGATGCCAGGGGTGAACATACATTGTGATTATAAGGCTCAACTTTGATCAACTATTCCACCACCACCACCATCAGCTCTACCCCAAAACCCTCCCTCCGTATCGAAATTATGAAACCCCTACCTTCAAATCAACCCAATCCTCCCCGGTCAAGGTCGGGATAGCCGGCTTAACCGGTTCGATCAAGAAACTCGGCTGTCCCTTAATCCAATACAATCCAAAGGCAGCGGCAACGGCACCACCAGCTACATAAACAAAGTTCCTTGGTTGCAAGAATTGGGTCCCCTTCTGTGGTTTCCCAGCCTCGGATGCAAACCTACGGGTGCTCTATACCACCCCAAAAAAGAAAACCACAAAAAAAAAAATGACGTCAGCCCGATTCTTAGCCAATGGATGGAGGGGCATATATATATATATATGCAATTGGAGGGGTTAAATATACCTGTCGAGAGGCAGCAGGGACGAAAGAGCAGAAGGAGCTACGCGTAGCAGTGGCGAATGCTGAACGGGCGAACATTTTGGCGGTGGATCGAGAAGGACAATTGGCTTTGTCTTTGGAATTTGGATTTGAAATGAAAAGCAAAAGAAATGTTCGGGCGACTGGGATAAAAACTCGGCCAAGGCGTTGCTTGTATCACGTAACTCGGCAACGCACAAAATACAACAATCTCTCAACTTCAATTTGAATATATATCTCGAACTTCAACTTAAACTTCTATAACTCCTATAAAATACACCATTCAAATGAATATAAATTAACAACTATCTCACAGAATAAAAGCATCACAGTCGATTCCAAAAGCTGTGATCTTGTAAGTATCAATAGAAACACTCACTCCACCAATATCCACCCCGTCCGGCCCCGCAATGAACTTCACCTCACTAACACCCTTCTCACCAGTACCAACCTCCAAATCCCCTTCACCACCATCCACAACCACAGTCGTAATACTCTTAATCCCAAATTCCCCAAAACAAACCTTAAGCACCATAACCCCCCCAGGAACCTTACTAAACAATTCACAATAAACCTCATCCTCCAAATTAACAATCCCAATCCCCTCTCCTCCCGGCAAAAACCTCATCCCACTCACAAACCTCATCTTTCCAGACCCAGTATAAGACACCATAACCCCCTTAGCCTTCAACCCCTCAAGTTTCAAATACTTATCCACCTCACCCCTCCCCTTCGGAAGAACCACAACCTTAAACCCCCGTTTATCCAAAAGATCCTCTCCCTCTTCCCCCTCAACCCTCCCCTTATCAACATCAACAATAACATCCAAAACCCCCTCACAAACCCTAAAAACCCTCTTCAAATTCACCAAAGACCCGACCCCTTTCTCATCCATCCCAATCCTCAACCTAACATTCAAAAACCTTTCAAACCACGACATATCCTCCCTACCAGCCCAATACCCTTCCTCATCAGCCCATCCAACCTCCCCTCTAACTCTAAACTCCCTCTTCCAAACCCCCTCTGGAACTCTAACCCTTCTTTTTATTTTCCCTCCTTCCCCTCCCCCTTCCACCATTCCAAATTTAATAACCCCATCACCCCCTAAAAACTCCAAAACCCTCCACAAAATCTCAACAGGTAACCCATCGATCGCGGGTACATAATACCCATCCTCCCTAACCGCCTCACCAACATAATCCATCCCATTCCTTCCAAGTTCTCCTTTTAAAGCCCCAACAGCATCGATTTTATTCTCCAAACCTTTATTAGTACTATCAGTATCAACACCACCACCCCCCACAACCAATTCCGGTTTCCCAACATTAACAAACCCCCCAAACGGTCTCTGTTCAAACTTCTTATGAACCTCCAAAGACCTCATACCCCCAGCAGCCTCACCATCTCCATAAACCTTCAACCGTCTCCAATACCTTTCAATCTCAACATCATCCCCAAACCCATGCGCAAATCCAAGTCTATACCCCCCTCCTCCTTCATCCAAAACCTTCCCACCATCCAACACCCCCACTAAAATCTCCAAATACCGTTCATTAATCTCAACACCATCCCTCTGTATTCCAAAAACCCTCATCGCAACAGTTTTAAACACATCCCAGCATTTCTCATGTAAAGCATAACATTTTCCATCGTAGATTTCTAATTCTTGACCAGATTGTATCGGACATACTTTTGCACCGGAACGGACGAACTCCTCGCTATCGCAGTCGTAAACTTCTGGTTCGACGATGTTGGTTTTGGGAGGGGTGTTGATTAGGTATCCCATGTCGAGGTAGATGTATGGTGGAGGATGTTTGTTATCGATTGTTACTATCATATTAAAAAAATATTAAATTAACATCCCATTACACATATGAATATAATTTCAGTATAAATAGGAGATGAATATATAAATAAAATAAATAAACTTACAAAAATACGCCTCAGCCATCCACCCCCTCGCCATCCCAACAGCCCACCCCATCCCTGTTTCCGCAAACACAATCCTCGCTCCACATATCACACACGGAACTAACGCAGAATGAGACCCATTCATTATCGTCTCAACTACCCGGCGGTCAAGAAACTATGATAGTAGTTTCAAGAATTAATTCTGTTGCTTGCTCCGCTACTATCTAATTCTGCAATTCTGTTCGACGTTGGGTCGCAATTATTAACAAACCCCCAGTCGGAATCGATTAAATATATATATATATAACCCCTCCAGCCGGGTGCCTCGAGTAGACCTGTGACAAATAGGAACGGGTTCGGATTTTAATCGATATTTGCGAATTCTATGTCGGAAGAAAGGATCTGGCATGCATATGATATGATTTTGAGGCATACTCATGGATACGAGACTAACTCACGCTTATGCTTAACTACCGAACAAATACAACCTAACCAACACGTCGCTTATAATTATCCAGAACATGACATGCCGTATTCACCACCCGAGCCCTAGATAGCTAACCTACTTAAATACCTTCTTCGATATATCCACCAAAACTCGACATTCAAACAGCATCGAAATCAATGTCTTCACGATGTATGTAAGGGTGCAATAAGTTAATTCGAATTAATATTTCATGCATTTCAAAAATACCAATACATGTAAACCAATTAACCAACTAGCTAATACAAATCACAACCTTCAATCCTAAAACCATAACCTTGTATTGTATAAACATTAAAATCTTAAAAAAAAAAAATAATCACCAAATCATTCCCTCTGTTACGTATCCATCACCCTCAAAACAAGAAATACCCCTGCGTCAACGGCAACTCCGCCGACGGTTCAGCCGTACACTTCACTCCATCCGCCTCCACAACCTATCCATCCCAAATTCCAATCAGTATAAACCCCTTCACCACCAAAAATCCAAAAAAAAAAAAAAAAAAGAGGAAGAAATAAAAAAAACTCACATAACTCTCCGGATCAACCCTCATCTTCGGCATCGAATCATTAAACCTCATATCCCCCTTCCCAATGCCCCTACAAACCTTCACCCCTTCAACCCTACTCTTCAATCCATAACCCTCCACACTTCCATTCTCCAAACTCCTCTGACTCACCCAAATAATTTTCTTAGCAGGAACTCTACTCCCAAACATCTCCCTCCCATAAAACGGCTGAACGGACGGAATACTAGCATTCGCATCCCCCATCTGAGCGTACGCAATAAACCCACTTTTAACCACCAACTCCGGTTTCGCTCCAAAATTCCCAGGGGTCCATAATACCAAATCCGCTAATTTTCCAACTTCTATAGATCCTATCAAATGTGACATTCCATGCGCTATAGCTGGGTTGATGGTATATTTGGATATATATCTTTTAACTCTAAAGTTATCGGCTCCGGAACCAGAATCTTCGGATAGATAGCCGCGTTGGAGTTTATTTTTAGATGCGGTTTTCCAGGTTCGAAGGATTACTTCTCCGCATCGTCCCATGGCTTGGGAGTCTGATGACATCATTGAGATTGCTCCTGTGTCGTGGAGGACGTCTTCGGCTGCTATTGTTTCCGCGCGGATACGAGATTCGGCGAAGGCTACGTCTTCTGGGATGTTTTTGGAGAGATGGTGGCAGACCATTAACATATCTATATTCCATCAAAAAGAAAGTGATTAGTAAACTTGACATCTAGGTAGAGATTAGTAGAAAGGAGGGATACGGACCGAGATGCTCATCTAACGTATTCTTTGTAAAAGGTCGTGTGGGGTTAGTACTCGACGGCAGAACATTTGGATGTTCAACCACAGAAATAATATCCGGTGCATGACCACCGCCTGCACCTTCGGTGTGATAGGTATGTATGGTCCTCCCCTTGAAAGCTTCAATAGTAGACTCCACAAATCCAGATTCATTGAGCGTATCGGTATGAATCAAGCACTGGATATCATACTCATCACAGACCCTACATAAAAACAAAAATAAAAAATATTAAAATCAGCATTCCAAAAAAAATAGACACCAAGAAAGAAAGAGGATACGTACGAAAGACAAGTATCGATAGCCGCAGGAGTAGTCCCCCAATCCTCATGCAACTTCAACCCAATAACTCCAGCTTCGCATTGATCCCTCAGACCCTTAGGATCACTATCGTTACCTTTACCCGTAACACCAACATTGATAGGATATGTATCCAACGCTTGAAGCATATCCCTAATATACGTCTTACTCGGCGTACAAGTCGTAGCATTCGTCCCAGTACTTCCCCCCATCAAAACCCCGTCAGCCAACTCCACCAACTACATAAAAAATTAGATATATATAAAGAAAGATGAAAGGAACATACCTCGGCCCCGTCCCCCCACCAATATAAGTCGTAATCCCCGCCGCCAAACTCTCCGTAATCTGCTGCGGACAAATAAAATGAATATGCGAATCCACCCCTCCGGCAGTGACAATCCTCCCTTCCCCCGCAATAACATCCGTATTACTCCCCACCACCAACCCAGCATCAACCCCATCCATAACATCCGGATTCCCCGCCTTCCCAACCCCGACAATAACCCCATCTTTCACCCCAATATCAGCTTTATATATCCCAGTACTATCAACGACCAATGCATTCGTCACCACCAAATCAAGACATTCATCATCCCCACGTCCGCTGGCCTGTCCCATCCCTTCTCTAAGTGTCTTCCCACCACCGAATTTACATTCATCGCCGTAAACCGTATAATCCTTCTCGACTTTAACCCACAACTCCGTATCCCCCAATCTGACCAAATCACCAGTAGTAGGTCCGAACATCGCCGCGTAAGCTTCTCTTTCCATACTAGCGGTTGAGATATTACTAATATCCAAAACTGGGGATTCGACATGTTGGAACCCTCCTTTTGATAGTCTTTCGAGAATGGTTTCTGGTGTTAGGGTTCCTACTTTTCCGGAGGCGATGTTGTTCCCGCCGCGGATTATTTGGTTACCGCTGATTTCTACTAGGGTTACGGTTTTGGTGTCGCCTGGTTCGAAACGGACGGCTGTTCCGGCGGGGATGTCTAGACGGAAACCGTAGGTTTGGAGACGGTCGAAGGAGAGTTGTGGGTTGGTTTCTATGAAGTGGTAGTGGGATCCGATCTAAATACCATCATCAGCCATCTATAAAATATTTTAGAAAATAAAGAAAGAAGAGAATAAAACAAACCTGCACCGGCCTATCCCCCTTATTAGTAACCCTAACCCCCACCCTCTTCCTCCCCTCATTCAACTTCACAACCCCTCTAACAGCCACCACAGCCCCCGGTTGTCTCTCATACTCATAAACCTCTTCTTCAACCACAGGTCCAAAAACAGAATCATCCGGCACGGGCAAAAAGCTTCCATACAACGCCATTTTCAAATCCCCTTCCTCGGAAGAAATGGGGTGATGAACGGTAACCAAATAAGTACCATCTTTAAACGTTCCTTCCACTTGGATCTCGTGAAGGGATGAGACGACGGATGGGAGGACGTGGCGACGGCCTAGCATCTTTTTGCCGAGGTCCATTAGGTCGGCGACGCTGTGGTTGCCGTCGCGGATTAACTAGTAATTATCAATTTTATTTAGTTTCCTCTGCTGTTTTATATAGATATGAATAGTGTAAACGTACCTCATGCAGATTATTCGCAATCAACCCCTACATCACACGACCATCAATAAAAAAAGATGAAAACCCGCAGTATAGAAAGAAGGACATACCAATGCCTCGACCTGATTAAGCTTAACCCCCCTCGCCAGCCTTCGCTGAGCGAGCTGCCCAACCTGGGCTATAAGGAGCTTATCGATCTGTTCATCATTAAAACTCCAATTAGCATATCCATCATACCTTCTCCCAGAATACCATCAAGAATATATAAATATAAAAACTCGATAACCGCGTTGATTCCAAAAATACCACATGTACCCGTGGTAAATAAAACAAAGGGAATACAAGCTTTAAGCCAAGTAAATCCATCCCACAAACCAAAAATACAAAAAAAAAGAAAGAACAGACTAAACCAGCAGGTGTCAAAAAAAAACGGGATGAGAAAAATACCTCTCGCGGACTCAAATGCATCGTAAATTATATTATATACGATATCCAATCGAAATCAATCGGGCAGCTGTAACTAAATCGTTCCAGAAAAAAAAAGGCCCTAACCGAAACCCCCAGTTTCTCGTACGTAACGATCCAATCACCTCGGAAGTATGTATGGAACACCCAACCTATTATGTAACAAAACTCCGATTTGACGCAACAGACCAGCGACGAAGAATGCGAAGGGGTGGACGACTAAATGTAATATATATATATTTTTTTTCTCTTCCCGTTCGAAAGAAGAATATCAATTGACGATGATATCGATGGTTTTAAAAAGACGAAAGAAGTTCTTAAAAAAAAAAGAAAGATTTAAAGAGGGGAAAAGAGATAAAGAGAAGAAGAAGAAGAAAAGAAAACACAATCAGACCACAGTTAAATATTCGGATAAAAGGAAACCGATCAACCAAAAAGGCTCCCCCAGAAAAACAATGTTCGATCGATAAAAAAGACAAGAAGAACAAATGCAACGGCGACGACGGAACCATGTCAAATATATAACCCACCCGAATTCAACTGCAACAACGAAAGGGTCCTTATCAGTTCGAACGTTCCCGGCCGGCCCCCCAGCTACATTCAGCAACCTTCCTGCCTGCCTACTTCCTTCCCATGCATTTCACCCCATCCATCCATCCATCATTACCTATCTATCTATCCAAATTCCTAGCGCCGCCGTAATAAGTTTTTTCCTTCCTTTTTCTTGTACAACCGTCTATAACAATAACATAAACCCCACGTTTCGTTCGAAAAAAAAAATACCGTTAAACAATGCCGGTCTGGGGTTAACTTTAAGCTCGACTGGTTAGCCCAGACTACCTAAGTATATAATAGAATAGAATAGAATAAAACCGCCGATAGATAACCGAATTCTTTTATTTTATGAAACGGTTTATATGACAAACCAGTCGCACGCAGAGAGGTACCTACCTACCTACCTACTTCTTCCGTCCGTGAGAGACAACCGTAACATACTTCAGCTAGGCCTGACATCGTATGTCCATCCCAATTACAATTAATTAACCCTCGAAGTAAGCAAGTAAGTATCAATTTACATACAAATAAAATAGCATGCATCGTACATATTCTACATTCCAGCCAGCTGTCCCCATAATAAAAATTATGTAAAAAGATACAAAAAAATAAACATCCAGAACCTCTTCAGACTCTTCATCACACGACTCTCCTACCTTTCTTATGACTAAACAGTTCTCTATATATAAATATAAATTTGAAGTAGGTTCATACAATTAAGTAATCCATGTCTATTGGCTTTTAATAACAAAAGAACAAGAGAAAGCAAGAAAAGAGCATTCCTCCAGTGAAATCCCGTACGTAATACCTTTAAGCTATAACTAGATCGATTTCCAACCCAGCTCACGAGCTCGAAGCTGTCATAAATCTAAACCCCGGGATTGATTCCTCGTCAAGAGAGTATACCTTAAACCCAAGCCAGATGTCAAAGCTACTTACTTATATAGATCTATCTGTCCGTATGTATGTTTAAGTACCATCTCCCACCCGACAAACTTAAGAAACGCGTCGACAACTTAAGACCACCCCGATAAGCCCAGTAGGTAGTTTCTATATATTTGCCACCACTTCCACCAAACGTTCGGAAGGTACCTCAGGTCAGTAAGTACTCAGTTAGCTCCCAGTTCTCAGGTCCAGTTAATCAGCAGCCATCGAATCCACCGTTCTCTTCTAAAAAAAATCAACCTTAGTCTCCAAGTACAACCCGACTACCACGCCGCCCCGGACAAAACTCCTCAACGCCAACTTCCTCTCCATAATAAACGTAGGTACCCCCCCGTACAAAACCCACCCTCGGCCGGACATCCGATTATCCCCCCAAGTCCCAACTCCATCTATACATCCATGTATATCAAACCATCAAACCAACATAAAATACCAAGGAAAAAACATCAATTCCATAATAATATTCCATACTAGGTACTTACTTCTCTACATAGCTTACATCTAACGAAAAAAGAAGAAGAAGAATCCAAAAACCAAATCGACCATCCAAAAAGAAAGAATCAAAAAGAACATCCATCTCACTAGCAATAGAACATAAACTCACCACTGAGTAAAGAAAAGAGTATCCATCCCACGAAATCTAAGAGATAAGTGAAGAAAAAGTCATCATAACGCCTAACCAATAGATCAAGACCTCATGAAAAGGAAACATTTGGATACTACTTAAGTAGATACCTAGGTAGATCTAGATACCACCAGTCGCCAATGAAGACAAAACGATGTGAGAAATACCATTTAAACTAACAAGTACAAACTTATATTTTTTTCAATATGATCACAAAATCCCGCCCAATAATCATTTGCGAAAAAGATATAAAAAAATAACCACTCGAAAGGAAAAAAGAATAAGAAAAAGAATAAGAAAACACCTCATTTTCCAAGCCATCACAGCTTCAAAAAGAAAATCAAATCAAAAAAAATGAAAGGGAAATTCGAACATAAAAATCATTTTTATGATGATGGTTTTTTGTGTTTCATTTCATAAGTCAATCCGCCATAGAATAGTAGTAGTAGTAGTGGTAGTAAGTACCTAAGTAATAATAGTAATAGGAAAAATGATTTCAAAGAAAACAGTCTTCATGATAACAAAAAAAAAAAAAAACATTCAAAAGACTCTGTTCAATAGTTAAAAACTTCCTTAATTCATGGTTCTTCCCAGAAAGGAAAAAAGTCTTCCCAGCCAGAGGGAGAATGCCTTTCCTGTTACCCGGTTTTCTAAAATCAAATAAAAGCGGATGAGTTTAGTACACATAATGGTGGTGGTGGTGGTAGTAGTAGAGGTAGTAGAGAGATGTAGAGGCATATATGGCCCTAATTGATAAAGAAAATAGAAAAAAAAGGACGAGGTTCGCCAGAGCAACAAAACAAGCTACGCCAGGCCAAGTAGATAGATATAGAAAAAAGGACGCCGTCAAGGTAAAGGGCTAGACGGGGGGAAACGTCAGCATTATATTCCTAGACAATCGGACAAGAAGTGAGAAGAGAAAAAAGTCTTACTCCAAAAAGTCCGAAAGCAGACGATCCATTAACCCATCGCTTCAATCGGCAGCCTTTCTCTTTCGCTTTCTGGGCGACTTGGTGGCCGGTGCGGCTGCCTGTTGCTCTTCTTCACCTGCCGAAGGGGGAGGAGTGACCTCCTTGGTCGAGCGCTTGCGAGAGCTCTTCTCCTTGGGAGTAGCCTTTTCCTTCTCCTTGCTCTTCTTTTTGCTCGATTCTCCCTTCTCCTTTCTCCCTTTGGTCGACTTGGGAGTTACGGGCTTCGGTGGAGGCGCAGCTTCTTCTTCCTCCTCTTCCTCTGGTTCGACCTCTTCGGGGATTTCCTCGGGGAGGGGTTGACCACTGAGCTTGGCCTTGTACGCAGCAATAAGTTTGTTGTACTTCTGCATCTCAATCACGTACTGGTCACGGAAGGGTTGCTAGAAGAATATTTAGTAAACAAATTTTATGGTTTCATATGAAAAGAAAAAGAGAAAAAAGACATACTTGTTCACCGTTCTCCTTCATGTTAGCCCACCTAGTGGCCAATTCCTCGGTGATTTCTTTATTGCTAGCGCCGGAAAGCTCCTGGACGACTTCCTGTCGAGCAGCTTTAGCGAAAGCAAAGTATGCTGTGAGAGGTTTCTTTGGCGCATTGGGATCCTTTGGAGTGGTGGTCTTGGTGCGCTTGCGGCGCTTGGGAGCGTTGCCATCTTCGGCGGCTTCCTCTTCGGCAGCTTCGGGGACTAAAGAAGTAGCACGGGCGACGGCAGCGGCAACAGCACCGGCACGAGCCAAAGTACCACCGAAGAAAGTCTGATCACCAGGTTTGAAGTCTGGGAAATTTGCTTGCATGTACTGGCCAGCAGCGTAGGAGGCAACATGAGCAGCATTGGCGAGGCTATCGAGACTGACACAAAGCTTTTCGGCTATTAGCATGAGTTCTTTCCCTTGAATGGGGAGGATTTGGGTTTGGTGGTTGCCTTCATCGTCGCTCGGGGGCGGGACGCGAAGGATGGTGGTGGTAGTTGTGTTGTGATGGGGCATGATGAAGCGAGGCAACAAAAAAGTTTGGTACAGCAACAGAAGTGATAGGATGGATAGACAGTAGAATGGGAATAGAGAATGGAAATAGAAACAGAAGGAGGAGGAGAAGAAGAAAAGGATGAAGGATAGAATACTTACTTGCTGGTATTTCTGAATAACGTCCTGACTGTTGACAACAGGCGCAGCCGGGGCCGGAGCGGGCTTTGACCTAGCCATGGTTCCCGCAAGCTAGAAAAAAAAAAAAGTTAAAAATTATTATACTGAATAGAAATTAAGTGAGAGCAGCTCAATGCTTACGAGTTCGGTAAGGTAAGGGAGAGGTGATGGTGTTGTTGTTGTTGTTAGTAGTGGTGGTGGTGAATGGCAATGATGATGATGGGGAGGATGATGATGGATGTGGTGATGAAGGTTGGATGGTGGTGGTGGTGGTGGTGGTGGTGTGGTGTCCTGTTAACTACTAACGAGGCTGTCTGTTGCAGGTCAGGTCAGGTTTTGGTCAGGTCAGACCGGGTCGGTCAAGTTGAGGTGAAAGGGAAAAGAAAGAAAAGAGAAGTGGTGGCGTGTTGTTGTTTACTTCGAAGGGGAGGAAGAGAGATGGAGGGAGTGAAGAGAAAAGGAAGAAGAGGGAACGGAGTGGAAAGTGGGAATGGGCCGGATTAAAGAAGGATGGGAGCCCAGACAGCCAGTTCAAATCAGTTCGGTCCAGTTCAGGTCAATTCCCGTTGGGATCAGATCAGATCAGATCAGATCGGTTCAGATCAGGCTCTGTTCAGGTCTGTCCGGTCTGGTTTGGTCTGGTCTGGTCTGGTGGGACGGTCCTGTTTGGTCTTGTCCGGTTAGGCTTGGTCTGGTTTGGTCTGGTTTGGTTTGGTTTGGCACCGAACGGAACACAGCACAGCACAGCACAGCACAGCAGCCAACACATTTTATCTTCTTAATCAGCACAGTTGGCTGGCTGGCTGGCTGGGCTGCTATCCGTTCTGCCCTGGCCTGAGAGGTATTACCTCCCCATCATGCCAACCAACCACAAACCAACCGGCCAGCCAACCAGCGTCTGACTGGCTACCCAAACATAAACAAAAAAGAAAAAGATTTCCTTTCCCCTCCCTGACAGAAACTAAAAAAATTCAAAACGCAAAAAAAAAAAAAAAAAAAAATGCTGGGGCTGGGCTGGATGATGGTGGTGGTGATGAAGACAACTGTCGCTTGACAGAATTCTAGAACCGAAAAAATAAAAATTAATACACACCTTGGAAGTTAACTATAATAATAATAATATAGCACGACAGTTCCGATGGACGACAGATAGTATAAAAGATAATGTGAATAAATAATAATAATAATGTAATATGTAAACAAGATGACGATAACCCCGACACCGATGGAATAAATATCAAATATGTAGGACTTCTGTCTACCACGGAAGAAATCAGATCAGAAAATTCAAGCGTCTAGAAAAGACGGAAAAGAAAAAAAAAAAAAAAACTAAAATGGGGCGGGTGGGCATGCCACTGTGGTATTTATAGCTTGTCGAGGGGAAGAAGAAGAAGAAGAAGAGGGAGGGGTGGTGTTGGTAGAAAAGAAGGCAGTCCTAGAAATTCTCCCCCCCCGCGAAAAACTCTGCGCTACCAGGTGGTGTTTCTTTCGATCCATTCTACTCTGCTTCTTCTGCCGCCGCCCTGCTTCTGCTGCTGCTGCTACTTTTTCTAATTCTGGTTCTGCTAGCCTGCCGCTTTGCTGACTCGCCTTTGCCAGGCTGCTTGCTTGCTTGCTTGCTTGCTTGATTCCTTGCTTGCTCGCTCGATTGCCTGCATTACTTGCATTAAGAGTACCGTTCGCTGCAAGTCCGTCGGTTTCAAAACAAACGGCTTAAACCTCGAATGAACGATCGAATGACCCCGCTGGGATGGCCCCAGTTGATAGATAATCAATTGAGGTCAAATTGGATTTGAATTTTGCATTAACTGGCCAGTCGAGATCCATCGATCTCGTTCTTCTCGCATGCAGCAGCTTCTTCTGAGACCTTCGCTGATACCACTTCGGCACTACCCATTCCCAGCATCTACATACATCAAAGTACATACATACTTCTTATCGTGAACGAAGTATCTAAACATCATCGAAAATAAGATTGATACGGCACAGGATATGATATTTCTCACGATGGTTTCTATTCTCAGGAAACATAGATACTTAGTTCCAAGTGGGAGAGTAGACAGAAAGAAGAAAGCGCTATCTGCGACCGGATAAGGCCAGCATGTTGGTCTTCCATCCCATCCACACGTGCACCGCACACCGCTGCACTGTGCACTGCTTCGTTCCTACCCCACCCGAAGGAGAAAACAAGTCCACGAAAACCGTCCGTTCCATCCATCCAACGATTCGATTCGATTCACTCTGATGCAACATTGGCTTCACTCACATGCTTCCTTGTCTCGACCGTTTTTTTTATTCTCTTCTTCCCCAGGTCTTAGCTTACCTAGCCAGTTTCAACCAAGAAATTCGGCGTGCAACGGTATGTATGAGAGAGTGTGTGTGTGTACCTGCTTCGATCCAAGTTAGGGCAAGAAAGAAACAAAAAAGTCGTGATTTGATTTCTTTCATCTCGAGCAAAGGCAAAATCCCAAACTGCACATTGCGCAATTGATGCTTCCTCCCTCTTTTTTTCCTCTCGTTCTTTGCCTGCCTGACTGATTGATTGACTGATTGCCCAACCAGATCGATTCCTGATTCCTGAAGCAAGGGCTCGCTCGAGGACCGACTATCAAGAAAGGGCTGGGATCGGTTGGCAAAAGGCAAAAAAGACAAAAGTCCAAAAAGTCCAAAGGCAAAAAAGAAACAAAATAATACGAGACCAATCGGTCAAGACAGTTTCCGTTAGCCTAGCCTAACCTATCCGTCGGTGCATCGGTTGACATGAAACATCGTGACTTCACTGATATCTTCTTCTATCTTCAATCCACTCGATCGAGAATAATATGTATAAAAGGAACAGAAGATAAGAGATGATATTCTTAAACTCCAGTAGGTATATACTTTTTATCCCTCGTGAACTTCGAGAACTCGTTGAATCGAATCGGATCGAATCGAACAGTATCGAACAAGTATTGTCGAATTTCATACCGTGCCTGAAACGAGACATATCATACATACATCACCAACCTTCAAAACCTACCCGTCAAAATCAACCTTCGAGTGAAAATAATGAAGATGAACAATTAAATTACCTGCTTCGCATTCTGGCACAAACCCTTCTTTCCCATGGCCAGAAAGAACGCCATGAAAGTTCATTCAGACAATCCAATCCAATCCAATCCAACCCGCTGACCATTTTTTCCCCTTGAAGCCACCATTTCCCCCTTCCCTTTCCCTTCTCGCCTTCCCCGCACCGGCCCTTCGCGAAGGAAAAAAAAAAAAAAGTACTGGCGGTTCAACGTTGACACGCTAATCAACGGCAAGGGCATCCAACGCACCGACAAGGCTGGTAACTTTCAAGCACATCTTTTTTATTTTCTATTTCCCCGCACGAGAAACAAACCCAAAAAGCTAGGCAGGCAGGCATGACCCGCTCGTGCTTCCAGCCAGCCAGTCACCAAAAAAAGGATTGAGAGAGAGAGAGAGGAGGGAGAGAGAGAGAGGAAGAACTGGTACCGCTCGACCCGACCTGCTCGAATACGAACGAACAGTTCATCACAAACCTTAACTTTTTTTTATTTTACGAAAAAAGAATAATCACATATTAGGTACCTGGGAGAACCATCCAATTCAGCCCTGCTGGAGTAGGAAATTGGATGAAAGATATACCCCTTCTGACCTGTCCGGTCTGGTCTGGTCTGGTCTGGTTGGTTCTGTACTGTACTGCGCGGTGCAGTGCCAAAAGACCGACCCGTTGGACTTCCAGGTCGGACTTTACCTCTCCCAGGCGGACATAAAATCCACATCACCCATCTTCCCAGGCCCCCATACTCTACCCAACTCAACCCAACTTCGTAAGATCTTAACTTTTTGATAGAAAGGGAATACAGTCGAACACCTACTACTCCTATTCAAAAAAAAAAAATAGGTAGAATCCTAACCCTGTATAACAGAAAAATATCCCCGTCAAAAACTGCACTGGACGGTGTTCCAATTGATGTCGTATATAAGTATAAATGTCAGGACCTTCGATCCTAAAATCCACCCACCACCGAACAAAAGTTCCTCCCAGTCTTCCAGAACTCAGGTCACGAGAAACCTACCACGGTTACTTACTTACCGACTTATGCATGGTAGATAACCCATCTCTAACCGCCAGTTCACCACCACTCTTCCCCATCCGAACCCTCCAATCCCAAACAAATATCCCATTGCATTCCCAAGGAAGAAGAACGAAAAGATGAATCCACCCCCAAAAAAACATGCATCCCTCCATGAACATTTGAAACCTGTATCATACATCCAGTTCCATAATCTGTCATCGGTACCAAGTAACATAGTACCCAAGATCAACATCCCCAAACATCCCCAAACTCTTCCTCCCCGAACATCTCCAAACTTTTTACTTTAATAAAAAATAAATATATAAAAATAGAAGAGGAAAAACCACCATCGACAGTCTATAAAATTCTCTCGAAAATCCAAAATTCCATATATACATATCTTTATCTACCTATCTACCTAAAGTACTCACATCAGTCCTAATCTCGTACCCAATCTAGACACACTAAAGTCTTACCATAGCCATCAGTCCCGAATCCAACCTCACATTTCCCCATCCCCGCCCCGCATTGCCCCTCACCCAGTTAATTATTTACCCAACCGTATAACTTAACTTACCCCCCCTCCACAGCTAAAACTCAACGGCCAAGTTTATCCACGTATATTACAAGTAGTGAGTACCTAGCCAGCTAGCTAGCTAAATCCCCAGCTACACTTAACGAACGAACGAAACGAAACGAAAATACAATCAATCCCCAATTGCAACCACCCAAGTAAACCTCTCCTCGATCCAAAAAAAAAAATCCCGTATCGTCCATATATCGCAAGAAACAATACACCACTTCTACTTCATCAAACATATTGAAAACGCTTCGAAAGAAAGTTATATATAAACCTACACATATCCACTCTATCCCGAAGTTTTCAGCAAACAGATAAATAAATAACCGATCGATCTATATCAATTATTCAAATCCATTAAATTTTAATTTTAATTCCTACCAAAATAAAATAAAAAAAACTTCCAAGGTAGGTACCTACATAGCATGCAACCGAAGTAAAAAATTATAATTAAAGAAAGAAAGAAGATTTCATATAATCAAAAATACGCCATCCCAATATGCCACCCAACTAAAATATAAAAAAATGAAAAATGAAAAAAAAACAAAAAAACAACCATGATAAAAGACAACTGCTTATAAAATGCTTTTTCTTTTGCATCGGTAGAAAAGAAATTTTGGCAGGTAAAAGACTTAGAAAAAAAAAAGGAAACATTAAACGTCGCCGTCGCCAATGAAATGCGCTGAAAAGGGATTCCAACAGAATATATATAAAAAAATTTGTCCCAAAGATGTAAGATGATGGGGGTATCTCGTTTCCCATGGATCTAAAACCTTCTAGATCGAAAATCTTGTGTGTGTGTCGTCGCTTGTAAGCTGCTAACTCCCTATATCGTTCAATCATGACCTCGAACTCTTCAACCGGGTAGATCGTTTTCTGTTATCTAAACCCTGGGAATATCCTATCCATAGTCTCCCTCCCTACTACAAGTTAGCACATCCCTTCCCTCATATAAAATAGAATAATAATAATAAAAAAACTTACACCTCGGCCTGACTACATCCTCCACCACCCTCTGCTCTCTATACTGCGGTCCTAATCCAAACCCTCCTCCCCTCCCTCTCTCCCCGTAATTCCCCCTCCCAGCTCTAACTAATGCCTGCCGGCCCATTAAATCCAGCTCTTGTCTTCTCAACCTCCTAAGTCTCCATCTCCACAGAATTCCACCCTCATCGTTGCTATTACCACCGTTATTCGCAGCGGTGGCGGCAGCAACCTCCCTACTCCTCTCCCTGACTGACCTCAAAAGCCTTTCTCGTCTTACAATCGCATTCGTAAGTCTGATCGGCACATACCCCTTCGGCAAGCAACTCTGTTTACACAGCACGCAAAGCGAAGATTGAGATTCCAGGTATGGGTCGATACACTCCGGGTGGAAGATATGCAAGCAAGGTAGTTCTCGGACGGTAGTTTCTTGGTGAATGAAGTCGTCAAGACAGATCGGACAGGAGGTTTGGTGATATCCACGGTGGTGTGGCGGTGATGATGCCGTGGGTGTCTGAGCTCCTCCTAGCTGTGGGCTCGATGTAGAAGGAGATTGTACCCTTGGCGATGAACGGGACTTTGTCGATGGTGTGGTTGGCGAAGCTAACGTTAAACCTTTCGACGTTGATACTTCAGCCATCTCCGGTGATGTCGTGGTATCGATAGCTGTCGGAGACTTTGATTTATCCTTCACCCTTTCCTTCCCCTTTGATTTCCGCTCAGTTGTTATAGTGGCAGGTATCATAATTGATACACCCTCCTTCACCACCACCGCACTAGGAACTCTAACTTTCTCCTTCCGCCTTCCTTCCTCTTTCGGTGCCGATCGTGTCGCAGCCGTAGAATTCTGAGCCTTCCGCTTAGGCGGTGTCGATTGTCCTCCATTCTCAGCGATATAAACATACAACGGAAACTTCGCCAGAAACTCTCGGGGCACGGTTATCCTTCCAACTCCCAGGCCTTCTAAATCTACTTCTCCATTCGCAATCCGTCGTCGTAGACTTCGTCGATAGTGGAATTGGAAGAGGTGCATGAGTAGCGATGAGGCGCCGATGATAAATAAGAGAACGGCGACAACAACGAGGAGGAATAACCATAGCCCTGGCATTGGGTTTGTATTTCCTATCAAGTGTATTAGCATCATGAAAGTCATATATACGTGTATCTCAAGATCCCCACGCGAGTGGCAAAACAATGCCCCGCGGTGTTTGGAACCCATCTGAAGCAAAGGAAGGAGAGTTAAACCCACTCGTCGAAATGACCGTGTATATCCTAGCATAATCCCGAATATCATAACCAGCCTCCGTCAAATTGAACCCATTATAAACCTCCGACATATTAGCACTATACTCCGATAGCTTATTCATCAACGGTTGTCCAATGGCTCCGTCCAGAAAATAAACGGGATATTCAAACGGATACTCCTCGCCTTGAAGAGGGTCGGTATGATTCGAATATTTCGCCGGAACACCATAAAATATAAACGCTGCGACATTGTCATTTTCAGCGGAGTACATATATTGACGACTGCAATGTTGGGTTATTAACGGGGCGTATGCGATGAGTTTGAGATCATCCATTGGTAAATTGGCTTTTCGAGTGATATTCCGAGGGACGAGGTCATGGTTATCGCATGGATCGGAAGGATCGAGGTCCGGGACATACAAAAGGCCTTTGAAGGTGTTTCCGCCTTTGGAATCTTGAGAATAGAGGGTTTGGAAGTCGGACGGTGATGAAACCTCGAGGGCGAAGGAAAGTGATTGCTAGAAGCTTATTAGACGAGTGGCATTTAAGATAGCAGACGGTGGAAACACGAACATTAAGGGTAGGAAAGTCGAGATTGGCAGCGACAGGCCGGGCGGCTGACGGAATGACGATGACACTGAAGTTAAAATTGGTTGCGGCTGCTGCAAGAAGATGAAAGTCCGAGGATATGTTAGTTCGGTGAATGCATGCCAAGGAAATCCAGGTAGAACAGATCGAATGGGACGGAACGTACACATTATGGCGACAGGAGGCACGCCGCTCCTCAGAAAGATATTTACTCCTTTATATAATGAGGGTTATCTATTATAACGGCTCGATTAAAAATGGCGAGAAGAATAGAAGTCGAAGTAGGAGCAAAGTAGAATGAGTTGAGGTTGAGGTTGGAGATTAGCAAGTAAGGTTGTGTGAATGTCTTAAGACTCGGGCGACAGATGAGACCCGCTGCAATCGGTCGTCGTCAGCCGCTATCTATCGATATTACTGATTAAAATTCATGGTTCCCGCCTGCTGCAGTCGTCGATGTGATCGGATACTCGGGTATCTTATTGTCGACGCCGGAAGTAATGTCGGTAAGTATTATAAGCACTTGGTGGGTATAAGGTATATATATTATGAAATGTAGTCGCGGGTGATGTGCTGGAGGGGAGAAGATGGAAAAGGAGGGAAAGCTGGTTAGCTTGAAGTAGCGGTTGCAGTTGACGCAGCTGGCTTGGGCTAGTTTATATTGAGACCCCGGCAGCCCTGCGTAATCCTCAATTCGATGGACTCCACAGACCTAACTATCGAGCGAGCATTGACTGACAGGGAGGCAAAGAGGATGAAGATGGTAGTTAACGGTGGAAGATGGGCAAAGCACGGCTGAAGGATCGAAAAGGATTAAAAAGATCCGGCTTGGAAAGGCCGAGCAAAATAAAATAAAAAAATAAGAAAAATAAAAAATCACGGAGTCCGAAACTGGAATAAAACGCTCTTGCAAAAAGGAAAAACGTCAGAAGTCACAAGCTGGGTCTGTCGCACACTGTGGGTTAGTTGTATAACTTGTAAACCTGTCGGGTGCCGGATATATATCTTGTCCCGTACGTAGATACCTCTTCTATAAAAAATAAAAAAGAGAGAGAGAGAGAAAAAAAGAAAAGAAGAAAGAGGGAAAGAGGGAAGGAAAGGGAAAGAGAAGGACAGGAGCGCAGTCTCTCTCATTATATGCATAGACACTCGACACTCCACAAATCTCGTCATAAGGAAAGAAAAATCAATCAGAAAATTCAGTCCTCTTGGAAAAACCCCGGGTTGGCAATGCTGAGAGGCGATCAAGGTCCTCAAGCTTCTTGGTCTGCTTCTTGGATTCTAGTCGCCTCGGGTCCAGTCATCCGGGGCGTGGGACCAATCACCATTCCAAATATCTCCGGGGGTAGGGACCTGTCGCTTTCCTATTTGAATGTCTTTTGATATAGATTTCATATCTCGAACTGTATCACAAAGTGCTCTTTTGGTTCTTTGGGGGTCTTGGTATACAGGTGGTCCTTTTAAAGTCTTCTCCTTCTTTCTTGCTCAGGCTAGCCGAAAGCACGGTCAATCAGCTTGAGGTTGGTCGTGTTCTGTGTAAAACGTGAGAAAACTTGCTGTGAAAATCGTTCGTTAACGGAACATGCCAGGCATGCAGGGACCCAGCTCTCTAGCGCCAGGCCCAGGCCTTGGTTTGGTCTTCGGTCACGGAGTCCCTCGGCTCCTGCCAGGCCAAGCAAATTTGGAATCTCCAACCCAGAATAGACAGCTTGCAGCTCGTTTCCCAATTACGAGAACACGGCATGTGTACATGGAAATGATAATTTCGTCATTCACCCTTCCATTGTGTATATCACGCTTCATGCATGCACGCCGTAGTAAAGATCCATAAAAAAAGATATCCCCCCCCACCACGCCATAAACCCCATCATATCATACTGTCCCAGCCCTCAACGTCCTCCAACTTGCATTCTACTGAAGCGGTCACATCTCCACACCCTTTCGTTTCCCTATCACTACCCTTCCAAAAAGTCTTCCTGAAGAACGAATCCTATTCGCCCTTCTCCTCGACTTTTTCGTCCACATCCATCTTATCCACTTCCTTATCTCCATCTCCATCCTTCGGTGCTTCTCCAAACACCGTCCCTTCAGGCTGGGGCCCCACATCGGCAGCATCCAATTCCGGCGGGCCTCCAACCATCGGCCCATCTTCACTTGTCCCTTCTGTTATCACAACATCAGCCTCTTGCTCCTTCCTCAATAACTCTCCCTGTGATATTCCATTCCCACCTTCATCAGCCACTAACGCAGCGACACCTTCGTCACTAACCGGGCTTCCTGCTGCATCTACCCCGTTGTTGGCAACATATTCCCTAGCACTAGCCCATGGTATCGGTGTCAAAGTTGCACCTGTGGCGCCGTCATCATCATTGACTAATCCCGACCCAATTGGTATAGCATTTGACGAAGATTGTCCGTCATGGCTGATCGGTAACGGGAACTTATCAGCTCCCGAAGTGACAGACACGACACGGTGACATGCTCGTAGAAACTTGGCGAGAGAGCGATAGTGTTTATTTGGTTTTGAGATGAGTTCGGCGAAACGTTGAACTGTATGTGGAGGAGCAGTAGGGAACGTATTATTTAGAAGAGTGACCAGAGAGTTAAGTGACGAAAGAAGTGTCGGTGGGAGGAATTTCTCCGTATTATTCGAATTGACAGTGTCGGAGGGGAATTGGGTAGCAGGTATAGTGGTGGATTGTGTAGATGAGACAGAAGGAGGGTCATGTGGTTGTGACGAAGCTGGGACTTGGGCTGTCGGATCCTGCTGGGTCTGCGTAGCCTCGACGTCAACCGTCGGTGCTGCTGTCGGAGTAGACGACGACTCGCGGTTTTCACCAGCTAGTTCCGATGAATTAGGTGTTTGCTCTTCCTCCGAGGACTGGATTATGGTCGTGGATTCGCGAGAGATGCTGACGGGCGGTTTAGGCCCCAGCAGTGGTGGGGGTTTAGGTAGTGGGAAGGAATTATATGCGATCTATCCTATCAATTAGCAAGATATCTCCCATATAAACTGAAGAATGGAATATAATACCCATTCTAATCGCTTAAGCATAAACTGCAGCACATCTGGCCAGTCATCTCTAAAAAAAAACGGTTTATGTGATCAGTCGCGTGCATCCCACCAGAGCTTGAGTTCGTGCAACTTACAGCCCGATGGTACTATCTATGGTAAGCTGGTTTACCAGAACTTCCAGCTCTTCGTCTAGAAACAAGTTAGCTTTAAATAATACCCCTCGGTGACAATGATGAGGCGGGGTGTCATACAGACCTGATTTCATTCTGCGGGTTCCGTGATGATGGTGGCGCTGAGGCAGCTGTTGCGGTTGGAATTGTCGATGTAACTAAAGTCGCGCCAGTTCAGGTGGACTGGGAATGGGCGTCGCCAATGTTAAGGCGTTGCACCAACGCAAAAACAACCACATCTTGGTTGAGGTAGCGCTGCTCTAATATTCTATCCCATCAAGTTAATTTGAACTGGTATTAAGATATCTATTTTGGATGTTAGTCGGAGGGATAGTAGTATAAATTTCCTGGGCCTCGATTACTCTTCTCTGAATGAGATAGCTATAACTTCGTTTCATTTTGAAAAAAAAACCTGATATAAAGACTTCAACAAGATGCAAGTTAAGTTACCCAATGCGATGCAATGATTCCATTGGCATGTAGAACGCAGCTGACAGTATCTTGAATTTAAATTTGAATAAACTCGCTTCAAGAGAACAAGGTGAGATAGATATCTATACTCCCTGGAAAGCCCCAAGTTCAATTAACTAACTATCAGACTAGACGGCTAGTCTTAGATAGGAACTTGCATTGGTTTCATTACATCAAAATAGAGAGACTTTTAGATTTTGACTTGCAATGAGACTGTATAATACCACCAATGGAGACCATGCATGACAAAAGCATTACCAAGTTATCATATGTAAGTATATTAAATTAACTATAGTAATGCTTTATGATATTAATGTAGGATAGCCATAGTCTAATTCAATTAACAAAGAAACTGTTGCGTTAATTTGGGCCTAGACAGAGCCATGACGGAATTATTACTAATGTGCTTGCCGATGATGTCTATCGTACATAGGTATACGTAATAAGAATACTCGAGTACTGCACATGATATTGGAGCGCAATCCCTAACTATAAATACACCACCGTCCCGCATTAGATCAGGCCTTTCGCGTACAAACCGTTCGACGTTTCTTTGCAATCGGAAACGTGCGGCAATAGAGGCACCTGTAACCCCTATGTGTCGACGAGGTCGTCTTATAATATCTCCTAGTGGCGGTTCTAAGATCTTGAGAGTATGGGAGTAAGCCGCTAGAAGACCTTCTTTTTGGAGAAGCTCGAACATAAGATCACCGAACGCAGTCTCGCTTGCTGGTGTCAATTTGAGGTAATGGTAAGCCCAGTTTTGTAGTATATAACGCCCCAATACGTCCGACCCAACGAACTGTTTTCCGTTTCCTCGATATCTGCCTGTCAGGTACATCATGCAAAGATTTATAATATTGCCGTGAACCCCTTTCAACTTGGAGCTAAAATTATGAATGAAAGTATTCTTTAGCCGTAGAGTGGGTGAAATGGAAGGTGCCAGTGTCCTGGTCGACTTTTAGTAATCCTGCACAAGTGGATATCATACTATCAACTTCTTGCAAGTCGTCGCAGCCCACTGCTGGAAAATCGTCAAGGTCATAGTCGATCTCGGGTCGAGCTGAGATTTTCGAAATTATTACAAGAGCATGTTGTAACTCGAGGGGAGTCGTCGGATTGAGGACTGGGTCGGGTGGTATATGCCGCTCCTAATCTGGGATACAACTTTTTTAGACGGTCCAAACTCCCTTGGACTTCAAATCCATTTATGTCGTGCTCAGTCTGCAGGGACTTCAATGCCGCTAAAAGCGCCGTGGGTGGTTTATTCAATGCACCGGTCCGTCTAAACCCATTAGCCCCCCCCCCTTTTACCATAATTCTGTATACACAAAGATCTTGGAATTGAGACGAATCAATCTAGTGTGACCAACAATGGGAGCAAGATATCTATGCAAGATTCAAATCTACGAGATCGACTAGTTTAAAGTATGAGCTATATAGATTCGCAATATAGCTAGTTAATTTACCCCTCCAACAGCTTCACGCCCCGCCGTAGCTACTCGACATTGTCTTGTCACAATTGTACAAGCCTCTCGCTTATGCAAGAACAACCGCAAAGTTATGTCCAGAACATGCATGATTAAGTACTTAACTATTGTACCTTTACTTCGCTATCTCATGTATCCTAGAGTAGATACCGAACGAAGTATGCGTTGGTACGTGGTCATTTTTTAGTCGTCAATCTACGATAGCTAACCAAATACACCAAAGCATGCATGTCATTCATCTCGAAACAAGAACTAGACTATTTACGAATGAAACCGACGTAAATAACCTCTAAACCCTCTTCCCAGTCTACTACTTATAGAAAACCGTATAATTCAAATTATCCACCCCCACATACGCCAAAGCCTCAGGTATTTCAACCCCACCAATCAACCCAATCGTCTTCCCCTTCACATACTCAATTTCCACAGTCTCAGCTCCATCAAATTCACCTCCAAAATCCACAAACGCCATTGGACTTTTCCTCGCCATTATTATCGGCGTTTCACCTCCCGGTAATGGTACAAACCTAACCTCCATCTCACCACCTTTTACCATCTCCCCATCACCATTTTTTGAAGGATAGTACGAAACAAATTTAAGCGTACAATCGATCAAAAGAGAGTTGGGAACGAGGCCGATGTTTACAGTAGAACAAAAATAATTTAAACTGTGGAGGTTGAACTTTTCAATATCTGAACTTTCGTATGCAGCGGTGAATGAAGGGTTGGTCACGAGGAGGTCTGCAACTAAGTATCTGGCTATGGCGTATGGTACTGATGCATTGATCGGGAAGAGGTCGAGGAGCCCTGGACCCCGTAGATGTGTGGCACCGAGGTTGAAGGATGGGTATTTTAGATGCTTGTAGATTGGAAGAGGGAGGAAACCGGAGATTGCTGGAGGGGGGGCGTTGGGAACATTGGAAAACTAATTGAAATTGAAATTTCTAAATGTGAATATAATTCCCTTTTTTCTTGCTTAAATGGGGAAATGTATATATATCGAAAAAGGGCTACATACGTCCGCAAAGAACTTTTCGGATCCTTGGCTATTAGAAATTGGTATGGCAGAGGTATAGTGGAGACAAAAGAGGTTTCCTGATAGAAAAAATAGGGCATAGGAAGCCCATAGTTTGAGGATATATACCAATGACATTATGAAACTATTTTAAGATATAAAATATTTACATATGCATGCGTAGGTGAGGAATGATATGGAAATCCGAGTCGTCTGCGCAGAACCGAACCTGGGTATTTATAGGTATCTCACCTATGGGGTCCGGATCTATATTTCAAGTTGCGTCTATAGAACCAGAACGTCATAAACTTAACTTTACTGGAACACTAAGATCTACGCCTGTGTCTATGTACGTATCTAACATTGGTCCTATTTGCGTTCCTAGGCGTCACAAAGGGAAGATTGGCATAGGTTTCGTAAGTACTAGTAGTATCTGGTAAGTTTTGTGCAACGTCGCACAAATGGTCTAGACAGGGCGATATACGTCGACAGGGAGCATTGTGTACAGCATGCATTCGATCGAATAGTCATATGATGTAAACATAAATGACCAAATGATTGGAAGAAAGATCAAGAGACCAGAATATTTATTTAAAAGCTATAGCTAGATTTGTGTGTCCAAAGTAGACGGGGGTATATTTATTAAATAAAACATGTGATAGACAAGGAAGACTTTCAGGTGAAGATGCGCTTGCCGGCAATGGAATAATCAGGTAACACCAAACTCCCCCATGCATGAATGCAACTAAAAAATAAAAATAAAAAAAGACGAACAATTTTCAAGGGTGGATTAAAATATGCATATAAAAATGCAAATAAACGGTCCCGATTCCGGCGGAGGTCCACTATATCCCCCAGACTACACTATATCTCATTCCTCGTTCCTTCAAAGGTCGTAGTTTCGCGAATTCGCCTTTCTCTACTTCCCATAATACCCTTGCGGTCCTGGGTTGTATCCTTGCTGCGGTCCACCGCCACCACCCATATTTCCCATCTGATGCTGATTCGCCAGTTGGTCTAGTTGTTGTTTGGAAATCTTCGACCGAGCGTTACAGATTGTGCAGTTGAGTTCTTCGTGGTAAGAAAGCGGGATGATCGGGATGTAGCAGAAGGTGAAGAAGTTGCGACGTTTTATCGCGATTACTAAAAATAACCTTTTCTTAGGACACTGTGGATTTTTTTAAAGCAATTCTAGGATTGATCGTGCCAGTACATACCGGAATTGTTATGGCAATTCGAGCAATTAACTCGAACGTTCTCGTAGCCCTTTAGGCGGGATGAGAAGTCTTGCGAGCCCTGTAAATTTGTTGCGATGTTAGCACGAGATGCGATGACGTCGGGATCCGGGTTGGGTGATCCGAATAAGGGACTTACACAAACGAAGATGAATGCCATTGTGTGATACTTGAATTCAAACCAACGACGAGAGGATAGTGATAACTTATGTGATGCCGATTCCGATAGCACTTAATGATAGGGGATTTGGTGAAGTAAATTGATAGATCTAAAGCGAAGTCGCAAGAATGATGTTATGTAAAGGTTGAAGAGTCGCGGATGGCGGAACTGGAAAGGGAACCTTTTTATCCCGTGGCAACCGAGACAGTTGTTTGTTCCCACCGCTGGCCTTGGGCTTTGCTTGGCCACAACGGAGCCACAGTTGGCATTACGCGTCATGTCTCGTGGCATGTCGGAAGTATTTCTGGCATTCTACAGTCCATATTTATCTCATGAATTGGGGCGAGTTGGCAGTGTAATACAATGTATGTCTAACTCTGAGAAGCTCACGATACGGGGGCGGTTCACACTGATACTTAGAACACTATGGATGCTGTGATATCTTGTGCGCAGGACGAGCACAACTGGCTCGCGAATTTGGCCCTAGGCCAATCACTCACTCGCTAGGTTCTGCCAGCGCAAGATGGTGCAGGCTTTGAAACCGGATCTCAATGCCGAAGCGGCGCCTGAAAGCCCAGAATGCAATACGAACGAATTTCGACTTTGTTACCGGAAATATACAACAAAAACAACACATTCGGAACTTGTAAATAAGCCGGCTGAATGCAAACCTTAAAATAATTCACGAAAATCTCACTCTATTCACACTATAAAATTCTTATACAATTGAATTTAAAGAGACATCCCCCATAGTTGTGATCTAGCCAGTTTGTTCTATAGATCAGTTGGCCTCGCAGCACATGTATGGAACGTTCACCTGGGCAGACAAACATGTGAGTAGCTTCAGTATTCAATGCTAGAAACCCTTCAAGGCTTCCAGCAATTTTACTTCATTAAATAGTATTCTGCAGGACTCCTTAAGCTACCTGACTTATCTACCATTACCCACTTTTGATAGTACCGGCCGCTTAATTAATCTATGATAGGAAACGATTGTGGTATACCAGTATCCGCTTTAAATGAGATGAAGTGTAGTTGATAGAAGATGGAGACATCGATAACAAACGCCCTATCATATATATATGGCCTAGAGGCAAGACGAGTACGAGTTCATATTTTAGAACAATCTAAAACCTGGAGTTCCAGAAATGTATAGTAGGTTCTTCTTGTTAGACATAAGTCGATATAAGGTCACTTCTGACATATATCCTGATCTATAGGTTGCTTAGACCGTCAAACGAATATGTGTAGCCGCATATGCACGTTGTATGACCACTGGTCGGCCCAAATTATTAACTTAGGAGAGCCTTCCATTTTCAACCTGGGGCAGGTGAACAGTACCTAATTGTTTCATATTCGGTTTATGAGCGGCACTTGGTCTCGTAGCTTGCAGCAGCATTGTCTAAACCTTCATTCGGGCGAGAACCACGGCCGGCCACGGATTGCATTGACTTATTGGTCAAAACGTAATCAATTGTCTAGTTTTCACTTTGGGAATTTTTTTGATACCGATCCAACTAGTTAGAAGGGTTTTCTTTTCCATTTTCTGTAGGGCAAGGGTGGATTTTTAGCTACCCTTTCAGATTAGGTACAAATTTTCTATGGATCCATAGAGGATATATCGATATAAATCGATTTGAGGCTCGCGAGATTCTCAGTGCTGAGGCCATCAACACATCAACACATAACTCCCTTACCCACCTACATCCATGGACATGCACCACCTGCACGGACGAGGATACTTGTGATAGCGAAGAAGGCTAGCTTTTATGGTAATCGGGGAAGGCTGAAGGCCGATAATTTCTTTCTCAATGAGATCAGACTGCCTAGAAACGATATCAGGATACGCAACGCTGCCGACGCCCCGAGATTCTAAAATGGCGCAGACTAATGCAACGGCGCTTTCCGTAGGAAACCGATATCATATCGTGCCTCACGAGCTTTCACTGACTGGTCTGCGACAGTACTTATGTAGTAGCTAACCAGCTTGGTTGAGCTGAACAAAGATAACGGTGCAAGTACCTGCTTTCTCCCTTGCAGAGCTTGCGAGTCCATCCTGGGAACTAATCTCAGCCATTCGATCCACCAAATGGAAGGCTCCACAGGCGACACGTCTATGTTTTTGATCAATTGATCAGGTACAACTTGGCCAGCGTAACACGAAGACGGTAATAATTTCTCCGCAAAAACAGGCCTCGACATCAATGATAAAATTAGCCTATTTCGCTCTTATAATGCGGTTCGATATATCAAGACCGATCCTTAGGTCCCCAAGAGTGACCAGTGTGAATTATTTTAAAAAAAAATCGGGTGAAAACTCCTAGCGAACGAGATGCATCTCTAACCCACCCATACAAGGATGTTTTTGCCAGCCTGCAGCGCAGCCCTCAGACAATCGATTGCAATCTATTTTGCCGAGCGAACAGTACCGCATGGCATGCTTCACATCAGTACCTGAACGGGCAAAGGCGAAAAAAAGATGTCTGAACATGCAAGTGGAAGAAGGCAAAAAGGTACCTTTGATGGGTCTCGGCTAAAGCGATTCGAAGGACCGTTGAGTTTAGCCCCGCTTGACATCAGTTACCGTCATAAATTGTTTGATCATAATCGGCATTCGAGAACCGGGTCGTGAAGTCCAATTGATGGATGCAAGCTGCAACAGGCATCTAGCTCGCAAATGCGGGCTGCGATAGATTGGTTTCCACAATGTTGGTTGGTAATCACATTGCATCTCAACAAAGTCGAAGCTCCTCCTCGTCTTCAGCTGGGGGGAACCGCTGCTCGCGGTAAAGTGGCAGGTACCAACCTCTACAAAGCGGAAGAAAAACATAACTGTCATGGAAAAGGCTGAAGCACGAAGCCAATGTGGATGGATAAAATTTCTCTTGGGTCTCCCGGCGCTCCACCTTGGTCTGGGATTCCTCCACTATTGGGTCTAGCCCAGCTTGAGCTGCATACATAGGGTGCAGATAGCGTCGTCGAGCCGGCACGCCTTTGCAGGGCCATGCTCCAGCTAGCTATCAATGCAGCTAGCACCACTTTAATGGCAAAAAAGCTGGGACGGCAGAGGCTCCCCGCCGTCCGTCGCTGCAGGTATATAATCCATTGATTCTCCCCCGTCTACCCAGCTTGCCACCTTCTGCCTCTTTTCTTTAAAGTCTTCTCCTCGACTTCGTCAAATAAAACTTGTACAAAAAAAATGCGGTGGACGACTCAAGTTTTGTTCGCGGCGCCACTCTTGGCTGCCGGTGCGCTAGCACAAACATCATGTACCAAGCTCACCAACGACCTTCCCGCGCCTTCAATGGCTCCGGGTTATATCTCGGACATTGCACTTGGGGGGCTTAAATTCCCAAGAGGCATTCAATGGGATACCACAGGCCATCTGTTAGTCGTAGACCGAGGCGTTGGAATTTATAGATTCTCAGTAGACTCTTGTCTTCACCTGCAGGATCAAAGGCTTATCATCAATGATACTGGGGTAGGTCGTGGGATTTTATCAGCCTCAACACAGTTCGCGCGGGGGCGTCCCTAACTAATGCGGTCTGATTGGATAGTTGAACCATGGTATCTCCATGTCACCAGATGGAAAGACGTTGTTCGCTACAACGAAGGATGTCGCATACTCGTGGTGTAAGCAGTTCAATCCTCAGCGCCGGAAATATCAGTTTGATTAGCCGTCTAATAAGTTTGAATAGCGTATGACCCAGAGACCGGCGACGTCGATAACAGGAAAGCCCTCGTTACTGGCATGGCCAATGCTGCCGAAGATGGTCACATTACTAGAACTCTTCTAAGCCCTATCTCGAAGCCCGATTGGCTCATCATCTCTGTCGGATCCCAATCCAACGTCGATGTTAGCACACTCTCTGTCAACTCTGGAAAGGCACAAATCAGAGCCTTCAATGTCTCTGAGATCTCTGAGAAGCCAGTTGTCTTCCATGATGCTGGATTTGTCCTCGGATGGGGATTGAGGAACAGTGTCGGTATTACTGAGGATAATGAGGCTCAACTATGGAGTGTTGAGAACTCCGTCGATGGAGTCATGAGGTATGAATTGTCCGATAAAACACCATCAAAGCTATACATGCTAATGCATCTTAATATTTAGAAACGGAGAAGAAATCCACGAAAACAACCCAGCTGAAGAACTTAACTTCCACGGCTCCCTTCTCGACTCTTCTCCCCGCGGAAACTACGGTTATCCAAACTGTTACGCCGTTTGGGCCGCCGACGAAATCCCAGATCACGCTGGCCTTCAAACCGGCGACCAATTCGCTCAAATTGAAAACTCCACTGTCAATGATAGCATCTGTTCCGAACGTTACCAACCACCACGTATCTCCTTCCACGCTCATCAAGCCCCTCTTGATCTCAAATTCGACGGTGATGGTCAAGCGTGGGTTGCATTCCACGGCTCCTGGAATCGCGCAGAACCAATCGGATATCGTGTCGTTACCGTTGCTTTCGCAAACGGTCAGCCAAAGGAAGCGAACAACTCCCAATCCGCAGCCATCGAAATCATGGCAAACCCAGATCTTTCACAATGCCAAACGGCTTGCTTTAGACCAGTTGGATTGGCATTTGACACCGCCGGACATCTGTGGATGAGCTCTGATGCTACTGGTGAAATCTACGTTATTCGAAAAGATGACGGAAGCGGTGTGGCTGCTTTTACTAGCGATGCTGCTGTTAGCGGACCAACCCCAGGACCTACACCTTCGGGATCTAGCGACAAGCCGAATAGCGCTAGCGGAGTTGTAGTTAGCGGATGGCTAATGACAGCTATGGTTGGGTTGGGAATGTTGGTTTACATGTTGTAATAAGTTTTGATCTTACAATACAGGAGGGATTTTAGAAGTGCTCAGATGCTTCGCACGAGATGTCTAGAAAGCACGGATACAAAGTATATATCACTCTATGAAGTTATGATTAGTAAAGTAATGTATACATGAATACAATGGAAACTACAAAAAGTCGATTGCTTAATACAGAATACCAACTTTCGATCTAATCTCGCATCGATCAGAGCTTTCATGGATGGAATATCGAATAGATGTTTACAGGCGCTCAAAAAGAAATATTGGCCATATGGTAGACTCGAATGCTATAGATTATTCATGACCAAGCTATCCCATCTGTATCAACCATTGACTCTGCCCTTTCTCTAACATGCCGTAGCATTTTATGCACCTTCTCTGCGTCGTCAACAACATGAAGTGGCCCTGATATCTTCCTCTCTTCATCCTGATCTTCAACCACAAGCCTTTTCAAATCCGGGCGTCCATTTTCTCTCCCAGTCCACTCCCAAAACTCCACAGCCATCTCACTCACAGCCGCGATAGTAATATGATGTTCTCCAATATCAGCACCCGGTGACAACGTCATAACCAGTAATATCGCCTCTCGCGCATCATCCCCGAACTTCCTATGCTTTCCAAACTCATAGGAATTATACGGCCAAATGATGACGAGTAAATAGCAACGAGTGGCAACTACACCCGGCGAATGTGTCCATCTGCGCCATTGGGGTACTAGGCGGTAGGACACAATTCTGGGATGGAGACGGTAGCTGATGAACCACGTCCCGTCTTCGCGTGGGAACTCGGTGTCAAGGATATGAACCCAGAGGGAGAGCGCGAAGTTCCTTTTGTAGGATTTGGCTGCTTCTAAGGCCGTTTGTACCTCCAATTTGGCGAGGTAGAGTTCTGAGGACATCTTGATGGCCTGTTAACGCTTGGATTGGTAGTGCTGCAGCCCCGGGTTTGTGCCGCGATCGCGCGACTCGGCTCTGGATATGTAAAGATGTTACCCCTTAGCTTAGCTTCACTTGAGCAGGGGATTGATATCGTCGAAGTTAACTTAAGAGGAGGGCTAACAATATATCGATATCCTACCCAACTATATAAAGTATTCAAGTTTTATTGCTATTTTACGGTTTAAATCTTTTTTTCGCTCATTGTCATCAGATCTATCTTGGCGTATAATTCTAGCGCTAACTCGCTGATGGCGGTGGGTCAGGTCGGCAATAACATTGCTTAACTTAACACCAAGCTCAGGCCATTCGCCACCATACATATGGAAACCATGTCTGCCATATATAAGGCACTGTCAAAGACGATTATAATCGTCCCTTCCTCCGTTATAATCTATACATTCATATATCTAACCGTTATTTTTTTTTTTGAATTCTAACCTCAACTGTGGTGGATTATTGGATTCGAGGCTAGCGGATTGTAGAGGCCGCTTCTTGAATTAAATTTGCATGCAAACAACAGTGGGGCCTGGTTGTTCATGTTCTTTCTAATCAATGCTTGCTTTGCTGGAATAGAGTCAATCTTAGTTGCTCAAATTAGTCTTGACATAACTGAAAAGAAAAATCTAACAAGGTTGGCCTGGTCTTGTTCCCAAATGCATTGAATGTTCCCTACGAAGTCTAATTACTCCCCTTGCCCCTACCGAATTTCAGTTATTCCAATCTATTATCCTACTATATCGTTCGTGTGATACTTCTTTCCCTCGCCAGCACAGGGATCCATGCTTATCGAAGCTATCGGACTGGGACTGAATCGATAAGCTAGGCAATACTCAAGTTTCGTTGAACTATGCGACCTTGATCGTTTTCGATAACCTTTGCAGCGACTGCCCCCTGATAGTTTATTCAGTTCATGAGCTGATAGAGCATGATGAATGGAGATCTTTTATCTTTCTCGTGAGTGGCTCACTTTACAACCATTAAGCTAAGATCTAACCTCTAATTCTAGTTTATTCGGAGAGTGGAATTCGAATAGGTTCTCATCGATATTTGAGTGCGCACGTGCCTTGCGAAGATCAGCTGTTAATCTCTATCTACTTATATATTGAGAGATCCTTAGCCTCTCTTCCTGCTCCACTCATCGATATCTACCTGCGCTTCGAATTGCCGCAAAAAAACACTTCTGTGTAATAATTGCGATCTTAATATGTTGCAATTGATTATCGATGCGACCATCTAATTGTTACAATCCACAGTCGCACGGCCATATATGGCGTAAATCTTTACGAATATTTATTAACGGAGAATTTTCACCGGAATTAGCTAGAAGAGATCAGCCATTCCGAAAGTCTACGGGCAATTAACTAGCTTAGCTGTCCCTGCAGCTTAGCTATCTTATCGATTACAACTGCAAGCCTTAACTGAGCGGACTTACTATGTAACTGAGCGGAGGGGCATTTTGTACTCGACTGTTTCTTGTTGCGTATGATTTTCTCAAGCTTGAGGCTACAGAATAAACATGTCGGCCCAGGATTTCCTAAGCATGGGCTAAGAAAGGGGTATGAGGGATGTGTAGAAAGTATGGAATGGAAAGCACCCGGTTGCCGCATTTGCCAAAGTGGAGGCCAAATCTTGAACCTGACACAACAGTAATTTATCGATCGCTCAATTCCGAGTATGCCATTTTCTTGGCCAAAAACCCTTTTGTCAACGAAGTTCCCAGGGTTTTAATGTTTCGTTAGGCTTCGGCACCGCGTCCGAGGGCATAAGGGGGTGGGAAACAAAGCTAAGGTGATGGTTGTTACCAACTCGCTAACCATTTTAGGCGCTATCGTTTCGGGGAAAGTGGTTCTGAAATCCGGTGCGCCGTTTATGCCATATCCAGCGACGCCTCCCATAAACTCGTTGACATCTTACTTAATGTCCCCACTATCTTTTAAGGACGTTGGAGCTGTGTAAACGTTCGGGGCAAGGATCGTCGGCCGCAGTTGTGAACTTTGCTCTTGTTTGCAACATGGGGGCGCACAAAGACAGGGTATATTAATATAATGGGGAGGGAAGAAACACATGGAATCCATGTGTCCAAGAGGTAATTATGATCCTGGAAAGCGATAGTATCCCCTTCGCTATAGCTATCATGTCTCGGCTTCAATTTTCCAAGGCCGCACATGTTGGAAAGCAGGTTTGTTAAGGGTCAACATTTTTTTGGACGGATATACTTGGTATAGAGATGGTCTAGTATAGTAGGTCTGAGCTCGAGCTCCACTTCAGCGGATTTGTATTTAAGGAGTAGTGGGCTTCTGATGAAGAAGGAAAGGGATTTACATCTTGCTCTTCCAAAGTCTGAATTGAAAAATAGTATCGATCTGAGATTTATTGGTTTCTGTCACTCTTTACCGCTTTCCTTGTTATAGTTGATTAATTGAGTTCTTCAACTTATCTATACCCATATATCAAAATGGTTCGATCGACTTTTCTTTCCCTTTCTCTCCTTTCGCTCTTCGCGGGACTGGGTTACTCGGCACGCGATGTTGTCGCAGACGTAAGTATATTAAAGTTCTCAAAACACTCTCACTTATAAACCCTGGCTAACAATTTGACGATCTGTCTTTCTAGTTCGAAAATTCCCCCGAGTACGACGCCCCAGTTGGTGTCAACTCCGACATCCTCTTCACTAATTTCAACGTCGTTGAAAACTCTGGCGGACTAGCCGCATCCGCCCGACTACCAGTCAGCGACGAGTTCAGCCCTCCTGCTTTGGAAATCCTCTACCCGGGCTCAGAGGTCGCTGGGTTCAAACCTCAAGAACTCAAATTCGGCTGTCAAGTCCATGTCCCCAACGAAGGCGCTACGCCAATGATTTGCAAGGTTGCCTTCACACCTTATGTCACAGTGTCCAACCCTGATGGCACACAATCTCTTCAGGCTTTGGATTCGCAGGAGGAAGAGTCTTACCCTGGACTTATTAGTGCGGCTGATGGGATGAAGAAGGCTACTTTCAACCTTGAGAACGATATCACTCGACTTGTGATCACGATCTCAGAAAATGAGACGTTTTTGGCGGGTTTGTTGACTGGGATGCCTGGAGCTTATTGTACGATTGTGATTGATGATGTCAAATATGCCATTACCGAGAAATAGGCTTGGGCTGGATGAAGTATTTGGGATTTGTATGATACTTAGATAGATTAACGGGTGTATACATCGTGTATTTTTAGCATCTATATATGATGGGAATAGAACTTAGATAGAAATATCTAACTTATATGGTGGAGCTTCGATTTTATTTTTGATTACCATTGTATCATCCATGCGGGTGGTTATAGTAACATGCACTTAGTCCGTGAGAGGATGTCGGCTGGTCCCAGTCGATCAATCCATGGATTCTAGCTATGTGGATTCAAATATTCTAGCTAATTATAATCTGGTAAATATATATTACTTGGGAACAGCCAGAATCGTCAAAAGGCTGATGACTTAACAATCCGTATTGTAAATGATTTTTATTTATTTCTTACTAGTAAGTTTTTAGTAATTTTTAATGGCATCCGCCCCTTTGGGGGTGGCTGCGCAGGAGACAAGATAATATCGTATTTGTGGCATTGGCAGTTTCTAGTATCCACTATTTTATTACATTCGCCCACGCCTCTAGTCAAATTTTATGGTTACTTATATTAATTATGATATTCCGCCTGACATATAGAGTAAACACGGGACGAAGTAGTATTCATTCTGCCGGTTATTTGCTTATGAGCTCGGTTCCACTGACTTGTTAGAAGTGCCTAATAAACATGCCCTGGTCTGGTTCACACCGAAATAAAACAGCTTGCACCACCCTGGGTTCGTTACTCTATCTTCCCCTGCTCGTATTTGTCTGACAACTAAATTCCATGCCCAATGACCCATTGATGGCGCCTTACCAGAGACCTGACCTACCAAAATAGTGCTTGCACTCCGGAAACCCAATTGTGTTGGACTGTTGCAAAACCATTTGTCAAGGATTCCCCAGCTGCATCGATAGCCGACATCTTTCGAGCAAGGCAGGTAGTAAGAGCCTCTCCAACCTCGCGCTCTATCGGTGGTCTGAGACACTGAGGCCTTAAGTTTGTCGATAGTTAGAACCCGTCTTTTTCTGACAAGGAATCCGGCGTTATCCGATTCTGCGGGGTGAGTGTTTAAAACGCGATATGATTCCAAAGTTTTTTTTTTGTAGCTCGTTTTTTTAAAGTTGTCCTTCGATATCTTTCATACTCGCAAATACTTCCAAATTCGAGTGCATTGCATTACACCTACGAGGAACCGAGTTTACCGATTTTTTCCTTTTCCCTTTCTCGATACGTACAGTACTTATTGATTACCTTCACGTGCAGCTGTAGATAAGCCTTATCGCATATCGATAAACTAGCGTTACGTTACACAGGAATCAACCTCTACACCAAAATATATATATACCATTTCTCCATAATGTCGACATACGCGAAAGCGGATCCTGTAACCGTCTCCCTCGATGAACTCGAAAGGGGTACTGTTCCGTTCGAAAAGCTAGAGGACGCCTTCGGACCCGAATCGTTGGGTATTCTTGTCGTGTCGGATCTAGATGCGAAGTTTGCTGCGCTTCGTCTGCGACTACTATCATACGCTACCCACCTTGGTAATCTTCCGGCCGCAGACCTGGCTGCGCTTGAATGCGAGGAAGCGAAGTGGCTTGTTGGCTGGTCTTGTGGGAAAGAAAAGCTCGATAACGGGAAATACGATACATTAAAAGGCAGTTATTATGTTAACTGTGCATGGTATAAAGATCCGAAGCTAGACGGTGCTGAAGGAGACTATCCGCATCTACCGGAATATACAAAAGGAAATATATGGCCAACAGAGGAAATACTGCCTGGTTTTAAACAGACATTCCAAGAGCTGGTATGTACAGGATCCATGAATGTTAATACTGGGGCTGTGATTGGTTACTAAGTAATAATTTCATAGTGCGCCTTGATAATAGATACTGCAGTACTTGTCGCCCGAGCTTGTGACCGATATGCAGAGAAGAATATCACAGATTACAAGAAGGGTTATCTCGAACATATAGTCAAGACTTCTTCTTCGAGCAAGGCTAGACTTCTCCATTATTTCCCTCCGCCAAGCTCTGCGACCGAAGAAAGCGAAGACGATCTGGATAGCTGGTGCGGAACTCATCTCGATCACGGCTGCCTTACTGGCTTAACATCGGCCATGTTCGTAGATGAGAAGTCAAATCTACCTTCAATACAAAATGGCGTCGAACTGGAGGAGCTTGCAGCTTCCCCGGACCCAGACTCGGGATTATATATTAAGAACAGAAAGGGAGAGGTTGTCAAGGTTGGAATTCCAAGGAGTTGTTTGGCTTTCCAGACGGGCGAAGCTCTGGAGGTAATTACACAAGGAAAATTCAAAGCCGTGCCGCACTTCGTTAAAGGCGCCAGGGCTTCGAAAGCACCCGGAGTTGCTCGAAATACTCTAGCCGTTTTCACCCGTAAGTAAAAATTTGGGAACATTATTTTTATTTTGTTTTTTGCGACGTCAATTTTGAAATAGCTTAGCTGACTAACCTTGGGTTTTATAAATTTTATAGAACCGAATTTGTTCGACAAAGTGGACCACAGAGACTTCGCTACTTTCGCCAAGGAGATCGTTGAGCGAAATCATTAGGGCAGAACGTGATCCCTTCGAGAATGCACGGAATTTAGCTGAAGGCGCTCTAGCCATCACTTATAACTAGGCAATCGAATTTGCGACTTCATGTGAATGGCCAATTCCGAGAGACCGTAAATTAAAATTAACGCTGGCGCTTGGACTGGGTAATTGAGTTGCGCACATCGAATTACAACGTCGCATCCACTTCAGGGGGCCCTTTCACGAAGCACGGTTATGACCTGACAAAGAATCACTCGTTAATTATAAAATCCTCAACCTCCCCCCAAGAATTTTTCTAAAAAAAAATTCATCACGCATTATGAACTGTATATTTGTACAATACCCATTATTAAACCACCATCCTTACTTGCGAATGCGATTTCTCGTATTTTATTCCTAAAAGTGGGGTGTCATATTCCCCCACCATTAATTGCGACGATAGCGAAGGAGAAATAAGCAACTTTGGGAACCGAACTAATTGTCGCCTTCGAGCTGCCCTCCGTGTCGACGCGGAGCACATGCACACCATTACCATCCAGACAGTACATATCTGGCAATTCCTGCCAGCCGATTGCGTAAAGACGATGTGCCACTGACGATACTTATATATATACCCAAGCCTATCGACCTTAATAATTTCCGATTTGTCCAGGAGACGTCGTCCTCGCATTTACATTTCCTAATATACATACATATCACTCGCCCGAACAAGCTCTCCAGATCAGCTCCACTATTTGTAGTGTTGTACAAATTTTAAAATACCCAAGTTAGAACCATACATATCTATTATTGCATCGACCGCATTTTTTCAGGCGCAGAAACAAAAATTAAACTTGAGGACTTTCAGATATTCAAAAAAAAAAAAATACCATGCTTACATTATTTCCAAAACGACCTGCGAAAAAGTCGCTACTTTCGCTCCCCGACGAACTACTTACTCAGATCGCTCTTTACGTGCGCCAAACCGAAACATGGCGATGGAAGTTAATCCAGGATATCCCCGTACCCCTCATCGAAAGTCAAGAGATCCCGGTGGAAGTATATAGGGAGAATATTAATGGCCACCGCGACTTTGAAAGATACAAACCAGACCCTGCGGAGCTTGAGGGTCTGATGGGAAGTTGTAGGAGACTTCGGGACATTGTTTATCCGCTGTTTTACGAAAGACTGTCAGTTGCAGATAGAGCTCCAAAGTCGGGGTTTGAATCTGAAGGCGGGATTCAAAAGATTGCGATAGCTGTTGTACCGCGGTTTCTGGAGATTATTCAAACAGACCCCAAAAGATCAGAAACTGTCAAAATCCTTTCGATCGAAGAATGGTGGGAGACGGATCTTTGGTCTAGTTCGTATTGGGGAGGGAACGCGACACGAGGCCAACGGGAGGAAGCACAAAAGGGCAAACAAGTCGAATGGCAGCGAATGATCCAAGTTTTGAATAAGATTGCGACAGATCTTGGGCTTGGCGACCAAAAATTTCTGGATGCTATTGCGGAAGGGAAGTCGGACATGATTCTGACGCTTCTGATATATAGCCTACCGAATTTGGTGGAACTGAAGTTTAGAAAGGACGCATCGCATAGTGGTTCATACGCCTCACGGTTTAAGCCGCCGTTGTTGCTCGAAGAAGCATTCAATACGAGACCACCTAGATGCGAGAGCACATTAACGAAATTCGAATATGGAAACGCCTGGGGGGCATCTGCTCGGTCATGGTGCCCAATGTCATTCCAGTTGTTAGAATTCCCTGCAATACAATATTTCACAGCATTTGGGTTACGACCTTCCGAACAGGATGAGGAGGGCGTAGTTTACGATAAGGAATTTGGATGGGGCGACAAAGATATTGCAAACTACGATCAGATGGAAGGCAGGGTCAAAATCTTCAAGTCTAACGCCGGTCGATTCTCGAGACCCACTAGCTTCATTGTCGGAGCTACTACAGGAAATACAGAAACCGACTGCATGTGTCACACACTTGGGGATGACGCTGGCCCAATGTGTATATGTTGGGTTCCCCAGAAAGGAAGCTGCGAAATCAAACACATGGCAATCGACGACTTTGCTACAGCTGGAATCCACCTCGACAAAGTTATATGTGCGCCGAAAGCACTAGAATCGCTACATCTTATGCGCGGGTGGCACTACGGAGCCGAACGAATTTCAATCGGAAACGCTGTTCTCTCCCACTCAGCATCACTAACCAGCTTCAAAATCGACTTTGGAGGAGTATACGGCCGCCTTCTCGTTCGTGGTTTAATAAACCTTACACATTTGGAAGTCGAAAATCGGATATTCCGAAGCGATGGAGCGGTAAATCTAGCTGTTCCGGCAGAAAACCCAAACACATGGCTACCACCTACGCTTGTTTCTTTGAAGACGTTTTGTTCGAGAGCACGAGGGGTTTGGTATCACTGCTCGCCTATTGGCGAGGTACTACGAACTCTGTTGCCAGAATCATTACCGAATCTGAAACATGTATCGATGCAGGCATTTGTAAATTCTATGCCACTTAAAGAGTTCAAAACAACACATAGTATGCTAGGCGAGAGGAGTATTAGGTTTGAGTATTCATATCTTCAAACAGAGTCTCCAAAATGCCTATCAAAAGAAAGAGGGAAACGCTTCTTTGGGCTCAACGACCGATCTGGGAAGGGAGATGTTGTTTCCAGGGTCGTTGGGCATGTGAAAAAGCTGAGCCTCAGAAAAGTCAGGTAGATATGACGTTACCCCCAATCATAACATGTATAACTTGCGTCCGGATCGAAACTAATGAATATTTGTTGAGTGTCTTTTCATGTAACAGCCCTTTTAAACATTTAAAATAGCTGAAGAACGATGAGTTTGCTCTAGATACAGTTTTTGGCCCTTTGGGTGGCTTCGTCTTGGCTTTGTTATGCGCGGTTGACCATCACTTAAGCCTAGATGGTCGTCTTGTAAATAAATAATGTCTGATCTTACGACTTATTGAAAAACGTCGAACGTGGACAGAATATAGGCTGCTTTGGCCTCGACTCATGAGTAGAGAAGGGGCCGATCCCATACCCAGATGTCTAAAGAGCGACTTTGAGGAGATACCGAGAGAATTAGTGTACTTCGCCTCCTAGCGCACAGCGATGTCGGTTGTGTAACCCGGTGGCAATTTGGCCTTGGTTCGAGAGGTTTTGTCGTGTCTTTTACCAAACCCCGACAGAGCGCTCGCAGCTCCTGCGTAACGAATCATTTTTTTTTCACTATCGCAGAGCATTAGCCGGAGTCAAGATCTGGACTTGGGGGCGAATTAGAAATCCAAGGCTCATTCATGTCTCGGACGCGGACCCGTTTGACAGAATACATCTTTTCGAATAAAGCTCCGTTGCTCTTCACTGTAGCCTCGTCTTCAGGAATATCGGCTTTCCCATAGAACTGATGGTCTCCCCAACAGCGTTTTTTGTGCTCAAAGATACCCGCATCTGCCCAAAACTGGCGCTTGGTATTGCGACGGCCTATATCTTCATCGGATGATTCGGAGGATTCACGACGAGCACACCGCTGGCAGATTTCCATCTCTGTGTTATCCTCTGACGATTCAGGATTTTGATTTGTCGCCCATACAGCATCTAGATGCTGTTTAGCTGATAGTAGAAACCTATAGAGAATAACGCCACATTTATTTTCCGCCCGGAGCCTATGGCACTGTTTATTAGACTTGTACCTCTTCTGGGAATTTAGGACTACAAATTTGTCTAGGATTCGAATTTGCACCCTCATATTCTTTGGGAGTTTCCCGTTACCGGTGACAACATGCTCTATATATTGTCGTGGGAATTTCGCACTTATTAAGCCCACCGTCGAATCTGAATTTAAATGAATTATCTCAACCTGTCTGCTTTGTTAGCTAGATTTGGGCATCATAGCGGGGGGTGGGTTCTCGAATCTCATAAAAGTCGAGAACTTTATTGTAATGATATCGATTTTGTGCTATGGCGAGTAAACTGGCAAAGGTGTATGGAGTTATAGGGTAACTTGGGCTACGGGTCTTGGGCTTCTTCCGTAGAAGTCTTCGGCTCAAAACCTTGTCTTCGGTATGCCAATTTGTAATTGCGATGAATATTCCTATATTCCCGGAAATTATAGCATAACGTCTTCTGCTACTGTTGTGGTTTTGATTTGGTTTACTATAAGTTTGAGTTGTACCCTCTTACGGCTGTAAAGAAAAGCCGATTGATTAGTAGATAGTTTGGGCTGAAGTATTTTAGATAGAACCAGATAACAAAACGATACACAAGGGTTCTTACAACGCGATGATCGTATGAGAGTTTATTAAAAACAAGAAAATCGCATATAGAGTGACGAAGGAAATCAGAGAGCACTATGTAATAAGGACAACCAGGCATGCGACGTGGTAGTAGTAGTAGTCTCGGCGGGATCCCTTCTCTTAGATCTAGACGTGGCAAAATCAAACCTCGGGGTATTTTAGAGAGTCGAAAATGATCTAGATGATGCACGCCCCAGCTCTCAGGCAGGACGTAAAGAGGTTTCCGGCTTGTTTTCTTTAAAGCATCGAATATAGACATTTTGCTATTTGAAGTATGTGGTGGACATCGAGCTCGCGAGGTGAAGGTGGACAATAACTGCCGGTGATGTATGTTAATGTTGGGATGTTGAATGCGAACGTGTCTGTGTGACTAGCCAGTGTCGCGTTGTCACGTGTCACCTCATAATGGCCAATTCAGTGCAACCGGCAACGTTAACCTTAGCTTAGCTTAGCTAAGCTTACGTTTACTATAGCTAAGTAATTAATATAATTAATTACATTAAATTACAACAGTGCAGAGCTGTAGCTGTAGTTGCATTGCAACTGTACTGTAGCATGTAGAGCAAGCGCAGACTACGTATACATAAACTACCAGTATATGAGTCTATATAGTCTCGAGGCTATCGATATCGATAGTATCGGTATGACATATATGCATGTGCTGTAACTGTTACAAATATATTGGAGAAGCTTAGGTAAGGCGTCGAAACCAACCTTATAGCTTAGACTCCTCGCTTTAAATAGCTAGTAACTATTTAAACTCGAGCAATTGCGCGTAGTCACGCATTCTTGATTGCTAGCTAGCAATATGAGTTCTGTATTCAATGTAAAAATATATATATCTTTGTTGGCATGCATGCAGCAATAAAAAACAAGACGCACTCGGTACCTAGCCTCGAGACCACTCGGTACCCTCCAAAATTGCGAAATAACAAATGTACATACGGGGCTCGATGGTTCGACTGGAGCCGGCCCAGTCGCGTATTATCTGCTCTGTGCCACAGCTCTTGTGCACTCTCTAGATTTTCTTGGTATCGATATCCACATACATGCATATGCAATGCATAGCTGCAGTAGGTGCTTTTGAGCTCTCAAATTGATAGTACGTGGCTCTAAAGAGGGGAAGCTGTATCTATAGATCTACCCCGTTTCCATATTTGTGATATGGTAATTACTTAAGTACAGTGATGAGAGTTCTGGAATTCAAACCTACGTAAATCTTGTAGATTTAATCTGTCTTAACTTATTAATACTTAAATACACCTATACATCCTGTCCCGGATTTGCACGATTGTCCTCGGCTTCTCACGGAGTTATTAACTAGGGCATTAGTTTGGGCACAGGCTTGTCTCTCTCAGATCCTCAAACGCAGATTAATATTTAAAAAATCTTTGAAAGGAAAAAAATCTAGCTTTCTTAACTACTTCGTGTCCTGACTTCGTTAAAGTTAGGATTTTCCTCGATGTCAGCGTTGGCCGGTAAATCTGGAGGGGACAACTATCCGTCAACGGTGTCTCAATTTGAACGGGTATTCTCCTCTAGAAATGACCATTCTGAAAGCTTTGAGTTCCTCGATCTCCACCAGAGTGGTAGTCACTGGGGCCTTGAGAATCTGAAGTACTTTCGAGTCTTAGAAAAAGTTCACAGTGGGCCGTTTCTCATCTACGAACGAATTATTCAAGATGTGAGGAGGCTATCGCCAATTCCTCACGGGAAAAAGATCTTCAATCTTTGTGTGATATAAAAGATATTGTTCTGAGAACGAAGAATCCGATAGAGTTAGGAGCCTCAGCTAGGGATACTAAATTTGGGCCGTTTATGATAGCTATCGGCGATGCTATTCGCAAAGACTACGGAGATTCGCAGAAATCACTTGCTAGTGACGGAAGCCACAATCAATGGCCACGCGCTGCAAGACAAGCTTCGCAAAACAAAAAACGACGATCTCGAGCTCTCCGTTTTCATCAGAACAAGCTTCTAGTCCTCCGCCAAAGACTGGTCATTCGGGCAGCGCTTACTCCGATAGTAGGGATAGTCAGTCAACAGGACAACAAGATCGATGAATCGAAGGCAGAACCCATGTCACACTATTTGGCAAACCAATTTATTCAAGGAACCATATTGGAGTACATGAACCCGGATTCATTGTTCTCGAGGTACCATACTCCTGAAAAAAAGATAGATAACGCTTATCTTTGGTATGAGAGCTGGCCGCACCACTCCCAAGTTAAAGCTGGTATTGTCAATTCCAGAGTATACGACGATGGCTGCTTTACCGTTCTTGTAAAGAATACGGGTTCGAGTGGTGAAATCACGAATTTTACCTGGGTTTGCTCTGTTGAGACAAAGAGAGACATGCGCATTTTAGATCCAGAATCTTTGACAATTTCGACCGCAGGTGGCGATTGTCAACGACTAGGACAGAATATCGCTGAAATGTGGGCGACTATCTATCGTCGTATTTGGACCGCAGCCGACTTTGAAACTGTAAGAAACCTTAAGCCGATATATTATATATCCTCTTGGATACATAACTATAGTCTAGGGTTTGGAAGGGCTGTAGTTGTAATTAACTGGTAGGTAGGCTGATGTAGCCATGATTTTTAGGCTGAAGCAATGATTGACAGACTTAGCGACGAAAATCTACGGTAAGTATCACCAGCTAATATAATGCACATCAATATCCCGCTCCTTCTTGTACGGTAATACAACTAGTATTAGAATATCTCTAACTATAATCTACATGTCGGAGTCGGTCCCGATTTAGTGTATTCCTTATAATATTTCAGCACACTCATTTCCAGATTGCGACGACTCGGTTCACCAAAGAGTATTTAAAAAGCTATCTCGTCCCCGGCTACGATTCCGACCTTAGTAGCGAGAACTACTACTTGACCGTGGATTTGAGCTACCGACGAGATGTAGCTAAGAGGACACATCGCCGAGATGCTATAGTCATGATGGCTTCGTTGATCGACTACTTTTACAATGTACATATAATAAACGCCTCACCGATACTTTCTAGTACCGTCGGTGATGGGCTTGACGGTCACCAGGCCGCTGGGTATGACATCGGTGGGAGCGGTGATTTTCTACCAAGGCCCGAGGACGAAAACCCCGATTACTTGATGGAAGACGGCGAAGGCAGCAACGAAGAGGACTTAGCGAATGAAGACCGAGAGAACTACGGCGGAAATCAAATGGATGAAGATTACGATGCAGAGAGCTATCCCCGACATGACCTCGGAGGGAATTTTGTGGACGAGTTATCATATATCGTTGCACCAGCCCAAACGAAAAGGAGGAAATTATAGAACGCGAAGATTAATACTGTGAAGAAGAAAAGCTTACGCTGTATTGGTAGTATATTTATTATTAAATTCGATAGGACCGTCCACAAATGAAATTTCCCCCGTAGGCCTTTTTCTATTCCTTATTTGAGTCGCTCTTTTCTGAGAGCTATTCATCAATAGGCTCCGTTTCCTCAAAATGTTCTTTCACAAGCCATAGAAAAGGCTGGTAGTGGCTCCAAGAATCCGGCCCGCTTAAACTAAAAAAATAGTGGAAGTGCGGTTAGTAAAACAAACCAAAATCTGGGAACCGAAGACTCGAATTTGTGGGCAGCGAAGGGAGAAGTTATACCCTTCTAAAACACTAAGTTTGACATTAACATTATTCCCAAGCTCCCCTTCGCCGGTTATCACATGCTCAATGTATTTCCCTGTGAATTCAGCACTGATTAGAGTGACAGAGCAGTCTGCTTCGATGTATATCAAATCGGCCTATAAAAGAAATTAATTAGTCAATTGCACTACATTAAACTTACTCGAGGTTCAAAAACTAATGATAAAAGAATACCTCATATATTTCCAAGCTCCGACAACAGTAATATCGATTCTGCGCTATCGCCAACAGAGCTGCAAATGAAAACGGTGACAACGGGTATTTACGCTGATCCCGCTGTACAGCATATCTTTTCGGTAACCTCCTTAGCATCTCTGCGCCCGACAACCTACTCTCTTGAACAGAGCTAAGGATGGCAACAAAAACTCTCTGATCAATGTAGTTTGTATGTGCGTAAACCACACAATCTGGTACTATCGGTGTCTTGATTCTTTTCAATGTGAGATCGATGCTAAAATAAATGTATACATACAAAATCTACATATTAGCAAACAACGTTGAACTTAAGAAACTAAGCAAAGATGATCACCACGAACCGATGCCGGTCCGTTTGGGCATAGTATTTATAACTCAACCCGATAGCCTCAAGCAACTCAAATATTGCCGACTCACAGAACCATCGTAAGTCAACATATTTCTTTGATCTCGGAGCCGGTGTACCCGGAATTGGATTGAGGGCTTCCAATATATCACTCGGTATTATCGGTAACTCGAGCCTCGATATCGTTTTAGAAACTCGGAGATGCTCGAGATGTTCCTCTCGCCATCTTAATGGTGGGACGTAGAGTGGTAGACGGGTATTCTTTTTCAAGCAATCGAATACGGACATATTTTTAGGGATTGGTACCGCTGTAATGGGGTGGTTATTGGGCGGTATATGGGCCGTGGGGTACTCAAGCGTAGGCTGCAATAGTTACGCCTCCCGATGCCTGTTCGAAAAATGCAACAGACAACATTTTAGAAGGCCGTTCTTTGACGGAATGTTGATTACTATACTCTGATCAACACTGTTGGATTTCGTATCGACATAATCTATCCTTACTTGAGCTACGTCTTCTTTCATAAATATCGTGTTAATGTTTACTATTATGAAATAACCATGGCAAACGAAGCTTACATTAACTAACATATGAGGATTTTGTAGCTTATTACCAGTAGCGGAATATTACATCTTATAAATGATGCTATAGTAAATGTAGTTCTTCATTTTTCCATACGTTGCTATTCTATGTTAATTAACCTATTTCTTATTTGGTGAATACTCAGGTTTATTATATTTACCGGTTCGTTATTTTCTATATACTAACCTTAACAAAATTCAATATCCCATGCATGCACGATTGCTCCGAGAAATGATGTTCCGAAGTAAATTTATAAAATAGTTTGCTTTCAATGTCATGGTCAAGTTTATTTCATCAGGAGAGGACTTAAACATCACTTGAAAAGTAGTTATGAACATCGACGCGAATTCGCGAATTGACTGATTTAGCTTTTGAACTTGTCTCGTACCCAGACCTGGAAGTTTTGTACCAATCTCAAGGTATATCCATATATATGGCCGGCCTTTTCAAAAAAGAAAGGAAAAGAATATTCCTAGAATCCTATCATATAAATTCCTTCACCGTCTCATCCTAATCCTATATATGTTCCTACCAGCATCCAACAGCCTACAATGTTATCCCCCGAATCCAACGACACCCCCTGCAATCCTAAACCCCAAATCCTCGCTAGGATCCAGAAAACCAGAAAACATAGCTGATTCCTGCCCCCTAGTACTAATCCATCCCGACAAGACAAACCTATTTTCCTACCAACCCAACTGGGTCCTACGCCAAATTTGCATCGAATTCCTCGAGCTCAGGGTCTGTGAATATTATGCAGAATGTACTCAGGGTCAAAACCTAGGGATTAAACCTATTCCTAACGTTATAACTAGTTGCGGCTTCCCTAGGAAAAAGGAAAATCTAGATTATATATTGATTTCCTAGGGACAAAATCTTCATCCACCCCTCTCTCCTAAATTTATATCGTACCATCTGGAATAAAAGTGGCTCTACGTACACACATATATCCCTTCCTCTTTCCCGAAAATAAAACTAAAAAACAAAAAGTCCCACTAGGATAAACGAAGAAAGCAACTACCCTGATAAAGCCTTACGCCGATACCACAAAAATTCCTCCATATATATCTCCCAATTACAACACTCGATCGAAGGAAAACAATAAAGAAGTGAAGAAGGGAGTAAAAATATGCCATCGGCCGTTCATACTTATACAAGAAGGTAAAGGGCTGTGTAAGTTCTGGTAAATTACAAAATACCGTCCGTTCGAAGAAGAAGAAAAAAGGAGATACTTTATATAATACTGTCCCGGAAACAAAAACGAAAATGAGAAAAAAAGGTTCTTGATACATGAATAAAATAAATATTACACAAGACTATATTCGACCTACAGTTGTGCTATGCTTTGAAACATAAAAGAAGAAGAGGAAAAGAGTAGTAAATAAAACTAAAAAATGTAGAAAAGGAAATGAAAAGAAAAAACGATAGGAAAGGCAATAAGAATGTAGACGAAGAACCGGGGACACCACCATACCACATTCAAACTCCGTTGATACATGATTCCGACGCTAAGGTAATCAAAACGCAAGAGAAGGGGAAAAGAAGAGACAGTAGTACATATCCAGGAGCCGTTAAGATGAAAGGAAATGGAGTTTGGGTATACATGAGTTGTAAAGAGAAAAAAAGGCGTTCGCTGAGACGCAAAAACAAACCAAAAGCGCTGTGCTAGTTATGTGTTTGTGCAAACAAAGGAAATTTCAAAAGTACAGGATGAGGTTAGCTAAAATGCCAATAGACAGTAAATTTGCAAATCGTTCGCTTGCTTGTCGAAGGTGGAAAAAGAGACACTATACTATGGCGCAGGGAAGTGGAGATATGGTAAGACTAAAGCAAGCATGTGTGACGTAGCAATCAAAAACAGGCAGGGGAGCCATTTGCCTCGAGGTTTACATCGTTTTATACGATACCTGGGCGGCCAAAGCAAGAGCATTGCAATGCAAATAGAAAAGAAAAAAAACATAACTGCAAAAACAAAAGGCCAGAACTCCGAGGCGTATATTTGACGAAGTTCCTTGAATTCCCGATACAAAACCTAATAAACCCCCACACAGGACTCCGATAATAAAAAGAGAAGAAAACTGTCGGAAAAAAAATAAGCCCTCAAGTAATATCCGCTATGATAAAGCTTCTGATAACCATCATAAGGGAGCATAAGGAGATTTTATCAACTGTGACAGGGAAAAACAGGGGGTGGTCCGCGGGGTGTACCATAGTAAATAGTGCGTGCGAGACAAAACCATTATAACTCCACATTATGGAGAATTTGCTGCGATGCAGCATCGGCAATTTGGGAATTGATCAACATGTTCGAGTAATCAACCCCGGCGAGGACAGCTTGTGTGTACCTACAAACACCAAGGCGTATCAGCACTCTGGCACGTGCTACAGGGAAAGCAATGGGTATGAATCCACATACTCCTCTTTTCTAGTCGAGGCCTTTAATCTTCCGGCAGTCAAACGTAGAATCCCTTGATCGATATTTCGAATGTGGAGTTCGATAGGAACTTCGACAATCCCCTCCATAAGGCTTGGTGCTGCAACTGTTTCCCTGAGTTGTTCGAGATCGGCGCTCATGCGGTCGAGTTCAACAACAGTGGCGGAAACGTGGCTGAGCGCCGTTTTTCGATAGTGATTTACGTTGTGTAACAAGGCAACTTGTTCCTTGCTGCGGGCGATTTTCTGCTTGTTGGCTCCGAGTTTAGTGAAGATTGCGGACAAAACTTCGTCATGCTCCATCTTGACGTGATTAGCTTCGCGGGAGATGATTTCGTCTATAACATAAAAATTAGTTCATACCATCTCGTAGTAAGGTTCCTGTGGGGGAGAGGCTTACGAATTGTTGTAAGTTTTTCTTCCAGCTGGTCGAGAATAGTGAGAACGTTCTGGGCTTCTAGAACTAGTCGTTGCAGCTGTCCATTCATTCCTTCGGTCGTCTTGGTGAAAGTATTGGCGACGTCTCTGCGAATCTGGTCATTATCCCTCCACAGAACCAAGCTGCTAAAAGACTTGGGACCCGATTCCGAATCTCTTATATTTTCTAGAGTTTTCTTTGCCCATTCGTCAAGGGCAAGAATGCTGTCGATAGTTCCCATAACGCGAGAAGAGAACTTGGAGAGGCTGCGTGATGCAATGCGTGCATTGTCGCCAAACTCCTCTAGATGGATTGATAATTGCTCACTATAAACTCTTGTTAACTACGCATACTCGGAAAAAGGAATGGATGATTAAACGTACCGACAGGCAAGGCCGGAGACTCGAACTAGTATGGTCAAATCTCGAACCGCCATCTCACTATTCTTCATGTCGTAGGCAAGTCTACTACCTCCAACAGAGTCCTCCAAGATCTTCTCAAAACTAAATTGCAATTCCATAAGCCGTTTATAGTCTGGCGGGGACTGATCACCCTTGTGGTATCTAGGCCCACGAGGTTTTCCGGCACGGATTCCGGGACTGGAGCAAAACGGTACTGCATCGCCGAAACTTTGTATAGCCTCCAACTTACAGAGGTTGGCCAAAATATCAGATGTTCTAGAATCATTCGAGAAACTTTTCATAGTAAGATACCCGACGCAGGCGGCAATAACGCTGCTAGAAAGAACTCCGAAGGAACCAGCGGAAAGGCCAAACTTGTTAGCCTTACGACGCTTCACCTTGGGGGCCGGCGTGGCTGAGGTCGTGGCTTCTTCTACAGTATCCGACGACTCTTCTCTGATAGTTTCATTTCGAACTGTGGCATCAATGCTACTCTTCCTGGTCTTTTGCACATTAGCAAGAGCTACCGAGGCCGATGTGAGATTCGGAGAAGCCTTGAGAACATCACTAAATCTAACACTAACTCTTTTGGGTGACCTTTTAATAATTGGCTTCAAAGAACTAGGACTCGGACTCTTAAACCCGCGTTCTAGGAGTCTGCCTTCACGATCGCGGTGCTCTGTTTGTATTTGTATTTGAACTGGATCTTCAACGGGAGTTTGCTCCCTCTTGCGCTTTCGAAGTAGCTCTCGTTCTCGCTCTCGTTGCTCAATAAGCGAAGTTGGTGTTGGTGGGGCAGCCACCGGAGCAAGGACGACAGTTTCACCGTTATTTCGAGGAGCATTAGGATTCAAAAGAGAGGCTCTAGGAGTCGCCGGCCGAGAAGGCTGCGTAGACGGTGCGATCTTATTAGGACCGAGAATTGAGCCTAGACTAGTCGCGGCTGACGAGTAACCTGGACCAGGGGTGAAGACGCCATCTTCGTCGTCCGATGTGTCGAACAAAGAACCGCCATTAAGATTCTTTGGGACTAGGAAGTCCCTCTTGGGGATTTTGGGAAGATCTTCCTGCATGCGGGGAGGATTTGCTGAAAGACTTATCCTTTTGGTAGGTTGATGGGGTTTACTGGGGGGTTTGGTGTTGACGCCAGCTACGAAATGAGGGTTAGGAAGCTGCATGAAGACTCCTAATATGATAGATTGATAGAAAGAAGGAAGGAATAGATAACAAAAGAAAGCGAAATAACAGGGAAGGAAGAAGGAAGGGAATGTCGCAATCGTTAAAGAACAGGGGAAAGAACAAGAAAATGAAAATGAAAAAGGAGAAAATGACAACAAAAAGAAAAGAATGTGTAGATGATGGATATCCAGCTTCTCGAGTATATATCTTGCTTGCTTGCGAACTTGATTCCGGTCCGTCGTGGCTCGAAAGACCCGAAGGAGTTACATGCAAAGAGATAGAGACTAACTGGAGAGGAAGGAATCTCGGTTCGAAAAGAGGATCCGAAAGGGAGGGGTAGCTTTTATAGTACCTTTTACTGGCTTGCGATATCAATATCAGCTAGGCTACGGGTGCTGACTACACAAGAGGTAGAATGCAATGCAAGTTGAACTTGTCGGAAAACGCGATGAGTGTTTTAGTGTGGCTTGTTAGAGGTCGCCTAATCGAGTGACTTCGTGTTATTGGTCGGAGGAGAAGGATTTCGCGGAGCTAAGTGGTTGTGGTTGAATTCTATGACTCTTTTTGTCTGGTCAGTTTCGGTTGATGAAGTAGTGCGTAGTATGTATGTATCTTCATGCGGACGGGTGGAGACCAACATGTAACTAGCAAGCGAGGCGGTAGTAGCTTGGTCGGAGAGATGATTGAAGGAGATATTCGGATAGAGTCGATGGAAAAGAGAAGGACGGGGTCGGTAAGGAGGTCTGAGAGAAGGACAGGGTCAGCGACAGAGGATTCGGAGGTGATGAAGTTGCGATGGGATGCTAGCTAGTGGAGGGTCGAGGGAAGCTTGCGATGGTGTGGTGGGCAGGATCAGATAAGGTGGGGGGCTGGCAGGCACTAAGAAATGACCTGATAGGAAGATGGGACGAATGGGAGCGATGTGTTGTGTTGGAATCCCGGTCTTGGCAACAACTCAGGTAACAGCTCCCCACTGCATCACTTCCTTATCGGCTTAGTGATTGAGGTCACCGCTGGTAACTTAACTGGCCAGAGAACGAGCGGGGGGAAGCTTGCGCTTACAACTTTGACGAAGCTTGGAACTTGGAATTGGGTAGGTATGTACGCAGAAAAGACAGGAACAGGAACAGAAAGTGACAGCCGCTGCGCAAGCGAACGGAGCGATGGGACTCGAGTCAGGGTCTTGAATTACCTTTTCTCAACAAGTGGACTTGTACTTGTAACATGTGGAGAGATAATTTGCAATTTGGAGGTTGGTGATAGATTGCAATATAATTTATTGTATCGGAGAGAAAGAAAAGAAGGAAAGAAAGAAAGAAGGATGAAGAAGGATAAGTGTCCTTCTCTTCTTTCTGCCCCTCCCTCAAAAACTAATTTACATTTTAATTGTCTTTTCCCCCCTCCTCCCTGATGGAAGGGAAGAAAGCCCTCCCCCATCGAACTTCAAAGACCAAAACAATAACATTACCCTTTTTGGCAATGTGATGGGGTCTTTCGGAAATGGCTGGGGACAAGTTCGACTAGGCCTCTTTGTAAGTGTGTGCTTGTGATATCGATGGGCCAATCCAGCCAATAGTATCCTCGCCGCTTGACAGCTGTCCCAAAAGAAAAACCAAAACAATTGCAATTACATACTAAGAGAAATGGAAAAAGAGATAGTTACAAACACTAACCGCTGATAAAGTCACCGATATCTTTTAGCTCAAAAATTCACCTGGCCAAGAGGTACCTTTGTTCACCATACAATTTGGGCCAGCAGACTATGTCACTCCTCTGCTGATTTTTGATTCCGAACAAGGGTCAGCTGATTCGGTAAGCATGTTGGATTTTGGAGCTTAGCTTCGAGCTTCCCCCTCATCTGAGCTCACGGTCTCACTCATTCCCGAAGACATATCTGCACGTACGTCACTTCGCAAAATTAAAAGGCTACATTTCTGATTACAGAGATATTGAGGATATGGGTGTTAGCGTTAGCGTGAGTGTGAGTGTCAACGTGAGCATTGCGGACCCTGACATTTGCGAAAGCGAAAGAAGAGGAAGAACCCGTCGAATGTATTCCTTTGTATCTACCTTCGAGCCCCTCTTACCCCTCCAAGCAAGGGCTGCATAGTCCCACCACACCTGCCCCTCAAAAAGGTGTGTCCAAAACCTGGAATTTCCCCGACAAACTTACCATGCAAACGGCCGTGCTTTGCATATCCGTCGCTCATCCCTTAAATCAGTTGTAGCTTCCGTTTTTTCTAGCTCCGTTTTATTCCATACTCCACAATGAAGAATCAAGAAATTTATAAAGATATCGTACATCCCACACCATTATGATTTCAAAATTGGTTCTGGCTCGTTATTTTTTTTACCATGCAAACTTATCACGCTTCTTCTTTTGCCGTATATCTAGCAACGCAGATTGTAGATTTCCCTCTCGCCTCGCCTTCTTTAGTTGCTTCACCTGATCATCGTCGAGATGCTGTCCTGCCCTGTAAATTCCCATAAAACGTCAGCATACCTCCCAAACCATTTCGGCATACACATTGAAAGAATATTACTCACAGTTGCTCCAACTCCTTCCGACTAATCCGATCTTCCTTGTCGCCCTCCTTTTTCACCTTCGTCTTAAACCTCCTCTGTCCTCTGACCACCCACGTTTCCGCGAATCCAATAGTCTCTGCATCTCCTCTAACATCCACTACTATACCACCGGTGGGGGCTCCACTCCCTCTCCCACCACTACTAACATTCTTCTCTTCCCCTCTCAAAAACTTATCCCGACAAGTCTGAATACCCCATCCTGTTTCCGTCTTCACAGGTGTAAACTCTTCTTCGGGACTTATTGCGTCCTTTGTAGCGGATAAGATACCAAATTTATCGCAGGCGAGGTATTTCCCATGGTGACCTTTGAAAGCGAATCGTGTGGAGGTGGGTATTCGGGTAACAGTCCAAACTTGACGGACCTATTATCACAATAGTTAGTTCGGTGAATCACCTGAAAAGAGGAAAGGATAGCACCAGGAGGAAACATACATCATGCGGCTCTGCTGTCGATAAATCCTCTCCATCGACATCTCGTAGTACCGAAGCAAATACCTTCCCTGTCGCATCGCATGCAAGACATGTAGGTGGTGTGGACGCCTATTACATCATATCCATCATTAGCCATGACTTCTCCCACAATATATCTCCAAAAAAAAAAAACAATTCAAAAATTTCTGAGGGAGTGCAGCCGAATTCAGGGTCCAAGGCACGGGATCCACCAAAGCGAAATATTGAGAAAACATCGGATGAAATAATCCGCCATGCGGTCCAGCCCTACGCCCGGGTCTGCAGGTAGACGCAGGTACACACGCTGACAATAGCACCAGTTACCCACATAGCCATGTCCTCTAAACCCCATGACGGCCTTTCCAAATATGAAATCCCATCCCAAATTTCAAATATCCATCTTGACACGTGAACAGACCCTCCACACCTCATCTCATCTCATCCCATCGCAGGGGAAAAAACGAAAACCAAGAAGACCCAGAATAGAACCTACAAAAGCAAATATCACCGGGCCCTTGATATCCTCTAATATATCTGAATTAACCCATCCATCATCTGCATCTAAGTTTTCGTTTATAACTTTAACTTTCTTCTCCTTTTCGTTTGTTGTGGTCGTTAATGCTGTCGAACTTCCAGCTGCTGATGAACCGAACTTCTCGGCTGTGGAGGCGGATAGGGAGGATGTAGCGTTGGTATCTTCGTCCGGCTCGGTACGTTTTCGTTTTTTGAGAGGCTTTTTGTCGCCCTTGAATTGTAGTGGCTTGACCATCGTATTATGGGTTCGTTTGGCTGGGTATAGGAATAGGCCTGTGGGATGGAGATTGGTATGACGAAGAGCAGTGAGCAGACAGGTTCACGCGATTGCGGTCATGTTTGCGAATTCGTTTACTTTACCCAATTTGGATACGTGTGACAAGATGTTCTGCCAAGATTATGTAAGCTTGGTGTATAAACTACAACAGCGCAACACGACTTTGAGAGGGGACTTCAACGAAGTGCATGATTTACCGCCTCGCACCAGCCACCATTTGCGTAATTATGGCGTTAGATCTCTGCCCCACAGCGCCCTTTCAGGCTCGCAGCTATTGAGGCTCTGGCAGTGAACTTATAAACTAATATCCGTTATCTAACCGCTCAAATCTATTTAGACTCGTCTTGAAGTACCTACCGGATTAAGAAGAAACGAAACAGATATTCAGATGATAATTAATCGCTCCACTGGCTAAACCCCACCTAAAAATTGCGGGGGACAGCTTAAGCTTGATGAAAAGCATAATTTCTAGCTTTATAAAACCACCAAGATCGATTAATTCTTTGTATATACGTACAAAGATCGGCTCAAACTAGCTGGCTAGCTTGCCTAAACCTGTCGGGCTGGTGTGCATAAATATAGAGTACCAAAATCTTATCTTAGAAGTATTATATTGAAAAGATTGATGAGCTCGAGACAGAAGTGACATACTCCTCTCTCGGTCCCCTACTAGCAATAGAATTATCTTCTACTATAAAATGGGAACTCATCTACAGATACATAGGAGCAAAGAAGAACTGTACAATCAACCCTGAAGAGTGTTTGGGGGTATGTGTATCTTCCGACATCGTCGGCGCATCTCGTAAGATAGCCCCGTGTCCAGGCCCCATCAGCCGACTTTATATATATAATCTCATAGATCTCCATATGTATTCAAGCCATTGTTGCACATCTATATGAAGACTCTAAACTCCAGGAACCCTGCAGTATCAATTGAGATGTGCTTGCAGGGAGTTAGATATCTGAAAGGGGCCGGTTGCAAGATACACGATTGAATAACCACGACCCATCTATTCACCCGGAAACAAACCAGTTGCAGGCTAGAATTCATCGGAACCAAGAGTATACTCCAGAATTTACGGACCTAGCAAAATTTGAGATCGGTAAGATGCTCAAAATTATCGATTCAAAAGGTAAGACAGGGCAAGGCCAATAACTCAAAATGGGTAAGAGAGAGAAAACGAAAGAGAGGGAAGGAAAAGCCAATCGAGAGAGCGGTAATATTTTCATTCCAAGTAGAAAGAAGTGTCTGTCGTCTCGTCTGTCTAGCTATCTACGCCCTCTCCATCTCATGCCTAACAATTGAAATACCGGATGGACGAAAAGGAAGAAGATAAAACCCCGTCCACCCACTGATAAAAGGAAAAACGCCATGAGGGAAACCCTAATGAAACCACCGCTTAGTAGCAAGGCAAGGCTTAAAACCGAGCAGAATAGCAGAGTAAAAAAGAACCCGAGATTAAACAGAAAAGCATTAATTTACTGATATGAGGTAAGGAAGAAAGAAAGAAAGAAAAACGTGAAAAAGGTCGTTTCAGTCATTTCGCTTGGTCCTATATATTTCCGGCCGTCGTCAAGATAAACATGAGAGGTAAAAGAGAAAGAAAGGGAGTAGAATCAAAGAAGTCTACTCCGCCTCTTGATGCCTCTTCTCCAACAATCTCTTATACTCTTTCGGATCCTCATCCCAGAGCTGTGCGGCTTGGCCGTTCAACGGAGATTTGTTGTTTGGCTCGCCAAGGAGACTCTGAAGGGACAAAAGGATCGACTGTATGTTGTAGACAGCAGACCACTTGTCCTTGAGGATGTCGAGGCAGATGCGGCCGGCCATATCGACGTTCGGGTGGAACATTGGGGTGGTGAAGAGGACGGTGGGTGGTTGGAGAGGGTAATCGCCGGGGAAGGTGAAGGAGAGTTTGAAGGTCTTGCCAGCTGCAACACACGGAGATATGGATGTCAGTATCTCATTCGAAAGCTAGAAAACTGGGGTATAGCATACCGAAGTATGTATCATCTGGGCCGACGATGGTGGCAGTCCACTTGAGAAGATTGCATGGGTCATCTGGGAAGGCGGAGGTGCCGGGAGAGGGAGACATCATGAGCTGCATGAGTTCTTTTTGAAGTCTAGATGATTTTTCAAGGTTAACAACTACATATCTCTTTTTTTTAATTAATTTTTTTTTAATTTTTTATTTCGCATCCAGGAACTATAAAAAGAGGCAGGAAGCAGTACCTCTTGGTAACGTTTGTGGTATTAGAGCTGCCGGCCGCAGGAGCCACTGTGGAGGTAGAGACGCTCATGATGTCTAGGATCGAGAGAGGATATGGCGATGATGTGTAGGGTAGATCGATAGTCAGAAGCCGAAGACAGTTCTACGAGCTGGTACGAAAGTCGTGAATAGAAAAAGAAAGATCAGAAGAAGACAGAGAAGAAGTCTTGTAGCTGGAAATAGTTTGAATACGCCTCGAGACTGGAAGAATACCGAGAGGGAGAGAAAGAGGACTTTTTATGTGTGGACTGGACCCTGATAGATTTCTTGGGGTTGACAGCGAAAGAGCCGGGAATTAAGCTATTTCTGCGACCAAAACAAAAAGGCCAAACTGACAGCGGCTGTTGTCACCTCAACTCAACCAACACAAACATATTTGCCAGTTAGCCAGGCTGAGCTCAGTTAAGTCAAGCCAATTAACCCCCACACGGTACATGGACACTAACTACAGGGCAGATATCGGTTGACTGGGAACGTGCTCTCGCGACTCGCGTATATCTTCGCGTTTTGCAGTTTTGGCCAGCTTCAATTCAGTTGCTGGTTGACCGTTGGTAGGACGTGGACGTGCACTCAGACGGTGATTGATCGTGATCGATCGTGATAGCAACTGCAGATTATATTATATCACATACATATTCTGCTCAGCTACCAGGGGTAGTTACATCCTTCGGGTACCTAGCTACCAAGGCTGGCATGGCTCAGGTAAGGCTGATACTTATCACATCTCCACATCTCCACAGCTTCAAGCACAGACCACTTCACAGAGGGAAAGTCTTCAAAGCTAACCAATTGGGACCCCAACGATCAGCCGCCTCACAGTCAGTTGGCACCATTGCCAACGAACCTACCCTTCGATCTGGTATCGGAAACTCTCGGTCGTGGCGCTTATGCTTTGTACGTGAACCTTTCGAACTCATCTTCAGATCGATCATCTTGTCGTGACATCGGGTTAATATTGATTAATATAAAATATAGCATCCGTAAAGGAAAGGAGCCAGGATCCGGTACTGTTTGTGCTGTCAAGTTCATCCACAAGCAATATTCTGAGAAGTATGGCAACATAACTCCAAAGCAACTTCTTATGGAAGTCGGCCTGCACCAGCATGTCGGTGCCCATAAGAACGTCATCCAATTTTATGCCAGTGGTGAAAGCACCATATGGAGATGGATCGCTATGGAATTCGCGGATGGTGGAGATTTATTCGATAAAATTGGTACGACGAGACCAGCATCCTTTTCTAGAAACGTGATGTTAATGAAAAAATTTTGTCTTTAGAGGCCGACGTGGGTGTTCAAGAAGACATTGCTCATTATTACTTCCAACAACTTATCGCCGGTACCGAATTCATTCACTCTAAAGGTGTCGCTCATCGGGACATCAAACCGGAGAATATCCTCTTGGACTCAGATGGCAACCTCAAAATCGCCGACTTTGGTTTTGCAACATTGTTCAAACATAAAAACCAGGTCAAAAAGAGTACTCAGCTCGTCGGATCGCCACCATACGTTGCACCCGAGGTACGGAATCTATTTTGACCCATTTCTTAATTTACCTCAGCGTAGTAGACGGACTGACACTAACTCCAGGCCGCCAATCTCCTTTCATTGATATAACAGGTATCCGAAGGCAAAGGTTACATAGGCGACCAAGTAGACGTATGGTCCTGTGGTGTTGTTCTCTTCGTCCTTTTAACGGGAAATACACCCTGGGACGAACCAACCAACCGCTCTCCGGAGTATGTCCAATATAAGTCCACTGGTGGAAATGCCACATACGACCCATGGCCCCAAATAAAACCAGCTGTTCGACGTATGTCCCTTCCTACTACCTATATCTATAATCGATTCTAACAAGCTAGATAGCTCTCATCCAAGCCATGATGGAAATCGATCCCAGCAAACGCTATACAATGGAACAAATAAGATCACACTTATGGTATAAAACCAACAACCCCCTTCTAAACGTGGAGGCTCGTGCAAGAGGGTTGGTCCTTGCGACACGTCTAGTCGAGGGTCTCCATGTACCCCTCACCCAAGTCGCTGCTACTCCAGAAGACGACGGTGACGACGAAGGCGATGACGATGACATGGACTACGAAGAAGAAGATACTATAGTTGTCGATGACGTCGAAACTTTCCGTGCACAACTAAGTTCACAAGCAGAACCAAGCTCCTCAGCCGCAACGGACGCAACAGATGCAACGGACCTGGTCCCTAACACTCAAGCACTGAGTGATGACATGGAATCCCTCACACTAGACCCAGAAGACGTCAATCCAGAGCTAAGCAGTCAACAGCCAAGTCAATATCTCCGTGAAAAGGCCGCAAACGTGCAAAGCTTTGCTGCAAACCAGCGAAGACAACAATACCAATCCCAGCAATCTTCGTTTAGCAGTTTTAACTACAACGACCAGCAGATATTAGAGTCTGTGAACGAAGACCCCTCGCAATCGCAATTTTCGGCACAACCGGCGGTATCTCTTACTTTGACACAGGCTGCAAGACAGTTCAATGACATTTGTCCATCAGGACGGTTAACGAGGTTTTATACTCTTTGGCCTTATTCACGTTTGCTCCCGCTTCTGTTAAGTAGTCTGCGGAAATCCGGGGTACCGGTTGATGAGAGGTGTTATAATGAGAATATTGAAGAGTTGGAGAAGCAAGGTGATGATGCGTACATTAAGATTGCGACGAGGGATAGCAGACAATGCGTTTTGACAGGGCGTGTTGGGGTTGAGAGGGTTACCAGTGAAGAAGGAGACGGACTCTATGTAGTTGGATTTGAAAAGGCGAGAGGCTGTCCTTTGGAATGGAGAAGGTTGTTTAAGAGGGTTAGTCTGCTGTGTCAAGAGGCGGTGTTTAGGGGGAGAGGGTTGGGGTGATTGATTATTGCTTGAGAAAATGTTAATTAATAGGCGTGAAGGAATATCAGCTTTGGTTATAACTACTAGTACTACATAAACTCCTCATCGTGGAACAAACTTAACAGTCCTTATTAGAGACGAAACGTGCAAGTTAACTAAGTATATACATCTGGTACGACGATTTGATTGTTCCGACAATTCAGCTATTTCGATTGTAACCTAGTCTATATATCTTTAGTCTGGAACCAGAGCTACCCCTCTACGTGTAATAACAACTTGGTTGATTTGCAAAGTTTGATCAATTATAAGGATTTCCCGATTAATCGGAATAACCAGCGCTCTTTAATCAAAACATTATACTACCAAAGATTTTAAACTCCTTTCTATTCGAGAGTTCTCCCTATAACCCTTCTGTCTATATGTATCTGAAATGCATTGTCTACCCTAATAAAGACCAATTTTCGAATTCCATCCCTAAAAAAATAAGACTAGCTATCGCATTTAAGGCATTTTGTTTATTGTCATCAGCTTTGAACCTTTTCCGTGATAGCCAATCAGGCGCTCGTCTTAAATCCATGGGACAGAGAACCCGTTAAACTTAACCGTAAACGATATCTATATTACCCTGTATAAGCTAAGAAAATACATTGTAGATACAGTTATAGTGACAGTGGAGCATTTTGGGCAAGGAGCTTCAGAGAATTATAGGGCCGTTATATATGTATACTTCGGCATCGGGGTCGTCTAGTGGACTAGTTATAGATATGAATTCGATCTTATCATATCGAAGTTCCGTCTGTTGATATATAAATATATAGGAACCAATGTAGACAACCGAGCACCATTATAACGGGCGATATGTTCAGCAGAGGATACATGTACATTGGTATATTCTTGAACAAATTCGATGCTAACCATATGCGGGAAGTGGGATCCCATCGCGTCAATCATCCGAGATATTGAAATGCTCGTGGTTTGTACCCCTTTTGCCAGCTTCAAATACACAAAAGTTGGATGTTTTTTTTCTACGAGAGACATTATGCATATTAGGATTCCACACATAGTAGATAAAATTTCTATCGTGGGTATTAAAATACCTGTAGCGGTATTAATATTGGTAAATATTATAGGTATATAGGTATGGATTTAGAGTTCATATTCGATTCATTCGGTTTTGAATTAGTTTTAATTTAGTTTAACCTGTTCTCACAGATGCCATATATGGGTCGAAGTCGTAGAGAATTCGGTCTGATTTGTGTCTTGATCTTGTGCAATCAAAATCATAAGGTCGGATTCTAATACTTTGTGAATTTGGTGATAAAATGGAGGCTTAAAGTCAACATGGGCAATGAGTAGTATATCTGTTTCCGCATGATATGATGCAAAGGCATCCAATTTCAATTGTTTCCTAGTCCGCTACTAGTCTAGTTGTTTAGTCCGCTACAATAGTAGACTTAAATTCAAACCATGCCATATTTTCTGGTTTACCTCCCAGAGCTTTGATTTATATCATTTATTTAATATTTGCTATTCAAATACATTAATAGGAGCTGTTAATATTCCGATTCAATCATTCCTCTAAAACATTATTAGGATAAATATATCCCCTCTCCTAAAGAGTAGTCATGACATGCCTGTTTTTGTGACATCGTTGTATTATATATTTAATTACTAGTGGTTAGGTATACTTTCTGCCTAAAAGCTCATCCATCGATCGAAAGAATCGATAGCGTTCCACAGAACATTTTTTTTGAAATAAGACCATCCGTCGTCCTGAGGATTAACTGGAAGGTAATTAAATCTGATTTGTATCATTATAATAAGAACATAATTTTGGCTTGAGCCCGTTGAATAGTTAAAGGAGTGACATGATCCCCCGTCCCTCTCAACTCTATCAGATCCCTCCATAGTCTTCTGAACGATAATCGAGAGTTTGTATATCATATCACCTCATAAAATCCTATAAGGTCCATGAATCCATTCATTTAGCGACGGGTGCAAGCGTGGGACCTTGCAGTATAACATATATGGCAAATAAATGGAACCAAGAACCTGGGAAGAGTGTCGTAGGTCCTTTGATCAGACAGTGTAAGTGATTTGGAAGGGAATGTGTATATACGGTAAAATGTCGTGAAGCTAGCTAGGGTTATGGTTATGTTGATTGATCTCCTTGTTAAGAATAAGGTTGATTGAATAGAAGAGGGGCCAGAAGAGAACCTCATAGAGGGGAAAAATATCCTTTGGGTTAGTATAAGGTTCAAAAACCTTATCTCCTATGGATAGAGGCCTGATTGCTATTGGGGCTATTTCGCCAGCTGGGATCACTGTAGCGGCCAAGGCAATTGCAACGTTGCCGTAACCCCTGTGAATCACTCTCCTGAACCTGCGAATTCAACTAGCTTTGCTATCAGCTTGCAATAATTTATTAATTCTTGATGGAACTGGACTACTAAATACCTCCATTGAGCCTGAACCCTCTCTCTCAAATCTCCACACTGGGGGCTTTATCCCGTGCATTTCTCTTCATGCTGGTACCCCTTCTTCGAGGGTATGTCAAGGCTAGCGCTGTATACCATAGCAGCCTTTTATCGTTCTGGTGTAGTATGCATGTGGATCTCAGCCGATATATAGCAACCATCGAAAATACTCCGTAACTTTCGATCTGTATCTGTTTTTGCGGGATTAGCGTTCGCCTTATGTTGATATGACTAGTATCGTTTAGGAGTGCGTACCTCAGGAATATTTGAAGTGTCTTCGAATTGGTAGATATCCGTAGTGGCATCGAGTCTTTTCTCTTCGCTTTCTCAACCGTCGTTGTAGATGTATACAGGAAATTGGGTCCGCATGGTTGGAGCGAGGTGGTATTGTAACCTCAGCCTGGGAATCGGAGTAAATGATTCAATTCAATCGATCCTCTTTTAGTGTTGCCAATTATTCCTTAATTTAACTTTTTCGAATTTATTCCGGTCTGATTTTTGTGATGATATTCAACATATGCTGTTGATGATCAACCATTAAGTAAATCCCTTTCAGAAGCATAGCAATGCTTCTGTTGAGATGCTGCCACGTCGGTACCACTATCTACATATTCATAGCAACGCTATTGGGTGTTCATATCGTCATCGTGGTAATATAAATCAATACAGCTTGCACTCGTAAAGTTGTACCGACAATAGAGTATTAGTAACGATTATTCGGGTCGTATGGTTTGTAATGGCCCCTGTCCCTTTCCTTGTTCCCTCTCATTTGATGGTGATCCATCAACGCCATATTCTTGACGTTAGACTTATATAAATATAGTCTTAAGCTTCGTGGTTTATGGTAGCACTTTTATTTTTTGTATCTTTAAGTAGAAAATCTGGGATGGTTTGCACTGTCGATCCCATCTTCTCGGACCTCACTTTTGGAGGTTTTGAGGAGGCACCTAATCGGCCTGAATCTAACGATGGCTATCGGCATATATGTCATATTTCTTTTTTATTTTTCGAAAGACTTTCCCTCGAGTTTCCACAGAGAGACATTTCGGGGGGGAGTACCCCTCAGTCGCATGCGTAGGTACTACGAAATTTGAAAGCGGCTTCGAAGGAAAAATTATGGCATGCTTTTGGTACGTTTATCAAGCAAGTCTGTAATCAATAATATATAGATTCGCATATATCTTGATCTGAGTAATGGTTTCTTTAGCAGATATATATGCTGAAGCTATAGACTTAACTTTATAGATTAAAAATCTTAAGTCGCTAGCTTTCGTCCTCTATAGATATATACATTCATATGTTTACCAAAACTACCTAGCAGTTTTAGCTGCAGGTGAGATTATAGTCTCTCAACCGTATGCTTGGCGGCTTGCTCGCGGGTTTATCTTCCCATTTAGTACATATTATATCTGTGTTCTTTCAGTGCATCCAACTAGCTTGGTTGGTGTCTCCGACTTTCTGATAGTTATAAATTACTGGTATTAATGGGTCCGAAGTTTTGCGTTAACCTTAAGTCTCCATTTGACTTGTCAACTAGATTGACACAGGGAGCCCAAGGACTATTGCAAGGAGTTGTAATACCCGCTTCCAACATTTTTGGTATTTTCATATTCAACCGGTCTTTTTGTCCTTGGTTGTAGAGAGGTCGGCCTGCATTGACGGGCAATATGTCGTTTCTGGTCGGGATATAATGTATGACCAAGTCTGCGGCTGGTAAATATGTAACCCGGTGATAAAAAAATCTTTCCGTGTGATTATGATATATACCTATTTGAACGAGAGCAACATACGTTATGGGAAATCTCGTTCTGGCTAACACATGCTCTTCAATGGACAGTTTGAGTTTTAGGCTTGCTTTTTGGATAGACCCTGGAATTATGGGCTGAGCATCGTAGTCACCTTGATCTCGTCTCACTAGCTCAGCTTGCGGTTGTAAGACGTTTTTGATCCGTGAGTGTGGCCATAGGGTTTCCCTGTGCTTTTGCGGAATGCATAGCTAGTGAACTTCTGGTTTCCTATCCTATCGCACATGAGATTGATACGATACCAGTCAGGACCGGAAGGGGGCGAAATCTACGCAATCACAAATGGCAAGAACATCTCTTCTTCTTCCATGTAGCTGGAAGAATTAAAATCCCGGAAGTCGACCGCCCGATATATCCAATCTAAAAGAAATTCAACATTTTAATTTTATCGATAATATATGCACTGGTCACCGAACATGATTTGTTCAGCCGCATTCTTTGCAGCTTATATATAGTATGTCTATTAATTTTACTCTCTCCTTATTTTGGTGAGTTCATCCAGTCCATTTTATATTTTACTTAAAGAATTTGCGAGATTTTAAAATCATAGCTCAGCTTTTACTTCAGCTACCGCTCCTATGGGACCGTCTGGCTAGTGTAATATTCATGCTCCTCTACCAATGGTCCCATCAGCTCCGAAATATCTCTCAGCAATTTTTTCGCACTTGGGTCTGTACGAGGTGAAGGCCGCATGTACTATTGGGGCTAAATGTCCTGGATACTATATCCTCGGGGAGAGGTCCTCATGTCTATCAGGTCGGACTTGATAAACGCTTAGAGCCACCCGATGGTTGATTTAATGTGTGCGCTTGGAAGACTGCATCTTGCTTGTAGAGCCTCAATTCTCAATGCTTAAGCTGTATCCTCACAGCTACAAAAGGAAAAGTCATTTTTTTCATACCTTCCATTGAGTTAACTTCCGTCGAAACACCGAGACCTTGAGAGCAGCGGCCTTCCTAGTCTACACGGACTGAATGAGGTTCTCATGATCACATAGGTAGAATGTTAGTAGTTTTATGTACTTATATAAATGTATATATGTAAATTAAATTAACCGCGTAGAAGTCCTAATATCCAGACGCACGCTTCAGCTTCAGACCATCTATAAAAATATAAATAAGTAAATTCTGAGGTAGTATAAAGACTCCAGGATCTTCATATATAAGTTCCTTGTAAAGCTTTATGGGATAATTATAAATCTCCATTGCTCTAGTCTTCTCGATCTCGGGCTGCGGATATCGATATATTCCATCATAGTAAGGTCGTGATTGGTGAATTGCGTGATTGTGTCATCAGGTGGAGGAAATTATGTGCAATTGATATTTTCCGGGACAATATCAATTAAGTGCATATTTACGGCCAGAATAACTCATCTGTAGGCTCGTTTGGACAGTGGATAGGACAATTGTTGGCCGGTATAGGTAGTTAGAAATAGAGTGATTATGTGGGCAGTGAAAAGTCTAAGTTATATATAATGCTGCTCGCAATCGTTTAAGTTTGAATACAACGAATTCGCGAAAGATTCCATTAATTCATAAAGAGGCTGCATGTGAAAGGTTCGTAGTTCTATATTATATAGTTGTATCAGGGTTGCTAACCAAGGATTATTAATTCCGTTCAGAGTCCATTGTAGAAAAGGATATATCCTGAGGTTGATCGACTAGTTATCGGGTCATCATTGTGACTGGCATCCGCATATGAACGGATGGATCCTCAAAAACTATCAATAGAGATTTCCATCTTATATTGAATCGGCAGCCGGAATTGAATACTCGTCCAAGTATCATGTTTCGTCGATCGTCGTCATCGTCGTCGTCTTGAAGACCTTTCTTCTCGACGAATATTGAATCGAAGAAAATAGAGTACTTATATATTTCATGCCTGAGGTACCCCCTTCCTTGTTGCTAATAACGTCGCCATTCCAACCCTTTCCTGGCCACTATTTCACAGTTCTAGCATCCAAACGTTGGCTTTTCGTTAGAATACTGCGTGTCTCTGGACACTCCCATGGCTTTCTGAGTCATCTCAGGCATTTTGTTACTTGGTTTGTAATTGTACTGGTCCTAGTTGTAAAATAAATTTGTAATGAAGCAAATTTATCCCGGATTAAACGTTGAGGGCAAAGTTACTCGGTAGTTTGCTTCCCGATAAATAAAGATCAATTCCAACCTTCGAATCGTTTAGTATATATCGTTCTGTACCCGCTTGTGACAACTCCGGTAGCGATAGATCCACGAAGTTGAGTTAATGCATCCGACGGTTTTAAACTCGTCCGAATTGATATTGGATAGCAGTAGTCCATCATGGCAACAGGAAGCTTGAGCAGGTTCTCGGGGCGTTAATGGTTTTAATTTTCTTCCGCCATGGGATCTCGAGAAATAACCGAGAAGATGCATGCAATTAGCGTATGGCTCTGATTTGTGATTCATCGATTGACCAAAATAGATCAATAGGCCCACAGGCTTATCCATATATAAACTCCCTCACCCGCTGATACGGTACGTATACAGACTTCTTTGTATCAAAGAACGATAAATTCTTGCCAAAGATATAATGTAATAAAGAATATAAATATCTTATTCTTGCAACCATGGATCGATATATCGATAGTGGAAAGGCCTCCTCTTTATGTTCGCAGATCATCTGTTCGATCTGCTTCGATGATTGAAAATACCCTTTTTCACTTTTCCCGGATACATCGAGATGCTGGATGCTAAGCGGGTAAAAGACAAGTGTATATATATTAAAAGTCAAGAGAGGCTCATGCGTTTGCATTCGAGTTTATAAACAAGACGAGTCTGTATTAATAACACCCAATCCCCAACGTCGAAAGACATGTCTTTCAGGCGCTCGTTTGTGTTTCGTTCCATTGCCTTAGCCGCAAGCTGCATGGAATCTATGGCATCCGCTCGGTAAGTTACCCTCCTGTCCGCTATTTCCTGTGCTGATTCCACAATAGGCAGGTTTTCGTTCGGCGACAGGCCATGAAGGGCTGTTCGTAGATGCAAACCGTGTATCAGCTGGTTGGGGGCATATTGCAAGAAGCTCATATCCGGCCGTGACTGCCTAGTACGGCTGAATACACAAGCGTAGCACACTTGGTACCCATCTTTTGTCTCGTGCCCAGACATCGAAAATCAATCTCGAAGATTTCCGAAATATATCCTTTCTTGGTACTGCTGCCCGAGCCCGAAGTAGGGTTTGCATGTTCAACTGGCCTTGTGCAAATGTTTGCATACAGGATGAAATACCCACAAATAGCTGTCTTCCAGGCGTCGACACTCGTATCCATATTGTTCCTTTCTTCTTGCATGTGCAAGGCTAACAATATGTGATGTTAGCACTGGTGAGAGATATTATTTCTTCCCATAATCCCCTTCTCAATCATTAGGGCCTTTGAGACATCCAAGCCTTAACTGCCGGTGTTTTGCGCGCAAATAAGGTCTTTAAATATAAATCGTGAATCAAAACCGTCGGAGTTATCTGTCTTTTGGAATATATAAATTTCTGCAAGAGAGACAGCATCTCCCAAACCATATGCCCAAGGTAGTGATCCCGCCAGCGATATCGATATATCAAGCAAATCCATAGTCAGTCTTTGTCCGCTGTACCAATACGAGAAAGGCCACAGCAGCTGAGGGAGAGATTTTGAGAGTACCAGTTTATTCCATATCGAAATCGAAGTTTTGGTTGACCTTGTCGTACAGCTTTATCCGCTCCCTCCATATTGGCGGAGTTTCTCCCGTACGTAGTTTATTATTTTCTCCCAAATTTTATCTCTCTTGTTCTTATTCCTAGAACCACACCCTCGTCGAAGCTCATTCCTGCAGTAGCCATCGCCGTTACGATGACATATATACAAACGGTAGATCTGCAGACATAGGCTGATACTCCGTCACGGAACCAACCTTCCACCTTTCGACAGCATTCGAGAACGCATATCATGGTCTACCCAATATAAAAGCTTGTGATAATTATTGATCCGTCATACAGTAGTAATATCTTTCCTCCGAAATTTTGGGTTCACAGACTCTCCATCGTCGACCCTGGTAGTCGCAAGCGAGTCCCATTGTACGTAGAGATGATCATAACATGAGTAATTATTGTAGAGCCCCAGGACATGGCGCGGCTAGCTTCTGAAGAAATGACCGCTGGGTACACAACCTTCCTATAGATCTTAACAACCGCTCTCGCCTCGAAAAATTCGATATTTAAGTAACCGTAGAGGCCGAACCCTTTTGTATGTATATACTCGCTTCCATACAATGGCAGGTTAAACGGCGGATGGACCGTCAGACTAGGCCGGTGAAGCCGTTTTATATATACCGGCTTTGCGCAATGATTGCATATGCCATGAAAAGTAAGAATTGACATAAACGGCTCTATTGGATAATATAATAATATAATATTCATTAAACCTTCGTGATAATGTACTCGGTGTTCGATTTGTTGTTGATGTTAAGTGGTATGTTTCGGTGTTAGCTTAGTAGTAGTGGTAGTAGTGGTAGTAGTAGTATTAACCTATCTTTCTAGGTATATGTAGTACAATATCGCATTATAGTTGTGTACTGCAGACCATGTGCGGAACCTCCGCTCGAGATGTTGTGTGATAATTGCTCATGTTCGCCGAGAACACTCATGTTTCTTTCGATATAGTGGAGGCGCCCAAGCAAACATACCTTTGAAATTCCACGCCATCCTTTGGATTCGGGATGGCGTGGAATTTCAAAGATATATATAAGATCTTCATTGGAGAGCATCTAATAAAGATGGCAAGCGGTGCGAGCACAAGGACCCAATAGGCCTAAGAGCCACCCTCCCATATATATATCGTATCCGAGTGTCTTTCATGATAGTATTAAGTAAATACTGGCATCCGGCTCTTCTTCAACCTTAGAGCATAGGTTCTATTTTGTCTATGTTCATAAATGCAACCTGGCTCCAGGGTCTTCCTTTTACGGACTTTGAAATCCGCTAAAGAAGCCTTCGCCTCGTGAATCAGGCTTTCGACTCTTGGATTATGATCCTTTTCTTCTTCTGAAACATATATACCAAGCGGGCGGGCTTTCCTACTTGCAGCATGATAGTGGAGTTGGCTGGTCACCGACTAGTATGAGTCCTCCCAAAATTAATAAATATATAATTTCCAATACAATCCATAGTAGCCGTAGGTTTCATATCGGATGAGCTGATCGGTGGACTTAGCTGGCAGCAGCTGATAGGCCATGTTTCGGGCAAGACTTGCATGTACCCCGTAGGACGGTAAACCAACTAGTCCAAGAGACAAGCATCAAGCCCTGACATGCGAGGTCCGTTGTTATACTTGGTTGGCATTTACCATCTTAAGTTGACATGTATTTTCCAGTAATCGATGCTTCCAGTGTCAAGATCCGACACGGCTCCGACATCGCCCTGCACCAAACCGAGAACTCACTCTTTTCTAGCCTTAGAGGTATGGTATTGTCTCCGAGACTTTATCAACGGCTGAAATCCTCTAAGGCTCTGACAGCTTCCGGAAATATCATCAATTGTCGTATATTGCAACAACTAAATTTAAAGGTTTGGGTATTGGGGAAGTAGGGAAGACATCATTCAGGACATCATCGGCTAATGACGTGGAAGGTGGCATTCGTTATAAATGATGTTCGATCCCGCGCCAATCTTCGATAGAGTTAAATTATAGCTCTAGCCCTTCGAATATGGTGGTGAAATCAGAACTATATAATTGGAAGAATTTGATTAGCTAGTGTAATTAAGAGGATGGCGAGAAATCAATGGTGGTTAATACCTGTTTCCAAGTTTATATCGCCAAAGATCGATCCGAACACTCTAAACCAATATTATCAACGCGATAAATGGCGTTATTGGTATGATCAAGCGTTAAAAGCTCACCGATATGGCCATTCCTCTCATTTTTATTTCGAAATCAAACCCTCCATTGCTGACTCCATTGACCAAAACTAACGCCACTGCTTCGCAGCAGTTCATCATCGTAGATCTTCCCCGCTTTCCGATATGTATATTTGTAAAGCTTGCCTGACCGAACCTATCATGCTGTGTCCAACGAAATCACCAAGAGAAACCACATCGAAACCTATGGCATGCATGTCACTTTGGTATTCTGGTATTTTCAATTCATAATCTCAGTGAAAGTTCAATTGTTGCCATGGGCTCTCTATTTTGCCAGTTGGCTTTTCCGCTTGTTGCCGTCTTCTAAGTTCCCTTCAGCTAACATACGTAGACATCGTATTGTCGCTGACTTCGTCTGCAGCGCTTTTCAGCATGAATATCCCCCCCGTTGTTTCGAGAGTATCCAGGACTGCCTCCGTTGGTTTCTCATTTCGCTAACGGAGTAGTTAGGCGTGGATATCATTTCGCATAACGTGGCTCGCGTGGCAAGCTTCCACATGCCCTCGAACCCTTCTCATTTCTCCCTCTCTTGTTATGTATTTGTAGTATTCTTGAAGTGGACTTTTCTCTTCTCCCCCGACCTTTGCTCAGTTTCTGAGTTCGAATAGGGGTTGAGGATGGCAGTCCTCAATGAGTCTTCAGACGAAATAGATTTTTGTCTCTTCGGCCTAGGTTTTGGCCCTTTTGGTTTTTCTCTAGGTAAGCGTCCGAAACCTCTGTCTAAGTCTGGCTTAGGTAAGTCGGGTAATTCGGGTAAGTAAAATAAGGTTGGGCGGAAGCCAAAGGTCCTCGAGGTCCTCGGGTCCAGTAAAGTCCAAAAGTGGGATTCCTCCGTCAAGATCTTGACTCCTTCTGGCGCTGTTGTTGTAACCGAGTGTTATATCCCTCGAGGTTTAACTTCAACTTCAGTATTAAAGCCGAGGTACGTGGTCGTTCCTGTTCCTCCAATTTTAACTCCTCCGGAACAGAATGCGGTATTTGTAGTATCTTACTAAGGCACAAATACATAACACCTCCGTTGACTTATATTTCTTTCATGAGACTGGTGCCTTCTGGAGGTCGTGATCGAGAATATATCGACATATGCCTAAATTCCACCAAAATTTTTGCTTTTAATCCACTGATAAAGGATGTTCATCGACAAAGATTTCGCGTATATGAGAATCTTCTCAGTTCCCACCTAGCCTCGAGCTGAAGATACCAACTTCTGAAAGGTAACGGTCTTTATTTCCTTTGTGAAGGGAGTTTTGAATCCGCATAATGATGGAGATTGATGATACAACGATATAGCCATTCTTTATATTCCTCAGTTACCTCCATTCGTCATAATTGACAAAGGTTGGTAACCAAATTGGATCCCACATTTGGGTCTCTTAGGCCACGCAGTATATACCCAAGTTTCCACAATACGCGTGGTTGCCTCCATCAATAACGTCTCTTGACAACAGTCGTAACTTTTTCACGGCCTGCCGAGGACTTTTCGGGAAGACTAAGCCAGGGATTGGTTTTAAAAGTCTTTCATGGTCCGCATGTTGTAGAACCAGAGAGCGGGCGGGTAGGTACGTAGGTAAGGATCGTAACCTTTTCCATGACAGTTGTTGTTACCGTAAACCTCTCTTTCATCAAAGATGTTGTTAGCTGGACGAGATAACATATAGACCTCGGTTTCAGTGAAACGGAGGGTTGGTTATTCTATGAGAGGTTTATAGCGGAGGAAGGAGGAAGTAATAGCTCGACGTGATGTTGTGGATACACAAGATATATGCATATATACTAAGTTGGGTTCTGGATTTGTTTCCTGGTTCGGTGATTTGCCGTATATCTAACAGGTCTAGTTGTGTACTTAAGTATGGTAGGTACCTTTTAGAATGTAGGTACTTAGGGAGGTAAGTACCCAAGTAGGTAGTTCATTACCTATGTCAGTATTTTGACTGCGTGGCTTTCGAAAACGTGCATCTTCGTGGGTAGGATTATGCTAGTTTATGCTCGATGCGGACTTAAGTATGTAGGTAGGTGCCTTACAACCGTTGGGCTTATGCTGCGAATGAGCATCATACCGTGATAGAAGTCATGGTTTATGTTTCCAGGTTGTAACTGCCAACTTTGGTTGCTTGGGTTTAAGGCGATAGTTAGTTATGAACGAGAGTTTGTTTGAAATGAATGTGGGAGGAAGAAGAGTAAGAGCAAAGGGAAGAGGAAGAGGAGGGAAATGAAGTTATACTTATTCCAGATTTGAGCATAACATACCTCAGAAACCAATAGAACAGGGGGTAGGTGAAGAAGGAAGAGAGGCTAGAAGGATCCAGCAATAGATAGGTAGACAGAGACCAAGAAGAGACCTCCATAGAAGCTATAGCTAGAAGCCAGGACCTTCCACAAACAACGCGAAACCCCAAGAACCACCCGGAATTTTCCAACAAACCATCGATTCTAAGGAACTTGTAATACCAATAGCCTCCTTAGGTAGCTTTTTGGTAGTTGGAGCTAATGGCTGCTTAAGCAGATACTTGGAAAGTCTTAGCTCTTGCTCCTGCTATAGTGTTGCTTAGTCTCGGAACTGGACTGAGGCTTGGTGGTTGCTAGTTGGATAAACACCTGTTAGAACTCATCGAAGTTGTTGGTTTGGGAGTTTGGTAGGATATTGTAAGTACCGTACCTCGGAATGATGCAACAGAGGTTTCAAAAGTAGCTACCCTGGTGATTCCTCTTTTTTTTTTTTTTTTTTTTCGTACTCCCCTTGCCGAGTATTGTGCATATTCGTTTGTGGTCGTAGAAAGAGGGTTTCAAGACGAATACCCAGCTTCCACATGCACACCCTACGGATCAAGGAGCCTCAAACAGAGAAGAATTACAAGAGTAACTCTGTTCTCTGAGGTTCTCGAGTGAGATATTTGAAAATATCTGCTTGCTAGAGACGAGAGCCAACACGGGGGTAGGAGGTACCGGTAGTAATTAATTAACGGTGTCTTCTAACCGTAAAAGTCTGGTATAGAAACACCAGCTTCACGAGGAGGCATAGAATAAGATAAGATACTAAAGACCATGAGATGTAGCCTCCAGCGAGTCGAGCAGGAGCCGGAGACAACTGTTAAAATCGACATGAGGTTTGAGAAGTGGTCCAAAAACGAGAGATGGTTGTTAGGAGAAGAGTTGATGGTTTACGAGACTGAAGGATGGAAGGGTGGAGGAAATATTAATGTGGATGAAGAGATAGGTGAAAGAGGGAAAGAGAAGTGAGGAGGGTGTTGAAACTGAATGGAAGGAGACGGGAAGAGAAATGGAAGGAAGGAGAAGGACGTCGAAGCAACAGGATATATCTCATTATCTCCATATTTATACCGGCTTGAGTACTTGCAGTTAAATGCTTGTTTAGTTACCAAAGAGTCACGTATTACAGGCGCTGTCTATGCCAGTTATTCGATATCATTGAACTTTTATTGCTAAGATTAGATATCATACAGTTTTATAACAGAAAAAAAAGAACAAGGTCTGCCGATATTAGCAGCTCTTCCATTTCGTTTTTGAGTAAAACATATCTCCTATTAGAACAAAAGGGGAAGAAGAAACACCACCATAATAAAACCCCTTTCGAGCACCGTAGACAAATGAAAACGGACACGTTAATAGTCGAAACAGTCCTTGATCATGCATACACCCAGAGAGCATAGGAGAAGGAAGGAAGGTAAAGCAGCGTACGAGTAAACAAGAAACCCTGGAAGAACACCGGTAATGACGATAGTAGAAGTTACAGTAAGAAAACCGAAGTAAAGATAAAAAGTGATCCTGAAATGAGGAAATCCGAGGAAACGAGAGCTCGTAAAGAAAAAAGTATAATACACAGAAGCGAGTGAGGTTGAACATCAAATCTATAGTCGGCAAACGGGGCAATAAGTGGTGACCCCGAGAACGCCAGCGGACTGATAGGGTGTAGTGGAAAAAAGCGACGGAATAATAGAATATCAGAATTTATTAAGTAGAAAGATGTGTCACACGACACATGCGGGCGGTGAGAGGGCGCCTCAGACGGGAGGGACGAGAGTCCCTCCGGGTGTCGACACGTGGACCCCATTGGGCTTGGTTGGCTCGCCGACTCCGCTAACACCATTGATACCGGCGGCGGCCCCCAATGGAGTGTTGGAGTCACCATTAGTGCTCCGAACGTCCTCCATCGGGGTCACGCCGTTGGTATCGGTGACGTCCTCCTTTGGTGTACCGGCTTCGCTTTGGCCGGACACGAGAGAAGCGGCGTCAGACATGTTGACGTTGACGGTTTCCTTGGGTTCCTCTACGACCGGAGGCGGGGGTGTGACATTGGTCCCGTATGCCTTCACGGTGAACTTGAAACCTGTGAAGCTCTTGAGGATCACCGGTGACTTCGCCCATTTCCTGCAGGGCGCACCAGAGCGATCGAGGGCGCGGAGCCCAGCGTTGATAGCCCCGCCCGACGACTTGGGGCCGAGGCGCGATGGCGGGAGGGACGATCCATCGTCGCTAATAAAGGGGGGAAAGTTAGTATCAATATGCAATGGTCAAAAGACGGTGAAATGAAACTTACAGCTTTCTCTTTTTGGGGCCAGGCTTGCCTCCACCTCCGCTGGCACGCTTCCCGCCGCGTTTTACTGCCTCAACAACACCGTTAACGGCCTTTCCTTCAAGGGTTGGTGGGGAACCAGGACCAGTAGGTGCAGGCGAGGCCACGGATGGGGTTGGAGCCGGTGAAGCAGCCGTGGCAGGAGATGTCGCGCCGAGAGGAGTTTTCTCTTCATCGGCTATCGAAGCCGGTTTCGATGGTGTGTTCAGAACGGAAGCAGGAGGCGACTCGACGAATTGCTTAAGTGATTCTGAAGCCAGCTTGATTTTTACAAGCAATCGAGGTTTCGAAGAAGTCGGGGACGGCGTATTTGATGAAGATGACATCGTGATGGTTGGGGTGTAATATGATTCTTAATCAAAGATGTCGGAAAATTGTCTTTCAAGATGAAGGCTGGCTATACTAGAAAGCCAGCCTTTTTGCAATCGTTTACAAGACGGGGCAATGTCCAATTTATTGACTTGATTAACGTGTCAGCCGACGAAAGACGAAGATGACGGGTCGTTAATGATAAATATTGCAGTTCGGATATTCCGGCGATGGGCTGACGAAATAGGAAAAGGTCGTCGAGCCGATGTGATTGTAACGAGACAAATAAGATTAAGAGGCGATGTCGTATTGAATTATCAAATCGGACCTTTGCTTCTTCCTCTAGCCTTCTCTTGCTTCGTTGTCCTATTCTTCTGATGTCGTTCTTCGCCTTCCCCGAGTCGAATCCGATGAAGCCTGGATAAGGATACGTCCAAAGGAATAAGATATCTAAACGGTGATAGAGAAAAGAAGAAAAAAGACGATCGATGGAATGAAGCAAGCGAACAAAGCCGTTTAATTTGTTCCAACGGGACGTCTTTGGCGATTATTGATTATGATGATGATGGTGAAGAGGAAGAAGAAGAAGGAAGATGATGAAATATCCTAGGATAATCGAGATGACGGTGGATCCGACAAGGCTTCGTGGTCGGAAGAGCAGCAGCAACGAGAAATATATATGTGCGTGTGTGAGAACGGAGGTTGTAAGCTTGTAGGGGCTGTTCCTTTCTGTTGAAACACACGTGGTGTTGTTGCCGACAGCGGGATAGTTGGCGATAGTGGGAGAGAACCGAGGAAGCAAGTGAGATTTAGGTGATCGATGACGATGACGATGACGATGTTGATGGGGTTGATGTTGATGGTGATGATGATGATGATGATGAAGGTTGATGGTGATGATGATGATGATGGAGGAAGGGAGCGGGAAAGGGGAAAGAATTTTGTCGAGCCATTTTAATGAAAGGTGGTGTGTCAGTCCAGCACCAGCAGACTCTCAGGCGGTGGTGGATGTTTGGTTTGGTGCTCTGCTGCTGCTGTTCGTTAAGATGTGAGCGGGTTGTTTAGACTTGCCTGCGAAGAGACTGGAAATTTGTGTGGTGTTTCCCATCTTTGAAGTGGGCGATGGAGAGAGAACTCAATTTGGCAACAACACATTTCTGCCAGTCACCGTCAGGTACCTTCCACTGGGAAAAAGCAATTATCATGCCAAGCCCCCTGCAACCATCACCAGCTTCATTGCTATTACGTCTACCGACACTCATATAGGCAACATACCTCTCTATCCCACCTGGCCATATACACCCCCTGTTAGCATTACAAAGCTCTTCTATACCAAGACTATACAAGTATGTAAGTAACTGATATCAAATACAAAAAAAAATTCACATGGCTAACTGGTGTCCACAGCCTAAGATATCTTTCCCTGGGTGCACTACCTATATATAATTTGGTATAATGTACACCCGGTCCCGGGTCTGCCGAAAACTGGTAGACGGATGGGCGAACAGACGTTAGGAGCCCTGGCACAGCAGCAAGTCGCATAACACGGCTCAATCTCGGGGGCGTCAGGCAAGGGCTTGTCCAAAAACTTCCCAGGGTCTAGTTCCTCGTCGTTAACGGGTTAGATGCAATCCATCCATCCAATCCGATTCTACCATCGTACCCTTCAGGTAAAAGCCTCGCAAACAGGAAAGAAATCGCACAAATTCTTCCTTCCCATGCAACAGGCAGGAAAGAGAAACGGCGAGATAATATTCACATCCATGGTTCCCCATTTCATCTGTTGGGTTCTCGTGAGCTCCTCGGATCAAATAAGTGCTTCTATCGAATCCACTTAAACTTGTGCATGTGGCATCAAGCAGAAGTAATATCCATCTATCTCTATGATCAGGAGACCCCAACTCTTTCTTTCCCCCCCAGCCCACCAGTATCGTGGTTTTTCTCTCTTACTCCGACTTACGGAGGGTTAACTTATGCTTCCTTCTTCTCTTCCTTTCCTTTCGTCGTTGGCGCGACGGTGTGTTTGCGAACACCTCCGCCAATCCAATCCAATCCCGACGACGAACGCCCTTCTTCCCAACTAACCGACGGCGGCCGAACCAGCCACCCCACTGCATCACTGAACTGCCAAAAATATCGCTAGTTATTTCTATGGTCATTCGAATTGGGGAAGAGAACAGCTATCCGAATGCACCGGATAAATTCATAAGTACTTCCCAACTTACATACTTCCGATAGCAGCAATTAGAACACTTACCAGTACCACCGTGGCCTCGACCTTTTGAATTCTTGTAAGGTTCATTGAGTATCGATCTGAACATAATATTCAGGGTATAATACTAATCATAGACGACCTGCATACCTCCATTCATCATTAAACAGGCGAAAGCACGTGATTTCGTTCTCGTGGGATGAAACTACGTCAGAGGGCTCCCGCGTAGAACATGTAGTCCCATCCAACGCTTTTTTCTTCCAGCTACCATTTCGCAAGTCCTCGAGAGCCGGCCAATTTGAGCCTTATAAGACGTTCTCACCAAGCATACGAAGTATCTTCGGTTTCGACAAGACTTACAACCTGTCATTTACGAGGAAAATTTGCCGCTGATGATGTTATGAACATATACACTTGTGGCCAGCCGGCGTCTGGGAACGAGACTAAGAACATATCAGAATGATAATGAGGGCTTTAGCCACGCGACACTATATATAGTATCCATTCAAGAAGATCATCTTAAAAAAGAAAGAAAGAGAAAAAAAATAGCTTATATAAGGCAATCTGGATACCTAGATAGTTACTACAGAATCGATTATATTAAGAAGCATCGAATTTCAGCAGAGTGATCTATGGGAACCTATCAGAACTATGAAATAGGAAGGCTCGTTACAAAATACCACATTTATAGCAACCGCATACCTACTATTTTTTGTGTTGAGGCCTTAAAAATAAACATCTAGATACCTACTTAGGTACCTCTTAAGTACTTATAAGTAAATAAGTAGATATCGAGTACTATACACAAGGTTGATATCGGAGATCCCTAATCTGATCGATGTATCAAAGAGATTCCTGATCAATCGATCGCGAGGTTGCGCCTAATAAATATGTTGCTAGTAGATGCTAATTATACAGAGTCATATATTGCACCCACTCGCGAACAGCAGAACTACCAAAGCTAACCATACCGAAAACCGCAGCGACATATATATAAGGGAATGCAAGTGAGACGGCGTCTGAGAACGAGACTACAAGTGAGACATATAAAAGAAAGCCAGGTTAAGTATAACAATGGAAACGAACAAAAAGGTAATACCAAAGAGGAAACGAACAAGAGTTTACGAGACAAAAGAAAGATACAAAAGCTGCCCGGAAATAATATTGCAGAATACGTCCTTGAAAATCAACTAAAAATGGGATTATAACCAAAAAAAAATTGGAAATTGAAAATTGAAACTCATCGAAGTGAACAAAAGATAAAGTAAAAAGATGGAACATAAAACAATCACGTAGGTGCGGCAACCTTGCGCCGCCCTTGATCTACCCCTTCTATACCATGAGCCGTTTCATCATCACCAGCTTTAGAATTCTCAAACTTAGCCTCCCGCTTCTTAAAAAACCCACCCCCAGATCCACTTCCGCCGCCTCCTCCCCGAGGTCCACTATTATATTCAAATTCTGCGGGGAAATCATAGTTTCCGGGGGGATACTCATAGGAATAACCACCACTATCCCCACCACTGGTCCCGTCGTCTATAAGGTAGTTTTCATAGTCCGCAGGGATATCCATGGGGAAGAAACTTGGGGCGTCTTGTCCAAGTGGAAGCGGCTGGTTCGCATTGGGCAATGGCCAAAGACTAGCTTGCTGCCGTGCATAAGCCTCAATATCGACTGGAAATGGATCCTCTTGTGGTAGGCCTCCACCTTGGTAATTTGGGTTAGAATGCGGGTCTTCAGGTGAGGGAGCCGGATCAAAACCTGCGTCATCAAATGGGAGACTTGGGACCGCTTCTTGATGTCCGTCTAATAATGCATCTAGTTCGCGTAGTAAATCCTCTCCTACGCTCTCTCCTAAACCCTCGAGGAAATACGGCGGTTCATTTGGAGAAGCAACATTGACTCTAAAACCGGGGTTGTAACCAATCGTCTGACCTGGGCGTTCAGCCAACTCCTTAGGCACCCACCAACGGAAATCCCGGTTGAATGGTTCATCCCGAATATAGTCGGGAATCTGATTAAACGCATCCTGGAATGCGTGCCAAGTCAAGCCTTGCTGAATGTGCTCTGCTGATAGCTGATTGCCAATAAGAACAATAGCGCAGTAACAACCTGTCATTCCAAGTCAGCTTTTACCCTCAAAATCGGCCATATAGTTCCTGAGCCTGTCTAATTTCTAAATGTTTTATACAAGACTGTGTGTATGTGTGTATACAGATCAAGATGTGGGAAAGGGGATCGGATTGTTGAATTGTACTATCTTGGGTCCGGGTTGATAGATACGATCCTCTGGTTGAAGGGCATCTTACCGTAGAACCATGTGCAAAAGAGAGCCCAAGACCCGGAAAAGCATCCACTTTTTTGACCTCTCCGCCCCTCCTTTGGCTTCTTAGGCCCGCGATGTGCGAATGTAATATTTCCTTGCGCGTCGCACAAGCATTGACGGCAATCCCGTTGTTCATTTCGAACATTCTGCAGTAACGAGTCGTTTTGATCCGGATTCCACTGGACATTCTCATCCTGATCAACAACCAGGTGTTTTCTATAATCCCTGATTTTCGTGGCCCATTGTCTAACGTAGAGAATATGGGGACTATACACACCAAGCGCCTCGTCTTGGTGATTAACCGCATTTGGCGGCATAAGGTGACGAGGCCCTGCATAGTCGGCTATAAGTGCTCTGATTTTATAATTTAGTGTCCAGTCTGGGTTTGGGCATTGTATTCGTAATTTTGAACTATAAAAGAACTCAGGGCCGACGGGATCCCTAGGCCGTTTATCGGATGTTTGAGGACTAGTATGAAGAACTACGGAAGTGGCGGTGGGGCTTGACGAATAACTATCAACCGATGTCGAAGCATCCGTAGCAATTGTAGAAACACTACTAGTAGTCTCTCTGCCTTTGTTCGTAGAGCCAACAGAGCTGGCAGTTATCCCCATGTCCATGGCCCCGGCTGGTACGGCATGGGATGAATTGATGACGCATGATGCTAACAAAATAAGAGCCGTTAAAAGTATTCGACCACCCCGAAAAGAGTACGAACTAAGCACTCCTGGCGACAAAACGTAAGTCCGTTCTCTTAAGGCAGATTTATGCATTGCAAAGGAATCGGCCCTATTGAAAATGGTGTAGTGACTTGGATTAACTGAGCTCAATGCGATCGATTTGACGAGATGAAATTTAATTAAAGAAGTCACCTAGGTACCTGATCAGCTGAGTTAAGTATCCAGCGAAACAAAAAGAGCGCATATGGCATAGATACTTAAGTAGTTTATGCAGTATATATGGTTAGTCCGTCTTGCCTCCAGACCAATGGGTAGTGAATATTCAAAGATCTTAAGATTTGACATGGTCCTGTAGCTAGGCCTATATACACCAACAGCCCTCGATGCAAAGAATATTTCGAAACTTGTTTTTATACATGTAACTTAAGAGCGTCAGCTCTAACATCCCCTAACCAACTTATAATCCCAATTGTAGCACATTTGTGCCAAGCAACGAGTCGTTGGTAGGCCTACGGGCATACATATGAGAAGTTCAAAAACTAGAAACTGTCGCCGCCTAGTGTGTAGTACGCAGCTAGTTTAACCGTTTTCCGGACCGTGAATGCGTATACATTATACTGCAGCGCCAATAACAACTAGTATGATTTTCCGCCGTTGCTCAGCCTCAGATCTCGACGGCTACTTACTAATTACTACCGGTACCTTCCTACATAGGTAGTATATGTACAATATTATTTAGTATTCAACTCGAATTCTAGGATTTTAGGGCTGGCATCGCCACATATATGCCTGACGCGATATACCTACTTAAGTACGAATAAACAACCGATCATGCGCAGAGCTGAGCTAAGCTAGGCTAAGCTGGTTTAAGGTCGAGACTGAAATTACAATCAGCAGAGAAATTAGAATAAATTAGGCTCAGTGAGTGCATGGCATGTGGGCATGGAGCTGGGCGAGTCTTTGAGTGTTTGTGGTGGGAAGGGCCGGCTAGCGCTAGCTCGCGCGAGACCAGGCGCAGATGTGAGGCAGGAGTTAGTTTTTGAGAATTTTGAGAACAATTGCATTGTGTTGTTGTTGTGTTTTGGGTTTTGGGTTTCAGTGACACCAACGCACAGTCTCGACACTAAACCAGCTTAGCTCAGCCTCGAAACCAACACACAGCACAAATACCACAGTTTGGTTACGAGACTGCACAAATATTAATACCTCAGACCCAGATCAGTGGCTGGGGCTAACAACCAACCCAAATTAAGCTTGAGGAAAGCCTCAGCTCAAATAGATATCGAATATTAATATTCCAGGCGCTTTTGTATTGAGGCAGAGCCCATAGGAGAACTGGAAAACTATGCACGCATATGTTGCAGCAATAATAAATCATGAAACTAACTTGTTTTATTAACTTAACCTAATATCAGAGCCAGAGCAGCGCTGTGCCATGCAACCGTGATATATACTTAAGGGTGTATATCAATGCGTAACTACTCAAGACAACAGATTTTCAATTTCTGGTCAAGACTTTTATGTTGCAGCACTATAACGGGCCAAAGCGGACAAAAGTTGGCAGCCATGCGTATATAGGTAGGTATGACACATATACATATGAAAGTTGAGTTGTATATATGCCATCGATGTACTTACTTTGTCTTTTTTTTTAAAATATATATATATATATATATATATCTTGGAAGCATATATGTGCAATCTAATTTTCCAGATATGTGAACACCTTACATATACGTAGGGTATTAATCAGTACTCAAATTCTAGGAGATGGTCTAAATACCTAATAGCTACTTAAGCAGTATGTGTACATGTACACTGACCGACGATATGATATTGAAGCTATAATATGCATACGTATGCTTAATTAATTATGTATAAACATTTATCGTAAAACCTAACTAACGTAGTAGCATTGTTTCATTGGACACTTTATCGGACACCGTGTCCCCCATCCCGGTATTCAAGAGGAAGTCGCCTCCCGGGATGACCTTCTCAATACCTTTAACCCCTCCTTTCTGCGACTTCGACAACAATAGCTCCTTCATACCCTTCGGATCCAACTTCAAATCGGGGTTTTTAGCTAACAAGTCCGCAACTACTCCTGCAACATGAGGCGATGCCATAGAAGTCCCGTCGATTGCCATGACAGCACGAGGACCCGTATTCCAGGTACTGACAATACCAACCCCGGGTGCATGGAGAGTAACACACTTCCCAAAATTCGATTGGACCCATCGGTTGTCCGTGATGTCAATGGCACCAACGTTAATAATTGGAATCTGGGTAGATAATCTGCCCGGATCGCTGGAGCAAGCATCGGTGTTTTCGTTTCCTGATGCAACGACGACATGCATGCCGGCGTTTAGTGCTCTTCGCAATAGATCGGACATTGCGGGTGAAAAGGCTGGGCCTCCGAGAGACATGTTCATAACTGAACCTTTAAAACCAGGTTCTTCTTTGCGTTTCAGGTGGGAGGCGAAGGCGGCGTCGATTCCGGCAATTATGCCGGCGTCGGATCCGAAATTAGATGCGTCTAGAACTTTACAACCTAGGATATTGACATTCTTGGCGACACCGTAGGTTAAAGACCCGATAGTCCCAGCGGTATGTGTACTATAAGTATCAATTAGCATATGCACCGAAGCTATATGTATGTAAGTTAAATTTTGGAAAACCCACCCGTGCCCATGATCATCCTTCCCATCATCTCCAAACGCCGTAAATATCATCTTCGCTCGACCGTTAAAATCCACATGGTCGATATTAATCCCAGAGTCGATAGAATAAACATCAACCCCATCCCCAGACAACCTATCAAAATGATATTTAAAGAATAAATCATCAACCCTCCTATCTCCCAAGTCAATCTTCTCCTTCTGAGATATCCGTTCAAGTCCCCAAGGTGCCGTCGTCTGTTCGACCAATGCATCCGCCTGACGTTTCGACAATGCAAAGCTAGCGCTGTTGGTCATATCTCTCGCCTTAAGCCCCGAATTCGAAACCGGCCCGGATCTTTTATGATTCCTTTGCATAAATTCAACGTTTTCTAGGGATGCAATGTCATGAGCGTGGGACTCTAGAAGAGATATGCTGAATCCCCTCATGTGAGTGCCGAAGGTTGTGGCTTTTGTGTGGTCGAGTCCCATTTCGTCTATTACTTCGCCCAACGATCGTTTTTCATGTTCGGCTAGGATGAAGAGGAAATCATCCTGTGGCTCGTTATTTTTTAGGTCGGTTTGTGTTCTTGAGGCTGCTGGGGCGGCGAATGTAACTGGTATGGTGCAGAGGAGGAGGAGATAACTCGAGATTACAGCTAGAGACTTCATTTTTGATATATTGATATATATATCAATGATAAAATAAATTATTTGTTAACAACCGTTAGATTACTTATTATCGCACAGCGATAAAAGCGATATAAATTATAAAAAAAAGTATATTAAATAAACGAGTGAAAGAGAATCGAAGAAAACGACCAGCGTTAGCGGTAAAGGACCAGCCTAACCTTTCGAAAAAACAGGAACAAAATATTTTTAGTTTTCAAAAGAAGATAACCAGGATTAGAAAGAAACGAAGAAGAAAAAGAAGATCCACTCTTCTTTATAAACCAAGTCACGAATCGGCATCATATCCGCTTTCTAGAATGCAATATCAAACAACAGGGCCTGACCGTTCCATATATTCAAACCAAGAAAGAAAAAAAAAAAAAATCAATCATAGACACTCAAGCACCAGACGATATCATTTTGTTTCCGAACATACTCATAGCCGCGTGGATCTGGGGATAGCTTGTTAGAAAGCCTTGCGCATTAATCGTGAAGACAATACAAAGCTGGTGGTTGGCAGCTGGGAGGCAGCACGTTTGAACGGGTGTAATAGAATCTTCGCAGCACCCGAAAAAACATGACATCAGTCTGCAGAGTATGATATTATATGAGCCTAAGAATAGGAACCCTCCAGTTCCGAATTATATGATAGAGAACCTCAGGGTAAAAAAAAAACCCTTTTAAATTTGAATGTCGAAAATCCTCCGGCCTCCTGTTGAAGGAGTTGTTGTGGTTGAAACATCCCTGATGTAGCAGAGTGACAGGGGTTGCTTTTCTCCGATTGGCTGGATTGGACGACCTATTTCCTATCTGGAAAAAGTGTTGTTATAACGAGCGAGCTGCATAAAACAGCGACGGGCGGTGCCTGTTTGGCATCAAGACACTATGAAATTGAAGACAAAGAAATGTTCTGGAGATGTGTATGACCCATTATCGACTGATTTCGGAGGCCTTGAAGGCTCTCTCTGCAGAAGAGTTAGTACAATTGTAGTCTAAGTGTTTGAATTATCAGGGAATCGTCTGTTTTTAAAATGTCCGTTGGCGAAAGGACAATTCAATATCTACTTCGTCGTGAAGAAACCAGTTCTCTTTTTACCTGTAGTGGCAGATGGATAAGTATTACAATTGATATTGTAATAAAATAATGATAATTGATGAAACTGAATTCCCTTAAATATCATTTCTCTTTTTTAGCACTAGTCGATGACATAAGTTTTCCATGATTTGAGGTTTAGAACTAGGCGGCTGGGAGGGCTGCAGCTGAAGCGGTTCGTTTCAAGCCACCTGCAAGATTCTCGCCTTCGAAGCCAGATTCAAATTGTTTCTCCTTCAAATCTGCTAGCGCATAACCCACACGACATGTTATATAAGTAAAGATACCCACCCGACATCCTAGTTCCCCCTCTTCTGTAATCTTTCAGAGCTATACCATTCAACGTCCTTTCGGGCACCCTTCCTCTCTTTTTATTTCTTTCTTTCATTTCTTTTTTTTATTCATTTCTTACCTCCGTGAGGTTTTGAGTCGTTCTGGTAACGCTCATTTACAAATTTTATACTCATTTATTTTTTCTTCCATATAGTTTTTGTTAAAGCTTTTGCATATATAAAACTCTCCAAAATGAAGACTTCAACATTCCTAATTGCCCCTCTTTTGATTTCTTTTTCTTCAGCAAGTTTGATTGGCAGAAATAATGGTGCAATCGCAGAAGTACAGAGATCGGGATATTTAACAGAGGCCGGTGTGCAGCAGGCAGGGGGGCCTATCGCTCGAAAGTATATCAGACGTGATCGAGTACGCCGTCAGATACCCCAATTGCCTAAAGTACCCACCGAAGGTGTTCCAGGAGCGCAGCCACAGCTTCCTGGAGTAATCCCAACTGTTCCTGAAGTCGCGTCGTCAAGTGTGCAGGCAGAAGAACCAGCAACTACGGTATTGATGGTTGCTCCTACTACAGCACCTATCGCCGTAGTACCGGTTGTTCCTATTGCTGAACCGGTTGTACCGGTTGTACCGAGCGCTGCACCAGTAGTACCAGTGGTACCTATTGCTACACCCGTAGTGCCGGTCGTTTCTAGCGCGGCGCCAGTGGTACCGGTTATTCCTAGCGCGGCACCAGTTAAGCCAGTGATACCGGTAGTACCAGTTACACCTGGTATGCCAGGCGGCCCAGGCGGTCCAGGAGGTCCAGGTGCTGCGCCAATTGTTATCCCTCCAGGAAGTGGTGATCTCCCCGGTCGAACACCAACCGGCCCAGTCGACGAGCCCCTAAAAGTCGAGGGAGACCTTCCACCAGGATTCTCTGTAATTGGGAGTGTAACTGCCCCTTCAGGTGTCCTAGAAGAGCCAGTTAAGCCAAGTGCCGCTCCATCAGCAGTAGTTCCAAGCAACGTGGCTACAGTGGCACCTGTTCCAGTTTCTAGCGGTGCTGCAGGACTTCCTCCCGCTGTCCCAACTTCTCAACCAGCCGATGGACTCCCTACATCCGGTGCACCAGAGCTCCCCGCTGCTACCACTGGTTTGGCAAAACTTCCTCTCACTAGCGCTCCGGCCAATGCACCAGCGTCCAGCGTTCAAGCTAGCCCACCCCTCTCGACCGTTCTAACAGGACTCTTCACATCAAGTGCTCCTGCTGCCCTTCCAATTCCTTCCACACCATCCCAGGTAGTTCCTGTAGTCCCAGGCTCCGGAAACCCCGTTGCCGGCCGTCCAAGCTTTGGAAATGTTCAACCCGTAGTATCCTCAGCTGTCGCTGAACCAACCCTTCCAGCTCTTCCCAACGGATTCAGCGTTATTTCAAGCAATATCCCAGCTGCCGCTGCCGCTACCGCAGGAATGCACGACTTTAATCGAAATACCGCAGGGAGCCAGGCTTCAGCTACTTCGAGCAGTCCGGGTGCGGGTGTTACGCCTACTGGTCTAGCTGGACTTGATAATGGTACTGGGGTAGCTGGGAATTTGCCAGCCGGGTTTAAGGTTATTGAAGCGCCTGCGGCGACTACCCTTGTTAGGAGAGTTCGACGTCGGTCGATTCCACAGAATGATGAGGAGCTTATGTATCGTTACGGATCTAGTAAATAGTTATTAAGTTAGTTTAGGAAATGGCGGTCGGCGTTTTTGAATTTAGCAATTTATATAAATATACTTGTTTGATTCCCCTTTACTTTTATAGAACCACGAGATAATATCGATACCAATATTTGTGACATCCATTTTAAACACTAGCTAGGCCTAGTCCTTGAAATGGATACAAGCCTATTGTAGATACCAGGGAACTATCGATGAGCTTAAGCCCCAAATTGATCTTGATTTCTCAAGGAATATTTTAGTTAACTGAATATTTACAAATCGAGGTCTAATTTCCTATCTAGTATATCACCCAGCTCATCATGATCCCCATCAAATCGTTTTTTACATGCAGTTTTTCCAGGAATCTTAAATCTCATCCCCTTCGCCAACTTTGCGCCCTTTGATATTTTTATTTTTCCCTTACAATTATTATCTCTCTTAATTCCAAAGCGCTCTGGTATTTCAGCTTCATCGCCATCGCCGAGCCAACCTCCGGAGTCATATTCCTCCAATTCCTCTCGACGGTCTACAATTATTTTGCATTTGCCGTCAAGGCCACAAGATAAACTTTCGTAAACCCAGTAAGTTTCAGGATACCTCCACAGCTCCCAATCGCAGTATCTATACCCCCACTGAATTAACCTCCAAGTGTCCCAAACACTAGCGGTGAGATCAATTGCAAAGGAACCACCCAACATCCCACTCTCCGAATGGCCATCGCCGCCAAAAATCACGTATACGCAAAACCCGAGATCAGCCCCGCGTCGTAGAAATTTTTTCCCTGTGGGGAAGTGAAGCGGCAAATGGGGGATGGAAGGATGTTCGGCATCTACTTTCTCTCCATCGAAGATAGTTAGATGCAAGAAATACAGATCATAGTTATGATCATTGCGATTCCAGTATGAGATGCTTTGTTCAAAAGACAGATGATAGTTATGACTATCGTGACTCCAGAATGGGATGTTTCGTTCTTTCGAGATTTGTAGAATGGATGGATCGGTTTTAACGTGCGTAAATGGTATATATCTCTTTAACTGGGCAGGACTCCATAATTGAGAACCATCTTCGCGTATATTTCGATAATCAGGCATCTCGTGGAGTAGTAGCAAGCCCGTAATCGCCCTATAAGCACTAGCATCTTCACCCTTAATGTTCTCTTTCGCGACTTTTTCAATTTCGTCAACCAGAAAGTCACGAACTGTCCTGATGTGGATGTTCTCCCAAAACCCCCAGTCCCTGCGCATGTTGACGAAGCCGCGACGGTAATGGAAATATAAGTTGACGAGCAACAACAGCCTATAAATAGCTATCACAATCCGTCGCTCTTCCGTCACCGTCGCAAGAAAAAACCTCTCGCGTCCCGAAATCTTTTCGATTTTAGCCCCTTCCTCCAATGCGGACGGAGATCCCGAAATCTTGCACTTTTTCAAAAGCTCCGCCTTTATGAATCGCTGATAGACCTCCAGTACGAACAGGTGAGTCTTCGCCAGCGAGTCGACTTCTTTCTTCCCTACTGGGTATTGACTATAATTCCTCCATTTGAGCCGAACATCGGTTCTAGCCGTCGCAAAAGCGACCGGGTCAATATTTTCCTTACGTAGCAACCCCCAAGCGGCTCCGTGCTTAATTTCTTCAACGAGAGTGCTATTGGTCGGAGGGCTGGGGTAAGATATGTATTCCGCGACACTTTGTAATACCTCGAGTCCCGATGGTTGGAATTTGCAGAGTCTGTCGCGGTATACGGCTAACCATAGTGCTTCTCGTCTATAGTTTTGGATATCTTGGAAGCATATGGTTTCATCGATTAGGTTTTGGTGTCTGTGGTATATTGAAGCGTAGACTGGTGAGGCTTCGCATAGAGAGTATAGGGAGCGAAAATCGTCGAGTTGGGTGAGAATTGAGTATTTGATGTCGATGGGGAGAGATTCGAGGGTTTTGGTGGTCATGATCGATTATAATCGAAGATATGTTTTTATATTATAAAAATTAAATTAAGTAATTATCTGAGTAACCCCGACTTTGGGAGGTTCAGAGGGGTTTGGCTCTATCTATTCAATAGATTGTGGGCCGGTGATAATTATAATTTTGAAATTGTTGCAGTTTAAAACAGATACTTATGAATTGCTAGACCACGCTTGTATTTATTGCTGAAGTATTACTCTACAAACTTATATTATAGACCGTTTATATGCTTTTTTGAGAAACCTGCGCAATTCAACGGATATCACAAAAGTCCCTTGCCCAAAATTCGGCGTGCAGATGCGAAGCCTGAAAGCCAGGCAAGGCGGCCTGATCATAAAGGTTTGAACTCAGCCACGTCTATGACTGCACTGTCAAACATCCCTGTCATCCCAGAGATACAATGTCGAATCGAGCTCAACCATTCGCATGCACACAGGAACCATTCGCCAATTCATTAAAAAAAAAGAAGAAATTACTGGAGATTTTAGTTTTATTTGTATTTTACGGTAGTGAGTATACTAGTAGTCGAATCCCAGTTCTCAAGGTCGTATCAGGTATACCAGACGAAGCCATCTAGATCTCCTAGGGTTCAGGCATTTAGTAACTATACTGTACAAGTACAAGGTCCACATAAAAATATTCTAGACATTCCAGTACCGTATACCTCAGCACATAGTATTATACGGAAGTCGTATTGAAAATTTGCCAAACATTTTATGAACGAAGCTCCATTTTTTTCGATCTATAATTATTTCTAGATCCCAGATTTCAACCGTCTTATCATAGGCCCGAGCCCTCCATTATCCAACACTGCAGATTATATATAAGTGCCGTTAGGATCATTGAATTCTATAAAAATAAAAATTTTAAAAAAAAAGGATTTTTCCACATGAATACCCTCTCGATAAATTCCGAATAGTCCATGCGCACTGATCACAACCCAAGAATTTTTGGTTCTCATTCGCGTAGGATCCGGAACGGGACGCTATATTAAAATATTAGATAATATAGGAAAGTGGTGTATAGACTGCCAGAATGTAGGACGGAAATGATGCTATCGTTCTATACGGGGAGCATTCTGAAATCGCTTTTGATCGTATGTAAATACGCCTTGTCGTCTGGCTTTATATAATTATTGCAAATGATTGACAAACATATGATAGCTGTATATATTTCTGTGTCTTCCTTCTTCGCACCCCTCTCTTTCTTTTGAATGGCATAATGTATACGTATGGTAGTTGTAAATTGTATACCCGAACGACAAAGTGTATATAAGTATGCTGATGTGTATGTCCATTTTTAGAGCTGCGAGTACCCATTGAAACTACTTAGGTACTTATTTACTAGCCTTGATTTTTTTAACATCTAATCGAATATAAATATAAGTTTTTGGTAACTTGATCGGTAATATCGGTATTCTAGAGCGGCTCGGAAGTCCTCATGGACTTCTTCGACGGCTCCAAGTATTTTTGCATCTCCCAGGCCGGGCAAATCGACTCATACCAGGGTCGGCTCGCCTTTTTAATGGAAAAATCCCAAACGGGGAGAATACTTTATTTGTACACATGAATTAGCCCAAACCATCGTTTTCGAGTCCTCCATGTTGGTTTTAGAACTCTGATCTTTTAATTTTTAAGTTCGTGTCTTTTGGAGGTCAGATACATCATCATCGTCTGTTCCGTAAGTTATAGCAAACCACCTTTTCCGAATTTCACCTTTTAGGAACTTCTCCTTGCAGTTGGTGAGCTCCAGTATTAAATATATAAATATCTCTTAATCCATAGTATTTCGGAATTGGTCCTCAGTGGAATATAATCCCGAATTTGATAACCTTCTTTGAGGCCGGGATTTCATACGGGGAGTCATCCAAGCCCATGGCCTAATTAATATTACCTAATTCTTTCTTTGGGCTAGCTTATCGTCGAACTTAGCGGCCCCTGGAGCTTTCAGTTCCAGTGTATAGTAATAATATATATTGATTCCTCATGTACAATGTGAGACTAACAAGACTAACGTATAAAGGTCCCCACAACATTGTTGAGGACACAAGTGCTTTGTCTTCGGTATATATCGATTCAACTTCCTCGTCCCCTTTTTGAAGCCTTTTGCGTCAAGGGCCAGCGAGGTACTCAGATACATCAACCAATGTCGAAACCATTGCTGTATCAATTTATGTTATGTTGTGAATGAATATAACGGAACGAATACCGCTTTTGGTAAAATATGCTTGTTGAGTGTAGTGTTTTACTTCAGTAACATTCTTCTCAAAGTTTTCTCGGGCAGCCATTCGTTCGCCGGACCCCAGTCTGAAACTTCTAAAGCGTTAAAAACTCCAGGTCATTTGTAGCTCGTTCTTCAATTATCATGCTCTTCGCAGAGGTTCTCAAGTACGTTATTCCTTTTGACTTTGATCTTGGGTCCCTTCCGAGATAACACATTGGCTTGAATTCTCGTCTAGCTTCAATAAATTCTAGGCCGACACGGGAACATGACGCGTCAGGGTTGGCCAGGTCTAGATGCCGAAACCAACTTCCCATTCAAATGTGAAGATAGTCCTTTGTGTAAATGTAATCCGCATATGTTCTCATTCTTCCAACCTCATGTCGCTTATCCGAGCCACTCGCCCTCCTATCCCCAGGCGAAAAGCTTGAAGACGCCATAACTGTGTAGTGTCCCTGGGGTCTTTTCGGGACAGTTTCTTGTCTGGTGAGGTTCGCCTTTCGGCCAACCTATCGTTCGAACTTCACCTGGGTAAGGCGATTAGAAATAGTAGGTTATTTCTATTCGATCATTTTAGGTTCTTTAGGCTTTTGTAGTCTTTGATAGATGGCTACAATGTGCCTTCTTTTCTCTTACATACATGTTGAGTTTTCTTAGTTGAATGGCCCATTTTTTAGGCCTGAACCGAAACGGCCGTATCATAAAAATATAATTTCAGTCTTGCAAGCGGAACAAGGCGTCTGTATTGCTCCAAATAAACTCAGGGTTGATATATCTGCTCATGAAGAGACTTTCGCGCCTGATGTAAAGCTGGATCTTGCTCTAGTCTCAAGTAAAGAGTAGATCAATCACATCTCAAGAATGTTTCTCTAGACAAAACATGAGCCAGAGAACCGGTCTGCGCCCTGAGGTAGGCGGGCCTGGGGCTAGCAGAGCCTATGCTGAAGGGTGACGGCATGGCATATGGTGGTATATATATATAGTCTTCCGTTAGAGACGGAAGGTATATGTGATTATGTGAGAGTTAGATGCACGACGAGAGAGATGGTGGTGGTGGAGGAGGAGGAGGAGGAGGAGAAGGATGTAAGTGAAAGGGATTGGTTTTGTAGAGAAGGTGGGTTTTATAGTTGAAGGCTTTTGCTGAGATCGTGGTATTGTTGATGGAAGTCTCTAGACGTCACGTCACGCCTTTGTGGATCGAGAAAGATACAATAGAAAGCTCCCGTTCAAGACTCAGCTTCAGAAGATTATTCTAGAAGGAAGCAGTGTAACCTCTAGAAGTATCAAAATAGTTGCAGGAGAATGGAAGATCCTACCTTCCCAGCGAAACTAACCCGTCCGGTAGAATCTCGGTTCAATTCCCATCTGGATTAATAATTCAAAAGCTTAGAATGCGAGATCTGCGTTGTAGATGTTGTATATTTCACCCCGCCAAAGTACCTGCACCCCACATGGGAAACGTTGCATGGCAGTTGACACTCCAGAAAACCAAAGAAACCCGCGCCGGAACGCCTTGAATCGGTAAATGAATGTAAAGAGGACATGTAACCTGGGATTATAAATCCGAAGTTTCTCCGGCCATAGACGTCGATACCGCGGTATTACGTTATGACATCCAAAGCTTAAGCTCTATGACTGGTTTGCATGGGAGCTTAGGTCGTACCATGCACGGAACCAGCTGCACGTAGCTGCTTCCGAATAGCGTTGCCGTCTCCGACGCAGAGAGCCTCCTTGGTGCATATAAACTTGTGACAGAGCAGGACACCCCAGATTTTGACCAATACGATACGCATCGATACGATATCAAAGAAAAATCCATCTTGAACCTTTCAGCTCGACAAGAACTACGACTACCATATCACAATGTCTACACCTGGGAAAGCCCACTTCAAGATCCCAGCGATCGCCGGTACTGATATCTGGAGGAAACCTTCAACCTTGCTTGGGGCGAAACCCACAAATGTCTTCAACGCACCAACAGCATGCCTCGGCAGCAAACTGTTAAGGAACTTCCGCAGAGCCAGAATCTCATTTTCCCTTCCTCCCCGCTCGGAGTTGAACAAGTACGACCAAGGAGGCCTTCTCCTTTCCCTCAAACGAGAGGGCGAACTGAAAGAGAATTCACAGTGGATTAAAACCGGTATTGAATACTACCTCGACGAACCATGGGTTGGCACAGTATGTTGTGACAAATGGGCCGATTGGTCTATCGCTCCTCTTGGAGGGGAGGCTGATTCCGAAACAGAAGGCCCAACAGCTACTATTGAAGTTGAGAGGTCGGATGATGAGCTTGGAAAGAGTTTGTGGATTTATTTGATCAAGGGAGACAAGAGGATTCCTCTGAGAGAGGTGAACTGGATTTTCGCACAGGATCATGAAGATGTGTGGTTGGACGTTAGTGCATATACGGCTAGGCCGTTGGCAAAGGAGGGGAAGGAGAAGGAGGAACTGATAGTGAAGTTTTGGGACGATGAGGTTGTTTGGGGGGCATAAGACCGCTCGAGTTCGCTCAGACCTCAAGCTTTATAATACAGTGTGACACCATCGAGAGAGAGATGGCGTATGTATGCATGTACATATCCACAGATAATCGATATTCACTCTATACCTCAATTGTCGGCCCTGAACTTGAAGCAGACATTAGTAAACAGGCCCTAGCGGCTCATGCACATCGCACACAGTCTATCCGAACCGAGTGGTCGAGTTCAGCCCAGGCCGAAGCGACGGTTATTCATGGCCCCGGCTGGAGAACAAGCGTGACTCTGGCGCTGCAGCTGGAAGCAAGAACAAAGGCGAAAGCGGGAAATTTATCATCAATACAGACTGTACTGAAAAAGCCTCTAGCTGGCCACTGGCCCCGCTCTAAGACGACTTCTTGACTTTTTCGATTGGTACCTGGCAGATACTTGATTAATTAGTAGATCGATTCGGATAGAACACGGCACTCCGATGCACTAGCCGCCATCTACCCGCACGTAAAAACCCAAAAAATTTTTATTAAAAAAAATATAGAATCTGCTTTCGTAGGATATAAAGAAGGTAAGTTGGTGCTGTTCCGGTCTTTATCCACAGAGTCCATATTATTGGATAATTCGGGCGCGGTCCTCACGTCACGGCGTAATTAATCAGTAAACTCCATGGTTATGCACTAGCTGGGGCAGCTGCCAGACAAACCGGAGCTCAACCTCACTTTCTCCCAACTACTGACCTACCTCCTCTGTAACCCAACCAGAAGGACTCCCTTCACTACTGAGCAAGTACTCGTGACACCGGACAGTACCCGGTTGCTTCGCTGTCTGCGTTCCTCTCCCAGGGCCACTGTATTGGATCCCTCGAGTATACCTCCACCATATAACCTATATCTCTCGTGTCTTGTTCTTCATACCCTTGTCACCATCGGACGGACACACCGTACCACCACCACCAATCCACCACCACTACCACCGGCGGAGTCGGCCTGAACCAGACCAAAATTCGCAGCTTCAAAGAAAAGACTGGCATAACCGGTCTGAAATTTTACCCAACAAGATAAAAAATCATGGCGAGTGGTAGTAGTTACCATACAGTCGCCGCGAGCGGGACATCCACCGTTGTCCCACGCTCACAAGGCTCGTCCTGGGCTTCGATTGTGTCCGGCCAGCCTTCTCGCCCTCGCATTTCATCGTCCACGTCCACAGGGCTTCGTACCCAACGAAACGGAAGTTATGCGAATCTATCTGAGATCGGTTCGCAAACCGGGCGATACTACAATACCGCTTTATCCAATGCTTTCAACACACAATCCAAGCTGTCACGACTCCCGGTCTCGTTGCCAAGCTACCTAGAAGACTCGCTATACGCCGAAAGGTTGGACGCTGTCCGAGATTCATCCTGGGGTTCTACCGTGCCGAGTAGAACACCGTCATATACGTCGGTTGGATTACATGCCGCGCAGTCTAGAGGGACTGGATTGAAGTTAGATGTTAAGGACACAGTCTCGTCGCCCGATGATGATCTGCCGACACCATTACCGACAAAATGGAACGAAAATGATAGGAGTGGGGGGATAGAAGTTTCACATGATGGTCTAGATGTTCAGTTCCCAGGTAGGGTATTTGGTATGCCCCTAAGCTCGCGTGGAGCAGCTATACTAAGGCTCGAGTTGAGCGACAGGACCGAGTAAGGTGAACGAATACGACTCAGCCTCCGTACGAGCGGACTACTTTATCCCTAGGTCATGTGGAGTCTATTATTACGAAGTGGCCATTATGAATAAGAGCCGGGAAGGTCTTATTAGTATAGGATTTTGCGGCGGTGACGTCCAACTCAACAGACTGCCAGGTTGGGAGCCGAATTCATGGGGTTATCATGGCGATGATGGAAAGTCGTTCTGCTGCTCGGGGATGGGAAAGGCCTATGGACCACAGTTTAACACAAAAGATGTTATTGGTTGTGGAATCAACTTTAGAACACATACTGCGTTCTTCACACGAAACGGACAGATGCTAGGTACTTCAATCCCGACAACAACTTTCTGGATGGCTCTAATAATTTTCGTCCCTCATAGGCACGGCTTTTAGAGATATTCCAAACGACAAGAAACTTTTCCCGGCAGTGGGTATGAAGAAACCAGGGGAACATATAAGAGTAAACTTTGGACAGGAAGAGTTCAGCTTTGATATTGACGGATATATGAAGGTATAGAGAGTAATCTGCTTAATGACAAGATTAGTTGCTAAATTGTCACAGGCGGAGCGAAAATCAGCACTTCAGGAGATCAGCGACAGCCAGGTGGAGAGCCTATGTCCTCCGCTAGATGAGGCGGCCTTAATACAATCACTCATTTCCTCATACCTACAGCATGACGGGTTTGTAGAGACGGCAAAAGCATTCGCGCAGGATCTACAAGCCGAACAAAACGCGCTAAGTAATAATGGAAAGTCGAAGCCAATAGAGTTAATGGAGGATGAGAATGCAATTCACAGACAAAGTCAGATCTCCTTCTGCCTGATTATGCGGGACTATTCAGTTGACCATATTGTAGATATACGGACAGCAATCCTCGACGGCGACATCGACAAAGCTCTAGAGCTCACACATAAGCATTATCCAGATGTCCTCACGACGAATGAACATATCAACTTCAGAATCCGCTGCCGCAAATTCATTGAAATGATGCGACAGTCCGCCGAAACCACAAATGGGCGAAAGAAGGTCCCTATATCAGCATCGAAGCGTCGTGCTTTTGAAACTTACGAAGACGAGGATGTCGATATGGACGGTGGAGATGCTCGTAGTGATATGGACCTCGATGAACCAACACCTATCACGGGTCCAGCAGCACCTGATTTGGATATGCTTGGTAGGGTTTTGGACTATGGGAGACAGCTGCAAGAGGATTTCAAGGAAAGGCCAGAACTACAAGAAGAGATGGAACAGGTCTTCAGCTTATTCGCTTATTCGGACCCGATGACTTCGCCCATGGCACATCTCTTATCTGAAGATGGACGTGGACCGGTCGCGGAGGCCCTGAACTCTGCGATTCTTGGTATGCTAGTCAAAAATTATCTTCATGACTCAAGATGCTAATGATTCTATAGTATCACTTGGTAAATCCTCGAAGGCACCGTTAGAAAGGCTAGTTCAACAAACAACAGTACTCCTTCGCGAGCTCGGAGAAGAGGGTGGGCCGGCGTCATTTGTTAACATACACCATTGGATCCATAATTTGGAGTTTCTCCCTCACTCGTGAGACCGCATAGGATGTTTCTTTTTTTTCAAGCCCATCTTGCTCACTTTCTTTCCTCCTTCCCTATCTTTTAAAGAAACCGGATTCCCAGTTCTTCGTTCTTTTTTTCGCTCCTATTTCCCTTTTCTATCATTTTTTTTTGACGGGAACTTAGTTTTGGAAGCCTTTTTTTGGTGCAGCATTTCCTCCCATACCAGGTGTACTATGGACTCTCTTCGTTATTATGTTTTCGGTCTTGGAAATCCGACCCAATTTTTTTTCTCTCTTGTATCTCTAACTGCCTCTCCCTCTATCGGCCCTTATTTGGGCGTTTTGCCTTAGACTCTACTCTGCTCTTTTTTTCTTTTGAATTGTCTACCCGATAACCCATTTCGTCTCCAGCACAAATTTGATCAGCCACCACCACCACCACAACCACCACCTCTTCTCCCACCCCCGTCTAGTACCCCTCTTGCGTTACCCCACCTAACTTCTTCTACTTTGTTATTATCAAATGCCGGAGCGTGTACAGAGCCTTTTTTATTATTATTACTATTATTATTACTATTACTATCACTATTATTATCACAGAACTATTACTATCACTATTACTATTACTATCACTTTCCCTACCATTAATGCATTGGCGAGTTTTTCGATCCTAGGTACTTACTCTACATAGAATTGGACGAAGGTATATGTTAAAAAATGTATTATTTACATACTAAGTAGGTATGTTGTGGTCTCGTTCCCAGTAATAGGTAAGTAGATATGTTGTATAAGTAAGTACCCAGCGTGCACCCTGGTATTCAAAATCGGCACAATACTTGACCCTATACATACTTAAGTACCTAAGTACTGGGTAAGTAGGTACTCAGTACATACATGCCGGATAATTATAAACTAAAAAAAAAAAAAAAGTTACAAACAAGAGTCATGCGTCTTCTGACACCCGGACATAATTATAACTAGCAATCAACAATTAATTGACAATGCATTTGTGATATCAAAAATCTGCAAATTTAACAAAAGTAGTAATAAAGTAATTAAACAAAAAAGGTAGGAACGAACGAAGAAGAAAGAAGAAAAACGCCATATTGCAAGAAAGAAGAGGGTTCAAGTAAAATCTTATTATACATACATTCGTGGAAAAAAAAAGAAGAGAGATGGGATAAAATTTAAGAATGGGGGGGTTATTAACTAATTAAGTACTTAAAATGGCTGGTGCAACATACTCCAGAGTAGTTACTGACGGCTTTACGATCATCTCTCCTCTTTCTCTTATATTTATCTTCCTCGTCGTCGTCGTTGTCGTCGCCATCTTCATATCTCTCTCCTCTCCCTCCTCCTCCTCCTCCTCCTCCTCCTCCTCCTCCTCCTCCTCCTCCTTCGTTAGGAGGTCGTAATTTATATCCTACAAGATTAAAAAGAAAGAAAGAAAAGAAAAAAAACGAAAAAAGAACAAGTGATTACTAGGTATATAATATGTACTCTCTAAACGTCCAAACAAAAAAGAAGAAGAAAAGAATCGTAAAAAAGTAGTAAAAAGCGAAACCGGGGTGGGGGTTTGTATAAAAAAATAAAAAAATAAGAATTATCTGAGTAAAAGGTCCTGTGGGACTTCGCCGCCCAGTTCTTGAACTTTGGCTATTAGGTTTCTTCGATCCTCTATTGCTTTACGCATGTGATCCACCGCTGTTTTTATATTTCTGTTAGAATCCATTTTTAAAAAAATCCAGCAATGGGGGACGGGGGGGGGCAATACTTTTCCTCAAAACAATACTTTCACTTCTTCCTTGTCCTTCAATACCGGGTACTAACTCCGTAAGTCTATCGAAGCCATCTCTTATCTATTTCCACCTATTAGCCACCCCTCTCTTACTTCCCATAACAAATACAAGTTTTTTTTTTTTTAAAAAAAAAAGGAATAAAAAAAAGGAATAAAAAAAAAAGAGCATACCGCCATCCGTCTCTTCTGCTCCGAAGCAATATGATTATTCTTCTTCTCCTCCTCCGTCAACCTCGGTCTCTCCGGCCTCTTCCCATCCACCAGTGATTCCCTCCGCCCTCCGTCGTTACTCCCAGTATCATCGTCATTACTCGATAAATCGTCAGTATTGCTTCCGTAACTGTTATTATTATTATTACTAGTCGATGCAGTAGTCGTCGTGGTGGTAGTCGTATCCTTTCTCCTACGTTTCTGAGGTTGATTTAATCCGCCGGAAGCATTACTCGATCGAAGGTCGTCAAGGGATTGATTATTGTGCGGAGAATCTCGGAAAGATCTTGAGGAGAGGTGGTGGTGGTCTTCATCTTCTTCTTCGAGGATTACGTTAGTATTTGTGGTCATATCCATTGTGTCCAAATAATGCAAAGTGGTTAGGTTTAGATTGTGGTATTGGCTGTGATGAATGTGATTGTTATTGTTATTGTTATGATGATAGCTATTATGATGATTGAGGTTATGGTTATGGTTATGGTTATGATGGTTGTGATGGTGAAGTTGGTGGAGGGAATGGTTGGGGTCGAAGACACCCATGTTCCCTGCTTCGCTGATTAGAATAGCATTGTTGTGAATGCTATTACTATTAATATTAATACTACTTGCAGTAGTAGTAGAAGGATTTAAGACACCGCTGCTGCTGCTGCTGCTGCTTTTTCTCCTTTGGAGTCTTTCCAACTGATTTGTGGAAGATGATGATGATAATGTAGGGGAATAGGTATTATGGCTCAGGAGGATGGACGAAGGTAACGGCAAAGGATTACCCAGTACATCAACATTACTGCCTCTCTTCTTCCCTCCCGTTCTACCGCCACCACCACCATTATTGTTGTTGTTGTTAAAACCAGTAGAAGTATCCATGGGACTTTGTAACGTTGGACTTGTCGCTGCTGCTGTCGCTTGTTGGAGGTCCAGGGTGTATGGATCCATCAGGGAGGATACGGAACGACCTTGTCCCATTCCCATGTTTTCCCAGGCGGCGAGGTCGTGAGGGGTTCCTTGGTGACCACCGGTGAAGAGAAGCATGTCTTCTTCGAAGAAGGAGAGCGGGAATTGTTGGTGTAGGTTTGGAGGGGAGAACGGGTGCGGTTGGTCCATCGTTACTTTTTAGTTCTATCTGTGAAGTCTATTCGAGTCCGGTGCAGCTGTGTGTGGTGTCGTGTGTGGTGGTTGTTGTCGCGATATCCTTTGTTCGTAAAGATAGAAAAGGAAAAGAAAAAAAGAGAAAAGAAAAGAAAAAGAAAAAGAGGATCTCTCTCTCTTTTCTTTAAATATTCTTTTTCTTCTTTCAAGCTACTTTCCTCGGTGGATTCGAGCGATCGAGCGAACGGTGTGTGGGGTGCCGGTGGTGGTGGGCTGGGCTGGAACAGGACAGGGAAGGACAGACGTGGGATGCTTTTTGCGGGGAATTTCTTGCGCTAGCTCGGAAGCAGACAAAACTGGGATGTTCCCTCCTTTTGCGACAGAGCGAGAAGAAGGAGATCTAATTAAGCCGATGAGGAAGCTCTTTCGTCAAGAGAGAGAAGCAGGGAATATGCGATATGATTCGTCTGGTGTCTGTTCTTTTTTCGTTGGCGATAGTTCTCGTTATATTATATTATCTTTCTTAAAAGATAGACAACTATAACATCTGATAATACACGACTCGACTCTAAACTTCGGAATGATCCTTTTATTTTATTTTTTATTTTTTTAATCTTTATTGTTTCTTCTTTCTGAAAGAGTAATGCTGTATGTGACTTTTTTTTCTTTCTTTAAAGCAAAAAAGTATTCTCGTGACGTTTGACGTTTGACGGGTTTTCTGGCTCAAGATAGCAGGTGATGTATGTACCTCTTTCCTGCCTGGGAAAGAAAGCCACCCTGCAGCTGTAAAGGTATGAAGATGGTGATGAATGACCCCGAGATGGGAATGGAAGTAGATGTGTAATAAATAGAAATAGCTATCTAAGAAGTAGTATAGCTTGGGGGGTGATAATAGAATTAAGAGAGGATGAAGATATAAAGACAGAACGGTAACCGGAACACAACGATGTCTATATGATATAATACGATAGATGATATGATATGATATGATATAATAAAATAGATAAAAGAGACCGATAGAATGATAGAATGATAGAATCTATATTAACCAGTCAAAAGAGCGTATTATAAAGCCTCAAAAAGTCCGAACATTCGATTCTTTTATATACCTGTAATCCTAACATGTAACCATTGCGAGCCCACCCGAATCGACTTAATTAACTTCCAACCTGAAACCGAATCAAAGAAGACGAAAATAAACCAGAGAAAAGAAGAAGAAGAAAAATGAGGGAAGCCGTTTTAACATCTGAAATCTGTGGGGAACCCTTGCTCCCTATATTTAATATATTCTACTACTACTATGTATACTACCTCCCAATAGGTAATGCAATGTACATGTAGTATGGTAGAGTATACCAATCGTGAGTGTGAATGATGATGCTATCACATGCCAAAACCCCGGGCCATGTTCAAGTGCCAAAAAATCCAATCCTCAAACATCATGCAAAGCCCTCACTCACATACAAACCTTTTTCTCCCGAGCCGCAAGGTACCAGAAACTAAAAACAAGATCTGCCCTGTGGAGCCCTTCTTTTTTTTTTTTTTTTTTGTTTGTTTGTTTCTGACTCTGCAAATCCCGAAAACATAGCGTTATTGCAGTACGCACGAGCTTTTTCTTAGAGCGAATAAATTTAAATAAAATAAAATAAAAGGAAGATTAGTAAAGGGCGGCTACCTCTGTTCCGTGCGTAAACTGTTCTGGACCTGACTGATTTACTAACTGACTGACCGACCGAACCCACGGCATGGCATGGCATGGCATGGCATGGCCTGGCATGTTATGGCCTGGTGGCAGGGCTGTAAGCGGGAAACATCATTTATACGGCCTGTCTATGAGCATACATTGGCACTATACCCCCCCTCCGTAAAAAGATCATAAACGACAGAATGAAGATTTTTTCTTTCTTTCTCTTTTTAATATACAGATATGTACACCACCTCGACTGCTAACGGATCTAATCTAATAGAGTGATATATTCTAGAATGACCTTCCTTTCATCCGTAAACTTCCGCCCAGCGGGTTTTTTTTGTTTAAATTTTTTTAGTCTTCTGCGTGTAGAACTGACTCGACTCGTACTCGACTTGACTCGTACGCTTCTTACCCGTTAACCTCGAAACTCGTCCCTCGGTATAATCTATTTTACCCTTCCCCTGCCTTCCCGCTTGTAGCTAGGTAACTACTTCTATACTACCGAAAGATGATAGCTATCTTACTATCTCATGCTTTCCCAACAAAAAATTTCTTTCTTTCTTCCCTTCCAGAAGCCGTGGAAAAAAAAGGTGAAAAAGAAGAAGAAGCTCATGATGTTTCCCGCTCGGACAACCAATTGTCCGAAAATGAAATCAGCCAAGGAAGTGGAAGGGAGGAAAAGAAGCTTATGAAGAATAAAAAGAAGGGAATACTACTGATACTCCGCTTCCATCTGCACAAGCTTCTGGTATACCCCCTCCACCCCCTCCGCTTCCTTCTTCACATACTTCCCCCCCTCCCAAACATCCCACCCCACCTCCCCACTCCCAACCTCACTTTCCCCAATAACCACAATAACATTATACCCCGCAGCCTTAGCTTCCCTAATACTTTTATTCAACCCCAAATTCCTTTCTTCCAAATCCACATAAAACGTTCTTTTCCCCATAACCTGTCTCTTATCACCTTTCACAACACCCGCGAGTACATCCCTCGTCCTTTCCGCGAAGTTTCGAATATCTTCGTTCTTCTGGTGGACGGGGATGACCTTGACTTGTCGAGGACTCATCCAGAATGGCCAGCGTTTTTCGTATTTTTCGATAAGTAAGGCCATGAACCTCTCCAGACTTCCAAAGATCGCGCGGTGGATTATTACCGGTGTTTCTTTCACTCCACCACCACCACTATTACCACCCTCTTCGCTACCGGCACCGACACCGGCAGCATCATAACTCAACTCGAATTTCTGAGGTAACTGAAAATCCAACTGCACAGTCGCAGTCTGATGTTCCTTCCCCTGAAAATCCACCAAAATAACATCAATCTTCGGTCCATAAAACGCACCATCCCCCTCATTAACCGTCCACTTCCTCCCCGTAGCTTCCAAACTCATTTTTAAAGCTTCCTCGGCCCTTTCCCAATCCGATAAAGAACCCATATATTTCTCCGGTCTGGTGGATAATAAAAACTTATAGTTCTGTAGTCCGAAGACGGAGTAGACGGTTTCGATCATTGATAAAGTTGATGAGATCTCTGCGGAGATTTGATCGTGACGGCAGAAGATGTGGGCGTCGTCTTGGTGGAAACGACGGACGCGGGTTAGTCCTGTTAGGGCGGATCGGATTTCATCTCTTCATATCAATCAATCAATTGATAATAATAAGAGTTTTTAGTAAATATTCCCAGTTATATATATATATAAAGTAGATGGGAGAATACCATACCTATGCAACGGCGCAAACTCCGCAAACCTCAACGGTAAATCCGCATACCCATGTCCCCTAACCTTATACAGCAAACAATGTCCCGGACAATTCATCGGTTTAAGACTATACATCCCCTCCTCCTCTTCCACTCCCTTTCCCTCTGGCTTAACCCCAGCATTAAGTCCCACCCCTTCCCCTTCCTCTTCCAAATTCTTCCTCCTAACAACCCCTTTCTTCCCACTAAAAACTCTAAACATATCATCCCTAAAATTCTCCAAATGTCCAGACTTCTCCCACAAAGCATCGTTAAATATCGTAGGAGTGATCACTTCTTGAAATCCATACAACGCGTATTGCGCTCGAAGGAATTCGATAAGACGGTTGAAGATCCTGGTGCCGTGTGGGAGGAAGAATGGAGAACCGGGGGAGTATGGTAATGTAGAGTATAACCCTGTTTGTGTGGCGATGGTGTGGTGGAGGGTTTTGTTGACATTTTTTGGGGAGGGAGGGGTGGTTGTGGTGGGTTGTGATGGTGATGGTGGGGGAGGGGTATTGTTGACGGGATTGGTGGATTGGTATGTAGCTTTCGAGGTGGTGAATGAGCGATTGAGAGGGATTGTGGGTGGTGGTGGTGGTGGTGGTGGTAGACGGAGTATAGACTGCTGTAGAAGAGGGTGGAATCGCAGTTGTCGTGAACTAGCAACGGTGGAGGGTTTTAGACGCTTCATTATCGGTCGTCTGTTGGGATGGGAAGTTAACGTTGCAGGATTTTGGCTTTGTTATTTATTTTTATAGTTAAATTTAAAAGAGGAACAATTGGAGGGAGGGACGCCCGTTGAAGCGAGATTTCTTTACCTAATGAGCTAGAGACTGCCGCCGGGAAGGTGCATACATAAAATCATGCAGCTACCCGAGCTTTGTTCAATCTATTCGATCAAGATCGATTAAAGAATAGAAGTCTACATGATGATACTTCTGTATACTTCATATAAATGTATTGTATTTTGTTTTATTTTACTTTATTTTGGTTAACTTCAGTTATATCTTTCCTCAAATCCACCCCCCCAAAAAATAAGATACAAACGGTCTATCGATATCAAGAAAACATAGAAAGTCAACCAACCAAAGAAAAAGAACTTCGAAAAGACCATTCCAAATTGATATCCACCGCCCTTTACCACCAGCATAAAACAAAACCAAAATAAGTAAGAATATATAAAAATCAAAAGCTGGAGAAGAGGGTTAAAAGAGAAGTTAAAGCATGGCCATAAAAAAAAGTCTGAACTCCAGGTATTGCTCCAGTAGCAGGTTCCAAATAGAAAAGGAAAATCCAAACCAAGAGGTGTATAAGAGAAAAAAAAGGGGGGGAATTACAAAAGATCCATTGCATCCGAGTGTCGAATCGCTCCATATCGCTGAAAGAGGAGGTGGTAATAGTAGTAGTAAGTAGGTGAACAGGACGTATAAGCCAATGATGAGAAGTGCCTTGCGTGTGCGTGTATATCTAAGTTATAGTAAGTAGACTGGGAAACTGGCAAAGGGCAAACGAGTAGAGGTCGGAAAGGAAGCTGAATCGAAGGCGCCGTGGAAGTCGGGAAGGAAAAGATAAAAATGAAAGAAATCCAAAGAAACCGTGCAGATGAACACCGTATGAAAGAAACTGTAAAATCAGTTGTAAAAGAAGAAGAGTCCAAAAAAAAAAATGAAAATGAAAAAAAAAACAAGAACCTCCAAGTACCTACCCGTATAACTCCCAGTAGATGTTACAATCCTTTAGTATGTCAGAGAAAAGAAAGGGGAACAAAAGAAGAGAAAATAGAAAAAGAAAGGCTGGCCCATCACTCTCGTACATAACCGAAAAGCTGTTCGGCCTGACGAAACTGCTGTTGAATCCTGAGAGCTGTAGCCGTAGCATGGCTCTGCAAAGCCGCTTGCTGCAGACTCTCCTGTAAGGCTAACCTATCCGCCTCCTTCAGCATGCTCTCCATCTCTTCCCGGTTCAAGGTGTAAGGGTTTATCCCATCGAAATCCTCCTCTTCATCTTTCAGCGCCTCTTGTTTCATCTCTTGCACTTGTTCCCAAGTCGGAATATCATCTCCAGTCGTGTCCCTGATAATCGTCCCCGTCTTCTTTTCATAAGCCTGTCGTTCCTTCAAAGTTCCCCACCAGGTAACTACACTGTCGATTTCGCTCTCGCTGAGGTCCAAATAATCAATTGCCTTGAAAAAACTCCTATGCCACGGCCATCTGGATAACCTCGCCCGGATCTTTTCATTATGATAGTCGAACCCCGGGTACAACTTCTCAACATCCGAGCCTTCATGCCCATAATAGGATGATACTTCGTGCTTCAGTTCCGTAACAAGGGTTGTAACAATTTGTTCCCATTGGAGCACGTCGTCGTTGTCTGTGTTGCGCTTCATCATCCTCGAGTGGATGGCCTGGTGGATTTGGCGACGACCAACCATGTTTTGGTCGTTTGCAAGCTCTCTCTTTTTGAGCTTTTACGTAAAAGATTGGCGTGGATTGGTGAGGGTCTGAAATTGATGGTATAACCTGATCCCCTGAAGCTGGACCGTGGAATTAGGATTTTAAGGCCAGTCGAAACCTTGTGATTTGAGTGTGATAATCGGAATCAGTGCTTGGGAAAGTGTTGTCTTTTTTCGGGAAGCAGGCGATTTCCAAGTTCGTTTTCGGACAAGATGTCACAATCACAACGTCTTTGCTTTGTTCGGTTTGTGCTTCCGTTGCTGACTGCGCTGCTGACTGCGCTTCGTTTATCGGAAAGCTTTCGAAAAAGGATCTTTGATATCAACAATTACTGTAAGGTCGAAAGAAGTAGATGGTGTCGTAGACAGATGGACAGACTTCTTTTGTCCTGTTAAATGAATAAATGAGTAACAAGAGGAGGAGATGGGAAATTTAAATTGTGCTCGTTTTCTTTCAAAACTGGATTCCGGCCCCAGTTGGGTTTTGATTGATTGATTGATTCTCCGATCCTTTCTCCTCCTGCTCTTCCTCCGTGGTCAATGCAGTTTTAGCAGCACGCAAGGGCGTAAATTCGAGGTTTTTGAGGCCGAAAATCGAAATGGGATTTTTGTTCTGGTGCAAAAATCCACGCGGGAAAAAGCAGGATATTTAATAACGTATTTTGACCAGGTGGATTTTCGTCGAGTTTAAATCCTTCTCCCGCTCGCTCTCTTCCCACACTGTCTTTTTCTCTATTCGATTTCCCTTGAGCTCTCTGAAATAGCTAACTAGCTAGGTAGCTTTTCCCGGAACGTTTTCGTATTTTTTTCCCGAAGTTTTGATGTGCGCACCTATGACGAGATGGCTTTTTTCCCCTTCTTCTTCTAGCTTCTTCTTTTTTGTTTCTGGTCTGAGTTCAACGGCGGCAATGAGGGTATTCCGTAATGACTTGTGTTTCGGTGTTTTTGTTTATGTAATAGATAAACGGCGGAGTTTATTGTGACACCACAGGTTTCCAGAACTTCTCGTTTGAATTCAGGCACTGCAGGTTTGAGGGTAATTCTAAGAAAACAAGAGAAAGAGAAAAGATGAACTTGGGATTTTAATATCAACTGCAAGGCGGTATTGTTTTTTTTTTTTCGTTCTTGTTTTGTTTGGTGTTTATTGATTTTACCGACGGGGAAAGAGGACAGGATGGGGCACAGGATGGGGCAGGATAAGGGACAGAGAAAGAGCAATCAAGATAGTTGAGAGGATTTAATCAGACGGCCCCGGCTTTTGCTTGTTTGGAGCCAAAAAAAAAAAAAGTTAAAAAGGTGAAACTGCAAAGAAGGTAACTTGGACTGGTTTTTGTCGGACTTCGGGATGTTTGTTTCCCAAGGATGTTGCAATAGTTAACGTTAGTCAGTGTAAGATGGGAATGAATATAAATTCAAAAGAAGAAAGAAGGCGAGGTGAAATCCAGGGCGGTTTCCTCTTTAAATTCGATCTGTTAGTTAGCTTGTTAGTTAGTCGGGGTAAGTTTGTGACAATTGTATAATTATCGTTGCATCGTCATCATCACACAAGCGCACAGGCTCAGAGGATGCATTCGACGGTTTTGAAGGTGCAGCTGATTCGATTATAATGCGACGGGGGGTCCCGGGGGGTATTAAAGAGGTTGGTTCCCGGCCGCTGCAGTCAACCACTGACGGGTAATCCTTGCACCAGATAAATTCCGTCTTGCCTGTTTCTTCTTCTTCTTTCCCTCTTCTTCTTCTTCTTTTTCTTCTTCTTCCGAGTCCCAATTTATTTTTCTTATTGCGCTTAGGAGGAAAAATATATATTAAGAACAAACTAAAACGCTGTTAGCGAAATTATCAAATCGAAGATGTTAGTATGTATAAGAAGTAGTTAGGTTAGAATGTATCGACGATGCAACGTTGAGAGCTCCGAAAGAAGGAGTATTCCGTGGGGACGGTTTTAACGATGAGATCCACTATTTAATCCAGAACTGTGGGGAGGGAAAATCGAAGAGAGGGGCAGTCTTGCTTTTTCCTCTCTTCACCCTTCCCTCTCTCTCTCTCACTCGATCACTCACTCCTCTCTCTTAAACATTTGAGGTTTGGCGGGTTTGGATGGAGACGCTATAATCCGCCCCAGTTTGTTACTGGAGTGCGTTAGTCGTTATTAACGAGGTCATCTCTCACGCTCTCAATACCGTAATACCCAATCCTTGGTCAGTTAGACCGGAATGGCTCCGCTTATCGTCCGAGGCGGCTGCTGCTCAGTACCTAGCTTCTGCATACGGAGTACATGCGTCCATACATACATAAAGTTGCCTCGCTATGGCTGGCCGTATGTATGCATCATGCACAGAATCGAGTGGGAACTCTAGGTTATTCTTGGAGCTAAAATAACCCCAATCAATCGATTCAACCAAAGGAGGGAACAAAGCTTGTCCCGGTTGCTCTTGCCGTTCCCAGTTGTTATGCTTTGTGCATAGTCAGAGTCAAGATCAAGCATGTTTTTTTTTTTTTTTTTGTCCTATTAGGAAAACAACCGAACGAAGCTCGATTCGATTCGATTCGATCTCGGTAGGGTGGAAGAAAAAAGCATGGTACGAGACGAGACGAGGCCGACGAAAAAGGATTCCTGCTTTCTAATCAGCTTTTCTGGAATCGTAATCTCCAAAAATAAAATAGAGAGAGAGTTTTTGGTGACGATTACCCTCCTCTCATGCTCATGCACTGCCCAGTCGGTGGTGGGTTAGGTTGGATTAAAGCGGGGCGGTCCCCGGGATATAATCTGGCAGCACAGCATATTGCAACTGCATTCCGGTAAGGCTATTCTTTCGTTTCATCTTGAGAGTGCCGGAATGTCGGAACAGATTGCAACTAGCCAACTTTGAACCTTTGCTTTGCTTGTAGGTGTAACTAAACCGTCATCGGTCGAAGGCCAGATATAGGTATCGACAAGGTCGGGGGTCATTTGAAACCCATACGTATACTATGCTGATGGACGTCGATGGTGAGAACAAAAAACAAAAAAAAGAAATAGCTAAAACAGATGGTGGCTTATTGGACTTTAATAGTTGATCCAGCTAATATTAGTGGGAACTCGTCTACGGAATATTATATTATTGATATACATGCCCGTGTATACCTAAGAGTACTTATGTATAATACATTAAGTACATACCTGCATCATCGACAGGTTCAGGCTCGAGCTTGCCCCTGTTCGTAGTTCGTCACGGGCCAAGTTAAACTGCTACAGAACCCTGGTATGCAGCTGGGTGGGTTCGCTCGCCTGGCTAAACGGCGGCTTGCTTGTCTGTGCTGTGCATTCGCCACAAGACTTACGTCTGGGGACTCCAGCCAAGCTCACGGAACGAACATCTGATCCTGTCCTAATATCATATCATATCATATCATATCACATCATGCCGAAACTCTAGGTTATGAAAAAATGATAATTCAATAGCTGCTTTCCTAAGTCTTAGAAAAGGCATTTCTATTGCAAAAACTTTTCTCTAGTTACCAGTGTATGAATCGATATCGTAAAACCCCACAAATCCATAAGGCCCGCCTTCACATTCACGACATCTGTGTATCCCCCTCATCATCCTCCTTCTCCGCCTCCTTCTTAACACTCGATACAAATATCTCAACCCCGCCTTGCGTTCCTGCATTCTCAAGATCTAGTTTAACACCCAAACTGTCGGCAACCCCTCTTAACCCTCCTTCTCTCAATGCGACAGTCAACGTTGCCGTCGCTTGCGAAAACTGTGGGCTGTGCAGAACCCTTCTTAATAACTCTTTCTCTTGATACTCCGTCTTCACGTCTGCTGTCAACGCTGGCGGCAAGTTCGCAAGTAACTTCTGACGGATAGCTTTAGATTCCAGGATTGTAGTCGCGACATTCGGTTGGAGTAGACTTGGAAGAGTAAGAAATCCTTGCGGTCTCGAGGATGAGGCACCACCGCCGGGGATTGAGATACCACGTATTAAGCTTGCGACGTCGAGTTGGGCTTGTTCTTCGGTTGTTGCACTTGGCTGAGGTTCACTTCTAGATTGGTCGATGGAAAATGTAAGCTTATGTATATTTCGTTATTGATGCTAAACGTGACATAGTAAAACAAAAAGAGAGAGAAAAGGAAAATGGTGACGCTAATGCTCCTTTACAATAACCCCCCGCTGTTCCACGTAGACGCTTGTAATACCAATATGTTTTGTTCTTTTTCGTATCTTTCTGTTGGTATCTAGGGACTTCCCCGTCTACTTTCTAATTCCATAACTCTATCATCTTTCCAACCTACAAAGCATTTGTAGACAAAAGAATCAAAGTGAAAGGCCGAATGCGGGTATTGGTTTCGGGAACAAGAAATATAGGAACTTATGGGTGGAATACCGGAACTTGTATTCTCCGTTTTATTGTATTTCTTTTTTCTCTCTTTTGGGTTTCTTTTCCATGGTAGGTAGCACAGGAAAGGCGAATGATAGGACCTACGCTCGACCACCATCTGCACCCCCTCTTCTGCTACCCTCTCCAGCGCTTGGAGCCGCCTCGTCGTCGATATCCATAAGCTCGTCGTCGTCCGCAATAGCACCTAGCTCGCCACCGGATTGGATTAACCTATCCCACCAGATCAGTCATGTATATTCAACGTATCTAAAGTTATAACATAATAAAAAACCCACTGATCGATCTTCCTAGCTACCAATCGGTCCTTCCGTGTGTGTTCTGAAGCGCTAATGCTCTCGTCGTTCTTTGTTTGCCACCAGAACATATGTCTTTGATCGCTGCTCTGGAACTTCAACACGCATATTCGGCCGTCGTTTGGGCCGTTGTTGTATGGAACGAAGCTGGCGTCACCGGGGAATACGATACGGTCGAACTCTTCGCCTTCGACGGTGTGACCGCGGCGGGGGATCCATTTGAAATGAAGAAGCTCTATAAGCTCCGTTAGACCCTAAGTCCTAGAAGCTATGGTGGATAAGAAGAGATCGTACCCTCGTCTCGTGAGAATTCGAGGCGAATTTCGCCGGGGACGTTGGATGGTATATAGCGGGTTGGGTTCCCGGCCTGTAAAGTAGCGGTTTCCCCTGTTAGCTAGTTGGTTTCGTGGGGTAGGGCTGTGACTTGTGGGAAGGACGTACATCCTGGGTGCAACACCCGGCTTTGGCTGTTATTAAAGTGTCCATGATGATAGTGGATGTAGAGTAGCGAAATGGAAGGTGATGAGGTGGTTTGGGGGGAAGTGTAGAAGTGGGTTTTGTGAAGTTGGGATGTCTTGGGATGACGAGGGTCCTGGTTAGCTAACCAAGCTCTCTTGCAGTAACGCGTCGTCCGCCAACAACAACTCATAAAATTCAACATCACCTAGCTGTTATATATGTTATATGCACAGTACGTACATCGTGATGTCGAGTGGAAATAACAAATGCTAGCAAAGCTACGATATCGTAGGCAGCGCTCTGAAGATCATGCTATTTCTCCTTGATATCGTATATGAGCTTTGGCCGGGGCAGATTCTTTTTTTTCTCCCCGCCGGCTCTTCTCTTTTTCCTCACACTTGTCAGGTTGCTTCTAGAAGCTTGAAGCTAGATATCGATCACACAGCTACCTGAGAGGTACCACTTTATCCCCAGCGCTAAGAAATATCTCAAAGATGGTAAGCTTGCATTTCAGGAACCTAGTGTCTGTCTAGGTGTTTGTTATGGTATGGACTGTTGCTAACTAGTAGTATCATATGACCATGCAGTCGACCTTCAATGGCATCATAAAAGGTATGTATATGGCGCGTATTTCCTAGATATCAACATTGGAGTTGACCGAAAGATCAGAACTCTCAGGTATCCAATGTAAGATATCCTATCTCGAGTCTATATATATAGGGTATCATATTGATCATAAACTCCTAGTCGACTATTTCCGAAAAGTGGACGGAGCAGAGCCCTCTCTGGCTAACTTTCTCTCCCACATCCATTCGTATGTCTCCTATATTTCGCGGAACAAAAGATTAGTATCCTAATGCTCTACATAGGGACCATCTTACCGGTCTAGCGGGAAAGAGCTACCGAGCACCTTTTATATACTGCTCTGCTGCAACCAAGCAGTTGCTCTTAAAGCTCGAAAGACGACTCCATCGTTTCAACTATGCAAAAAAGCTGGTAGAAAGCCATGAGTATTCATATCTACATTATGCAAACAGAGATCGCATACTCGTAAGAGCTTTAATATCGAACCTTTTGTAATAATGGTTTGTGCTAACCTTGATTGCATATGTAGAGGGAACTCCCACTGGAGACGCCTACGGATATTGAACTCTGCCCCGGCTACACTATACGAGTAACACTATTCGATGTGAGTTCCCTAGTATACTTTTATATGATTGGTACGGCCGAGTAATATAACCATAGGCCAACCACTGTCCCGGTTCGACCATGTTCCTGGTCGAAGGAAGGGGCAAAGCGATTCTTTACACCGGTGACATAAGGGCCGAACCATGGTGGCTCGAAAAGCTCAAACGTAACCCAATACTTCTCCCATATTTCCGAGGTATCAAAACCCTCGACTGTCTCTACCTTGACACTACACACGCAAGCTTCGAAGCATCACATCTAACCTTCAGCTCCAAAGCCGACGGTATTGCTGATTTATTAACACAAATCTCAAAATACCCACCCGAGACAGTCTTCCATCTGAACACCTGGACCCTAGGGTACGAAGATGCGTGGGTCGCTCTTGCGTCGTACTTTAACACTCAAATCCATCTCGATGACTATCGTCTTGGATTATTTAATGCCCTTGGCTCAAGGGATTCAAAAAGTATTTGGGAACACGGCGCTTTCCTTCTGGGCCGTACACTTTCGCTCGCTGACACCGTTCTCACGGACGATAAGAACGTACGGTTTCACTCTTGCGAGCGGTGGTTGGAGTGTGAAGGGAGGGATAAAGCGAGGGAGGAAGGAAGATTGGTAGAGATCTCGCCGTTGGTGGCGAAGTATAGAGATTCAAATGGGACAGAGTATATGCTCAGGGAACCTGGTGAAGGTGGTGGGAATGTGGATGGTAAGCTTCTGGCTCCCATTTCAAACTATAAAAGTATACAAACTAACTTGTTCAAAGCAAACGCCGTCAATGAGATGTCTGGAGATCTTCTCTTGGAGCTAACGGCGATTGTAAAAGATCAAAAACTCTCAGAGCTGATCCAGCAGATCGATGTGAAGCCAGGATTCATCCTACCACTCGATGCTGCTGCTCCAGAATCTGATACTAAACTGGATGGATTTATCGAGATCATCAAGCGAAACCTAGAAGCCCTCATCATATCGCGAAAAGGAGAGCAATTGAAGACTGAGAGTCAACCTCGCGGCAAAGAAGCCTCTGCTCTTCCAAAATGGTTTGTAAGTTTCCGATTTCCTAACCCTCGATCTCCTATACATGTTTTAACAGATACATAGGGCTACCCGGCTTCCCGACACTCCTCATTCTCTGAACTTCAAGATTTCGTCAAAGCTCTCGCCCCGAAAGACGTCTACCCATGCGTCGCCGCTGATGGCTCTTGGTACCAAAAGGACACCATCCGAAAGCTATTCGGCAAGTACTGCAAAGGCACAGAGTTTGCATTCGATGTTGAACGAGCCCTGGACATAGATTTCGTCGCCGAGACAAGGCAGAATCTAGAATACCTCGAACTTCAAGAACAAAGGGCCGCCGGTATGGCAGAAGAATCACAACAAGCCCGTTCCCAACAAGTGTTTCGTTCTTCACAGGAAGAATACCTTGCGCACATACGAGGTCCTACGCAATCAGATGATTCAGAGATTAAAAAACAAGTAGATGACGCCGTTCGACGAATAAAACTCGATGAGCAATCTCATGCTACTTGTCTACCGGGAGACACTCAGGCAGATGAGTACGATCCCACAGATCCGAACATTGTTGCGAAAGTGGAAAGGGCAATTGAAGATGGCAAGTTATTGTCAAAATCAATATCGAATTTCAATCCTCGTGCCACAATCCAGGTTCACAGGACACCAGAAACATCCGAGATCCAAAAGCCTGAGGATGTACGAAAAGCACCAGCGATTTCTAGACGGAGACAAACAAAGGCGGGATCAGATATTATCCTTACTGCCTCACTAGATGAATACAAACGTGCTACAGTTCCTCTGAAGCGTTTCCATAGCGATTCTACTCACCCCCCCTCTCCGAATAAGAAGCAAAGTATCAGAAAAGTCGGCTACAACGATATCACTACAGCCAACGGCATGGTTTCTGAAGTACCATCAGAGAGGGTTTCTGACACGTTTGAGGAGAAAGATGACTCGCAGGACTCCCTACCTAGCAACATCGGCGACCTAGATAGGGAGAGAGTCAAGGAAGCCATGAAGGCCGTGCGGGAAGGCCGTTGGCTAGAGACGAGCAGTCGGTTGGGGTTTAATAATATGAACTGGAAGTATAAGAAAGAGAAGGAACTTTAAGCAGGATTTTTTGCGAGTATATTTACTAGCATTAAATGACGTTCCTGGTGATATGTACTAATAATACAGGCATGCGATTATCATGATCTATTGATAGTCTCGAGGCCAATAATCGATATCCAACCTGCATTGAATCCGACAAAATAAGCTTTGTGTTGCCATTGTAGTTCCATCGCCGTTTGCCCAAAACCCTAATCAAAACTGCCTATTCCATCACCTTGCCCTAATCCCCACCATGCAAACCCTTGCTCCATCCATCCAAACCAAACGCCAAGAAACCTTCAACACACCACGAAAAGACCGCCTATCCTCGCCCGACAGCTATTATCGCCAATCGTCTTTTTTTCCCCCAATCACCCATTTCAATACCCCGTCGACACATTTGTACGTACATAGCCTCTCTCGAAAAATAAAAATCGAAGAAATTATACACAAAGCTCGAAATTCGACTAACTTGGGTTCTCAGATTTTACCCTCTTCCTCTCCAACCTATTTACAATGGCACCACCAAAGTCGAAGCCAGGCAGGTCGGCTATTGCTGACGTTGTCACCCGGGAATACACGATTCACATGCACAAGAGGGTACAGATCCTATTTACCTATGTTATTGAGATTTGAGGGATGTCATGATGGTTCTCTTGGAAATATGGGCCGGGAGGAAAGGGTGATAAACCAGGTTATGGATAGAGTAGAGGAATGATGGATATGAAGACAACAGTGTGAACGTGGGTGGGAGACGATATATCGCCAATCTGGAGGGGTTTATACGGCAGAAACACGACTTGAACGATATGAAATAGCTTAAAAACGAATCATCCGACATACAAGAGAGACTAAGGAGGAGGAACTAGAGACCATCATGACATTTGGCTATCTAGTGTCATGCAGCTGCTAACGCCTCAATCCAATATACAGGTACACGGCGTCTCCTTCAAGAAGAGAGCACCAACTGCCATCAAGGAGATCAAGGCTTTCGCACACAAGCAGATGGTACATACAACCCGAGAATACCAAATTATCAAATCGACCATAAATTCCGCTAACATAGCGAAAATTAGGGCACATTCGATGTCCGTCTGGACCCCCAGTTGAACAAGGAAGTCTGGAAGCAGGGTATCAAGGGTGTCCCATACCGTCTCCGTGTCAGAATCTCGAGAAAACGTAACGACGAGGAAGGTGCCAAGGAGAAGCTGTACAGCTTCGTTGAGGCCGTTGCTGTCAAGAATCCTAAGGGACTGCAGACTACTGTTGTATGTTTTTTTTTCAGATTCCCAAAAAACATATCATTCTGGATGGAAGGATACTAATATATCTCTTTTTATTACAGGTCGATGCTTAGTTTCCTTTAGCCCGATTTTCCTGTCCCTTTCCCGTTCCTGGCCGGTTTTTGAATGCAATTCTATTACTACACTTACTACTACTTATTTCCCCTTTTTTTTACGATTTTTTTTTCCTCCTCTGGGTGTTCAAAAAATCCTCTCTGTTTCTCTTTTTTTTTATCCTGCGCAGTTGTAATACCACCAACTACTACGACACAGACCCATTTTTTCGATTCGGTGTTCATATACAAAACCTCCTCCAAACCACACCTTTCTTAACGATTATCCGACCTCTCTCGACCTCTCATCAACGGACGTTTCTTCGCTGGGGATGAAAAAATGAAGATACGAAATATATACAGCTATTAGATACCTTTTTCTCTTTTTGTGAATAGCATGGAGGAAGGGGATTATCAATGAACATTTCTTGAGGAAGCCTTTTTTTTCTTCTCGTCGGCTTATTTTTGTAGATGGTGATATCGTACGTAGTGCTATAGTCGTGTGAACTACGCCATGACTTTAAATTTAGCTGTATCTGTATCAGATGCCATATGAGAGGCTACTGGAATCATAGGCCCATACTCGAGATGTACCTGTTGACTTTATATTACTCATCTATTCAACCATGCCAAAGACTAAACCCATCAGTCGAATCATCAACTCTGCCTGAACCAATCCGAATAAAACCCATCCACACCCATAAATACCTACAAACTCACAATTAACGAAACCCCTGCATCACAACAGGAACATCAACCCCACTCTTTACCCAATAATACATCTCAATACAACCATCACATAACCTCCGCGAACGAACGAACTCATTATTTTGAGGACATGCTCTGTGCATAATAGGGTATTGGTAGTATGTAGTTGATATATCCTTGGCTATTGTGGTGTTTGGAGTCGGAGGGGTTTGTACATGCTGCTGTTGGTGATGTTGACGTTGGCTGGAAGGGGGTTTTAATGGTAGAAAGGGGTATTGAAGGGGGTTGGAGTTGTTATTGTTACCGCTGCATGGGATGTTACGTCTGTCGGTGTGGCCGCAGGTGTGGGTTGTTATGTGGATACACATTTTGGGGGTGGTTTTGGGGGGTGGTTTTGGGGGGTATTGGTTGGTATATGAGAGTTGCTATTAATGTTGATGTTTTGTTTTGAGTGATTGATAGCATTGGCGAGTCTTTTGAAAGGACTTAAGGAAGGAAGGAGGTACTCGAAAGTATTTACTATGTCGTCGTAGTTACCAGGAGAGTGAGAGCTTCATATATTCGTTCGAGCGTGTATATCTCGACCTCGTCGCCCAAGGTACTATAATACCTCCAAAAGAAAGACGTTAGAGATAACTGCTTCAGAATCCCATAAACACCTATATCCTACCAATTACTCAACCCGCGCGCTGAAGCATTTTAATCCAATTGCAAAAAGTGACCAATCATAACGTATTAAGAGTATATGGGGTCTCTGTAAAGCGAACTCCATCCTTAATACTCCTGTCCCTCAAACCTCCAAACAGGTCTCAACATCAACGCCTCCGCAAACTTTTTATACTTTTTCATATCCCCACCACACGCCTTCCAATGATTCAACGCCCGCACAGCAATAACAGCATATGCTTCGTTTTCGAGGTATGAACATTGAGGACATAACTGTTGAAGAACAGTTGAAGATGTGATCTTTTTGCAACGTTTGAGTTTGCAGGTATTGCTTGCGGGGCGGGTGGTGGTTGTATGTTGGCAGTGGGTGTGGATTGTTTGGGTTAGGCACATTTTGGGGGTTTTGCGGACATGCTGGGTTGCGTATCGCTTGGGGTATTATATTGACGGCGTGAATGCCGGCTGGGATTGTAGTAGTCCCGGTTCCGCTAGTAGCTAGGGAGCTAAAGATGGGCTTTTATGATTGCATTGGTCAATTGGTTATCAAAAAATATTTCGATTATAGTCGATTTACGATAGCCCTCCATATACGAAGTGATTAGATATCGATAGCCCCGAGGTAGTCTAGTTGGGCCCCGAGGTAATATTCGATAGTTTCATTGCTGTATATCATGCCACGTGCGTGTGGCCACATGGTGGTAAGTTTCAAAGTTCTTTAATATAAAATCGAATGGTAGGGTAAATTAATAGACTCTAATATCATAATTATATGACTTTCCTTCCTTTAATTGGAACTTTCTTGATTCCATGGGCCTATGATTCATAAAAATGTGACAATCTGAAACTTGAGGTTACACCGCTGGCTTAATATTGATAAACTAAAAAATGCTAAGGCTGAAGATTATAAATTAGGTTGCGTATTTGTAAGTGATATAGGCTATTTAATATGATAATCTCTATAACAGGTATAGAAATCGATTTTTACGAAAACGGGTCCTGTAAATAGTTAGTAGCAAGCATCTGAGCCATAGTAAGCCAAGTACGTACCTATCCGAGAAAGAAGTGTTGATGTTGTTGGAATCTTCTCGAACACAGCCACATCTCTCGCTTCTGTGGCTTTGTCAGCCACCCATCTTAAAGAAACTCGTCCTCCAGCCTTTTACCGTCGTTGCCATCACCAACCTTTCATCAGCCTTGCAATTTCGCGACGAAGCTTCCTTCAACCTCAAAAATAGCTTTAAAAACACTACAAATTACGTCGCAGTAATCATCATAACCCTTCAAAATGGCAAATTATCTCGCCTCTATTTTTGGTACCGAACAGGACAAAGTCAACTGTAAGTCCCCCCAGATTCTCTAGGGAAAAAAAAAACACGTCCCCAAAAACTTCAATGATTGAAAAAAAGGAACAGTCGAAAGCTGACATCACTATTTACCACTTATAGGCTCTTTCTACTACAAAATCGGCGCCTGCCGTCATGGCGACAGATGTTCTCGTAAACACGTCAAGCCGTCATATTCGCAAACCGTCCTCCTCCCGAATATGTACCAAAACCCGGCATTCGACCCAAAAAATAAAATGAACCCCAACCAGTTACAAACACACTTCGACGGGTTCTACGAAGATATTTGGTGTGAAATGTGCAAGTACGGAGAAATTGAGGAGTTGGTTGTTTGTGACAATAACAATGATCGTAAGTTACCCTTCTTTCTCCTCCAGACGGGACAATTGCGAGATTAGGTGAGCTAACTGATATTTTTGGGTACGTACGTAAGACCTCATTGGCAACGTCTATGCCCGTTTCAAATTCGAAGAAGACGCTCAGAAGGCTTGCGACGAGCTAAATCAACGATGGTACGCTGCCCGACCGATATACTGCGAACTTTCGCCCGTTACAGATTTTCGAGAAGCTTGCTGTAGGCTTAATTCTGGGGAAGGATGTCAAAGAGGAGGGTTTTGCAATTTCATACATAGGAAAGAGCCGACGAAGGAAATGGATAGGGATTTGGAATTGAGCACCAAGAAATGGTTGAGGATTAGAGGGAAGGACGAAAGGGAGGCCACCAGGAGTCCGTCACCAGTATTTGAGGGAAGAACTAGAGCCTAGTTGGGAGAAGAAAGAAAAAATCTCTGTGGGAAGTGGATAATTTGCCGATCTTAACTTTTATAGCGGCGGAGCAGCCCATTACGCGCTATGTTCGTTGACATTCAGGTAATAGACAATATGACTTGCATGAAATTGTACGATAGGGCTGAAGTTATAGAATTATAGGCGCATCAATTTCGAGGATCCTTCCTTTTTCACGTTCTAATAACTTAGGTGGTGAGGCTGTCCGATGTGAAAACATATCTCTGGATCGTCTTCGAACTAATGGGGGGTCTTATAGACAAGATACCAGAGCTGTGAGCATTTCCCTAGTCCCTTTGCCCTCCTCGGTTGATTCGTCCAGTCCATCCAACTGCTCGACTAGGGTGGCTTTAACATCTTCTAGTGACTTGTTGGACTTCTCCAGAAGTTCGGTTGCACGCTTCCGTGCACCATCGTCTTCAGCCACTAACCAGCTTACAACCTGGTCCAGAATCTATGTAGTAATCGTGAGCAAATCGAGTATTCAACATGGTCGGTTGTAGCTCTAGCTAGCTTACCTGAAAGCAGAATAAACCGGCATCTAACCGCCTTAAATCCCATTCGTCCTCTCTTTCTTCGATTTCTTCTGCAGTAGCCTTCTGCTTTTCCGCGGCAACTTCGCTATCTACTGCCGATACCCGCCTCGAGTAGTCATCTCGAAGCGACATGATTTTAACTAATTTTTCATAGTCTTTCTCTACGAACTTGGCGAGTGTTCTTATCCGGGGAGCTGAATCGGCGGGGAGATTTCGGAGCAATGAAGCAAAAATTCCCAATAGGTGCTCTGTGACTTGAGCATCTTGCTGCGAACCAATTATAAGTATGGGTCTCTAGTATGCGTATCAACCGGGGGAGGGGTTTTACCTTCTTCATAAACGATCCAAAGAGCGTCTTCAACCCCTGAGCCTCTACCAACTGCTCACATACCACCCCTCCATATAGGCCACTGCATGCGTGATCAACTAATCGCAAGGCTCTCCCTTTACTCATCTTCCCTTCTCTTATCATAATCAAACATAACTCCACACCCTCGGCCTCCACGAGTTTCTCCTTCCCTTCCTTCTCATCCACCAAGCATATTAAAGTGTCAAACATATTCTCGAACAATTCTTCCTCCTCTCCACCTTTCGTAGGATCCCGTTTCCTGTAGGGGCTCAAAAGTTGAAGCAAAACATCCACACCATCAATCTCAACCAATCGCTTCCGATTTTGTGCCGATGACTGTACTAAGATTGACAGTATCTCTGCCGCATACTGTTTATTCTGGCTAACCGGTGACTCCTTGATCTTAATCCTTTCCAGTAACCATCCCAAAACCTTTGTCTCCTTTACAACCCGCTCTGAAACCGCCTGATTTGAAGCTAAGTTTTCGAACACCGAAAGAGTATGATAGATCCCATTCCGATCTTCATCGTTATCCTCCTTCAACCGCTCCAGATTCTGTGTGAGCATATCTAACAACTGTGCGTCAATCATGGTATTCACCAGCACATTCCACTGCTCCGGATCGGCCTCCACCTCGTCGCCCGTAAGTTCGCCGATAATTTGTACTACTGCTATAGCAATATCTGTGTTTTCGTGACTTAGAAGTCCGACTAGTGATCCCAGACACCCCATGTTTGCAAATTCCTCGTATAGTTCCGGGTGTTCGGCTAGGATTGCGAGGTTCTTGACTTCGACGTCAAGTTCTGCTTCGGACTCCATGAATTTCGACGGGTCGTCTTCGAATTTGGCGCGCATTTCGGCGTTTTTGGATATTTTCTTTTCGAAGTTCAAAGCGAGTTTTCGGAGGTAGGGGAGGTCGATTTTCTCGGGCTAGAGGATATAACCATATATATTTGTTAATTAAACTCCGCGAGTATATATAACCTGTAGAAAGAGAATATATAGAGAAAAAAAGAGGTTAACGTACCCCTTGATCCTCCTCGTCTTCCATGAAATCCAAAATCTCTTTCTCCCGCTGAGTAATCCCACCACCGAAGAACCTTCCACCCTCTTCATCTTCTAGATCTTCGTCTGCTTCGGCAGTAAAGTCTTCATTGGTATCCATATCGACGTCATCGTCTGGCGCGTCTTCGACTGCTGCATTGCGAGCTTTGCCCTTGCCGTTTAGCTCGACACGATTGGCTTTATACCTATCATCTAAATAGAAGGGTATGATTGATTAGACAGACGTTGGGGAATAGCTTTGGAAGCTATGTAACCTAGGTAGATAGGCGCGCTTTGGGGTACGGACGTACTGGGACTTTCGATTGGAGGCTCTAGTTTGCGCTTTTTGATGTTCGAAGGGGGGATTGCGGGTTTCTGAAGAAGCTTTGTTAGTCTATAGAAATGCGATTTAGAAGGTGATAAGGGGAAACTGACCTTGAAGAGACTTTCGAAGGCAGACATGGTTAGGATGTTGATGGTGGTGATTTACCTTGGGAGTTGAGCAATTGACAATTGAGGTTGGGGTGATATGGCGGTGCACGTCAAGTTGACCATCGGTGTGGCGCAGGACTTTGAGACTGTTAAATCCGGTGCGATACGAAAGAGGCATAGAGCCAACCCAACCAGAGAAGCTGAATATGCAACATATGAAGCCGGAATTCTGCGTTGTATTTCTATATATCCTGCCAGTCTTATAATTGAACCAGTCTCGACACTAAACCAGCTTAGCTCAGGAATTGAACAGTCTCGAAACTAGAACAGCTAAGCAAAGATAATTGAGCTTGAGCAATTGAGCACAAGTTGTTTAGTACCGAGATTGTAATTGAACCATAGTCTCATAACCAGACCGTAATTGAACCAAATTGTGCAGATGATATCCCAGATTCGAGGCTGTATTTATCTCGATCTTATTGAATCCAGTGTGTATCGTAGATAGAGCAACGGTAGATAGGAATACTGAGCTACCAGCACTTAAGCATACTTGAGAAGTTGACCTGTTTAGATATCAATCAATATAGCGGGTTGTGGTTTCAATGCAATACGATTTACTACCAATACTCTCCAGCTGCAGCCTATTAGGCATTCTCAGCGACGGCTGTTTTCTTTCCCTTAGTCTTTGTTCTTGCCAACCCCTCTCCAATCCAGCTACCCCATCACATCACCATCACATCACCACCATCGCCACCATCAACACCAATCAATCAACCAACCAACCAACCATCGACAATCTTATAACTCAGGAATCGATTACATTTGTCCTCCACTGCCGTTTTTATCATCATCAACCATCATTATCATCATCAAAACCGTTGTTTTGTCTTCGAGCTCTTCTTCATCCTTCATCCTCTCGCCTTCCATTTTGTGTCAGCCTCGACTTGAGCAGATCCAAACTATTATTTTTCTCTCCTAGTAATCGTTTCACCAAGGCCTAAAACAAGAGGGTAAAACATCATGGCAGATGAAACTACTTACACCTTCCCGGCCAGTTCGCTAGACCGCGGCTCCGGTTCCCAGGCGGTGGAACGTCCAAGCAAGAGGCTGCGGAAAAGGACCAACCTGATCTTTAACCAAAGATACGACCCCATAACTATGGTTATGAAGTGGCGAAACGGCGAGAAAAGTGCCGAGCTTCTCTGCGAGGGCCAAAAAACAAACACCAGGCTCAAAGTGTTCCACCAACCCAACGGCCTAAAGACGATGTGCTTTTTCTGCCCGATGCCTTCCAGGAACAAACCTAATAACATCGCGGACCTTCAGTTCATCCAGTTCCACGATGACAGCGTAAATATTAGGGCCCTAATGTTCTCCAAGGACGGCACACTATGGTCACCGGGCGAAAACGGGAAACCGAACCCCGATGATCATTATATGATTGTTAGCATCAGGTTTGATATCCCATACCCAAACCAGCTGCCACCCAAAGATGATCGTACCAATCACCATTCTATCGATTGGAGGATTTTCGATTCCATTGCAGGCATAAAAGGTGGTTTGTTGGAAATGAGATTCAAACCATGGCTTGACCTCTACAACTGGATCCTGAAGATACAAGAACCAGTCAATATCACCTACCAACAAAAGGTGTTAGATCGTTGGTGGCGGGATCGCAGGGAATTCGAAACGACATGGCGCCCTATAGTTAAAAGGGAATACGAGCAGCTGAAAGCGGAAACGGAAAAGCATATCATAACGGACCTTCTAGCGGAATTTGAGGAGCTCCAAGTCTTTTCCAATGACAAGCTTGAACCCGCGGCGGATTTAACTGAGGAAGACTTACCAAAAAGGGGATCCAAATTTTTCAGGGTCACTCTCTGTCCAGGTCCTAATTTTAAACTTCCTCTAGATAATAACAACCAGCCTCTAAAGATAGAGTGCAAAGAAGGCTCGAAATTTCGGCTCCGTTGGCCCGTCCCCGGGAAGAAACACGCTTTCTTTGAACTCAAGGGCACGGTTTCCGCCGAAGATGAATACAGATCCGAAACATCCCCAGGCATCGTGGCCAGCATGGTGATACCGATCAACCGGCAAACAGACCCTCGGAAGGCGGCCGTATTTAGTCTCCAAATGGTCGCCGACAGGACAATCTACGACCGCCAAGTTCAGGCCATCAAAAATTTGGCGAAACCTCGGCCTAAAGTCGAAGACATACTGAAACCGGAAGAAGTACTACTTCTGGGCAAACCTGCATCACCGATATTGCTGAGCACAGAAGTTGACCTCCGCGCCATCTGGCGAAAGTCACTATTCTCGGGCGGCTTAGACGAGTCCCAAATGTCAGCTGCAATGAAATGCCTCCAGTATAACGCCTCAGTTATCCAAGGGCCTCCCGGTACCGGCAAATCTTTCACCGTCATCCAAACTGTGATTGCTTTTCTTCGAGCCCAAATTGCATTAGCCTTTGAGAATATTCGGCTCGAAATTAGATCGTGGGATAAAGAGCAATGGGAAAGAGAAAAAAGGGAGGCCGAGGAGACGAGGGCTGCCCCTTGTGAGGCCACTGGAACAACCGATACCAAAGAAGATGTCGAAATAAATGATGCCATTGGATCCCCAGGTTCGGAAACCGTCTCCGTGAAGTCGAATCAAGAGTACATACGGCCTCGGCCCTCTCTAGAGGATTGGCATAAGCGAGTACCCCATGTATTAGTGACGGCAGGTTCCAACTATGCGGTGAACCAGTTGTTAAGGATTTGGCATAACTTCGTCAATCAGCCGGGTTACAGCGATCTCTTAGACAGAGTTGACCCATTGGTGGTCAGATATGTCGCGGAGAATTTATATCATTTCCAACCCGGTGATAAGTCTGGCAGTGCAGAAGCGGCCTCGATTACCGAACTGAAACATGTCCATGGCGACGATGTCGACTACGACGATGATAGGTGGTCAACGCCCTTGCTTCTCGAAGTTCGAGACTCCAAGAAAACACAGTTTCCCTCTCAATATTCACACTTAGTAAAACAACAGACTCTCTTTCCAGGTCGATACGAAAGTCTCATTGACCTCAAAAGAAGAGTTGCCTCGGGAACAGCAAACGACGAGGTCCTTGGAGAGATACACGACCTAACCATGGAAATCAACAACATGCTATTTTCCAATTCCCTAGTAGTGTTCTCGACGACGAGTTCCAGCGGTGGGTTTACAGTCAGCGCTCACTTCAAACCCGATGTTGTGATTATCGACGAGGCTGGTCAACTCTCAGAGGTTGATACTTGTGTCGGGTATGCTAGTTCAATCGGTGTCGGACAGATCATTCTGGCAGGCGATCACGTCCAACTACCCCCAATCAATACCCACAGCATTCCTTTTTTACAGATGTCTGGTTTAGAAAAAATTGCGAACATAAAAGGCGCCGACAGTGGGGTATTAACAACGGACCAGGACGTTGTCGGGCCTGGACCCCAATGGGCTCTACTCCGGCACAACTATCGCTCGGTGAGGGGGATTGTCCAACCAGTGTCCCAGATGTTTTACGACGGGCTCCTAAGGTAAGCAATCACACCGTCCCAATGCAGCACCATGACCAAAGAAGGGAGAGATGGATAGAGTGGAATTACAGCGGCTAATTGGGTAATTAGACATACGATCGAGAATACGAGAGAAGAAGATATATTTATGAGGGTATGGACGCGGGGGCGTACAAAGGAGGTTAAGGATGACCCATCAGAGGCGCCTTGTATCCTTTGGCACAATGTTCCACAAGACTCCGTTACGGACGACCCGGTTTCCACAAGCAAACTCAACTACATTTCTGCAGATTTGATTGTCCAACTTCTGTCGATCATCGGATCGGAGGGTAACGCATGGGCAATCGATCCCAGGGATATCGTTGTCATTCCGATGTACTCCGCTCAAGTGGGAGTCATCAGAAAGGTCATGAAGGAAAAGCTCGAAGGGGATATGCGAAATGTCAAAGTCGCAACGGTCGATAGCTTTCAAGGGCAAGAGTGCCCATATGTGATTATCGACCTTGTTAGGTCGACAATTGATGGAGCCCGCCCACTTGGATTTCTCCGTGATCGGCGACGCATCAACGTCGCAATATCCCGAGCCAAGCTGAAGACTATTATATTCGGGGACATAACGATGTACAGTCAAAGCGAGGAGTTCCAATACGGGCACAGGAGCAAGTGTTTATTTAACTTGGCCCAAGAGATCCTGTACAAGGAAAGTCAAAGTCTGCGTGAATACTGAAAAAAGACCGTCTGCCACATATACTCTGCCGTATATCTTAAGCATGTACATAGCTCCAGTTCTTAGCTCCTCCTACCATGTCTCCCTTTCTGCTACTGTCCTTCTGCCCCTATATGTATACAATTAACCTAGCCAACCGTCCGCAAATTTGTCGGGCCCCTAGTACTAGTGGACGACATGAATCAACTAGGTTTCTCAAAAATGAATTTAGTAAAGGTTTAGAAATTCTTCGGGGTGCAAGATTAGGTAACGTACGTAACTCCTGCATTAGAAAGAGATTGTTTCCTAGTAGAATCTTCCGGGCCTAGGCCTAGGGGCGAGGCAAGGTCGAATATCAATGCAACGTAGTAGAGTATAGCGAAGCTAAGTTCACGTTCAATGTATACATTCGTATAGTATCTACGTGGTCCTGGAGGCAAGACGGGTGCATGCAAGTTCACACAAGAATGGAAGTGTTGGAGCCTGGTCTCGAGGCTATGTTGGAGCTAGTTTACGTGTTGTGTGGTTTACCCAGTCTCGTTACCTAAGTAGACCAGACTACATGTACCCTCAGCGTAACTAGCTGCAATATTGAATATTGTTAGTCTCGTGACGTCACCTACGCTCAAATCTGGCCGGGGCCAGGGCTGAATGACAGGTAGGGTGTTGTTTTCGGTAGCGACGCACATATACAACACGCCAGCTCTCATTCAGCACCTGGGTTTTGCATGGTCCCAGACGTTTTTGTGTTAAACATCACTATTTTATCTTCTCATCCTCCACCATGCTATCTCATCCTCCACCATGCTATCCCCTCCTCCTTTACCATCCTTTCATGATAGACTCGGTTGAGCAATCATGCATTTCCATACCTTCTAAACACAATCGCTACTTGTTTTTTTTCTCTTTCGTGCTAGACTCGGTTGAGCAAGCACGTGTTCCCAATCTCTTCTGAACATCATGCTATCCCATCTTCCCCTTCACCATCCTTCCATGCTAGGCTCGGTTGACCCTTTCATGCTGGGTTCGGTTGAGCAAGCACGCATCTCTCTCCTGAACAACAACAATATACCATCCCATCATCCCATCATCCCATCACCCCATCTCCTCCTTCGCTATCTCTTCGTGTTAGACTCGGTTGAGCGAACACGATTCTGATTTTTTTTTCTTTCCTATTAATCTGTTGTGAGGATGTCCAGCATTTCTTCAGAAAGTGTGTCTGAACGATAAGCTATACGACACGAAGAAGCCTGGCTCACCATCGGCATCTCATCCTCGGACACTAATTAGCCACAAGTGTGGCGCAGTACATACCTACAAGTCCGGAGTATGTGCTCAAGCTATATATGTCTATGGCTCGTGGCGATGCCCTCGTGTCGGCAATATCGATCGATCAAAAGCGATCTCAGGATAAACCCGCAACAGCGAATCAATCCTTTGATTCAGAATTATCCATTCACAATTTAAATAATTCGCATATTTCTCCACCTAAAGATTCGCCTTCTAGTTTTGCATTCTCTTGCCCAGATATAAACTCGGAGAGTCTCTCGTTCATTCACTTATTGGTTTGTCCAGGATCCCGTCCCTTATAGCATGCATAAATATTCCCTGTACGACTACGCTAGTGCTAACATTCAAGATGTCGAAACAAGTGTCAATTCCTTTGATACGGAGCACTATTGCACCGTTTCCTACTCTCGATCTACCAGCGACAGAAGCTCGATTAGGGGAAGTCCTCGGAAACCCCGATATTCAGGATTATATAAGGAACGCCTTCCCAGATATCATAGATCCAAAGTTGAGCTGTCAGATGCCAACTAAACCTAGAAACATAAAGAAAACTCTGAATATGACGCCTGAGAATTTCCAAAAACTCGGCGGTGTTTTAAGCGTGACCTCGAAAGTAAGTTCCAAACCTTCGTTACCCGAAATAGGGCAGTTACTGACTACGTTAAGTCCGAATCCCTCTACAAGTCGATGGTTACGCAGAGTGCCGAAGACCATGGTCTGGATGGCGAAAGCAGCGATATTATGATGCTGGTGCAACAACTACGCAACGATTTAATATCGCAGGGGGCCCAATTGAGCGCTCAAATGGAGGCATCGAGAATTCAAAGGGAGGCGCAACAAAAACTTGAGGCCAAATCGAATACCCAAATGGAAGCATTGAAGATTCAAACGGAGGCACAAAAAAAACTTAAAACCCAATTGAGCGCCCAAACGAAGGCATTGAAGGTTCACGCGGAAGTGCAACAAAAGCTTAAGGCCCAATTGAGCGCCCAAACAGAGGAATTGAAGGTTCAAACGGAGGAGCAACAAAAACTTAAGGCCAGATCGAATGCCCAAACGAAGGCGCAACAGAAACTCGAAGCTAAATCGAATGCCCAGGCGGAGGCACAACATGGACTCGAGGCCGAGGTTCAGTCCCTGAAGAAAAAAGTGGAAATGCTCGTAAGTTTCTAAGCAAACACTTAACTCTTCCACATTATTAACGAGTGGTTGCTTTCGGCAGAGCGACTTCGGAGAGCTTCATATACGCATTTTGATAAATATTGCCTTTCAAAAATCGAAAGCTCAAGGGCATACCTATGCATCTAAAGCCCAGTTCTTGACCAGAAGCGACGCACTCACAGCAGAGACCAAAAAGTTCTTCAAAACGCTTGTAAGAAGCGGCACATACAAGCAGATCCATCAAACCAGTCACTTTACAAGACTCGGATATATCGCACAGACGATACAATCACTGGTGAGTCAGGGTTCTGCCGCACCGTATGAAGAATTGTTCACATATTGTTTCCAATCAACAATTCAGGTAAGTTAAGCCAAGTTGTTCAGAAATATATACATAGTCTAATGTTTGCTATCAGGATTCAATGGATTCGATGGATTCCGTCGATGACCTCCAGTCTGAATGATATTCTGTTGTAAATACTATTTCTACACTCTCAAGCACTCTCTATCAGTCTACATGTAGGCTGCTCGAAGCCACTCTTGTTTTCCCCTTGCGAGTTTGCCCTGCCCCAGGCGCTATGCAACTTTTTTCTTCAAATATTTACCTCTTACGCACAAGGAACTTACCTCATTTTTTTTCCGCCACCGTCTTACAGTTCGTTTTCCTTTTCAAAATCCGATAATGGGCACATGTATGATCAGTTTCATGAACTCTCTAGGCCCCCCAAAGTTACCACTCAAACCAAGGCTCCAATTAACTTAGGCCCACAGAATAGATAGTCTTACTTCAAATCCCACTAGTGTCTCAAAAAGAATGCGCTTTTGGTATCATTGCAAAAAAATTCGTAGGCAAGTCCTGCTTTCTAGATGGTTGCTTATCAGCCGAGGACAATATCCCCACTAGCTTCCACTTCTCATATTTGTAAAGCGTGCAAATTCAAAAAGAATTTGAAAGCAATTAATTAAATCCTTAGTTCTCCAGTTGGTCTGGGAACGAGATAGTTATTTCCTGATATGTTGAATGGAACCTACCAGCTGCTGGCTGGCACTCATCGAAACCTTAGGGTATATATAAGCTACGTAAATACTTATGTTTGCGGGTACTATGACAGGTGGCTCCATTTGTAGCCTGCGCAGTGTGTTTCAGGCTCGGGGCTACAGTTCACGACAGTATATATGCTTTCTGGCAGCAGAAGATCAGTTCAGGCTAGTGCTGTGTATTGATACGTAAGCATTGTTTAATATCAGGGTGTAAATATAATATATGTAGCAAAGCTCATGATCATAATAGACGAAATAACACAACTGATGCAACATATTAGCATCAATTCCCGACGGCTAATTGAAGTTTGGTAACATATATCGTAGAGGGAATTAGCATACTTAAGGAGGACATTGAACTAATCATGGAGGCAAGCGAGTACTTGAAGAGGCTACGCATGTATAGCACACTTTTGCCTTGGTTATTGTAAAAAGTTTAGACGTCTTTTAAAGTTTTTTGCGATCAATAATTCTTGAGAGACAGAGCTTCTTCTTCCTCCTCTCAAGTCGCGAGGCGCTTAAGTACTTGGGCCCGGTTTCTATAATCCTGTCGCATGTTGCATAATGCTCTAGGTCAGTAGGTCAAATGTGTTTTTATTGAATATTTACCTAGTTTCTAGACCGATATCAATTCAGACTAATTAATGTCTGCACCAGTCACGGCACTATATAAACAAGTACCTTAATTACACTGACAATCAAAAGGTTTGTATCAATCCCTCGGTATACCGGTATCCTTTCAACGGTATTCTCAATCCATCGAATAGCTAACTTTGACTACTGCTACTAGCTTAACCGGGGGGGCATATCGGCTCATAGCACACCGCCTTCGATCTATAGATCTATCTCACTTATTAATAATATATCAAAATGGCTCCTCCAGCATTGCTTGATAATAGTATATGTTTTGGAGGCTTTGTTGTTTCCTCTCACCCAGATCCTATAATCGATTCCCTGACCGTCGTGAAAGAAACTGGCGCCCAGAAGAATAGTTACACCATAATCATGGGCTCACAAATATCCAATGTTCTTCAACTACAAATACAATATATTGATGCACAAAGAACCAATCCTTGATTCAAAGTTTTAATATGCCATATATATACAATATATCAATTACCGTGGGATATAGTAAGGTACCTATCTATAAAACAAAAATTCCAAGTCCAATCTAGTGTACCGAGCTCGAGTATCAACTTTACCCAAAGAAATGCTACCAATTTAGAGCGTGCAACCCATTACCATAATGCCAATCAATGTATACTTTTACAAACCTTCCTGTAAATTTTAGAACAGAGTTGGTCTCGCGCGCCTGCCTCCGCGGACCGGTTGTACTATCCTTGGTTATGTAAACCTATTGTGGAAGAACTTTAAGAAGTGTGTAACTCGTCACGATCGGGAGAGTCAGTGCGACTGGAAGAGATTATTAGCCCCCCGATATTTCAAATGGCTGGAGTTGCAGGTCCACTTACTCAGGGCATACTGAGCGAGCAACATTCTAATAACCGGATTCAGATGTCAGCACTCTTACTACCCACAAAACCCCAGTCTAAGCCGACTTACGCCGATAGCTGAGACACTTCAGGAGCATCATCAGGAGCATATAGTGTCGTGATATAAACCTGACTGGTTGCTGACGGCACTAAAAGCATGACGGGAAGATCAGTTGCCGCCATCTCGAGAGGTCACGGGTATAGTAAAAGGTCATGATTTTTCCTCACTTGCTCCTGTGATCGCTATAACGAGCTGCATCATTAACTGGTCATCTTTAATCAGTGGTGTATGCTTTAGTCCTTGAATCCAGATTATTCCCAAAATCGGGCCGACGATCAACTTGAGAAAACAAGTGGCAGCGATAGACATCCAGAATCCTTTTGGTAAATGCCGCACAGTAATCCTTGAAAGAGCGGCACCAAGCATTGCAAGACCCATGACAGGTGAAAGCTGACCACCATAACTTGCAAATTGTAAAATGAAATCAAGAGGCGGCCTGCCGTCTGGTGCGTTCGGCATTTTGACACCAGTCGTCGGCACAAACAAGGCTCGTAACTGAGGGACTACTGCGATCACAAGAGCCGATAACAGGGTCATAGTCGGAATTGTAACGACCACTCTTACGATACTCATGACTTTCTCTTTCGTACGACCTGTAACCTCAACTTGAGGCGGGACATTCACATCTAGACTCGTCGATTTTGCAAGAGCAGTCCCGGTCGTACGAGAAAGCTGCTTCTCCTCATATTCCGGGAGTATGTTACCGGATGTTTGAGGTTCCTGATTCCCTTCTATGAGCTCATCGACCGGGTTCTCCTTCTTCTCCTTCATGCCCGCCTCTGTGTCGTCTTGCGTCGGCTTTTTATCAAAATCCCGCCGCATCATTTGGATACCACCCATGCTGTATCTAATACGTGTCCAACGACAGCACAAATTAGCAAAATTCCTTTCCACGATGGGGAGTCTGAAGCAGTTTTATGTCACTGAGCGCAATATACGTAGCATTCCAAGGTCGTAGGGTTCTCTAGGCTTACAATGTGAGAAATGCAAAGACTCCCATAATGACCGAGTATGATACTCCTTTCTCATAGTCTCCAACGTTGCCAAAGGGTTTAGTTTGGGACAGAGTACTAGTGATACCGATTACCAAGTCGGCGTTATTAGACCACATATTATTGGCAATTATACCTGCATAAGAAACAGTAATCAGTATACACTATCCTAAGAGATAGGGAAGCTAGTCCGATAATAGACTATCTAAGGATAAGACGAACCCATCTTCCATCCCCCAACAGGCGTTAGGAAGCGGATAAGGATACCAAAAACGAAACCAAACGCTGCATGATTTTTTTTTTCAAATACCATCAGTATGCAGCCAAGTGGGGGATCCAGAGCTAGGAAAGTTCGAGGCGCGCTTGATGCACACCCCTGCTATATCCCATACCTGTAAAGAATGCTGCGGAAAGCACCACAGTACCCGCCTACTAAAATGTTAACATACTTATATACGCGTATGGCAATGGAATGCGACAGCGATGCGGCCAAAAAAGCAGGGCAGCGATAGCCTGCAGAAGAACCCTACCTCACTGACATTGTCCAGGGAAAATGAAGTTATCGTCGACGCAAAGATGAGCATTGGTAAGAAGCCATTAATGACAACCTGTGGAATGTAGGACATAACATTCTTGCGTCAACACTACTAGCTCGTCCAACGTACATACATCGATCGAATCTACTGTATATGGGACGAATGGACCCGGGATTATGGGTCTTGAGGAAAGCAATCTCACCGAGGCCATAGATTTGCATGTTGCAACGTCGAGAATGCCTTTTCAAAACAAAAGTGAAATGACCAATCTATTAGTATTCAGGTACGAATACGGAAATTATTAAGCGGAACAAGTGACTAGAAATTACCTTTTCTTGCAAAAAGCGCGCCGCAGCCTAAACGTAAAGATGGCGAGATTTAACACAGCTGTTCGACAGGATAGGAAAATATTCGAACACGCCAGACGTTTTGCGTCATGGTGCATCCATCCACAGACCTGCAAGGGCCGCGATCTTTGTCAAGGGCTTGATAGAGGTGAAGATCGCTGAGACATGTGTTGCGGGTTAGCTTTCCCCTGTGTTGGATGTGAGGTTGGGACGATTTCAATTGAAACTTCGACAACTTTATTTCTTTCTTGCAGCGGGTGCGGGTGACGATGTTCAATGCCAATGCATCAACATTCCAGACTAACCTTGCCCAATGGAAACTTCCGACATGGTAGCTGCTGCTGCTTGTTTCTTCACAAGACTTTTTTCCTTTTTTCCCCGTGTAGATTTTCGAGTTCAGGCCTGATAAACACTGGGGCTGGTTGACTGGGTCGTGGTGGGCAGTATGGTGTGTCTTGACTCGACTCCTTGGACTAGGCACTCGTCTTGTCGCGCTCAAACAAAGCAAAATCCTAGCAGCGATTGGTATGGAATTCGATCACCGACGACGTCCTAGGGCCGATTGCATATCTGCTGGTTTTGAATTCTGGTGATTTGAAGGAAGATTCAAAGACCACTCGAAATGTGACTTTTATCGAGCCGGCCGCGGGTCCGGTCACCAGTCCGATGTCGTCAGCAAGACCTTTCCTAATAGCCGTCCTGACTAATTGTGATTGTGAATCTAGTCGGGTTGGATATCTGCAACATCGTTGAAGATTGTATCGGCTAGGATACTACATTTGAGTTTGCTAGGATCCTTCACGAATCATGATTTGCTAATCTCTCCATGGGCCCAGATTTTTCTCCCGCTCAGTGGCCGCTAGCTCGGGCGACTTGTATCAACATCCGCCTCTACTTCTAGATTACATGTTCTTGTGGAGGAAATCGAGGTACCTCCAACGGAGTGGCTTTCTGCATGCAATTCGAAATGGATATCATGCAGTCCACGGCGGGTGCTTCCCTTCCAGTGCCCGAAGCTTCCCGAAAGGTTGATGGTAGGCTCAGCAGAGGAGAGGTTTTTTTTTTTTGGAGCTACTGGTTACTTTCGCCTCGATGCCGACTTTAGGTGCCAGAACCCCGGTCACTACCAATTGAGAGCTTCGACGCAAGGACATCTCACACTACTGCACTTACTCGACAACCGACAAATTGTGGATCCGTGCAAATGCCACATCTTTCTCTCAGAGAATGTCACCAGGCCACTCTCCAAACTCCGTCACTAGCCACCATTCTGGCTTGTTGGAAGCCCAACGGCTCTTTAGAGACCCGCCAAGCCAATAAAGGAAAACAAAACCTAGCTAGCATCTTTTAAACTCGACGGATGTGGAGAAGGCCCCAGCTTCCAAGTTCAAAAGCAAAGAAAAAGATATAAATCTCCTGCCGATGTTTTGACATAATATATTTAGGTGGCACGTGCGTTCGTCGCGCCACTTCGAAACCTCTCAGAGCTTGCATACGTCTTGCATTTTGAAGTAATTGACTTCGACCCGAACAGATCGATCGGGGTTTGAAATATACAATTTGAACAAACTGCATGAAACAACGCTCCAATCAAAGTGAGTATCGGATGAGCTTGCATTGAAACCAATTCCTCTCTCTAATCCGATAACTGTCCCAGTTTGCCGGGTACAAAATCGAAAGCTCATTGAAGTCTAGACGGGACTAGGCTGCTATTGGACTCGAATATGCAATGTTTGCGTTGCTGGGCGAATAATACAACACTGCAAGGCTTCGTACTCCGCATAATACAGAATATGATATCAACTGCAACTTTAGTCTACAAGAAAAGGCCAGAAATCCGGGCAGCATAGATGATAAACTAGCATGGGAATGCGAATAATAAGGAAGGGATGCATACTTTCTAGTCACATTGTCCCGGTGAACAAGTCTCGGAGTCCATAGCCTTTGGATTGTGAAAATCAATGACGGGGAGCCCCAAAACCTGGTACACCTAGTTCGAATTCTTTCCTGCAGCATGATGCCCCTTGCTTCGAAGTCACTATTAGGATCTGCTATTACAGAAGATACTCCTTCCCACGGAAAAAATAAGCTCAGACACGAAAGCATGCAGAGTATTGTGCAGAATGCTTGCAGTCCATTCGGACAGGAATTCTTACTTCTTATTTTCGTGGTTGCCCACCCTGGCCTTCAAATATTTTGTTCCTTCTCCTCCATCGATAATAGAAAGTTCCTCAGCTCTACGAAATGCTGTGATGGAATGCAGCAAACAATACACAGTTGAACTGCGAATTGTCGAAAAACGGTGAGTTTACATCCATTCTCGAGATATCTGCTTCTACATCTTCATCGTCGGCTGGGTATGAGAAACGGGCATATATGAAGACGTCCGTTCCGTTTCGTTCCCAATTCCTTCTTCGTTCCACCCCATTCCATCTACGTTGAGTTCAAAGCAAGCCGCATCGAGCAGAGAATTTGTTATCACACTCTCTTTACTGTTCTTCATACAGCAATTCTCTTCGTTCTCGCTCACTTTTCCCTACTTCCGACCTTGACTACAATCCGTTCCCGACGCAGGTTCATTGAAAGAAGTACATTGTTTTTTTTCTTCATGAAAATCGTCCGAACTTTTTGTGCCAACCGACACTCATTTTTTCGTCAAAGCTTTGCATGCGCCTGCCTTGATTCCCGAATTCCGTCCCCAGACATTTACTTACCCCGCCTGTTACTTGTCACTTAACCATAATCGCTTCTGTTACCTTTTCCCCTGTCACGAAGTAACGAGTTCAAAGACCCACTTTTCTTGTTCTCTCTCTCTTTATTCTCAAATCACATTTGACGAAAAGAGCTGCATCTAAGACACGGGCTGCAAGCCGCACAAGATTGGCTTTTTCGTTGGGAATCACCACCAAAGTTGAACTTTGACGCCTTTGATCGAAAACGTTTACGTTCAACAACCCGCACTTAGTCTGATAGACATTTGCATTGCATTATACTACATCATAAAAACCATCTAACTCTTAGTAGCTAATTTTTAGTAATATCTCGGGGATCAAGGAATTGTTACTCAAGAAAAGAAAATATACACCTATCACTACCACTACCAGAAAGAAAAAAGAACAGCAGTGGAAACGAGCGGGCTATCTTGCGGGGTTGCGTCCATTATCAAGGATTTTATAATACAGTAATCCCAATTACTCCACTGAGAAAAATATTTTAGATGGAATCCATTCAGAAGAACGATACTCATCACTACATAACAAGTCAAGGTTACCCTTGCGTTCTTGAGCCTTCTCCGGATCATCATAGCATCAATCGATTCAATCGGCATTACGCAGGAATTAAAAAGCGACCTTTACAAACACCACCAAGCAATCGACATCTCTACCCGACACTCTTGTCGAACGATCATTTGAGCCCTACACTTGGTAGCCAGCGATATACATCATCCCCAAATATGAGGAGCAGAACAAAGTCTATCTACGGTGTTGAGGAACTCCAAGATCCTCAAGAATCTTATAGAGAATACCGTCAGCGACAAAGAAGGGGAGAAAGCAACGGTGCTGATGGCGAGTCAGTCTGGGATGACGAGGTTGAGGAAGCTTTCTTCGAAGGTACGGATATACCCATAATATTTTTTCCCCGCATGAAACGGGAATTTCCGGTAATGTTGCATTTTAGAATGTTGAGACTGACACGTCGACCATAGCTCTCGAACTTTTCCCTCCACAGGGCCGCAGAAAGCTTACCGTTGACGGCAAGCCATGCGGCAGGAACGAACTGATCTCCAAATACATATTCATGAAGACTGGTAAGGAGAGAAAGAGAAAGCAGGTCTCCAGTCACATCCAGGTGTTGAAAGGTCTCTTGAAGCATGACCCAAACTGTGAGTTTTTCGTATTCGCTATGCACATCTGCACGGACCCGGCACTAACAGTCACACAGTTATGCGCCTTGTCGTAGCCGAAGACCAAGACACTATTGACCGAACCTTTGACGAGAAGACTTTGAGCCAGCTTGCTATCCTTTCTGATTCAAGCTTGCCGTCGTCTCAGCAAAAGTACAAGAGATATTCCAGCTCGACTATTGCGAGCAGCTCGGCCTCTCCAACTGCGTACAGACCACCTAGCCAAATCTATGACAGCTATCACACATCTTCTCCAACTAACAGTCTTACATCCAGCAACAAGTCACTCATCAAGCCATACAGCCTTGAGATGTGGTTGGGTCAAGACTCTATGGATAAGACCAACTACTCTAGGCAGCATCTTCACGACTATACCAAGCTGTACAATCACGAATATGGCCTCAACCCCACAGTGCTATCTAGCATCCCAAGATGGGAAAACAAGTTCCCATACATTTCTAAGCTTGCATCTGAGGGACAGCTCAGGTGCCCTGTTGTCCACATCTCTAGCTCTCTGCGGACCATGACACAGAGGCCCGACAATATGGTTTTCTGGGCACCCTTCGAGGCGAGCTTCTGCAATGAAACATATTATGACCACGGCTTTACGGTCATTACCAGGTTCTATGTGTCTGGAAGCAGACTTTCATCCATCCAAGAGGTCGAAGAGCCCGCCTTGATTGTCACTGACCCTCAGACCGGCGCTAAGAGGGTCAAGATGTCCCTTAACCCGAATTTCTGGTCCATGTATTTCAACAACCTTGTCAACGAATTAATGGAGCCACTCGGGGCCGGCGAGGATCCAGAACATGAGATGAGAAGGCGGGAAAAGAATTCCGCAGATGTCATCGGCAACTTGACCATGATTCAGGAAATCTTCACTTGGAGATCGACAGACCTAGAAGTCGCCATTTCGGAAAATAAATTGGCAACCGGAGCTCATGATTACGCTAAGCAAAGAGCTGCCTTGTTTATCTGGGACTTTACCAAGGCCGAACGTGAAGAGGCCGGAGTTACTTATTGGAGACCAGTCGTGGTCGATGAGACACTCAGGCACGATTATGGCTACAACAGGCATTCTTTCGATACCCGCCAGCTTCCAAGCTACACCCCAGCTATCGGACAGTGGTCCAACAGCTCCCCAGTCGATAATTATGCGCCATCATACCACCAGTCCACCCCACCACTAGGTTACCCGCAGACTCCATACGATGAGCCGAATTTCCCTCAAAATTTCCCGGATATGTCTATGCAGTCCACAGTTCGATACTCCCTTGGCCAGCAAGACCAGCCCCAAAGCAAGCCAGGCGTTGAAGATCTTGGTGTTGACTACTTCCAAAATTACGATCAACTGCCTCCTTTCTCATATGCCACGGTTGCAGAGCATCCAGAACTTCTTTCACAGTGGCCCCAACTTCCCGTCCTAGCTGGCGAGGAACACCTCGAAGGTGGGATGGGCAATATGCAGTAAGTCCGCGCGATCGTGAACAAGTACTAAGATCTGAGTTTTGAGGAAAATAAAAAAAAAATCCCCGATCGAAAAAGAAACTGGCTGGGAAGGAAGGGGGTCTTCCGAAAGAATGCTGGTCTGTCAATACCTTTTGGGTATCCGACTGCACATGCCACACCCGCCAGGCTACCACCTTTGCACCAACCTGGCCGCATACGCGCAAACCCTTCTGGCCAGACCATTTCTGTTTCTACCCTTGCAACTCAAGATCATGTATGATGTCTTCCGCTTTCAAACATCTCTTTTTTTTTTTTTTTTTTGTTTCTTCCCCATATAATTTTCATAATTTTTCTTAATATTTGGTTTTCCCTCAATTCGGCATTGTTCGGGCGAGCTCTCCTTTTTACGCTGCATGTACAACATCTTAATATCCTTTCCAGCCCGATGGCGTTTTTCTTTTATACCACACACGCATACACACACACACACAAATGTATCTAGCCCGTCTTCTATCTTGGTTTTGGAATTCTTCACCACAAATGTCGATACGGTTTTTTTAGATGCCGTTTCCTCACATTTCATGTGTACTTTATATACATACATGTTTTTTTTATTTTTATGTTTTCTGTTTAGCACCCTGACGCAACTCATATCCCCCCACACACAACACCATGCACAGTCTTTCCTTCTTTTTTGGTTTTCCCTGCCTTGAAATTCATAGCACTACATCGATCTTATCATTGCGATGCGGCGTTCTGGATTTGTGTGCATTGTCTCTCGTTTTCTTGGCTGGTTTACATCTTTTTCATATTTTTCATTGAAACAACTACTGGTGGTGTGGTGTCCCGGTTGCTGGCTTTATTTCCTTTTATCTCTTTTTATATCCGCACGAAAGGTCTCTGGAGAGATTTCTTTCGATGTTTTAGACACATATGCCGTCGCCGGCGAGATCATGTACAACTTCTTTTTTTATTTTTACCCCCTCCCGATTTCGATAATTTGTGGAATAGCAGTATACGGGTCTACTTCCCTTTTTTTTGATTGTTTCATTTTTTTTCTTTCTTTATTGTGCTTCGTTTTTCTCTATCATTTTCATTATTCCATTTGTAATTTATCAGCATACATAGAATAGCGATCCGTAGGCCCTTTGTTTTTTTTTTTTTTGTTGATTATCAATATTTTATTTTTATTTACTGGAAAGTATCTCTCTATTTCTCTCTAGCTCTCTCTGTGGAATTAAATGGAAATGGAGTTCTTATGATGATATTGAGATTGTGTCATATTGAATTCTTGACTGTCAGAGGTGATTTTAAGATATGATACTGAATGGAAGAACAATGGAAAGAAGAAGCATTCCACACGGCCATCAGAACATGGCCACAATGAAGCAGGTTTCCGAGTTACTTTGCATCAAAGCAACATTAAACGAGGAATTTTCCGATTCTCCATGTGTATGGAGTATCTCTAATAAGCTTATTAATCACGTCTTGTGATGCTTGAACCAACAAGAGAGCCCTCCCCTAGGGCCCTAGGAGGGGAGGGAACAAAGGGGGGGCGATATATATCACCAGACTTCGCAGAATGCGGTCGTCTTCAAGGGAGATATCGATGCCGCATCACAAGATCCTAAACTAGCAAGATGATGGTCCAATGCGGGCTGGTTTTTGATGTCGCGGGATATCGATGCGCTAGCTAGGCAGACGCGATGTACCATTGCTTCTGCGATTGCTGGTAATCGTACTACTGCCACTACGATATACTGCGATTCGTACGAAGCGGCATGAGCCGGCCGTTAACCGCTTCTCATCTTCTTGTACATAGCTTATTCATCTTTTCTTCAGATCGTTGATATAATCGTCTTCTTTTCCTTTCTTTTCCTTTTCTTTTTTCTTTTTTTTTTTTTTGCCTAACTGCCCCCCCAGACTCAGCTTTTGGAACGGGAAGGATATGATGCTATCTATTCCGTTGAGATTTCTTTCCCTTTCTCTCGACGTCCCGCTGCATGCACCGCCGCTCTCAGCGAGAGAGTTCTTTTTTCTGGAGGAGTGCCGCAAAAGTTTAGATTCCTCTCGACCATCTCATTCGGATTAAATATATAAAAAAAGCAATTTTTATCTCTATCTTTTAATATAAGGTGGATGATGTTGGATGCATCGACAGCCGGGCTGCGTCTGGCATGAGCCCGATTCGGGTTTCCCCTCTCTTATCGCAGTTACACGTAAACCAGGTTGCTCTGCCTACGACAACGTTGCAACTTAAATCCTTTAATTACATACATACGTACATTGACAGCGGGTTAACTACCCAACTGGTATTATGCGGCGTACGTAAGTTAAGTCTTCAGATGAACTAGGGTTTTGAAATATGCTTATCGAGATAGAGATTGATTACACTACACCATCGATTCGCTAATCATACATATATCTAACATCTACCTAAGGGATCAACAGATATACCCGCAGGTATAATTATAACCTGGTAATGCAGAAATAAAAGTTTAAATTTAAAAAAAAACCGAGGACGTCACTAGTAGAATAAGTCAATCGGAGAGGATTTATTGGACGGAGTACAAAAGTCCGGATATATGCTGTGAATATTATGTGCGTCTAGGTATATAGTATATAGTATAGTCTCTGGGAATTCGGAACGGGACCAGTCTAACGGCAGCTAGCGGCGGTCGATTGCTTTGACATAATCTTCATGACAGGCATTTTGTCTGGAGATCGATTTGAGGATTCTATAGAAACTAGTTTGAATTGGGAATCAGCTTTGATAGGGGGTATCTTAATCTTTACTAGTAGTTATAGACGGATAACAGGCCGGATCCGCGGATTTCTAAAAGGGAACTACCGGCGTCGCCGGGATTAATTGTGATATGCTGATATACTTAAGTATATAGTCGTCGTTGATATGTATCGATATCCGTTCACCCGCTGTATATAAGTTTTTCTCCTTACTTGGGTATTTAGCTTCAGTGCTTAGCTAGCTAGGTATGTATATAAACCATGCATTGACCCGTAATTGATATAATTATAATTGGAGACGACTCGGTCATAGATTTGTTATTATCGTACTAACATTGATTCGGGGTTGATAATATAATATATAGCACTAACTAGGTAAGTAAGTACTTACCTATTAAGACAAGATCTATTACCTACTTACTTAAGTAAGTACTTATATTATAATTATAGAGTCCCAAAACTATTATACTGTACAACATAGCGTCTGTTGCACGCGTGAAGTCGGGTAAGGTAACATAATTATAAGGTAGCATTCAGGTTGTATAGCGCAATGTAACGTACACAGAGAGTACAGGTATGTACACGTACACCGGCGGGTCATATCATATGACCGTGTCATGTATACGAGTAGCTATCGATATCGGTATCTAGAGATATCTAGAGATATCTAGAGATATATAATACACTCCCCATCGAGACGGATATAATCCCTCGATGCCCCTCAGAACAGAATACGGACCCAGTTGCCCAGTCAAAAGGGAATTGAGGTATTTAGTGCGTTGATGCTTTAAATTTTACTTGGCAGGATGACGTCTACGCCGGATGCCGGTTTCAGCTGCAAAGCGCAGTAACGTTCGGTGAGGCGAGGTCTGGGCGCACCCGGTTTTTCCCTCGCTGAGCTGGGCTGGGCTGGGCTGGGCTGGGCTGAGCTGAGCTACCCCTCATTCGTTCCTCACAAAGCCCATTGAAATTGACCCCGCTCTCAAATTTTTATCCTTTCTCTCTCCTTCTCCGATACATCTCACCAACCCCCCACCACCACTATCAAACAACAAACCATCCAACCAAAAATCCTTCTCTTTGTCTAGATCGTCGTATCTATTCTTCATATCTACCCACCATGAGCAACGTTTATTTCGACGTTACCGCTGACAATCAGCCACTTGGCCGAATTATTTTCAGGCTCTACGACGATGTTGTCCCAAGGACCACAAAGAATTTCCGTGAGCTTGCCACCGGCGAACACGGTTTTGGATACGCTGGATCCCCATTCCATCGTGTCATCCCAGGCTTCATGCTCCAGGGAGGTGATTTCACCAAGGGTAATGGAACTGGTGGAAAATCAATCTACGGAGAGAAGTTTGCAGATGAGAACTTCAAGTTGAAGCACGAGAAGCCATTCCTCCTCTCCATGGCCAACGCCGGAAAGAACACCAACGGTTCTCAATTCTTCATCACCACTGTCGTCACCAGCTGGCTCGACGGTGCCCACGTCGTCTTCGGCGAGGTCGTTGAGGGATCGGACGTTGTCAAGGCTATTGAGAAGCTCGGATCTTCCAGCGGCAAGACTAGCAAGAAGATTGCCGTCTCTGCCTCCGGCACTGTTTAAATACACCTCTTCTTTCTTTTCATGTCTATCTTTTTTTTTTTGTTTCTGGAGGGTAATGCTCTTTCTACACGGATCCTCGCCGATAACACGCCTTTTTCTTCTTCTTCTTCTTCTCCCACCACTACTTTCAATTGATTGATCCTTGTCTATCTTTCTCCTCCTCCCTCAACTGGATTTCCTGTTTCTACCAAACCAAGTCCTTTTCCCCTTCGACAATGACAATCACAAAAGAGACACAGACGAGGCAGGATTCTGATATGAAAAAGAGCTTGGAATCGGAGAGGGTCTATAGTACATAGCATAGAAATTCAAAACAAAAAAATATCCCCAAAAAGCGGAATATAATCCGCTTAAAACAAACACCAATATCATATCTTCCGTCGTAAAAACCCGTAGGATTACAATTAGTAGTAACTAAGTAAATGTTAAGTGTCTAGTGGATCATGTATAAATCGCGTCTTAGGACAGACATACACGTCTCATCCCTCCCTCCTGGGCAAATCTGTAGATGCACCTGGCACCTCGTCAATCGGAAAGGTTTTTTTATATACATTTTATTTTCAAATTTTCAAATTTAGTTCCCTCTTCCCTCCAAACAGGCGAATGTGGTAGTTTGGGACAGCCAATGAAGTGCTAGCTCCAAGCCCTAAACGGTCCAGGGAGGAATGGTTCCTGTCTTCCTGCCTGGCTCGGATAAGGCTGCCCCGACGGGCCAGTTCGAAAGCTCGTACCAGCTCGTTCCAACTCCCTTGGTCGGCCTGGTCTTTCCAGACTGATGCCGGCCGGTATACCTTTTACGTACTTTTCTGAGCGGGAACATTTATTTTTCTCGCGAAGTATGAGAGGTGCCCCATTGAGTGACCGTACTTTAATGTATTGTATCGATTGCAGTCGCATTTGCATTGCAACTTGACTTTCGAACCGGATCGTAATAAGATTAGTTTATTAACTGATTGGTCAATTGATTGATTTGATTCCTGGCGAATTCGCATGGAATTTTCCGGCTGGGATCGCAGCCAATGCAGCTGCGGTTGCAAAGGAAGGAAGAGAGAGAGAGAGAGACAAAGAGAAAGAAAGAAAAAAAAAAACGACCAAACCTCAACCATCGTCATTGCATTGCATTGCATTCATTTCAACTTCAACAACCTCGTCGTCGTCGTCATCGCGAACGCCTCGCCTCAAGGAACGCTCTACACCCTGTAAATACATGTCAATGTATGTACCTCTGTGCCTGTACGGGTAATTAGACCAACAAGAGGTATCCTCTCTCCGAGCAATCTCGTCATCGATTCACTGCTACCGACCAACCAACCGCCCCGAAGTTAGTGCCATTTGCGTCCCCAATGGGTCTGGGCCTCTCTTGTCTCTCTTAACGTCCAACTGACCACAGTTGTTCGGAACCATCTCCAACAGTCTCCTACATACGCACGTACATACATAGTACACATACACAGTACATACTGTAGAACAAGAAGAAGAGAGACTCTCCGAGAATCTCCAGGATACACCATACGGCATCTCTACCCGAAACCTACATATCACTGTCATCTCTAGGCCAATTTATTTCTCAAAGCTCGCATAGTACGAGACCGAAAACCTCGAACTAGAGGCTTCACATGATGACGCTCCAGCCACCTTTGCCCAAGAGGCGACCGACTGTTCTAGTACCTCTCCCTCAACCTTTCTTTCCCCCCTTGCATACCCAATGCTTTGCTGCCTATTTTTATTCCTCTTTTGTTAAGGATTGGACTATCTCCGAGATTGTAATCATCTCATCTCTGCCCTAATTCCTTGCATCTCCTCTCTCTTTGTCCTGGTCTTTTTCATTGTTCCTTTTTTTTTGTTTCTCGGGATCGCTGACCGCGTGAAACTTCCTATTTGTTTTTTGTTTTAGGTAACGGACGCCAGAGACCAACGTAACCGTCCCCAGATCATTCGCCGTCCAACAATACGTCATGTCACCATCGACAACATTCTTCAGCAATCCAGCGAAATTCCATCAGGCCAGTCACGGACCCCTCCACCTCGTCCCCACGATCCAAATCTGCCATTGCCAACCACGCGCAGACCATCTGGTGTTCCGAGAGCTGTCAAGAAGCAAAAAGTTGTAAACCAAACAAATTTGCCCCTACGATCTTCAAAGGTTACAGAAAAGCTAGTGCTCCTCCCCGATTCGCAGAAGCCAAAGCCGGATTGGGACTATGATGAAGATAATTCTCAAGCGCCATTGCGAGATGATGAGGCTCAAGAGCGGAGTCAGTCACGTGGGCCAGATGGGCAACCTAGAAAGTCGTACGCCGAACGGTTACCTAAGAATCGGCGTGCCGAGAAGCTGGCACGGGTGACGGCTTACTGTACCGCCTCATCGTGGAGGCTTATGGCCGTATCGAAATTTATGAAGGAACAGCATGCGGCTAGAACTAAGCTTTATGATGAGTGTCTGTATTGTGCCTATCATTTACCGCTTTTACCGGGTTCTGGAGGTTATAGGGTGAAGAGCAGTCCCATATTGAAAAATCCAGGTGGTAAAGCGGTTTTGGACATGCAAATTGAGAGGAACGAGCAGAGGGACTATCATGAGGAGTACTTCCGAGGACGATCAGGGAGGAGAAAGATGTCAGATGGCCTTGGCCTCGTAGATCCGGAAATACATCTAAGTGACAGTCCGACACAAGATAACCCATTGAGTCCTAAAGGTGGAGATTTCGAAGAGAGGAGGGATAGCAATGGGCATTCGAGGAATACGTTTTCGCCAGAACCGCCAGATGCTGCGGAAGCTAGCTCCTTTGCTGAGATGTATATATACTCCTACGGTGTGGTTGTGTTCTGGAACTTCACAGAGCGACAGGAGAAGGTATGTTCTTGCCACAGTGATTCAGAAACTTGCTATGTTACTAACTAGTGCTTTTTATAGGACATTCTCGCCGACTTGGTTTTTGCCAAAACTCCCCAGAAGATGTCATTTGCCATCCAGCCTCTTCAGGTGGACGAGTATGAAACCGAGCAATTCCATTTCGAATACTCCCCACGAACTACCCGGCCCCGTATCTTCAACGACATGATTACACTCCGATCAGGCAATCACATGATCAAACTCGCAATGTCACATGCCATTGCGCAGAGCACGAAACTGAGTAGATTCGAAGAACGAATGGCCTTGACAATGAAAGAAGTCGAGGACGTGCCCAAGAGCTTGGCGTTGAACGGAACTCTAGGTATGAAGCGTGAAGATGTGCTTAAGATGAGTGGGAAACTATTCAAATTGCGTGTGGATGTCAATCTTTCGAGCAATACGCTTGATACGCCAGAGTTCTTTTGGGATTGTAAGTCTTTCCCCCGCTTTTTCTACTTGTGTTTTAGAGTGTGATACTGATTCGTGGATTCAGCGGAACCGGGCCTTCATCCATTGTATGCCGCTGTTCGGGAGTATCTTGAGATCAAGCAGCGAGTTTTGATATTAAATGAGCGGTGCCAGGTCTTCCTTGATCTGGCTAGCATTTTGGCGGATTCTATCGCCGATAGCAATATGTCAAGTGAGTACATTCTATCTCTTATAATTTAACTTCAGAGCTAATAGAACAATAGGAATTACATGGATCATTATTATCCTTATCGTTTTGTCCATCATGGTTACCTTGGGTGAAGTGACATTGAGATTTAGCATTTTGAGGCGTGAGCATCCTTAAAACTGGATTTGTATTCTGATTTCGGACGTCTTTAGGGGGGTGTTCTTTTTATGTTATAGCGAATGCAGGGCCTGGTACAAAAAAGCTTTTTCGGGGTTTCAGTCTATTTTCATTCTCTTTTCTACAAGCTCTTGCGTCCCATAATCTTTGTTTCTGGGGGTTTTCAGTCTTGAGATCAAGTGGGTTTATGTTCGACAGATTGTGCAGCACTACTTCGGGCGTCTTTTCGTTATCCGTGCTTCTTATACATTTCTCCTTTGCTTTCTTATCCCCCTTTCTATTTCTTTTCATATTCTTTGTAGTAATATCTATTTTTCTTCTCTTCTTGTATCCTTCTTCCTTATGCTTTATTTTTTTTTTTTTTGATTCATCTCCTATACACCGTCAGCGTTCGGGAGCAGATGTCTCGAATGCACGCCGCTACTATAAACATTATTGAACCTTCCCTTATATACTGCTCGTGCTTTCTGTGGTTGTGAACGGAAAGAAATGGAATTCGTAAATTATAATGTCGATATCAATGTTAATGCGTCTCTCGATTTCGGTTTCGTCTTTATTCCAAAGATGAACCTGCGGAATCATAGCTTGGATCTAATGATCATACAATGGTGCAGCCTCTTATAAATTTAACCCATCTCTATTAATATGTACTGTTTCCAGTCTTGTTACAGTTCTGTTCTTCCATTTTCCCGATATAAAAGGTTTTGAGACAATTCAATCTATATGGAAGGATATCAACAGGATGTCCTGTTCTAATTATAGCAGCTTGTTGGCGTACATGTGTGGCTGGATATCATGGGATAACATGCGGTCTTTGTAGACGTCGTCCACGTTGGCCACGCGAGGCCTTTGTACCGCCACACAATTTTATACAACCTCATACAAGTATCTACAGCTTGATTCTTGAACAAAAATCTTTTTAAACGAAATATATAGATGGCATGGAATATAATTTATATGCCGTCGTCAGCATCGTCGCAACTGCCAGGACCTTCCTCATCAAATGCTGAAACAAGCGAGTCTGAAATTGAAAGGCCAATTACTCGCGGTAGCGTTGCATTGCTGGGGTACGAACTGTCATTGTTGGTTGGCTGCCAGGTGCCAATGCCAATTTCCCCCCTTCTCCACCACTCTAGTCTGTTTTCAACCTCACTCATCGCCATCATCGTCGCCATCCGTCGACACTTCCAACCCTCGGACCCCTCTCCACCAGAGCCCGACGCTGGCAGCCTGTCGTCAAGTCTATTCGAGAACGTCTATATCCTTCGTTTCCTTCAATTCGCTTTTTTCTTTTATTCCCGACAACCTTCTTCTTTCCTCCCCCTCCGTTCGGCCACAATTAGGGGCGCGATTATCCAAACGCATAGTGACGCCATTTTTCTTCCGTCAATAAAACCGCAAACGGCAAAAAACGACCATAGCTCCAATCATAGAGAGTGAGAAGCTAATCCCGTCGATTGTTGGAGACGGTGGCACGGAGCTTCCAGGATAGAATCTGTTACGCTCGTTGCTCCCAGCTTTCATCATGGCCAGGAATACCGACAGCATGGAAGTCATAGAGCGGGATAGGCTGCCGACTCTATTCGAAGTCCTGAGCAGGAGGACCAGGCCGCCGGTTGATCTGTTCTCTTTCTATATCTATATGAGAGACCAACAGCGTTCTGTTGACTATTTGGATTTTTGGTACGTTCGTGTCGCTTTCTTTTCTTATTGTGTTAGAGCTATAGAGTTCGATGTTTCTCAATCCGGTATCATGTTAGAAAACCTCTTACTGACAACTGATATATTTGATCAGGCTCGATGTCTCCCAGCACATGTCGCTGTGCAGACACTACGTACGAGAGCTTCGTAGATCGGTGCTCGTGTCCACGCCTGATCTGAATAAGTCCGGAAGCAAGCGATCCTCTTCGGTTATCGACCACCTTGGTACTGGCGACGACGAAAGTGAAAAGAACGACGACCAACGCCTTTCCGCCTTTCTTCGTAATGACAACACGACGCATGCGGTTACCATCCCTGGTTATAATCCCCAAAACGGTGGCTCGCGACCTAGTGGGGGCGACTTGAACCCCGCTCGACCTTCTTACTTCTCGACTCCCGAACACACTTCTTCCGGATCTCCACAGCACACTGTCGCTAGGGCCGACATTAGGGCTTCTGCTGAAAAGATCCTATATACGTACCTCCTACGCGGAGCAGAGCGGGAAATAGTACTTCCCGAACAGATCCTCGCTTCCATTTCCCACGCAATCGAAGTAGACGGTCGAGATGATCCTGAGGTTTTCGACGAAGCGAAGGATTATGTATTCCAAGCCATGGAACGAGATGCTTTCCCAGGATTCCTTAGATCGAAGGCATTTGGAAACATTGTACCTCCTTCCTCGTTGGCTAGGTTGATTGTTGGGTTGTTGGCCTTGTTCGGAGCCTTCTGGGCTGGATTTTGCTTAATCTTCCTCGATATTAAACCGAAAACAACAAGACTTTGGGTATAGTGTCCTTCCCGATTTTGTCGAATTCTTATTACCTGCTAACCCGTTTCGATATAGCTTATTCTCCCATTTACAGTTGGTGTTTACTGCCTCGCTGCGCATCAATATAATCTAGATCCCATCCTTGCGTTCACCAGCTACAGCGAATACACATTCATGACCTTTATGAAAGTGCAAGAACCCTACGTCAGGCGCATAATGATCACTCGAGCAATGTGGGTTCTCGCCATTATTCTTGCCCTAGATGCTGCCTTGGTTGTTATGTACGCCTTGGTACCGGGGAGGAGATTGTGATCTTCATGCCCTCACGCTGGATTTGGTTTTGCTGGGATAATTATTTTAATGCGATAGATGGGTTTATTGGCGTTGATTTCTTGCTGTTTCTTGGGTTATTGCGTCCCCTCCTCGTTGGGTAGCATGTGGCAGGTGTGATGTCGAGTCAGTGACGGCTTGATCCCGCCCTGTTTAATGCTACTCTCCATCAGTCATGCCGTCCCCGTGGTCTACATGTTGAAGGTTATCATTCAGGCCTCCTTACTTCCTGATCAACCAGGAGCTTCCTCATCCCTGGATCGTCGGGAGGGCCGAGAACATGAAAGTACACATATGCACCTTCAGCGGTATGCCCACCTGGGACATCACGACACACCTCACCCCTCAAATCTTAACGTCATCTGTGTTCTTTTTTTTTTTTCACTTCCTCCTTCGCTTTTCTTTTTCCCGTGTACTACTCTTCATTGTACCGATGTCCTCGTTTCCTTTCACTTTCTTCATTTCCTTCATCTTCTTTTTCTTTTCCCCCCTATCATGCGCTTCTTCAGCTAAGCTGTGTAGCTGCCACCCCCTCCCCACCCTCCTAGCTAACGGCTTTCTTTCTTTCTTTCTTTTTTTTTTGCGACATAAAAAAAAAGGATTTGGAATGTGGGGGTCTTAATAGTACTTATAGCGATTCCCCTTCCTACTAGCGGCTTTTCTTCGATTTTTTTTTCTTTCTCTCTTGTAACCTTTCCCCTTCTTCTTCTATTAATTCGAATTAGCTTTTATCGTATCTCATGGTAATGCATATCATCGTTTTGACATTTAAAAAAACATAAATGATGTAAAAAAAAAAATAAAAAAATAAGAACAATAACAAAATATGTAGAGCATGATTTTGGAATTAAGATTAATTGATTGATTGATTATTGTGGGTTTGGTATTAATATTGATATTGATATCACATCCCTTTTGCAAAGTGCAGTATGTAATGTGTATTTATAACTATATATTAGTCTAGTTTATATATTTATATATGTATGATACCATATGATGGGTGTATAGTTGGCTTTTTGTTATCCTTGTGACCTTTGGGATGAATGATGCCTTTAATTTGTTTACTGACGTTCCTTTGTCGATTCGATGGAGCGGCGGCTTCATGCATGGTCTTGATAACTGATATATACAATGGGTGCTTTCTTTGAGGGTTTTGGGGGTTTTGTGCTGCCGGTTGGTTAGTAAATAAGTAATTGCTAGCATTGACTAATAGTATCTAATAGCCAGATAATTATTTAAGAACTTTTCTTCTAGAATATTAATTATTTGGTTGTATTTTTTATTCTATTTTATCGAAAAACTGTGGCTTCAAGATGTATGTATAGTATACGTGGCCTGGAGGCAAGACGGGGTGCGAGCTGAATTCATGTATAGACAGGCCTAGAGACTAGTTTCAATACCTTAACCTAGATCAGTTTGAAGCCTGGAGATCGAGTTTGGTTGAAAATGTATTAAATGGGGGGGTTAAACTTGAAACTAGGTCGTTTGGATGAAAGGCTGGGTGAGCTGGATGAGGATGCTATATATAAGTATATATATACTATCTGGCGATGTAGTCTCGTATTATAGACGCGGTCTACACTTTCCTAGCGATGGTGTGATGTATATACAAGTACGTATATAGCAAGTTGGAAAGCCTCTGCATGTACACTCAATCGTCTAGATCATGTGATTATTTTGAGCATCGGAATTTAAACGATGTACAAGACTAAGACCAAAGTTGTTTAGAATGATTTGAATGACTGGTTGAACTTGAAATTAAGCGGTTTGGATGAAAATTGAGTGTCCTGGGTGAGGATGGTTTGAATGGCGGTATTTTGCGATGATGGGGTTGTGAGGTTTTTAAAGAGGTTGGATTTAAATTTTGTTAGGTGATTAGGAAGTACTTTTGGTATCGAATCTTTTTATTAGAAGGTTTTATGGATAGTATGAAGTATGGTTAGAATTGCCTGGTGGGTGGATTGCAGCTAAAGTTAAGTGGTTTGAATGGAACCCGGATGCGCTGGATGAGGTCCTTTAATTGGAATATGGTGTTCTTGCAGCGATATGGTGTGGGATTTGTTGATGTTTCTTCCTTTCAACAAGTGTAATCACCATGTGATTACTTTCGAGGTTGGAATTTGATCGATTTTAAGGGTGGTACTAAATATGTTTGAAATCATCTAATAAGTTGATCGAAACTAAAATCACATCTTCGGGTGGATATATTATATATTGGATAATGATGATGGTGATACGATAGACTAATTCATATCGTATAACGACTTTATTACCAAAATTGAGTTAAAAACTTTCTCGGATATAGATATCCGTCGAGTCTATATTACATCATTTAAATAAACATCAAAGACAGTAGACGAAGTCTCTTGGAATATAGGTATATATATATCGGTTTTAAAACTCATCACGGCCTGAAGTATAATGCTAGCTTGTTGCATTTTTACCACTATCTGCGTTGTCTAATATGTATGTCATATATACATTTACCCAGCCGAAAACCCGCCAACCCTCACACCACCTCTCCACCCCCAGGTTCGGAATCGCTTCCCCGGATTTCGATGAATTAGTAATAAAACAGAGGGAGAAAATAGTTTTTTTTTCTTGTAAAGCGGCTGAAGCTTCCGGTCCGGCGTAGGCTATATTTGTATAACCTGGTAAAATGTGGAGTTTTTTTTTTCTCCTTTCCATTCGCTATCTGAAGGCTTAGCTTTTTTTTTGGCTTTTTGCATGCGGTTGAGGCTAAATTGGACCCTTGGGTTTGGGGGTTAGAGTTGGTGGATGGGTGAGTTTTTTTCAAGTTTTTTTCAGCTTGAGATGTATCGATATATCTTGAATATTAAATATTTGCTAGAGAAAGGAGACAATGGACGGTTATATCGTTATGGTATGATATATTATAGGAGTATGCTGAAGATTCGTCACAGTTGATATCAAAGAACAATCTATAAGGAAAGAAAAACAATATACCATTCCTTTTTTCTTCATATCCCTAACCAGCCATCTTATTCCCATGGCTTTTATAAAAAAAAAATCCAAAGCCATCTCTCCTTCGGCTGTATCGTACCTGCTTATGCGAGGCGAGGCAAGGCAAGGCATATATCGCGCAGCTAGCAATCCATGTTTAACTTAGCAGTATTTCAGTTCTATCCAGCAAAACATCGTAGTAATATCAATACTCTAGTCTGCCGTGTCCATGGCTTTCTTTAAGGGGGCGCAAAGGCTACCCTGAGGTATTTCCCACGAGGCATTTCCCATGAGGGGTTAACCGGTTTGCCATGAGGGTTTTTAGTCCCTTTGATTCATGGGTTGAGATTGTAGAGGGATATTTCGTCTCCGTTGGGGAGGAGGAGGTTTGCATTGCTTGGTTATGGGATGCTACATATGAAGGGTAAAGTATGTAAGGAGGTAGGTAAGCCACTTGATCGGGGGGGAACGTGGTAGGTAAGGTTATGGTTTATGGGTTGGCTAGTCTGGATATCTACGTTACACCGTTTATTCCTGCTGTGGATGTAGGGTGGTATCTCTAATCTACGGATATCAGGTAGGTATAAGGATTATAGAGTATAACCCGTCGTTTATGAGACTATGGGGAAATATTCAAGCTTAATCGAGGAAGGTGATATTGATATCAATGCGGGCCGGAGTCTGGATCCGAAATAACTTTATATATATATATCTATATATTATCTTCAAACTCGCTAAATCGTTTAGGAAACAACGGGATTGCGCAAAAGTTGCTGCTATATCATATTTGAATTGGTCATGTAGGGAAAATGTATAGCTAGCCGTGGTTTAAAGCGGGGAGGATACATGGTTTAAAAACCGGTGTCTCTCTCCCCGGTTATATGTAGTATATTATGTATATGTTGTATACATGTATGTAGGGTAATGTACGTGATGTAACGTGTGATCTTGAGGATTGGTAGTGCATGACTTACCGGGTTTGGGTGTCCGGGGATATATATTAGACGATGGGGGCGTTTTTGGACTTTTTTGTATATTTATTTGTAGAGCTGTGGGGTTAACGGTTGAGAGTCGAGATGAGGTGGCTATCTAGCGGTTATATTTTAAAATACGTAGTGATTATATTAGATAGAGGTCTCCATTCATCTTAAGTCAATTATTGGCTGCGAGTACTGATATTAAACTGAATAGATCGATATCGTTCGAAATTCATAATTCAAATTCTAATTTGAGAATCTTATGGATATATCATTTTGCGAATATCAAAACCGACTTTAGTTTCCTTTTATACCAGTATACTCCAACAAATCTAGTAGATTTATATACAATAGTTCTATTATATTACTACGCCGAGTATATAATGCAGGACATACTTAGGTATATAAATTTTATCTCGCGGCTACGAATTATAATATTATGGTAAACCGGCCAAACCCGCACTAGACGTATATATATGTGTCACTCAACTGAGGGATATACATCCCAATAAGGACTGCCTCCTCGCCCCGCTTCCCCATATACGCAGGTAAATATATGTATATCTCACCGAGGGTGCTCTCATTGATATCGATCAATATATTATAACTCCATATAGCCCACACACATAACCAACCTCTCAGCCAAAGCCTCAGCCGGTATATATAATAATAACCCCCCATCTGCGCACTAATTCGCAATGTATATAGTATAACTCCTCCATGGTGTGTCAGACAATACCATCCAGCAAGGGTTCCAGATCCATTTCTTTTTTTTTTTCGCCAACGCATTTGACATCGTTTCTGTCAAATGCTTGGTCGTACGTTTTAATGGTTCGACAGTGCAATGCATGCAGGGAACAAGTAAGAGAGCTCAGAAAAACCGTTTCCCTGGTCGGCCGGCAGCCACAAAGTATGTATGTAGACTCGGTTTTTTCTATTGATGGGATTCTATAGGTCTAGGCTGCGAGGTTATGTGGTCCCTGCGTTGGCTGGGCTGGGGCGAGTGAGATGATGAGTTATCATCATTTTTTTTTTTTGTTT